AGCAAACTCGGGGTTCCTCCCACATACCTATTGCTGAGAAAAGCCGACTCTTGAGTTGCTTCTGAAAGGTTGGCATACGTCTTGAGCCTAAGCCAGGGAATCAGCTCTCATCTCGAGATGATTTGGGGTAGACGGACCATTCCTCGAGTTGCTGTGCTGAAGTTGGTGTTCCCCTAGACTTGGGACAGTGTTCTCGGGGCATCTCTGGAGTTGCCTGAAGGAAGTCAAGCCACTGGTCCTGTTGAATATGGAATGGTGGATGGCTCTAGAGTCAATGCAACGGAATTGGGCCCCATCTCGAGTTAATTTGGGGCACACGGAACTGCTTTGCCATCCTGGGGTGACCTCAGGGTCAGTCTATAATGGTGAAACTGTTCTTGGGGACTGTCTCGAGATCCGTTAAGCAAGTGGAAGCTCCTGACTTGTTTGATGGGGATCACGGAATAGCTCTGCATGCACTGCAGTGGAATGGGGCCTCATTTCGCCTCTAGGGGGAAGTCTCATGGTTTTTCTCGAGTTGCGGCGGGGACCTGGGGTATGTTCTCGAGTTACGACTGGGATGGCCCTTCAAAACACGTGTTTATTCAGTCACGTTACGACTCCTGTATAGTAATGAGGGACCCCTCAGGAATCTCTTCGAGGCTTGACAGGTCAAAAGGGACGCTTCTCGAGGTGAGGCAGGGCACCCAAGGACCCTTTCCAGTAGCCACAGTGATTTTGGGATTCCTATCAGTATTCAAGAGGAGTCAGGCATCATCACCTTTTGAAGCAGTGAACTCTGCGTGCCTCTCGAGGTGTCAACGGGATGTGTGGCATTCCGTCAAAATGAGGCAGGGACCTAGGGCTTTCTCTAAGGTCTCTACAGGGTATTCAGACATCCCTTCATGTTGTGAGATGAAAGACGAGCCTGTATTCAAGCCACTGCAAGGAAATCCGGCCTCCTTTCAAGTTAGGGCTTCTCGCTATATATTCCACTTGAGGCAGCAAACTCGGGGTCCCTCCCACATACCTATTGCTGAGAGAAGCCTCCTACTGAGGTGCTTCCGGAAGGGTGGCATACCTCTTGAGCGTAAGTCAGGGAATCAGCTCTCATCTCGAGACGTTTTGGGGTACACGGAGCATTCCTCGAGTTGCTGTGCTGAAGTTGGTGTTCCTCTACACTTGGGACAGTGTTCTCTGGGCATCTGTGGAGTTGCCTGAAGGAAGTCAAATCACTGGTCGTGTTGAATGGGGAACGGGGGATGGCTCTGGAGTCAATGCAGTGGAATCGGGCCTCTACTCGAGTATATTTGGGGCACACGGCCCTGCTTTGCCTTGCTGGGTTGACCTCAGGGTTCGTCTAGTCTGGTGACAGTGTTCTTGGGGACTGTTTCGAGATCCATTATGCAAGTCGAAGCTCCTGACTTGTTTGATGGGGATCACGGAATTGCTCTGCATGCACTGCAGGGGAATGGGGCCTCATCTCACCTCTAGGGGGAAGTCTCATGGTTTTTCTCGAGTTGCGGCGGGGACCTGGGGTATGTTCTCGAGTTATGGCGGGGATGGCCCTTCAAAACACGTGTTTCTTCAGTGACGTCAGGACTCCTGTCTAGTAACGAGGGACACTTCAGGAATCTCTTCGAGGCTTGGCAGGGCCAAAGGGACGCTTCTTGAGCTGAGGCAGGGCACCAAAGACCTATTTCAGAAGCCACAGGGATTTTGGGATTCCTATCAGTATTGAAGAGGAGTCAGGCAAGTCACCTTTAAAGCAGTGAACTCCGCGTGCCTCCCGAGGTGTCAACGGGATGTGAGGCATTCCTTCAAAATGAGGCAGGGAACTAGGGCTTTCTCTCAGGTCTCCACAGGGGATTCAGACATCCCTTCATGTTGTGAGATGAAAGACGAGCCTGTATTCAAGCCACTGCAAGGAAATCCGGCCTCCTTTCAAGTTAGGGCTTCTCGCTGTATATTCCACTTGAGGCACCAAACTCGGGGTCCCTCCCACATACCTATTGCTGAGAGAAGCCTCCTCTTGAGGTGCTTCTGGATGGATGCCATACGTCTTGAGCCTGAGCCAGAGAATCAGCTCTCATCTCGAGACGATTGGGGGAAAAGGAGCATTCCTCGAGTTGCTGTGCTGAAGTGGGTGTTCCTCTAGACTTGGGACAGTGTTCTCGGGGCATCTCTGGAGTTGCCTGAAGGAAGTCAAGCCACTGGTCGTGTTGAATGGATAATGGGGGATGGCTCTGGAGTCAATGCAGGGGAATCGGGCCTCATCTCGAGTTAATTTGGGGCACATGGAACTGCTTTGCGTTGCTGGCGTGACCTCAGGGTCCGTCTGGTCTGGTGACAGTGTTCTTGGGGACTGTCTCGAGATCCGTTAAGAAAGTCGAAGCTCCTGACTTGTTTGATGGGGATCACAGAAGAGCTCTGAATGCACTGCAGGGGAATGGGGCCTCATCTCGCCTCTAGGGGGAAGTCTCATGGTTTTTCTCGAGTTACGGCGGGGACCTGGGGTATGTTCTCGAGTTTCGGCGGGGATATCCCTTCAAAACACGTGTTTATTCAGTGAGGTCAGGACTCCTGTCTAGTAACGACGGACACCTCAGGAATCTCTTCGAGGCTTGGCAGGTCAAAAGGGATGCTTCTCGAGGTGAGGCAGGGCACCCAAGGACCGTTTCCAGTAGCCACAGGGATTTTGGGATTCCTATCAGTATTCAAGAGGAGTCAGGCATCGTCACCTTTTGAAGCAGTGAACTCCGCGTGCATCTCGAGGGGTCAACGGGATGTGAGGCATTCCGTCAAAATGAGGCAGGGACCTAGGGCTTTCTCTAAGGTCTCCACAGGGGATTCAAACATCCCTTCATGTAGTGAGATGAAAGACGAGCCTGTATTCAAGCAACTGCAAGGAAATCCTGCCTCCTTTCAAGTTAGGGCTTCTCGCTGTACATTCCACTTGAGGCAGCAAACTCGGGGTCCCTCCCACATACCTATTCCTGAGAGAAGAGTCCTCTTGAGGTGCTTCTGGAATGTTGGCATATGTCTTGAGCCTAAGCCAGGGAATCAGCTCTCATCTCGAGACGATTAGGGGTAGACGGAGCATGCCACGAGTTGCTGTGCTGAAGTTGGTGTTCCTCTAGACCTGGGACAGTGTTCTCGGGGAATCCCTGGAGTTGCCTGAAGGAAGTCAAGCCACTGGTCGTGTTGATTGGGGAACGGGGGATGGCTCTGGAGTCAATGCAAGGGAATCGGACCTCATCTCGAGTTGATTTGGTGCACACGGAGCTGCTTTGCGTTGCTGGGGTGACCTCAGGGTCCGTCTAGACTGGTAACAGTGTTTTTGGGGACTGTCTCGAGATCCATTAAGCAAGTCGAAGGTCCTGACTTGTTCGATGGGGATCACGGAATAGCTCTGCATGCACTGCAGAGGAATGGGGCCTCATCTCGCCTCTAGGGGGAAGTCTCATGGTTTTTCTCGAGTTGCGGCGGGGACCTGGAGTAAGTTCTCGAGTTACGGCGGGGATGGCCCTTCGAATGACGTGTTTATTCAGTGACGTCACAACTCCTGTCTAGTAACGAGGGACACCTCAAGAATCTCTTCCAGGCTTAGGGCAAAAGGGACGCTTCTCGAGCTTAGGCAGGGCACCCAAGGACCCTTTCCAGTAGCCACAGGGATTTTGGGATTCCTATCAGTATTCATGAGGAGTCAGGCATCGTCAACTTGTGAAGCAGTGAACTCCGCGTGCCTCTCGAGGTTTCAACATGATGGGCGGCATTCCGTCAAAATGAGACATGGACCTAGGGCTTTCTCTAAGGTCTCCACAGGGGATTCAGACATCCCTTCATGTTGTGAGATGAAAGACGAGCCTGTATTCAAGCCACTGCAAGGAAATCTGGCCTCCTTTCAAGTTAGGGCTTCTCGCTCTATATTCCACTGGAGGCAGCAAACTCGGGGTCCCTCCCACATAACTATTGCTGAGAGAAGCCACCTCTTGAGGTGCTTCTGGAAGATTGGCATACGTCTTGTGCCTAAACCCGGAAATGAGCTCTCATCTCTAGACGATTTGGGGTACGCGGAGCATTCCTCGAGTTGCTGTGCTGAAGTTGGTGTTCCTCTAGACTTGGGACAGTTTCCTCGGAGCATCTCTGGAGTTGCCTGAAGGAAGTCAAGCCACTGGTCGTGTTGAATGGGGAACGGGGAATGGCTCTGGAGTCAATGCAGGGAAATCGGGCCTCATCTCGAGTTGATTTCGGGCACACAGAGCTGCTTTGCATTGCTGGGGTGACCTCAGGGTCCGTCTACACTGGTGACAGTGTTCTTGGGGACTGTCTCGAGAACAATTAAGCAAGTTGAAGCTCCTGACTTCTTTGATGGGGATCACGGAATAGCTCTGCATGCACTGCAGTGGAATGGGGCCTCATTTCTCCTCTAGGGGGAAGCCTTATGGTTTTTCTCGAGTTGCGGCGGGGACCTGGGGTATGTTCTCGAGTTACGACTGGGATGGCCCTTCAAAACACGTGTTTATTCAGTCACGTTACGACTCCTGTATAGTAATGAGGGACACCTCAGTAATCTCTTCGAGGGTTAGGGCAAAAGGGAGGCTTCTCGAGCTGAGTCAGGGCACCCAAGGACACTTTCCAGTAGCCACAGCTATTTTGGGATTCCTTTCAGTATTCAAGAGGAGTCAGGCATCGTCACCTTTGAAGCAGTGAAATCCGCGTGCCTCTCGAGGGTTCAATGGGATGTGAGGCATTCGGTCAAAATGAACCAGGGACCTAGGGCTTTCTCTCAGGTCTCCACAGGGGATTCAGACCATCCCTTCATGTTCTGAGTTGAAAGACGAGACAATATTCAAGCAACTGCAAGGAAATCCGGCCTCCTTTCAAGATAGGGCTTCTTGCTGTATATTCCACTTGAGGCAGCAGACTCGGGGTCCCTCCCACATACCTATTGCTGAGAGAAGCCTCCTCTTGAGGTGCTTCTGGAAGGTTGGAATATGTCTTGAGCCTAAGCCAGGGAATCAGCTCTCATCTCGAGATAATTTGGGGTACACGGAGCAATCCTCGTGTTGCAGTGCTGAAGTTGGTGTTCCTCTAGACTTGGGACAGTGTTCTCGGGGCATCTCTGGAGTTGGCTGAAGGAAGTCAAGCCAATGGTAGTGTTGAATGGATAACGGGGGCTGGCTCTGCAGTCAATGCAGGGGAATCAGGCGTCATCTCGAGCTGATTTGGGGAACATGGAGCTGCTTTGCGTTGCTGGCTTGACCTCAGAGTCCGTCTAGACTGGTGTCATTGTTCTTGGGGACTGTCTCGAGATCCGTTAAGCAAGTCGAAGCTCCTGACTTGTTTGATGGGGATCACGGAATAGCACTGCAAGAACTGCAGGGGAATGGGGCCTCATCTCGCCTCTAGGGGGAAGTCTCATGGTTTTTCTCGAGTTGCGGCGGGGACCTGGGGTATGTTCTCGAGTTACGGCAGGGATGGCCCTTCAAATCACGTGTTTATTCAGTGACGTCAGAACTCCTGTCTAGTAACGAGGGACCACTCAGGAATCTCTTCGAGGCTTGACAGGTCAAAAGGGACGCTTCTCGAGGTGAGGCAGGGCACCCAAGGACCCTTTCCAGTAGCCACAGTGATTTTGGGATTCCTATCAGTATTGAAGAGGAGTCAGGCAAGTCACCTTTAAAGCAGTGAACTCCGCGTGCCTCTCGAGGTGTCAGCGGGATGTGAGGCATTCCTTAAAAATGAGGCAGGGAACTAGGGCTTTCTCTCAGGTCTCCTCAGGGGATTCAGACATCCCTTCATGTTGTGAGATGAAAGACGAGCCTGTATTCAAGCCACTGCAAGGAAATCCGGCCTCCTTTCAAGTTAGGGCTTCTCGCTGTATATTCCACTTGAGGCACCAAACTCGGGGTCCCTCTCACATACCTATTGCTGAGAGAAGCCTCCTCTTGAGGTGCTTCTGGATGGATGCCATACGTCTTGAGCCTGAGCCAGAGAATCAGCTCTCATCTCGAGACGATTTGGGGTACACGGAGCATTCCTCGAGTTGCTGTGCTGAAGTGGGTGTTCCTCTAGACTTGGGACAGTGTTCTCGGGGCATCTCTGGAGTTGCCTGAAGGAAGTCAAGCCACTGGTCGTGTTGAATGAATAACGGGGGATGGCTCTGGAGTCAATGCAGGGGAATCGGGCCTCATCTCGAGTTAATTTGGGGCACATGGAGCAGCTTTGCGTTGCTGGCGTGACCTCAGGGTCCGTCTGGTCTGGTGACAGTGTTCTTGGGACTGTCTCGAGATCCATTAAGAATGTCGAAGCTCCTGACTTGTTTGATGGGGATCACAGAAGAGCTCTGAATGCACTGCAGGGGAATGGGGCCTCATCTCACCTCTAGGGGGAAGTCTCATGGTTTTTCTCGAGTTACGGCGGGGACCTGGGGTATGTTCTCGAGTTACGGCGGGGATATCCCTTCAAAACACGTGTTTATTCAGTGACGTCAGGACTCCTGTCTAGTAACGACGGACACCTCAGGAATCTCTTCGAGGCTTGGCAGGGCAAAAGGGATGCTTCTCGAGATGAGGCATGGCACCAAAGACCCATTCCAGTAGCCACAGGGATTTTGGGATTCCTATCAGTATTCAAGAGGAGTCAGGCATCGTCACCTTTTGAAGCAGGGAACTCCACGTGCCTCTCGAGGTGTCAACCGGATGTGAGGCATTCCGTCAAAAAGGCAGGGAACTAGGGCTTTCTCTCAGGTCAACACAGGGGATTCAGACATCCCTTCATGTTGTGAGATGAAAGACGAGCCTGTATTCAAGCCACTGCAAGGAAATCCGGCCTCCTTTCAAGTTAGGGCTTCTCGCTGTATATTCCACTTGAGGCAGCAACCTCGGGGTCCCTCCCACATACCTATTGCTGAGAGAAGCCTCCTCGTGAGGTGCTTCTGGACGGTTGGCATATGTCTTGAGCCTAAGCCAGGGAATCAGCTCTCATCTCGAGATAATTTGGGGTACACGGAGCAATCCTCGTGTTGCAGTGCTGAAGTTGGTGTTCCTCTAGACTTGGGACAGTGTTCTCGGGGCATCTCTGGAGTTGGCTGAAGGAAGTCAAGCCAATGGTAGTGTTGAATGGATAACGGGGGCTGGCTCTGCAGTCAATGCAGGGGAATCAGGCGTCATCTCGATTTGATTTGGGGCACATGGAGCTGCTTTGCGTTGCTGGCTTGACCTCAGAGTCCGTCTAGACTGGTGTCATTGTTCTTGGGGACTGTCTCGAGATCCGTTAAGCAAGTTGAAGCTCCTGACTTGTTTGATGGGGATCACGGAATAGCACTGCAAGAACTGCAGGGGAATGGGGCCTCATCTCGCCTCTAGGGGGAAGTCTCATGGTTTTTCTCGAGTTGCGGCGGGGACCTGGGGTATGTTCTCGAGTTACGGCAGGGATGGCCCTTCAAATCACGTGTTTATTCAGTGACGTCAGAACTCCTGTCTAGTAACGAGGGACCACTCAGGAATCTCTTCGAGGCTTGACAGGTCAAAAGGGACGCTTCTCGAGGTGAGGCAGGGCACCCAAGGACCCTTTCCAGTAGCCACAGTGATTTTGGGATTCCTATCAGTATTCAAGAGGAGTCAGGCATCGTCACCTTTTGAAGCAGTGAACTCCGCGTGCCTCTCGAGGAGTCAGCGGGATGTGAGGCATTCCGTCAAAATGAGGCAGGGACCTAGGGCTTTCTCTAAGGTCTCTACAGGGTATTCAGACATCCCTTCATGTTGTGAGATGAAAGACGAGCCTGTATTCAAGCCACTGCAAGGAAATCCGGCCTCCTTTCAAGTTAGGGCTTCTCGCTATATATTCCACTTGAGGCAGCAAACTCGGGGTCCCTCCCACATACCTATTGCTGAGAGAAGCCTCCTACTGAGGTGCTTCCGGAAGGGTGGAATACCTCTTGAGCGTAAGTCAGGGAATCAGCTCTCATCTCGAGACGTTTTGGGGTACACGGAACATTCCTCGAGTTGCTGTGCTGAAGTTGGTGTTCCTCTACACTTGGGACAGTGTTCTCTGGGCATCTGTGGAGTTGCCTGAAGGAAGTCAAATCACTGGCCGTGTTGAATGGGGAACGGGGGATTGCTCTGGAGTCAATGCAGTGGAATCGGGCCTCTACTCGAGTATATTTGGGGCACACGGCCCTGCTTTGCCTTGCTGGGTTGACCTCAGGGTTGGTCTAGTCTGGTGACAGTGTTCTTGGGGACTGTTTCGAGATCCATTACGCAAGTTGAAGTCCTGACTTGTTTGATGGGGATCACGGAATTGCTCTGCATGCACTGCAGGGGAATGGGGCCTCATCTCACCTCTAGGGGGAAGTCGCATGATTTTTCTCGAGTTGCGGCGGGGACCTGGGGTATGTTCTCGAGTTATGCCGGGGATGGCCCTTCAAAACACGTGTTTCTTCAGTGACGTCAGGACTCCTGTCTAGTAACGACGGACACTTCAGGAATCTCTTCGAGGCTTGGCAGGGCCAAAGGGACGCTTCTTGAGCTGAGGCAGGGCACCAAAGACCCATTTCAGTAGCCACAGGCATTTTGGGATTCCTATCAGTATTGAAGAGGAGTCAGGCAAGTCACCTTTAAAGCAGTGAACTCCGCGTGCCTCCCGAGGTGTCAACGGGATGTGAGGCATTCCTTAAAAAAGAGGCAGGGAACTAGGGCTTTCTCTCAGGTCTCCTCAGGGGATTCAGACATCCCTTCATGTTGTGAGTTGAAAGACGAGACAATATTCAAGCCACTGCAAGGAAATCCGGCCTCCTTCAAGATAGGGCTTTTTGCTGTATATTCCACTTGAGGCAGCAGACTCGGGGTCCCTCCCACATACCTATTGCTGAGCGAAGCCTCCTCTTGAGGTGCTTCTGGAAGGTTGGCATATGTCTTGAAAAGAAGCCAGGGAATCAGCTCTCATCTCGAGATTATTTGTGTACATGGAGCATTCCTCGAGTTGCTGTGCTGAAATTGGTGTTCCTCTAGACTTGCGTCAGTTTTCTCAAGGCATCTCTGGAGTTGCCTGAAGGAAGTCAAGCCACTGGTCTTGTTGAATGGGGAACAGGGGATGGCTCTGGAGTCAATGCAGGGGAATCGGGCCTCATCTCGAGTTGATTTGGGGCACACGAAGCTGCTTTGCGTTGCTGTGCTGACCTCAGGGTTCGTCTAGACTGGTGACAGTGTTCTTGGGGACTGTCTCGAGATCCACTAAGCAAGTCGAAGCTCCTGACTTGTTTGATGGGGATCACGGAATAGCTCTGCATGCACGGCATTGGAATGGGGCCTCATCTCGCCTCTAGGGGGAAGTCTCATGGTTTTTCTCGAGTTGCGGCGGGGACCTGGGGTATGTTCTCGAGTTACGGCAGGGATGGCCCTTCAAATCACGTGTTTATTCAGTGACGTCAGAACTCCTGTCTAGTAACGAGGGACCACTCAGGAATCTCTTCGAGGCTTGACAGGTCAAAAGGGACGCTTCTCGAGGTGAGGCAGGGCACCCAAAGACCCTTTCCAGTAGCCACAGTGATTTTGGGATTCCTATCAGTATTCAAGAGGAGTCAGGCATCGTCACCTTTTGAAGCAGTGAACTCCGCGTGCCTCTCGAGGTGTCAACGGGATGTGAGGCATTCCGTCAAAATGAGGCAGGGACCTAGGGCTTTCTCTAAGGTCTCTACAGGGTATTCAGACATCTCTTCATGTTGTGAGATGAAAGACGAGCCTGTATTCAAGCCACTGCAAGGAAATCCGTCCTCCTTTCAAGTTAGGGCTTCTCGCTATATATTCCACTTGAGGCAGCAAACTCGGGGTCCCTCCCACATACCTATTGCTGAGAGAAGCCTCCTACTGAGGTGCTTCCGGAAGGGTGGCATACCTCTTGAGCGTAAGTCAGGGAATCAGCTCTCACCTCGAGACGTTTTGGGGTACACGGAGCATTCCTCGAGTTGCTGTGCTGAAGTTGGTGTTCCTCTACACTTGGGACAGTGTTCTCTGGGCATCTGTGGAGTTGCCTGAAGGAAGTCAAATCACTGGCCGTGTTGAATGGGGAACGGGGGATGGCTCTGGAGTCAATGCAGTGGAATCGGGCCTCTACTCGAGTATATTTGGGGCACACGGCCCTGCTTTGCCTTGCTGGGTTGACCTCAGGGTTCGTCTAGTCTGGTGACAGTGTTCTTGGGGACTGTTTCGAGATCCATTACGCAAGTCGAAGCTCCTGACTTGTTTGATGGGGATCACGGAATTGCTCTGCATGCACTGCAGGGGAATGGGGCCTCATCTCACCTCTAGGGTGAAGTCGCATGGTTTTTCTCGAGTTGCGGCGGGGACCTGGGGTATGTTCTCGAGTTATGGCGGGGATGGCCCTTCAAAACACGTGTTTCTTCAGTGACGTCAGGACTCCTGTCTAGTAACGAGGGACACCTCAGGAATCTCTTCGAGGCTTGGCAGGGCCAAAGGGACGCTGCTTGAGCTGAGGCAGGGCACCAAAGACCCATTTCAGTAGCCACAGGGAATTTGGGATTCCTATCAGTATTGAAGAGGAGTCAGGCAAGTCACCTTTAAAGCAGTGAACTCCGCGTGCCTCCCGAGGTGTCAACGGGATGTGAGGCATTCCTTAAAAATGAGGCAGGGAACTAGGGCTTTCTCTCAGGTCTCCTCAGGGGATTCAGACATCCCTTCATGTTGTGAGATGAAAGACGAGCCTGTATTCAAGCCACTGCAAGGAAATCCGGCCTCCTTTCAAGTTAGGGCTTCTCGCTGTATATTCCACTTGGGGCACCAAACTCGGGGTCCCTCCCACATACCTATTGCTGAGAGAAGCCTCCTCTTGAGGTGCTTCTGGATGGATGCCATACGTCTTGAGCCTGAGCCAGAGAATCAGCTCTCATCTCGAGACGATTTGGGGTACACGGAGCATTCCTCGAGTTGCTGTGCTGAAGTGGGTGTTCCTCTAGACTTGGGACAGTGTTCTCGGGGCATCTCTGGAGTTGCCTGAAGGAAGTCAAGCCACTGGTCGTGTTGAATGGATAACGGGGGATGACTCTGGAGTCAATGCAGGGGAATCGGGCCTCATCTCGAGTTAATTTGGGGCACATGGAGCTGCTTTGCGTTGCTGGCGTGACCTCAGGGTCCGTCTGGTCTGGTGACAGTGTTCTTGGGGACTGTCTCGAGATCCATTAAGAAAGTCGAAGCTCCTGACTTGTTTGATGGGGATCACAGAAGAGCTCTGAATGCACTGCAGGGGAATGGGGCCTCATCTCGCCTCTAGGGGGAAGTCTCATGGTTTTTCTCGAGTTACGGCGGGGACCTGGGGTATGTTCTCGAGTTACGGTGGGGATATCCCTTCAAAACACGTGTTTATTCAGTGACGTCAGGACTCCTGTCTAGTAACGACGGACACCTCAGGAATCTCTTCGAGGCTTGGCAGGGCAAAAGGGATGCTTCTCGAGATGAGGCATGGCACCAAAGACCCATTCCAGTAGCCACAGGGATTTTGGGATTCCTATCAGTATTCAAGAGGAGTCAGGCATCGTCACCTTTTGAAGCAGGGAACTCCGCGTGCCTCTCGAGGTGTCAACCGGATGTGAGGCATTCCGTCAAAAAGGCAGGGAACTAGGGCTTTCTCTCAGGTCAACACAGGGGATTCAGACATCCCTTCATGTTGTGAGATGAAAGACGAGCCTGTATTCAAGCCACTGCAAGGAAATCCGGCCTCCTTTCAAGTTAGGGCTTCTCGCTGTATATTCCACTTGAGGCAGCAACCTCGGGGTCCCACCCACATACCTATTGCTGAGAGAAGCCTCCTCGTGAGGTGCTTCTGGACGGTTGGCATAGGTCTTGAGCCTAAGCCAGGGAATCAGCTCTCATCTCGAGATAATTTGGGGTACACGGAGCAATCCTCGTGTTGCAGTGCTGAAGTTGGTGTTCCTCTAGACTTGGGACAGTGTTCTCGGGGCATCTCTGGAGTTGGCTGAAAGAAGTCAAGCCAATGGTAGTGTTGAATGGATAACGGGGGCTGGCTCTGCAGTCAATGCAGGGGAATCAGGCGTCATCTCGAGTTGATTTGGGGCACATGGAGCTGCTTTGCGTTGCTGGCTTGACCTCAGAGTCCGTCTAGACTGGTGTCATTGTTCTTGGGGACTGTCTCGAGATCCGTTAAGCAAGTCGAAGCTCCTGACTTGTTTGATGGGGATCACGGAATAGCACTGCAAGAACTGCAGGGGAATGGGGCCTCATCTCGCCTCTAGGGGGAAGTCTCATGGTTTTTCTCGAGTTGCGGCGGGGACCTGGGGTATGTTCTCGAGTTACGGCAGGGATGGCCCTTCAAATCACGTGTTTATTCAGTGACGTCAGAACTCCTGTCTAGTAACGAGGGACCACTCAGGAATCTCTTCGAGGCTTGACAGGTCAAAAGGGACGCTTCTCGAGGTGAGGCAGGGCAGCCAAGGACCCTTTCCAGTAGCCACAGTGATTTTGGGATTCCTATCAGTATTCAAGAGGAGTCAGGCATCGTCACCTTTTGAAGCAGTGAACTCCGCGTGCCTCTCGAGGTGTCAACGGGATGTGAGGCATTCCGTCAAAATGAGGCAGGGACCTAGGGCTTTCTCTAAGGTCTCTACAGGGTATTCAGACATCCCTTCATGTTGTGAGATGAAAGACGAGCCTGTATTCAAGCCACTGCAAGGAAATCCGGCCTCCTTTCAAGTTAGGGCTTCTCGCTATATATTCCACTTGAGGCAGCAAACTCGGGGTCCCTCCCACATACCTATTGCTGAGAGAAGCCTCCTACTGAGGTGCTTCCGGAAGGGTGGCATACCTCTTGAGCGTAAGTCAGGGAATCAGCTCTCATCTCGAGACGTTTTGGGGTACACGGAGCATTCCTCGAGTTGCTGTGCTGAAGTTGGTGTTCCTCTACACTTGGGACAGTGTTCTCTGGGCATCTGTGGAGTTGCCTGAAGGAAGTCAAATCACTGGCCGTGTTGAATGGGGAACGGGAGATGGCTCTGGAGTCAATGCAGTGGAATCGGGCCTCTACTCGAGTATATTTGGGGCACACGGCCCTGCTTTTCCTTGCTGGGTTGACCTCAGGGTTCGTCTAGTCTGGTGACAGTGTTCTTGGGGACTGTTTCGAGATCCATTACGCAAGTCGAAGCTCCTGACTTGTTTGATGGGGATCACGGAATTGCTCTGCATGCACTGCAGGGGAATGGGGCCTCATCTCACCTCTAGGGGGAAGTCGCATGGTTTTTCTCGAGTTGCGGCGGGGACCTGGGGTATGTTCTCGAGTTATGGCGGGGATGGCCCTTCAAAACACGTGTTTCTTCAGTGACGTCAGGACTCCTGTCTAGTAACGAGGGACACTTCAGGAATCTATTCGAGGCTTGGCAGGGCCAAAGGGACGCTTCTTGAGCTGAGGCAGGGCACCAAAGACCCATTTCAGTAGCCACAGGGATTTTGGGATTCCTATCAGTATTGAAGAGGAGTCAGGCAAGTCACCTTTAAAGCAGTGAACTCCGCGTGCCTCCCGAGGTGTCAGCGGGATGTGAGGCATTCCTTCAAAATGAGGCAGGGACCTAGGGCTTTCTCTCAGGTCTCCTCAGGGGATTCAGACATCCCTTCATGTTGTGAGATGAAAGACGAGCCTGTATTCAAGCCACTGCAAGGAAATCCGGCCTCCTTTCAAGTTAGGGCTTCTCGCTGTATATTCCACTTGAGGCACCAAACTCGGGGTCCCTCCCACATACCTATTGCTGAGAGAAGCCTCCTCTTGAGGTGCTTCTGGATGGATGCCATACGTCTTGAGCCTGAGCCAGAGAATCAGCTCTCATCTCGAGACGATTTGGGGTACACGGAGCATTCCTCGAGTTGCTGTGTTGAAGTGGGTGTTCCTCTAGACTTGGGACAGTGTTCTCGGGGCATCTCTGGAGTTGCCTGAAGGAAGTCAAGCCACTGGTCGTGTTGAATGGATAACGGGGGATGGCTCTGGAGTCAATGCAGGGGAATCGGGCCTCATCTCGAGTTTATTTGGGGCACATGGAGCTCCTTTGCGTTGCTGGCGTGACCTCAGGGTTCGTCTGGTCTGGTGACAGTGTTCTTGGGGACTGTCTCGAGATCCATTAAGAAAGTCGAAGCTCCTGACTTGTTTGATGGGGATCACGGAAGAGCTCTGAATGCACTGCAGCGGAATGGGGCCTCATCTCGCCTCTAAGGGGAAGTCTCATGGTTTTTCTCGAGTTACGGCGGGGACCTGGGGTATGTTCTCGAGTTACGGCGGGGATATCCCTTCAAAACACGTGTTTATTCAGTGACGTCAGGACTCCTGTCTAGTAACGACGGACACCTCAGGAATCTCTTCGAGGCTTGGCAGGGCAAAAGGGACGCTTCTCGAGATGAGGCATGGCACCAAAGACCCTTTCCAGTAGCCACAGGGATTTTGGGATTCCTATCAATATTCAAGAGGAGTCAGGCATCGTCACCTTTTGAAGCAGGGAACTCCGCGTGCCTCTCGAGGTGTCAACCGGATGTGAGGCATTCCGTCAAAAAGGCAGGGAACTAGGGCTTTCTCTCAGGTCAACACAGGGGATTCAGACATCCCTTCATGTTGTGAGATGAAAGACGAGCCTGTATTCAAGCCACTGCAAGGAAATCCGGCCTCCTTTCAAGTTAGGGCTTCTCGCTGTATATTCCACTTGAGGCAGCAAACTCGGGGTCCCTCCCACATACCTATTGCTGAGAGAAGCCTCCTCGTGAGGTGCTTCTGGACGGTTGGCATATGTCTTGAGCCTAAGCCAGGGAATCAGCTCTCATCTCGAGATAATTTGGGGTACACGGAGCAATCCTCGTGTTGCAGTGCTGAAGTTGGTGTTCCTCTAGACTTGGGACAGTGTTCTCGGGGCATCTCTGGAGTTGGCTGAAGGAAGTCAAGCCAATGGTAGTGTTGAATGGATAACGGGGGCTGGCTCTGCAGTCAATGCAGGGGAATCAGGCGTCATCTCGAGTTGATTTGGGGCACATGGAGCTGCTTTGCGTTGCTGGCTTGACCTCAGAGTCCGTCTAGACTGGTGTCATTGTTCTTGGGGACTGTCTCGAGATCCGTTAAGCAAGTCGAAGCTCCTGACTTGTTTGATGGGGATCACGGAATAGCACTGCAAGAACTGCAGGGGAATGGGGCCTCATCTCGCCTCTAGGGGGAAGTCTCATGGTTTTTCTCGAGTTGCGGCGGGGACCTGGGGTATGTTCTCGAGTTACGGCAGGGATGGCCCTTCACATCACGTGATTATTCAGTGACATCAGAACTCCTGTCTAGTAACGAGGGACACCTCAGGAATCTCTTCGAGGCTTGACAGGTCAAAAGGGATGCTTCTCGAGGTGAGGCAGGGCACCCAAGGACCGTTTCCAGTAGCCACAGGGATTTTGGGATTCCTATCAGTATTCAAGAGGAGTCAGGCATCGTCACCTTTTGAAGCAGTGAACTCCGCGTGCATCTCGAGGGGTCAACGGGATGTGAGGCATTCCGTCAAAATGAGGCAGGGACCTAGGGCTTTCTCTAAGGTCTCCACAGGGGATTCAAACATCCCTTCATGTAGTGAGATGAAAGACGAGCCTGTATTCAAGCAACTGCAAGGAAATCCTGCCTCCTTTCAAGTTAGGGCTTCTCGCTGTACATTCCACTTGAGGCAGCAAACTCGGGGTCCCTCCCACATACCTATTGCTGAGAGAAGAGTCCTCTTGAGGTGCTTCTGGAATGTTGGCATATGTCTTGAGCCTAAGCCAGGGAATCAGCTCTCATCTCGAGACGATTAGGGGTACACGGAGCATGCCACGAGTTGCTGTGCTGAAGTTGGTGTTCCTCTAGACCTGGGACAGTGTTCTCGGGGAATCCCTGGAGTTGCCTGAAGGAAGTCAAGCCACTGGTCGTGTTGATTGGGGAACGGGGGATGGCTCTGGAGTCAATGCAAGGGAATCGGGCCTAATCTCGAGTTGATTTGGTGCACACGGAGCTGCTTTGCGTTGCTGGGGTGACCTCAGGGTCCGTCTAGACTGGTAACAGTGTTTTTGGGGACTGTCTCGAGATCCATTAAGCAAGTCGAAGGTCCTGACTTGTTCGATGGGGATCACGGAATAGCTCTGCATGCACTGCAGAGGAATGGGGCCTCATCTCGCCTCTAGGGGGAAGTCTCATGGTTTTTCTCGAGTTGCGGCGGGGACCTGGAGTAAGTTCTCGAGTTACGGCGGGGATGGCCCTTCGAATGACGTGTTTATTCAGTGACGTCACAACTCCTGTCTAGTAACGAGGGACACCTCAAGAATCTCTTCCAGGCTTAGGGCAAAAGGGACGCTTCTCGAGCTTAGGCAGGGCACCCAAGGACCCTTTCCAGTAGCCACAGGGATTTTGGGATTCCTATCAGTATTCATGAGGAGTCAGGCATCGTCAACTTTTGAAGCAGTGAACTCCGCGTGCCTCTCGAGGTTTCAACATGATGGGCGGCATTCCGTCAAAATGAGACATGGACCTAGGGCTTTCTCTAAGGTCTCCACAGGGGATTCAGACATCCCTTCATGTTGTGAGATGAAAGACGAGCCTGTATTCAAGCCACTGCAAGGAAATCTGGCCTCCTTTCAAGTTAGGGCTTCTCGCTCTATATTCCACTGGAGGCAGCAAACTCGGGGTCCCTCCCACATAACTATTGCTGAGAGAAGCCACCTCTTGAGGTGCTTCTGGAAGATTGGCATACGTCTTGTGCCTAAACCCGGAAATGAGCTCTCATCTCTAGACGATTTGGGGTACGCGGAGCATTCCTCGAGTTGCTGTGCTGAAGTTGGTGTTCCTCTAGACTTGGGACAGTTTCCTCGGAGCATCTCTGGAGTTGCCTGAAGGAAGTCAAGCCACTGGTCGTGTTGAATGGGGAACGGGGAATGGCTCTGGAGTCAATGCAGGGAAATCGGGCCTCATCTGGAGTTGATTTCGGGCACACAGAGCTGCTTTGCATTGCTGGGGTGACCTCAGGGTCCGTCTACACTGGTGACAGTGTTCTTGGGGACTGTCTCGAGAACAATTAAGCAAGTTGAAGCTCCTGACTTCTTTGATGGGGATCACGGAATAGCTCTGCATGCACTGCAGTGGAATGGGGCCTCATTTCGCCTCTAGGGGGAAGCCTTATGGTTTTTCTCGAGTTGCGGCGGGGACCTGGGGTATGTTCTCGAGTTACGACTGGGATGGCCCTTCAAAACACGTGTTTATTCAGTCACGTTACGACTCCTGTATAGTAATAAGGGACACCTCAGTAATCTCTTCGAGGGTTAGGGCAAAAGGGAGGCTTCTCGAGCTGAGTCAGGGCACCCAAGGACACTTTCCAGTAGCCACAGCTATTTTGGGATTCCTCTCAGTATTCAAGAGGAGTCAGGCATCGTCACTTTTGAAGCAGTGAAATCCGCGTGCCTCTCGAGGGTTCAATGGGATGTGAGGCATTCGGTCAAAATGAACCAGGGACCTAGGGCTTTCTCTCAGGTCTCCACAGGGGATTCAGACCATCCCTTCATGTTCTGAGTTGAAAGACGAGACAATATTCAAGCCACTGCAAGGAAATCCGGCCTCCTTTCAAAATAGGGCTTCTCCCTCTATATTCCACTTGAGGCAGCAGACTCGGGGTCCCTCCCACATACCTATTGCTGAGCGAAGCCTCCTCTTGAGGTGCTTCTGGAAGTTTGGCATATGTCTTGAAAAGAAGCCAGGGAATCAGCTCTCATCTCGAGATTATTTGTGTACACGGAGCATTCCTCGAGTTGCTGTGCTGAAATTGGTGTTCCTCTAGACTTGCGTCAGTTTTCTCAAGGCATCTCTGGAGTTGCCTGAAGGAAGTCAAGCCACTGGACTTGTTGAATGGGGAACAGGGGATGGCTCTGGAGTCAATGCAGGGGAATCGGGCCTCATCTCGAGTTGATTTGGGGCACACGGAGCTGCTTTGCGTTGCTGTGCTGACCTCAGGGTTCGTCTAGACTGGTGACAGTGTTCTTGGGGACTGTCTCGAGATCCATTAAGCAAGTCGAAGCTCCTGACTTGTTTGATGGGGATCACGGAATAGCTCTGCATGCACGGCATTGGAATGGGGCCTCATCTCGCTTCTAGGGGGAAGTCTCATGGTTTTTCTCGAGTTGCGGCGGGGACCTGGGGTATGTTCTCGAGTTACGGCAGGGATGGCCCTTCAAATCACGTGTTTATTCAGTGACGTCAGAACTCCTGTCTAGTAACGAGGGACCACTCAGGAATCTCTTCGAGGCTTGACAGGTCAAAAGGGACGCTTCTCGAGGTGAGGCAGGGCACCCAAGGACCCTTTCCAGTAGCCACAGTGATTTTGGGATTCCTATCAGTATTCAACAGGAGTCAGGCATCGTCACCTTTTGAAGCAGTGAACTCCGCGTGCCTCTCGAGGTGTCAACGGGATGGGAGGCATTCCGTCAAAATGAGGCAGGGACCTAGGGCTTTCTCTAAGGTCTCTACAGGGTATTCAGACATCCCTTCATGTTGTGAGATGAAAGACGAGCCTGTATTCAAGCCACTGCAAGGAAATCCGTCCTCCATTCAAGTTAGGGCTTCTCGCTATATATTCCACTTGAGGCAGCAAACTCGGGGTCCCTCCCACATACCTATTGCTGAGAGAAGCCTCCTACTGAGGTGCTTCCGGAAGGGTGGCATACCTCTTGAGCGTAAGTCAGGGAATCAGCTCTCACCTCGAGACGTTTTGGGGTACACGGAGCATTCCTCGAGTTGCTGTGCTGAAGTTGGTGTTCCTCTACACTTGGGACAGTGTTCTCTGGGCATCTGTGGAGTTGCCTGAAGGAAGTCAAATCACTGGCCGTGTTGAATGGGGAACGGGGGATGGCTCTGGAGTCAATGCAGTGGAATCGGGCCTCTACTCGAGTATATTTGGGGCACACGGCCCTGCTTTGCCTTGCTGGGTTGACCTCAGGGTTCCTCTAGTCTGGTGACAGTGTTCTTGGGGACTGTTTCGAGATCCATTACGCAAGTCGAAGCTCCTGACTTGTTTGATGGGGATCACGGAATTGCTCTGCATGCACTGCAGGGGAATGGGGCCTCATCTCACCTCTAGGGGGAAGTCGCATGGTTTTTCTCGAGTTGCGGCGGGGACCTGGGGTATGTTCTCGAGTTATGGCGGGGATGGCCCTTCAAAACACGTGTTTCTTCAGTGACGTCAGGACTCCTGTCTAGTAACGAGGGACACTTCAGGAATCTCTTCGAGGCTTGGCAGGGCCAAAGGGACGCTTCTTGAGCTGAGGCAGGGCACCAAAGACCCATTTCAGTAGCCACAGGGAATTTGGGATTCCTATCAGTATTGAAGAGGAGTCAGGCAAGTCACCTTTAAAGCAGTGAACTCCGCGTGCCTCCCGAGGTGTCAACGGGATGTGAGGCATTCCTTAAAAATGAGGCAGGGAACTAGGGCTTTCTCTCAGGTCTCCTCAGGGGATTCAGACATCCCTTCATGTTGTGAGATGAAAGACGAGCCTGTATTCAAGCCACTGCAAGGAAATCCGGCCTCCTTTCAAGTTAGGGCTTCTCGCTGTATATTCCACTTGAGGCACCAAACTCGGGGTCCCTCCCACATACCTATTGCTGAGAGAAGCCTCCTCTTGAGGTGCTTCTGGATGGATGCCATACGTCTTGAGCCTGAGCCAGAGAATCAGCTCTCATCTTGAGACGATTTGGGGTACAGGGAGCATTCCTCGAGTTGCTGTGCTGAAGTGGGTGTTCCTCTAGACTTGGGACAGTGTTCTCGGGGCATCTCTGGAGTTGCCTGAAGGAAGTCAAGCCACTGGTCGTGTTGAATGGATAACGGGGGATGGCTCTGGAGTCAATGCAGGGGAATCGGGCCTCATCTCGAGTTAATTTGGGGCACATGGAGCTGCTTTGCGTTGCTGGCGTGACCTCAGGGTCCGTCTGGTCTGGTGACAGTGTTCTTGGGGACTGTCTCGAGATCCATTAAGAAAGTCGAAGCTCCTGACTTGTTTGATGGGGATCACAGAAAAGCTCTGAATGCACTGCAGGGGAATGGGGCCTCATCTCGCCTCTAGGGGGAAGTCTCATGGTTTTTCTCGAGTTACGGCGGGGACCTGGGGTATGTTCTCGAGTTACGGCGGGGATATCCCTTCAAAACACGTGTTTATTCAGTGACGTCAGGACTCCTGTCTAGTAACGACGGACACCTCAGGAATCTCTTCGAGGCTTGGCAGGGCAAAAGGGATGCTTCTCGAGATGAGGCATGGCACCAAAGACCCATTCCAGTAGCCACAGGGATTTTGGGATTCCTATCAGTATTCAAGAGGAGTCAGGCATCGTCACCTTTTGAAGCAGGGAACTCCGCGTGCCTCTCGAGGTGTCAACCGGATGTGAGGCATTCCGTCAAAAAGGCAGGGAACTAGGGCTTTCTCTCAGGTCAACACAGGGGATTCAGACATCCCTTCATGTTGTGAGATGAAAGACGAGCCTGTATTCAAGCCACTGCAAGGAAATCCGGCCTCCTTTCAAGTTAGGGCTTCTCGCTGTATATTCCACTTGAGGCAGCAACCTCGGGGTCCCACCCACATACCTATTGCTGAGAGAAGCCTCCTCGTGAGGTGCTTCTGGACGGTTGGCATATGTCTTGAGCCTAAGCCAGGGAATCAGCTCTCATCTCGAGATAATTTGGGGTACACGGAGCAATCCTCGTGTTGCAGTGCTGAAGTTGGTGTTCCTCTAGACTTGGGACAGTGTTCTCGGGGCATCTCTGGAGTTGGCTGAAAGAAGTCAAGCCAATGGTAGTGTTGAATGGATAACGGGGGCTGGCTCTGCAGTCAATGCAGGGGAATCAGGCGTCATCTCGAGTTGATTTGGGGCACATGGAGCTGCTTTGCGTTGCTGGCTTGACCTCAGAGTCCGTCTAGACTGGTGTCATTGTTCTTGGGGACTGTCTCGAGATCCGTTAAGCAAGTCGAAGCTCCTGACTTGTTTGATGGGGATCACGGAATAGCACTGCAAGAACTGCAGGGGAATGGGGCCTCATCTCGCCTCTAGGGGGAAGTCTCATGGTTTTTCTCGAGTTGCGGCGGGGACCTGGGGTATGTTCTCGAGTTACGGCAGGGATGGCCCTTCAAATCACGTGTTTATTCAGTGACGTCAGAACTCCTGTCTAGTAACGAGGGACCACTCAGGAATCTCTTCGAGGCTTGACAGGTCAAAAGGGACGCCTCTCGAGGTGAGGCAGGGCAGCCAAGGACCCTTTCCAGTAGCCACAGTGATTTTGGGATTCCTATCAGTATTCAAGAGGAGTCAGGCATCGTCACCTTTTGAAGCAGTGAACTCCGCGTGCCTCTCGAGGTGTCAACGGGATGTGAGGCATTCCGTCAAAATGAGGCAGGGACCTAGGGCTTTCTCTAAGGTCTCTACAGGGTATTCAGACATCCCTTCATGTTGTGAGATGAAAGACGAGCCTGTATTCAAGCCACTGCAAGGAAATCCGGCCTCCTTTCAAGTTAGGGCTTCTCGCTATATATTCCACTTGAGGCAGCAAACTCGGGGTCCCTCCCACATACCTATTGCTGAGAGAAGCCTCCTACTGAGGTGCTTCCGGAAGGGTGGCATACCTCTTGAGCGTAAGTCAGGGAATCAGCTCTCATCTCGAGACGTTTTGGGGTACACGGAGCATTCCTCGAGTTGCTGTGCTGAAGTTGGTGTTCCTCTACACTTGGGACAGTGTTCTCTGGGCATCTGTGGAGTTGCCTGAAGGAAGTCAAATCACTGGCCGTGTTGAATGGGGAACGGGGGATGGCTCTGGAGTCAATGCAGTGGAATCGGGCCTCTACTCGAGTATATTTGGGGCACACGGCCCTGCTTTGCCTTGCTGGGTTGACCTCAGGGTTCGTCTAGTCTGGTGACAGTGTTCTTGGGGACTGTTTCGAGATCCATTACGCAAGTCGAAGCTCCTGAATTGTTTGATGGGGATCACGGAATTGCTCTGCATGCACTGCAGGGGAATGGGGCCTCATCTCACCTCTAGGGGGAAGTCGCATGGTTTTTCTCGAGTTGCGGCGGGGACCTGGGGTATGTTCTCGAGTTATGGCGGGGATGGCCCTTCAAAACACGTGTTTATTCAGTGACGTCAGGACTCCTGTCTAGTAACGAGGGACACTTCAGGAATCTATTCGAGGCTTGGCAGGGCCAAAGGGACGCTTCTTGAGCTGAGGCAGGGCACCAAAGACCCATTTCAGTAGCCACAGGGATTTTGGGATTCCTATCAGTATTGAAGAGGAGTCAGGGAAGTCACCTTTAAAGCAGTGAACTCCGCGTGCCTCCCGAGGTGTCAACGGGATGTGAGGCATTCCTTCAAAATGAGGCAGGGACCTAGGGCTTTCTCTCAGGTCTCCTCAGGGGATTCAGACATCCCTTCATGTTGTGAGATGAAAGACGAGCCTGTATTCAAGCCACTGCAAGGAAATCCGGCCTCCTTTCAAGTTAGGGCTTCTCGCTGTATATTCCACTTGAGGCAGCAAACTCGGGGTCCCTCCCACATACCTATTGCTGAGAGAAGCCTCCTCGTGAGGTGCTTCTGGACGGTTGGCATACGTCTTGAGCCTAAGGCAGGGAATCAGCTCTCATCTCGAGATAATTTGCGGTACACGGAGAAATCCTCGTGTTGCAGTGCTGAAGTTGGTGTTCCTCTAGACTTGGGACAGTGTTCTCGGGGCATCTCTGGAGTTGGCTGAAGGAAGTCGAGCCACCGGTCGTGTTGAATGGGGAACGGGGGCTGGCTCTGGAGTCAATGCAGGGGAATCCAGCCTCATCTCGAGTTGATTTGGGGCACATGGAGCTGCTTTGCGTTGCTGGCGTGACCTCAGAGTCCGTCTAGACTGGTGTCATTTTTCTTGGGGACTGTCTCGAGACCCATTAAGCAAGTCGAAGCTCCTGACTTGTTTGATGGGGATCACGGAATATCTCTGCATGCACTGCAGGGGAATACGGCCTCATCTCGCCTCTAGGGGGAAGTCTCATGGTTTTTCTCGAGTTGCGGTGGGGACCTGGGGTATGTTCTCGAGTTACCGCGGGGATGGCCCTTCAAAACACGTGTTTCTTCAGTGACGTCAGGTCTCCTGTCTAGTAACGAGGGACACCTCAGGAATCTCTTCGAGGCTTGGCAGGGCAAAAGGGACGCTTCTCGAGCTGAGGAAGGGCACCAAAGACCCATTTCAGTAGCCACAGGGATTTTGGGATTTCTATCTGATTCAAGAGGAGTCAGGCATCGTCACCTTTTGAAGCAGTGAACTCCTTGTGCCTCTCGAGGTGTCAACGGGATGTGAGGCATTCCGTCAAAATGAGGCAGGACCTAGGGCTTAGTCTCAGATCTCCACAGGGGATTCAGACCATCCCTTCATGTTGTGAGATGAAAGACGAGCCTATATTCAAGCCACTGCAACGAAATCCGGCCTCCTTTCAAGTTAGGGCTTCTCGCTATATATTCCACTTGAGGCAGCACATTCGGGGTCCCTCCCACAGGTACCTATTGCTGAGAGAAGCCTCCTACTGAGGTGCTTCTGGAAGGGTGGCATACGTCTTGAGCCTAAGCCAGGGAATCAGCTCTCATCTCGAGACGATTTGGGGTACACGGAGCATTCCACCAGTTGCTGTGCTGAAGTTGGTGTTCCTCTAGACTTGCGACAGTTTTCTCGAGGCATCTCTGGAGTTGCCTGAAGGAAGTCAAGCCACTGGTCTTGTTGAATGGGGAACAGGGGATGGCTCTGGTGTCAATGCAGGGGAATCGGGCCTCATCTCGAGTTGATTTGGGGGACACGGCACTGCTTTGCGTTGCTGTGCTGACCTCAGGGTCCCTCTAGACTGGTGACAGTGTTCTTGGGGACTCTCTCGAGATCCATTAAGCAAGTCGAAGCTCCTGACTTGTTTGATGGGGATCACGGAATAGCTCTGCATGCACTGCAGGGGAATGGGGCCTCATCTCGCCTCTAGGGGGAAGTCTCATGGTTTTTCTCGAGTTGCGGCGGGGACCTGGGGTATGTTCTCGACTTACGGCTGGGATAACCCTTCAAATCACGTGTTTATTCAGTGACGTCAGAACTCCTGTCTAGTAACGAGGGACACCTCAGGAATCTCTTCGAGGCTTGACAGGGCAAAAGGGACGCTTATCGAGGTGAGGCAGGGCACCCAAGGACCCTTTCCAGTAGGCACAGTGATTTTGGGATTCCTATCAGTATTCAAGAAGAGTCAGGCATCGTCACCTTTTGAAGCAGGGAACTCCGCGTGCCTCTCGAGTTGTCAACGGGATATGGGGCATTCCGTCAAAATGAGGAAGGAACCTAGGGCTTTCTCTAAGGTCTCCACAGGGGATTCAGATATCCCTTCATGTTGTGAGATGAAAGACGAGCCTGTATTCAAGCCACTGCAAGGAAATCCTGCCTCCTTTCAAGTTAGGGCTTCTCGCTATATATTCCACTTGAGGCAGCACATTCGGGGTCCCTCCCACATACCTATTGCTGAGAGAAGCCTCCTCCTGAGGTGCTTCTGGAAGGGTGGCATACGTCTTGAGACTAAGTCAGGGAATCAGCTCTCATCTACAGACGATTTGGGGTACACGGAGCATTCCTCGAGTTGCTGTGCTGAAGTTGGTGTTCCTCTAGACTTGCGACAGTGTTCTCTTGGCATCTCTGGAGTTGCCTGAAGGAAGTCAAGCCACTGGTCATGTTGAACGGGGAACGGGGGATGGCTCTGGAGTCAATGCAGGGGAATCGGGCCTCATCTCGAGTTGATTTGGCGCACACGGACCTGCTTTGCCTTGCTGGGGTGACCTCAGGGTCCGTCTAGTCTGGTGACAGTGTTCTTGGGGACTGTCTCGAGATCCGTTAAGCAAGTCGAAGCTCCTGACTTGTTTGATGGGGATCACGGAATAGCTCTGCATGCACTGCAGGGGAATGGGGCCTCATCTCGCCTCTAGGGGGAAGTCTCATAGTTTTTCTCGAGTTGCGGTGGGGACCTGGGGTATGTTCTCGAGTTACGGCGGGGATGGCCCTTCAAAACACGTCTTTATTCAGTGACGTCAGGACTCCTGTCTAGTAACGAGGGACACCTCAGGAATCTCTTCGAGGCTTGGCAGGGTAAAAGGGACGCTTCTCGAGCTGAGGCAGGGCACCAAAGACCCATTTCAGTAGCCACAGGGATTTTGGGATTCCTATCAATATTGAAGAGGAGTCAGGCATCGTCACCTTATAAAGCAGTCAACTCCGTGTGCCTCCCGAGGTGTCAACGGGATGTGAGGCATTCCGTCAAAATGAGGCAGGGAACTAGGGCTTTCTCTCAGGTCTCCACAGGGGATTCAGACATCCCTTCATGTTGTGAGATGAAAGACGAGCCTGTATTCAAGCCACTGCAAGGAAATCCGGCCTCCTTTCAAGTTAGGGCTTCTCGCTGTATATTCCACTTGAGGCACCAAACTCGGGGTCCCTCCCACATACCTATTGCTGAGAGAAGCCTCTTCGTGAGGTGCTTTTGGATGGATGCCATACGTCTTGAGCCTCAGCCAGAGAATCAGCTCTCATCTCGAGACGATTTGGGGTACACGGAGCATTCCTCGAGTTGATGTGCTGAAGTGGGTGTTCCTCTAGACTTGGGACAGTGTTCTCGGGGCATCTCTGGAGTTGCCTGAAGGAAGTCAAGCCACTGGTCGTGTTGAATGGATAACGGGGGATGGCTCTGGAGTCAATGCAGGGGAATCGGGCCTCATCTCGAGTTAATTTGGGGCACATGGAGCTGCTTTGCGTTGCTGGCTTGACTTCAGAGAGGGTCTAGACTGGTGACAGTGTTCTTGGGGACTGTCTCGAGATCCGTTAAGCAAGTCGAAGCTCCTGACTTGTTTGATGGGGATCACGGAATAGCTCTGCATGCACTGCAGGGGAATGGGGCCTCATCTCACCTCTTGGGGGAAGTCTCATGGTTTTTCTCGAGTTGCGGCAGGGACCTGGGGTATGTTTTCCAGTTACGGCAGGGATGGCCCTTCAAATCACGTGTTTATTCAGTGACGTCAGAACTCCTGTCTAGTAACGAGGGACACCTCAGGAATCTCTTCGAGGCTTGGCAGGGCAAAAGGGACGCTAATCCAGGTGAGGCAGGGCACCAAGGGACACTTTCCAGTAGCCACAGTGATTTTGGGATTCCTATCAGTATTCAAGAGGAGTCAGGCATCGTCACCTTTTGAAGCAGTGACTCCGCATGCCTCTCGAGGTGTCCACGGGATATGAGGCATTCCGTCAAAATGAGGCAGGGATCTAGGGCTTTCTCTCAGGTCTCCACAGGGGATTCAGATCATCCCTTCATGTCGTGAGATGAAAGACGAGCCTATATTCAAGCCACTGCAAGGAAATCCGGCCTCCTTTCAAGTTAGGGCTTCTCGCTGTATATTCCACTTGAGGCAGCAAACTCGGGGTCCCTCCCACATACCTATTGCTCAGAGAAGCCTCCTCTTGAGGTGCTTCTGGAAGGTTGGCATATGTCTTGAAAATAAGCCAGGGAATCAGCTCTCATCTCGAGATGATTTGGGTACACGGAGCATTCCTCGAGTTGCTGTGCTGAAGTTGGTGTTCCTCTAGACTTGCGACAGTGTTCTCGGGGCATCTCTGGAGTTGCCTGAAGGAAGTCAAGCCACTGGTCTTGTTGAATGGGGAATGGGGGATGGCTCTGGAGACCATGCAGGGGAATCGGGCCTCATCTCTAGTTGATTTGTGGCACACGGCCGTGCTTTGCGTTGCTGTGGTGACGTCAGGGTCCGTCTAGACTGGTGACAGTGGTCTTGGGGACTATCTCGAGATCCATTAAGCAAGTCGAAGCTCCTGACTTGTTTTATGGGGATCACGGAATAGTTCTGCATGCACTGCAGGAGAATGGGGCCTCATCTCGCCTCTAGGGGGAAGTCTCATGGTTTTTCTCCAGTTCGGCGGGGACCTGGGGTATGTTCTCGAGTTACAGCGGGGATGGCCCTTCAAAACACGTGTTTATTCAGTGACGTCAGGACTCCTGTCTAGTAACGAGGGACACCTCAGGAATCTCTTCGATGCTTGGCAGGGCAAAAGGGACGCCTCTCGAGCTGAGGCAGGGCACCAAAGACATATTTCAGTAGCTACAGGGATTTTGGGATTCCTATCCGTATTCAAGAGGAGTCAGGCATCGTCACCTTTTGAAGCAGTGAACTCCGCATGCCTCTCGAGGTGTCAACGGGATGTGACGCATTCCGTCAAAATGAGGCAGGGACCTAGGGCTTTCTCTCAGGTCAACACAGGGGATTCAGACATCCCTTCATGTTGTGAGATGAAAGACGAGCCTGTATTCAAGCCACTGCAAGGAAATCTGGCCTCCTTTCAAGTTAGGGCTTCTCGCTGTATATTCCTCTTGTGGCAGCAAACTCGGGGTCCCTCCCACATACCTACTGCTGAGAGAAGCCTCCTCTGGAAGTGCTTCTGGAAGGGTGGCATACGTCTTGAGCCTAAGCCAGGGAATCAGCTCTCATCTCGAGACGATTTGGGGTACATGGAGCATTCCTCGAGTTGCTGTGCTGAAGCTGGTGTTCCTCTGGACTTGCGACAGTGTTCTCGGGGCATCTCTGGAGTTGCCTGAAGGAAGTCAAGCCACTGGTCGTGTTGCATGGGGAACGGGGGATGGCTCTGGAGTCAATGCAGGGGAATCGGGCCTCATCTTGCGTTGATTTCGGGCACATGGCGCTGCTTTGCGTTGCTGGGGTTACCTGAGGGTCCGTCTAGACTTGTGACAGTGTTCCTGGGGACTCTCTCGAGATCCATTAAGCAAGTCGAAGCTCCTGACTTGTTTGATGGGGATCACGGAATAGCTCTGGATGCACTGCAGGGGAATGGGGCCTCATCTCACCTCTAGGGGGAAGTCTCATGGTTTTTCTCGAGTTGCGGCGGGGACCTGGGGTATGTTCTCAAGTTACGGTGGGGATAGCCCTTCAAAACACGTGTTTATTCAGTGACGTCAGGACTCCTGTCTAGTAACGAGGGACACCTCAGGAATCTCTTCGAGGCTTGGCAGGGCAAAAGGGATGCTTCTCGAGCTGAGGCAGGGCACCAAAGACACATTTCAGTAGCCACAGGGATTTTGGGATTCCTATCAGTATTCAAGAGGAGTCAGGCATCGTCACCTTTTGAAGCAGTGAACTCCGCATGCCTCTCGAGGTGTCAACGGGATGTGAGGCATTCCGTCAAAATGAGGCAGGGACCTAGGGCTTTCTCTCAGGTCAACACAGCGGATTGAGACATCCCTTCATGTTGTGAGATGAAAGACGAGCCTGTATTCAAGCCACTGCAAGGAAATCCGGCCTCCTTTCAAGTTAGGGCTTCTCGCTGTATATTCCACTTGTGGCAGCAAACTCGGGGTCCCTCCCACATACCTATTGCTGAGAGAAGCCTCCTCCTGAGGTGCTTCTGGAAAGTTGGCATACGTCTTGAGCCTGAGCCAGGGAATCAGCTTTCATCTCGATATGATTTGGGTACACGGTGCATTCCTCGAATTGCTGTGCTGAAGTTGGTGTTCCTCTAGACTTGCGACAGTGTTCTCGGGGCATCTCTGGAGTTGCCTGAAGGAAGTCGAGCCACCGGTCGTGTTGAATGGGGAACGGGGAATGGCTCTGGAGTCAATGCAGGGGAATCGGGCCTCATCTCGAGTTGATTTGGGGCACACGGCCCTGCTTTGTGTTGCTGTGGTGACCTCAGTGTCCGTCTAGACTGGTTACAGTGTTCTTGGGGAATGTCTCGAGATCCATTAAGCAAGTCGAAGCTCCTGACTTGTTTGATGGGGATCACGGAATAGCTCTGCATGCACTGCAGGGGAATGGGGCCTCATCTCGCCTCTAGGGGGAAGTCTCATGGTTTTTCTCGAGTTGCGGCGGGGCCTGGGGTATGTTCTCGAGTTACGGCAGGGATGGCCCATCAAATCACGTGTTTATTCAGTGACGTCAAAACCTCTGTCTAGTAAGGAGGGACACCTCAGGAATCTCTTAGAGGCTTGACAGGGCAAAAGGGACGCTTCTCGAGGTGAGGCAGGGCACCAAAGACACATTTCAGTAGCCACAGGGATTTTGGGATTCCTATCCGTATTCAAGAGGAGTCAGGCATCGTCACCTTTTGAAGTAGTGAACTCCGCATGCCTCTCGAGGTGTCAACGGGATGTGAGGCATTCCGTCAAAATGAGGCAGGGACCTAGGGCTTTTTCTCAGGTCAAGACAGGGGATTCAGACATCCCTTCATGTAGTGAGATGGAAGACGAGCCTGTATTCAAGCTACTGCAAGGAAATCCGGCCTCCTTTCAAGTTAGGGCTTCTCGCTGTATATTTCACTTGTGGCAGCAAACTCGGGGTCCCTCCCACATACCTATTGCTGAGAGAAGCCTCCTCTTGAGGTGCTTCTGGAAGGGTGGCATACGTCTTGAGCCTAAGCCAGGGAATCAGCTCTCATCTCGAGACGATTTGGGGTACACGGAGCATTCCTCGAGTTGCTGTGCTGAAGCTGGTGTTCCTCTGGACTTGCGACAGTGTTCTCGGGGCATCTCTGGAGTTGCCTGAAGGAAGTCAAGCCACTGGTCTTGTTGAATGGGGAACAGGGGATGGCTCTGGTGTCAATGCAGGGGAATCGGGCCTCATCTCGAGTTGATTTGGGGGACACGGCACTGCTTTGCGTTGCTGTGCTGACCTCAGGGTCCCTCTAGACTGGTGACAGTGTTCTTGGGGACTCTCTCGAGATCCATTAAGCAAGTCGAAGCTCCTGACTTGTTTGATGGGGATCACGGAATAGCTCTGCATGCACTGCAGGGGAATGGGACCTCATCTCGCCTCTAGGGGGAAGTCTCATGGTTTTTCCTGAGTTGCGGCGGGGACCTGGGGTATGTTCTCGAGTTACGGCTGGGATAACCCTTCAAATCACGTGTTTATTCAGTGACGTCAGAACTCCTGTCTAGTAACGAGGGACACCTCAGGAATCTCTTCGAGGCTTGGCAGGGCAAAAGGGACACTAATCCAGGTGAGGCAGGGCACCAAAGGACACTTTCCAGTAGCCACAGGGATTTTGGGATTCCTATCAGTATTCAAGAGGAGTCAGGCATCGTCACCTTTTCAAGCAGTGAACTCCGCGTGCCTCTCGACTTGTCAACGGGATGTGAGGCATTCCGTCAAAATGAGGCAGCGACCTAGGGCTTTCTCTCAGGTCTCCACAGGGGATTCAGATCATCCCTTCATGTCGTGAGATGAAAGACGAGCCTATATTCAAGCCACTGCAAGGAAATCCGGCCTCCTTTCAAGTTATGGCTTCTCGCTGTATATTCCACTTGAGGCAGCAAACTCGGGGTCCCTCCCACATACCTATTGCTGAGAGAAGCCTCCTCTTGAGGTGCTTCTGGAAGGGTGGCATACGTCTTGAGCCTAATCCAGGGAATCAGCTCTCATCTCGAGACGATTTGGGGTACACGGAGCATTCCTCGAGTTGCTGTGCTGAAGTTGGTGTTCCTCTAGACTTGCGACAGTGTTCTCGGGGCATCTCTGGAGTTGCCTGAAGGAAGTCAAGCCACTGGTCTTGTTGAATGGGGAATGGGGGATGGCTCTGGAGTCCATGCAGGGGAATCGGGCCTCATCTCTAGTTGATTTGTGGCACACGGCGGTGCTTTGCATTGCTGTGGTGACGGCAGGGTCAGTCTAGACTGGTGACAGTGGTCTTGGGGACTGTCTCGAGATCCATTAAGCAAGTCGAAGCTCCTGACTTGTTTGATGGAGATCACGGAATAGTTCTGCATGCACTGCAGGAGAATGGGGCCTCATCTCGCCTCTAGGGGGAAGTCTCATGGTTTTTCTCCAGTTCGGCGGGGACCTGGGGTATGTTCTCGAGTTACGGCGGGGATGGCCCTTCAAAACACGTGTTTATTCAGTGACGTCAGGACTCCTGTCTAGTAACGAGGGACACCTCAGGAATCTCTTCGATGCTTGGCAGGGCAAAAGGGACGCCTCTCGAGCTGAGGCAGGGCACCAAAGACACATTTCAGTAGCTACAGGGATTTTGGGATTCCTATCCGTATTCAAGAGGAGTCAGGCATCGTCACCTTTTGAAGCAGTGAACTCCGCATGCCTCTCGAGGTGTCAACGGGATGTGAGGCATTCCGTCAAAATGAGGCAGGGACCTAGGGCTTTCTCTCAGGTCAACACAGGGGATTCAGACATCCCTTCATGTTGTGAGATGAAAGACGAGCCTGTATTCAAGCCACTGCAAGGAAATCCGGCCTCCTTTCAAGTTAGGGCTTCTCGCTGTATATTCCTCTTGTGGCAGCAAACTCGGGGTCCCTCCCACATACCTACTGCTGAGAGAAGCCTCCTCTGGAGGTGCTTCTGGAAGGGTGGCATACGTCTTGAGCCTAAGCCAGGGAATCAGCTCTCATCTCGAGACGATTTGGGGTACACGGAGCACTCCTCGAGTTGCTGTGCTGAAGCTGGTGTTCCTCTGGACTTGCGACAGTGTTCTCGGGGCATCTCTGGAGTTGCCTGAAGGAAGTCAAGCCACTGGTCGTGTTGCATGGGGAACGGGGGATGTCTCTGGAGTCAATGCAGGGGAATCGGGCCTCATCTTGCGTTGATTTCGGGCACATGGCGCTGCTTTGCGTTGCTGGGGTTACCTGAGGGTCCGTCTAGACTTGTGACAGTGTTCCTGGGGACTCTCTCGAGATCCATTAAGCAAGTCGAAGCTCCTGACTTGTTTGATGGGGATCACGGAATAGCTCTGGATGCACTGCAGGGGAATGGGGCCTCATCTCACCTCTAGGGGGAAGTCTCATGGTTTTTCTCGAGTTGCGGCGGGGACCTGGGGTATGTTCTCAAGTTACGGTGGGGATGGCCCTTCAAAACACGTGTTTATTCAGTGACGTCAGGACTCCTGTCTAGTAACGAGGGACACCTCAGGAATCTCTTCGAGGCTTGGCAGGGCAAAAGGGATGCTTCTCGAGCTGAGGCAGGGCACCAAAGACACATTTCAGTAGCCACAGGGATTTTGGGATTCCTATCAGTATTCAAGAGGAGTCAGGCATCGTCACCTTTTGAAGCAGTGAACTCCGCATGCCTCTCGAGGTGTCAACGGGATGTGAGGCATTCCGTCAAAATGAGGCAGGGACCTAGGGCTTTCTCTCAGGTCAACACAGGGGATTCAGACATCCCTTCATGTTGTGAGATGAAAGACGAGCCTGTATTCAAGCCACTGCAAGGATATCCGGCCTCCTTTCAAGTTAGGGCTTCTCGCTGTATATTCCACTTGTGGCAGCAAACTCGGGGTCCCTCCCACATACCTATTGCTGAGAGAAGCCTCCTCCTGAGGTGCTTCTGGAAAGTTGGCATACGTCTTGAGCCTGAGCCAGGGAATCAGCTTTCATCTCGATATGATTTGGGTACACGGTGCATTCCTCGAGTTGCTGTGCTGAAGTCGGTGTTCCTCTAGACTTGCGACAGTGTTCTCGGGGCATCTATGGGGTTGCCTGAAGGAAGTCAAGCCACTTGTCTTGTTGAATGGGGAATGGGGGATGGCTCTGGAGTCAATGCAGGGGAATCGGGCCTCATCTCGAGTTGATTTGGGGCACACGGCCCTGCTTTGTGTTGCTGTGGTGACCTCAGTGTCCGTCTAGACTGGTTACAGTGTTCTTGGGGAATGTCTCGAGATCCATTAAGCAAGTCGAAGCTCCTGACTTGTTTGATGGGGATCACGGAATAGCTCTGCATGCACTGCAGGGGAATGGTGCCTCATCTCGCCTCTAGGGGGAAGTCTCATGGTTTTTCTCGAGTTGCGGCGGGGCCTGGGGTATGTTCTCGAGTTACGGCAGGGATGGCCCTTCAAATCACGTGTTTATTCAGTGACGTCAAAACCTCTGTCTAGTAAGGAGGGACACCTCAGGAATCTCTTCGAGGCTTGACAGGGCAAAAGGGACGCTTCTCGAGGTGAGGTAGGGCACCCAAGGACACTTTCCAGTAGCCACAGTGATTTTGGGATTCCGATCAGTATTCAAGAGGAGTCAGGCATCGTCACCTTTTGAAGCAGTGAACTCCGCGTGCCTCTCGAGGTGTCAACGGGATGTGAGGCATTCCGTCAAAATGAGGCCGGGACCTAGGGCTTTTGCTAAGGTCTCCACAGGGGATTCAGACATGCCTTCATGTTGTGAGATGAAAGACGAGCCTGTATTCAAGCCACTGCAAGGAAATCCTGCCTCCTTTCAAGTTAGGGCTTCTCGCTATATATTCCACTTGACCAGCACACTCGGGGTCCCTCCCACATACCTATTGCTGAGAGAAGCCTCCTCCTGAGGTGCTTCTGGAAGTTTGGCATATGTCTTGAGCCTAAGTCAGGGAATCAGCTCTCATCTCGAGACGATTTGGGGTACACGGAGCATTCCTCGAGTTGCTGTGCTGAAGTTGGTGTTCCTCTAGACTTGCGACAGTGTTCTCGGGGCATCTCTGGAGTTGCCTGAAGGAAGTCAAGCCACTGGTCATTTTGAATGTGGAACGGGGGATGGCTCTGGAGTCAATGCATTGGAATCGGGCCTCATCTCGAGTTTATTTGGGGCATACGGCCCTGCTTTGCCTTCCTGGGGTGACCTCAGGGTCCATCTAGTCTTGTGACACTGTGTTTGGGGACTGTCTCGAGGTCCATTAAGCAAGTCGAAGCTCCTGACTTGTTTGATGGGGATCACGGAATAGCTCTGGATGCACTGCAGGGGAATGGGGCCTCATATCACCTCTAGGGGGAAGTCTCATGGTTTTTCTCGAGTTGCGGCGGGGACCTGGGGTATGTTCTCAAGTTACGGCAGGGATGGCCCTTCAAAACACGTGTTTATTCAGTGACGTCAGGACTCCTGTCTAGTAACGAGGGACACCTCAGGAACCTCTTCGAGGCTCGGCAGGGCAAAAGGGACGCTTCTCGAGCTGAGCCAGGGCACCAAAGACACATTTCAGTAGCCACAGGGATTTTGGGATTCCTATCCGTATTCAAGAGGAGTCAGGCATCGTCACCTTTTGAAGTAGTGAACTCCGCATGCCTCTCGAGGTGTCAACGGGATGTGAGGCATTCCGTCAAAATGAGGCAGGGACCTAGGGCTTTCTCTCAGGTCAACACAGGGGATTCAGACATCCCTTCATGTAGTGAGATGAAAGACGAGCCTGTATTCAAGCTACTGCAAGGAAATCCGGCCTCCTTTCAAGTTAGAGCTTCTCGCTGTATATTTCACTTGTGGCAACAAACTCGGGGTCCCTCCCACATACCTATTGCTGAAAGAAGCCTCCTCTTGAGGTGCTTCTGGAAGGGTGGCATACGTCTTGAGCCTAATCCAGGGAATCAGCTCTCATCTCGAGACGATTTGGGGTACACGGAGCATTCCTCGAGTTGCTGTGCTGAAGCTGGTGTTCCTCTGGACTTGCGACAGTGTTCTCGGGGCATCTCTGGAGTTGCCTGAATGAAGTCAAGCCACTGGTCGTGTTGAATGGGGAACGGGGGATGGCTCTGGAGTCAATGCAGGGGAATCGGGCTTCATCTCTCGTTGATTTCAGGCACACGGCACTGCTTTGCGTTGCTGGCGTTACCTGAGGGTCCGTCTAGACTTGTGAAAGTGTTCTTGGGGACTGTCTCGAGATCCATTAACCAAGTCGAAGCTCCTGACTTCTTTGATGGGGATTACGGAATAGCTCTGCATGCACTGCAGGGGAATGGGGCCTCATCTCGCATCTAGGGGGAAGTCTCATGGTTTTTCTCGAGTTGCGGTGGGGACCTGGGGTATGTTCTCGAGTTACGGCGGGGATGGCCCTTCAAAACACGTCTTTATTCAGTGACGTCAGGACTCCTGTCTAGTAACGAGGGACACCTCAGGAATCTCTTCGAGGCTTGGCAGGGTAAAAGGGACGCTTCTCGAGCTGAGGCAGGGCACCAAAGACCCATTTCAGTAGCCACAGGGATTTTGGGATTCCTATCAGTATTGAAGAGGAGTCAGGCATCGTCACCTTATAAAGCAGTCAACTCCGTGTGCCTCCCGAGGTGTCAACGGGATGTGAGGCATTCCGTCAAAATGAGGCAGGGAACTAGGGCTTTCTCTCAGGTCTCCACAGGGGATTCAGACATCCCTTCATGTTGTGAGATGAAAGACGAGCCTGTATTCAAGCCACTGCAAGGAAATCCGGCCTCCTTTCAAGTTAGGGCTTCTCGCTGTATATTCCACTTGAGGCACCAAACTCGGGGTCCCTCCCACATACCTATTGCTGAGAGAAGCCTCTTCGTGAGGTGCTTTTGGATGGATGCCATACGTCTTGAGCCTGAGCCAGAGAATCAGCTCTCATCTCGAGACGATTTGGGGTACACGGAGCATTCCTCGAGTTGCTCTGCTGAAGTTGGTGTTCCTCTAGACTTGCGACAGTGTTCTCTTGGCATCTCTGGAGTTGCCTGAAGGAAGTAAAGCCACTGGATGTGTTGAATGGGGAACAGGGGATGGCTCTGGAGTCATTGCAGGGGGATCGGGCCTCATCTCGAGTTGATTTGTGGCACACGGCCCTGCTTTGCGTTGCTGGGGTGACCTCAGGGTCCGTCTAGACTGGTGACAGTGTTCTTGGGGACTGTCTCGAGATCCGTTAAGCAAGTCGAAGCTCCTGACTTGTTTGATGGGGATCACGGAATAGCTCTGCATGCACTGCAGGGGAATGGTGCCTCATCTCGCCTCTAGGGGGAAGTCTCATGGTTTTTCTCGAGTTGCGGTGGGGACCTGGGGTATGTTCTCGAGTTACGGCGGGGATGGCCCTTCAAAACACGTCTTTATTCAGTGACGTCAGGACTCCTGTCTAGTAACGAGGGACACCTCAGGAATCTCTTCGAGGCTTGGCAGGGTAAAAGAGACGCTTCTCGAGCTGAGGCAGGGCACCAAAGACCCATTTCAGTAGCCACAGGGATTTTGGGATTCCTATCAGTATTGAAGAGGAGTCAGGCATCGTCACCTTTTAAAGCAGTGAACTCCGTGTGCATCCCAAGGAGTCAACGGGATGAGGCATTCCGTCAAAATGAGGCAGGGAACTAGGGCTTTCTCTCAGGTCTCGACAGGGGATTCAGACATCACTTCATGTTGTGAGATGAAAGACGAGCCCGTATTCAAGCCACTGCAAGGTAATCCGGCCTCCTTTCAAGTTAGGGCTTCTCGTTGTATATTCCACTTGAGGCAGCAAACTCGGGGTCCCTCCCACATACCTATTGCTGAGAGAAGCCTCTTCGTGAGGTGCTTCAGGAAGGTTGGCATACGTCTTGACCCTAAGCCAGGGAATCAGCTCTCATCTCGAGATAATTTGGGGTACACGGAGCAATCCTCGTGTTGCTGTGCTGAAGTTGGTGTTCCTCTAGACTTGGGACATTGTTCTCGGGGCATCTCTGGAGTTGGCTGAAGGAAGTCAAGCCACTGGTCGTGTGGAATGGATAACGGGGGCTGGCTCTGGAGTCAATGCAGGGGAATCGGGCCTCATCTCGTGTTGAATTGGGGCACATGGAGCTGCTTTGCGTTGCTGGCTTGACCTCAGAGTGGGTCTAGACTGGTGACAGTGTTCTTGGGTTCTGTCTCGAGATCCGTTAAGCAAGTCGAAGCTCCTGACTTGTTTGATGGGGATCACGGAATAGCTCTCCATGCACTGCAGGGGAATGGGGCCTCATCTCGCCTCTAGGGGGAAGTCTCATGGTTTTTCTCGAGTTGCGGCAGGGATCTGGGGTATGTTCTCGAGTTACGGCAGGGATGGCCCTTCAAATCACGTGTTTATTCAGTGACATCAGAACTCCTGTCTAGTAACGAGGGACACCTCAGGAATCTCTTCGAGGCTTGGCAGGGCAAAAGGGACACTAATCCAGGTGAGGCAGGGCACCAAAGGACACTTTCCAGTAGTCACAGGGATTTTGGGATTCCTATCCGTATTCAAGAGGAGTCAGGCATCGTCACCTTTTCAAGCAGTGAACTCCGCGTGCCTCTCGACTTGTCAACGGGATGTGAGGCATTCCGTCAAAATGAGGCAGGGACCTAGGGCTTTCTCTCAGGTCTCCACAGGGGATTCAGATCATCCCTTCATGTCGTGAGATGAAAGACGAGCCTATATTCAAGCCACTGCAAGGAAATCCAGCCTCCTTTCAAGTTAGGGCTTCTCGCTGTATATTCCACTTGAGGCAGCAAACTCGGGGTCCCTCCCACATACCTATTGCTGAGAGAAGCCTCCTCTTGAGGTGCTTCTGGAAGGGTGGCATACGTCTTGAGCCTAAGCCAGGGAATCAGCTCTCATCTTGAGACGATTTGGGGTACACGGAGCATTCCTCGAGGTGCTGTGCTGAAGCTGGTGTTCCTCTGGACTTGCGACAGTGTTCTCGGGGCATCTCTGGAGTTGCCTGAATGAAGTCAAGCCACTGGTCGTGTTGAATGGGGAACGGGGGATGGCTCTGGAGTCAATGCAGGGGAATCGGGCTTCATCTCTCGTTGATTTCAGGCACACGGCACTGCTTTGCGTTGCTGGCGTTACCTGAGGGTCCGTCTAGACTTGTGAAAGTGTTCTTGGGGACTGTCTCGAGATCCATTAACCAAGTCGAAGCTCCTGACTTCTTTGATGGGGATTACGGAATAGCTCTGCATGCACTGCAGGGGAATGGGGCTTCATCTCGCCTCTAGGGGGAAGTCTCATGGTTTTTCTCGAGTTCGGCGGGGACCGGGGGTATGTTCTCGAGTTTCGGCGGGGATGGCCCTTCAAAACACGTGTTTATTCAGTGACGCCAGGACTCCTGTCTAGTAACGAGGGACACCTCAGGAATCTCTTCGAGGCTTGGCAGGGCAAAAGGGAAGCTTCTCGAGCTGAGGCAGGGCACCAAAGACACCTTTCAGTAGCCACAGGGATTTTGGGATTCCTATCAGTATTCAAGAGGAGTCAGGCATCGTCACCTTTTGAAGCAGTGAACTCCGCATGCCTCTCGAGGTGTCAACGGGATGTGAGGCATTCCGTCAAAATGAGGCAGGGACCTAGGGCTTTCTCTCAGTTCAACACAGGGGATTCAGACATCCCTTCATGTTGTGAGATGAAAGACGAGCCTGTATTCAAGCCACTGCAAGGAAATCCGGCCTCCTTTCAAGTTAGGGCTTCTCGCTGTATATTCCACTTGTGGCAGCAAACTCGGGGTCCCTCCCACATACCTATTGCTGAGAGAAGCCTCCTCCTGAGGTGCTTCTGGAAAGTTGGCATAGGTCTTGAGCCTGAGCCAGGGAATCAGCTTTCATCTCGATATAATTTGGGTACACGGTGCATTCCTCGAGTTGCTGTGCTGAAGTTGGTGTTCCTCTAGACTTGCGACAGTGTTCTCGGGGCATCTCTGGAGTTGCCTGAAGGAAGTCAAGCCACTTGTCTTGTTGAATGGGGAATGGGGGATGGCTCTGGAGTCAATGCAGGGGAATCGGGCCTCATCTCGAGTTGATTTGGGGCACACGGCCCTGCTTTGTGTTGCTGTGGTGACCTCAGTGTCCGTCTAGACTGGTTACAGTGTTCTTGCGGAATGTCTCGAGATCCATTAAGCAAGTCGAAGCTCCTGACTTGTTTGATGGGGATCACGGAATAGCTCTGCATGCACTGCAGGGGAATGGTGCCTCATCTCGCCTCTAGGGGGAAGTCTCATGGTTTTTCTCGAGTTGCGGCGGGGCCTGGGGTATGTTCTCGAGTTACGGCAGGGATGGCCCTTCAAATCACGTGTTTATTCAGTGACGTCAAAACCTCTGTCTAGTAAGGAGGGACACCTCAGGAATCTCTTCGAGGCTTGACAGGGCAAAAGGGACGCTTCTCGAAGTGAGGCAGGGCAACCAAGGACTCTTTCCAGTAGCCACAGTGATTTTGGGATTCAGATCAGTATTCAAGAGGAGTCAGGCATCGTCACCTTTTGAAGCAGTGAACTCCGCGTGCCTCTCGAGGTGTCAACGGGATGTGAGGCATTCCGTCAAAATGAGGCAGGGACCTAGGGCTTTCGCTAAGGTCTCCACAGGGGATTCAGACATGCCTTCATGTTGTGAGATGAAAGACGAGCCTGTATTCAAGCCACTGCAAGGAAATCCGGCCTCCTTTCAAGTTAGGGCTTCTCGCTATTTATTCCACTTGAGGAAGCAAATTCGGGGTCCCTCCCACATACCTATTGCTGAGAGAAGTCTCCTCCTGAGGTGCTTCTGGAAGGGTGGCATACGTCTTGAGCCTAAGTCAGGGAATCAGCTCTCATCTCGAGACGATTTGGGGTACACGGAGCATTCCTCGAGTTGCTCTGCTGAAGTTGGTGTTGCTCTAGACTTGCGACAGTGTTCTCTTGGCATCTGTGGAGTTGCCTGAAGGAAGTCAAGCCACTGGATGTGTTGAATGGGGAACAGGGGATGGCTCTGGAGTCATTGCAGGGGGATCGGGCCTCATCTCGAGTTGATTTGGGGCACACGGAGCTGCTTTGCGTTGCTGGGGTGACCTCAGGGTCCGTCTAGACTAGTGACAGGGTTCTTGGGGACTGTCTCGAGATCCGTTAAGCAAGTCGAAGCTCCTGACTTGTTTGATGGGGATCACGGAATAGCTCTGCATGCACTGCAGGGGAATGGTGCCTCATCTCGCCTCTAGGGGGAAGTCTCATGGTTTTTCTCGAGTTGCGGCGGGGCCTGGTGTATGTTCTCGAGTTACGGCAGGGATGGCCCTTCAAATCACGTGTTTATTCAGTGACGTCAAAACCTCTGTCTAGTAAGGAGGGACACCTCAGGAATCTCTTCGAGGCTTGACAGGGCAAAAGGGACGCTTCTCGAGGTGAGGCAGGGCAACCAAGGACTCTTTCCAGTAGCCACAGTGATTTTGGGATTCCGATCAGTATTCAAGAGGAGTCAGGCATCGTCACCTTTTGAAGCAGTGAACTCCGCGTGCCTCTCGAGGTGTCAACGGGATGTGAGGCATTCCGTCAAAATGAGGCAGGGAACTAGGGCTTTCTCTCAGGTCTCGACAGGGGATTCAGACATCCCTTCATGTTGTGAGATGAAAGACGAGCCCGTATTCAAGCCACTGCAAGGTAATCCGGCCTCCTTTCAAGTTAGGGCTTCTCGTTGTATATTCCACTTGAGGCAGCAAACTCGGGGTCCGTCCCACATACCTATTGCTGAGAGAAGCCTCTTCGTGAGGTGCTTCTGGAAGGTTGGCATACGTCTTGAGCCTAAGCCAGGGAATCAGCTTTCATCTCGAGATAATTTGGGGTACACGGAGCAATCCTCGTGTTGCTGTGCTGAATTTGGTGTTCCTCTAGACTTGGGACATTGTTCTCGGGGCATCTCTGGAGTTGGCTGAAGGAAGTCAAGCCACTGGTCGTGTGGAATGGATAACGGGGGCTGGCTCTGGAGTCAATGCAGGGGAATCGGGCCTCATCTCGAGTTGAATTGGGGCACATGGAGCTGCTTTGCGTTGCTGGCTTGACCTCAGAGTGGGTCTAGACTGGTGACAGTGTTCTTGGGTTCTGTCTCGAGATCCATTAAGCAAGTCGAAGCTCCTGACTTGTTTGATGGGGATCACGGAATAGCTCTCCATGCACTGCAGGGGAATGGGGCCTCATCTCGCCTCTAGGGGGAAGTCTCATGGTTTTTCTCGAGTTGCGGCAGGGATCTGGGGTATGTTCTCGAGTTACGGCAGGGATGGCCCTTCAAATCACGTGTTTATTCAGTGACGTCAGAACTCCTGTCTAGTAACGAGGGACACCTCAGGAATCTCTTCGAGGCTTGGCAGGGCAAAAGGGACACTAATCCAGGTGAGGCAGGGCACCAAAGGACACTTTCCAGTAGCCACAGGGATTTTGGGATTCCTATCCGTATTCAAGAGGAGTCAGGCATCGTCACCTTTTCAAGCAGTGAACTCCGCGTGCCTCTCGACTTGTCAACGGGATGTGAGGCATTCCGTCAAAATGAGGCAGGGACATAGGGCTTTCTCTCAGGTCTCCACAGGGGATTCAGATCATCCCTTCGTGTCGTGAGATGAAAGACGAGCCTATATTCAAGCCACTGCAAGGAAATCCGGCCTCCTTTCAAGTTAGGGCTTCTCGCTGTATATTCCACTTGAGGCAGCAAACTCGGGGTCCCTCCCACATACCTATTGCTGAGAGAAGCCTCCTCTTGAGGTGCTTCTGGAAGGGTGGCATACGTCTTGAGCCTAATCCAGGGAATCAGCTCTCATCTCGAGACGATTTGGGGTACACGGAGCATTCCTCGAGTTGCTGTGCTGAAGCTGGTGTTCCTCTGGACTTGCGACAGTGTTCTCGGGGCATCTCTGGAGTTGCCTGAATGAAGTCAAGCCACTGGTCGTGTTGAATGGGGAACGGGGGATGGCTCTGGAGTCAATGCAGGGGAATCGGGCTTCATCTCTCGTTGATTTCAGGCACACGGCACTGCTTTGCGTTGCTGGCGTTACCTGAGGGTCCGTCTAGACTTGTGAAAGTGTTCTTGGGGACTGTCTCGAGATCCATTAACCAAGTCGAAGCTCCTGACTTCTTTGATGGGGATTACGGAATAGCTCTGCATGCACTGCAGGGGAATGGGGCTTCATCTCGCCTCTAGGGGGAAGTCTCATGGTTTTTCTGGAGTTCGGCGGGGACCGGGGGTATGTTCTCGAGTTTCGGCGGGGATGGCCCTTCAAAACACGTGTTTATTCAGTGACGCCAGGACTCCTGTCTAGTAACGAGGGACAGCTCAGGAATCTCTTCGAGGCTTAGCAGGGCAAAAGGGATGCTTCTCGAGCTGAGGCAGGGCACCAAAGACACATTTCAGTAGCCACAGGGATTTTGGGATTCCTATCAGTATTCAAGAGGAGTCAGGCATCGTCACCTTTTGAAGCAGTGAACTCCGCATGCCTCTCGAGGTGTCAACGGGATGTGAGGCATTCCGTCAAAATGAGGCAGGGACCTAGGGCTTTCTCTCAGGTCAACACAGGGGATTCAGACATCCCTTCATGTTGTGAGATGAAAGACGAGCCTGTATTCAAGCCACTGCAAGGAAATCCGGCCTCCTTTCAAGTTAGGGCTTCTCGCTGTATATTCCACTTGTGGCAGCAAACTCGGGGTCCCTCCCACATACCTATTGCTGAGAGAAGCCTCCTCCTGAGGTGCTTCTGGAAAGTTGGCATAGGTCTTGAGCCTGAGCCAGGGAATCAGCTTTCATCTCGATATAATTTGGGTACACGGTGCATTCCTCGAGTTGCTGTGCTGAAGTTGGTGTTCCTCTAGACTTGCGACAGTGTTCTCGGGGCATCTCTGGAGTTGCCTGAAGTAAGTCAAGCCACTTGTCTTGTTGAATGGGGAATGGGGGATGGCTCTGGAGTCAATGCAGGGGAATCGGGCCTCATCTCGAGTTGATTTGGGGCACACGGCCCTGTTTGTGTTGCTGTGGTGACCTCAGTGTCCGTCTAGACTGGTTACAGTGTTCTTGCGGAATGTCTCGAGATCCATTAAGCAAGTCGAAGCTCCTGACTTGTTTGATGGGGATCACGGAATACCTCTGCATGCACTGCAGGGGAATGGTGCCTCATCTCGCCTCTAGGGGGAAGTCTCATGGTTTTTCTCGAGTTGCGGCGGGGCCTGGGGTATGTTCTCGAGTTACGGCAGGGATGGCCCTTCAAATCACGTGTTTATTCAGTGACGTCAAAACCTCTGTCTAGTAAGGAGGGACACCTCAGGAATCTCTTCGAGGCTTGACAGGGCAAAAGGGACGCTTCTCGAAGTGAGGCAGGGCAACCAAGGACTCTTTCCAGTAGCCACAGTGATTTTGGGATTCCGATCAGTATTCAAGAGGAGTCAGGCATCGTCACCTTTTGAAGCAGTGAACTCCGCGTGCCTCTCGATGTGTCAACGGGATGTGAGGCATTCCGTCAAAATGAGGCAGGGACGTAGGGCTTTTGCTAAGGTCTCCACAGGGGATTCAGACATGCCTTCATGTTGTGAGATGAAAGACGAGCCTGTATTCAAGCCACTGCAAGGAAATCCGGCCTCCTTTCAAGTTAGGGCTTCTCGCTATTTATTCCACTTGAGGAAGCAAATTCGGGGTCCCTCCCACATACCTATTGCTGAGAGAAGTCTCCTCCTGAGGTGCTTCTGGAAGGGTGGCATACGTCTTGAGCCTAAGTCAGGGAATCAGCTCTCATCTCGAGACGATTTGGGGTACACGGAGCATTCCTCGAGTTGCTCTGCTGAAGTTGGTGTTCCTCTAGACTTGCGACAGTGTTCTCTTGGCATCTCTGGAGTTGCCTGAAGGAAGTCAAGCCACTGGATGTGTTGAATGGGGAACAGGGGATGGCTCTGGAGTCATTGCAGGGGGATCGGGCCTCATCTCGAGTTGATTTGTGGCACACGGAGCTGCTTTGCGTTGCTGGGGTGACCTCAGGGTCCGTCTAGACTGGTGACAGGGTTCTTGGGGACTGTCTCGAGATCCGTTAAGCAAGTCGAAGCTCCTGACTTGTTTGATGGGGATCACGGAATAGCTCTGCATGCACTGCAGGGGAATGGTGCCTCATCTCGCCTCTAGGGGGAAGTCTCATGGTTTTTCTCGAGTTGCGGTGGGGACCTGGGGTATGTTCTCGAGTTACGGCGGGGATGGCCCTTCAAAACACGTCTTTATTCAGTGACGTCAGGACTCCTGTCTAGTAACGAGGGACACCTCAGGAATCTCTTCGAGGCTTGGCAGGGTAAAAGAGACGCTTCTCGAGCTGAGGCAGGGCACCAAAGACCCATTTCAGTAGCCACAGGGATTTTGGGATTCCTATCAGTATTGAAGAGGAGTCAGGCATCGTCACCTTTTAAAGCAGTGAACTCCGTGTGCATCCCAAGGAGTCAACGGGATGAGGCATTCCGTCAAAATGAGGCAGGGAACTAGGGCTTTCTCTCAGGTCTCGACAGGGGATTCAGACATCCCTTCATGTTGTGAGATGAAAGACGAGCCCGTATTCAAGCCACTGCAAGGTAATCCGGCCTCCTTTCAAGTTAGGGCTTCTCGTTGTATATTCCACTTGAGGCAGCAAACTCGGGGTCCCTCCCACATACCTATTGCTGAGAGAAGCCTCTTCGTGAGGTGCTTCTGGAAGGTTGGCATACGTCTTGAGCCTAAGCCAGGGAATCAGCTCTCATCTCGAGATAATTTGGGGTACACGGAGCAATCCTCGTGTTGCTGTGCTGAAGTTGGTGTTCCTCTAGACTTGGGACATTGTTCTCGGGGCATCTCTGGAGTTGGCTGAAGGAAGTCAAGCCACTGGTCATGTGGAATGGATAACGGGGGCTGGCTCTGGAGTCAATGCAGGGGAATCGGGCCTCATCTCGAGTTGAATTGGGGCACATGGAGCTGCTTTGCGTTGCTGGCTTGACCTCAGAGTGGGTCTAGACTGGTGACAGTGTTCTTGGGTTCTGTCTCGAGATCCGTTAAGCAAGTCGAAGCTCCTGACTTGTTTGATGGGGATCACGGAATAGCTCTCCATGCACTGCAGGGGAATGGGGCCTCATCTCGCCTCTAGGGGGAAGTCTCATGGTTTTTCTCGAGTTGCGGCAGGGATCTGGGGTATGTTCTCGAGTTACGGCAGGGATGGCCCTTCAAATCACGTGTTTATTCAGTGACGTCAGAACTCCTGTCTAGTAACGAGGGACACCTCAGGAATCTCTTCGAGGCTTGGCAGGGCAAAAGGGACACTAATCCAGGTGAGGCAGGGCACCAAAGGACACTTTCCAGTAGCCACAGGGATTTTGGGATTCCTATCCGTATTCAAGAGGAGTCAGGCATCGTCACCTTTTCAAGCAGTGAACTCCGCGTGCCTCTCGACTTGTCAACGGGATGTGAGGCATTCCGTCAAAATGAGGCAGGGACCTAGGGCTTTCTCTCAGGTCTCCACAGGGGATTCAGATCATCCCTTCATGTCGTGAGATGAAAGACGAGCCTATATTCAAGCCACTGCAAGGAAATCCGGCCTCCTTTCAAGTTAGGGCTTCTCGCTGTATATTCCACTTGAGGCAGCAAACTCGGGGTCCCTCCCACATACCTATTGCTGAGAGAAGCCTCCTCTTGAGGTGCTTCTGGAAGGGTGGCATACGTCTTGAGCCTAAGCCAGGGAATCAGCTCTCATCTCGAGACGATTTGGGGTACACGGAGCATTCCTCGAGTTGCTGTGCTGAAGTTGGTGTTCCTCTAGACTTGGGACAGTGTTCTCGGGGCATCTCTGGAGTTGCCTGAATGAAGTCAAGCCACTGGTCGTGTTGAATGGGGAACGGGGGATGGCTCTGGAGTCAATGCAGGGGAATCGGGCTTCATCTCTCGTTGATTTCAGGCACACGGCACTGCTTTGCGTTGCTGGCGTTACCTGAGGGTCCGTCTAGACTTGTGAAAGTGTTCTTGGGGACTGTCTCGAGATCCATTAACCAAGTCGAAGCTCCTGACTTCTTTGATGGGGATTACGGAATAGCTCTGCATGCACTGCAGGGGAATGGGGCTTCATCTCGCCTCTAGGGGGAAGTCTCATGGTTTTTCTCAAGTTCGGCGGGGACCGGGGGTATGTTCTCGAGTTTCGGCGGGGATGGCCCTTCAAAACACGTGTTTATTCAGTGACGCCAGGACTCCTGTCTAGTAACGAGGGACACCTCAGGAATCTCTTCGAGGCTTGGCAGGGCAAAAGGGATGCTTCTCGAGCTGAGGCAGGGCACCAAAGACACATTTCAGTAGCCACAGGGATTTTGGGATTCCTATCAGTATTCAAGAGGAGTCAGGCATCGTCACCTTTTGAAGCAGTGAACTCCGCATGCCTCTCGAGGTGTCAACGGGATGTGAGGCATTCCGTCAAAATGAGGCAGGGACCTAGGGCTTTCTCTCAGGTCAACACAGGGGATTCAGACATCCCTTCATGTTGTGAGATGAAAGACGAGCCTGTATTCAAGCCACTGCAAGGAAATCCGGCCTCCTTTCAAGTTAGGGCTTCTCGCTGTATATTCCACTTGTGGCAGCAAACTCGGGGTCCCTCCCACATACCTATTGCTGAGAGAAGCCTCCTCCTGAGGTGCTTCTGGAAAGTTGGCATAGGTCTTGAGCCTGAGCCAGGGAATCAGCTTTCATCTCGATATAATTTGGGTACACGGTGCATTCCTCGAGTTGCTGTGCTGAAGTTGGTGTTCCTCTAGACTTGCGACAGTGTTCTCGGGGCATCTCTGGAGTTGCCTGAAGGAAGTCAAGCCACTTGTCTTGTTGAATGGGGAATGGGGGATGGCTCTGGAGTCAATGCAGGGGAATCGGGCCTCATCTCGAGTTGATTTGGGGCACACGGCCCTGCTTTGTGTTGCTGTGGTGACCTCAGTGTCCGTCTAGACTGGTTACAGTGTTCTTGGGGAATGTCTCGAGATCCATTAAGCAAGTCGAAGCTCCTGACTTGTTTGATGGGGATCACGGAATAGCTCTGCATGCACTGCAGGGGAATGGTGCCTCATCTCGCCTCTAGGGGGAAGTCTCATGGTTTTTCTCGAGTTGCGGCGGGGCCTGGGGTATGTTCTCGAGTTACGGCAGGGATGGCCCTTCAAATCACGTGTTTATTCAGTGACGTCAAAACCTCTGTCTAGTAAGGAGGGACACCTCAGGAATCTCTTCGAGGCTTGACAGGGCAAAAGGGACGCTTCTCGAGGTGAGGCAGGGCACCCAAGGACTCTTTCCAGTAGCCACAGTGATTTTGGGATTCCGATCAGTATTCAAGAGGAGTCAGGCATCGTCACCTTTTGAAGCAGTGAACTCCGCGTGCCTCTCGAGGTGTCAACGGGATGTGAGGCATTCCGTCAAAATGAGGCAGGGACCTAGGGCTTTCGCTAAGGTCTCCACAGGGGATTCAGACATGCCTTCATGTTGTGAGATGAAAGACGAGCCTGTATTCAAGCCACTGCAAGGAAATCCGGCCTCCTTTCAAGTTAGGGCTTCTCGCAATTTATTCCACTTGAGGAAGCAAACTCGGGGTCCCTCCCACATACCTATTGCTGAGAGAAGTCTCCTCCTGAGGTGCTTCTGGAAGGGTGGCATACGTCTTGAGCCTAAGTCAGGGAATCAGCTCTCATCTCGAGACGATTTGGGGTACACGGAGCATTCCTCGAGTTGCTCTGCTGAAGTTGGTGTTCCTCTAGACTTGCGACAGTGTTCTCTTGGCATCTCTGGAGTTGCCTGAAGGAAGTCAAGCCACTGGATGTGTTGAATGGGGAACAGGGGATGGCTCTGGAGTCATTGCAGGGGGATCGGGCCTCATCTCGAGTTGATTTGTGGCACACGGAGCTGCTTTGCGTTGCTGGGGTGACCTCAGGGTCCGTCTAGACTGGTGACAGTGTTCTTGGGGACTGTCTCGAGATCCGTTAAGCAAGTCGAAGCTCCTGACTTGTTTGATGGGGATCACGGAATAGCTCTGCATGCACTGCAGGGGAATGGTGCCTCATCTCGCCTCTAGGGGGAAGTCTCATGGTTTTTCTCGAGTTGCGGTGGGGACCTGGGGTATGTTCTCGAGTTACGGCGGGGATGGCCCTTCAAAACACGTCTTTATTCAGTGACGTCAGGACTCCTGTCTAGTAACGAGGGACACCTCAGGAATCTCTTCGAGGCTTGGCAGGGTAAAAGAGACGCTTCTCGAGCTGAGGCAGGGCACCAAAGACCCATTTCAGTAGCCACAGGGATTTTGGGATTCCTATCAGTATTGAAGAGGAGTCAGGCATCGTCACCTTTTAAAGCAGTGAACTCCGTGTGCATCCCAAGGAGTCAACGGGATGAGGCATTCCGTCAAAATGAGGCAGGGAACTAGGGCTTTCTCTCAGGTCTCGACAGGGGATTCAGACATCCCTTCATGTTGTGAGATGAAAGACGAGCCCGTATTCAAGCCACTGCAAGGTAATCCGGCCTCCTTTCAAGTTAGGGCTTCTCGTTGTATATTCCACTTGAGGCAGCAAACTCGGGGTCCCTCCCACATACCTATTGCTGAGAGAAGCCTCTTCGTGAGGTGCTTCTGGAAGGTTGGCATACGTCTTGAGCCTAAGCCAGGGAATCAGCTCTCATCTCGAGATAATTTGGGGTACACGGAGCAATCCTCGTGTTGCTGTGCTGAAGTAGGTGTTCCTCTAGACTTGGGACATTGTTCTCGGGGCATCTCTGGAGTTGGCTGAAGGAAGTCAAGCCACTGGTCATGTGGAATGGATAACGGGGGCTGGCTCTGGAGTCAATGCAGGGGAATCGGGCCTCATCTCGAGTTGAATTGGGGCACATGGAGCTGCTTTGCGTTGCTGGCTTGACCTCAGAGTGGGTCTAGACTGGTGACAGTGTTCTTGGGTTCTGTCTCGAGATCCGTTAAGCAAGTCGAAGCTCCTGACTTGTTTGATGGGTATCACGGAATAGCTCTCCATGCACTGCAGGGGAATGGGGCCTCATCTCGCCTCTAGGGGGAAGTCTCATGGTTTTTCTCGAGTTGCGGCAGGGATCTGGGGTATTTTCTCGAGTTACGGCAGGGATGGCCCTTCAAATCACGTGTTTATTCAGTGACGTCAGAACTCCTGTCTAGTAACGAGGGACACCTCAGGAATCTCTTCGAGGCTTGGCAGGGCAAAAGGGACACTAATCCAGGTGAGGCAGGGCACCAAAGGACACTTTCCAGTAGCCACAGGGATTTTGGGATTCCTATCCGTATTCAAGAGGAGTCAGGCATCGTCACCTTTTCAAGCAGTGAACTCCGCGTGCCTCTCGACTTGTCAACGGGATGTGAGGCATTCCGTCAAAATGAGGCAGGGACCTAGGGCTTTCTCTCAGGTCTCCACAGGGGATTCAGATCATCCCTTCATGTCGTGAGATGAAAGACGAGCCTATATTTAAGCCACTGCAAGGAAATCCGGCCTCCTTTCAAGTTAGGGCTTCTCGCTGTATATTCCACTTGAGGCAGCAAACTCGGGGTCCCTCCCACATACCTATTGCTGAGAGAAGCCTCCTCTTGAGGTGCTTCTGGAAGGGTGGCATACGTCTTGAGCCTAAGCCAGGGAATCAGCTCTCATCTCGAGACGATTTGGGGTACACGGAGCATTCCTCGAGTTGCTGTGCTGAAGTTGGTGTTCCTCTAGACTTGGGACAGTGTTCTCGGGGCATCTCTGGAGTTGCCTGAATGAAGTCAAGCCACTGGTCGTGTTGAATGGGGAACGGGGGATGGCTCTGGAGTCAATGCAGGGGAATCGGGCTTCATCTCTCGTTGATTTCAGGCACACGGCACTGCTTTGCGTTGCTGGCGTTACCTGAGGGTCCGTCTAGACTTGTGAAAGTGTTCTTGGGGACTGTCTCGAGATCCATTAACCAAGTCGAAGCTCCTGACTTCTTTGATGGGGATTACGGAATAGCTCTGCATGCACTGCAGGGGAATGGGGCTTCATCTCGCCTCTAGGGGGAAGTCTCATGGTTTTTCTCAAGTTCGGCGGGGACCGGGGGTATGTTCTCGAGTTTCGGCGGGGATGGCCCTTCAAAACACGTGTTTATTCAGTGACGCCAGGACTCCTGTCTAGTAACGAGGGACACCTCAGGAATCTCTTCGAGGCTTGGCAGGGCAAAAGGGATGCTTCTCGAGCTGAGGCAGGGCACCAAAGACACATTTCAGTAGCCACAGGGATTTTGGGATTCCTATCAGTATTCAAGAGGAGTCAGGCATCGTCACCTTTTGAAGCAGTGAACTCCGCATGCCTCTCGAGGTGTCAACGGGATGTGAGGCATTCCGTCAAAATGAGGCAGGGACCTAGGGCTTTCTCTCAGGTCAACACAGGGGATTCAGACATCCCTTCATGTTGTGAGATGAAAGACGAGCCTGTATTCAAGCCACTGCAAGGAAATCCGGCCTCCTTTCAAGTTAGGGCTTCTCGCTGTATATTCCACTTGTGGCAGCAAACTCGGGGTCCCTCCCACATACCTATTGCTGAGAGAAGCCTCCTCCTGAGGTGCTTCTGGAAAGTTGGCATAGGTCTTGAGCCTGAGCCAGGGAATCAGCTTTCATCTCGATATAATTTGGGTACACGGTGCATTCCTCGAGTTGCTGTGCTGAAGTTGGTGTTCCTCTAGACTTGCGACAGTGTTCTCGGGGCATCTCTGGAGTTGCCTGAAGGAAGTCAAGCCACTTGTCTTGTTGAATGGGGAATGGGGGATGGCTCTGGAGTCAATGCAGGGGAATCGGGCCTCATCTCGAGTTGATTTGGGGCACACGGCCCTGCTTTGTGTTGCTGTAGTGACCTCAGTGTCCGTCTAGACTGGTTACAGTGTTCTTGGGGAATGTCTCGAGATCCATTAAGCAAGTCGAAGCTCCTGACTTGTTTGATGGGGATCACGGAATAGCTCTGCATGCACTGCAGGGGAATGGTGCCTCATCTCGCCTCTAGGGGGAAGTCTCATGGTTTTTCTCGAGTTGCGGCGGGGCCTGGGGTATGTTCTCGAGTTACGGCAGGGATGGCCCTTCAAATCACGTGTTTATTCAGTGACGTCAAAACCTCTGTCTAGTAAGGAGGGACACCTCAGGAATCTCTTCGAGGCTTGACAGGGCAAAAGGGACGCTTCTCGAGGTGAGGCAGGGCACCCAAGGACTCTTTCCAGTAGCCACAGTGATTTTGGGATTCCGATCAGTATTCAAGAGGAGTCAGGCATCGTCACCTTTTGAAGCAGTGAACTCCGCGTGCCTCTCGAGGTGTCAACGGGATGTGAGGCATTCCGTCAAAATGAGGCAGGGACCTAGGGCTTTCGCTAAGGTCTCCACAGGGGATTCAGACATGCCTTCATGTTGTGAGATGAAAGACGAGCCTGTATTCAAGCCACTGCAAGGAAATCCGGCCTCCTTTCAAGTTAGGGCTTCTCGCTATTTATTCCACTTGAGGAAGCAAACTCGGGGTCCCTCCCACATACCTATTGCTGAGAGAAGTCTCCTCCTGAGGTGCTTCTGGAAGGGTGGCATACGTCTTGAGCCTAAGTCAGGGAATCAGCTCTCATCTCGAGACGATTTGGGGTACACGGAGCATTCCTCGAGTTGCTCTGCTGAAGTTGGTGTTCCTCTAGACTTGCGACAGTGTTCTCTTGGCATCTCTGGAGTTGCCTGAAGGAAGTCAAGCCACTGGATGTGTTGAATGGGGAACAGGGGATGGCTCTGGAGTCATTGCAGGGGGATCGGGCCTCATCTCGAGTTGATTTGGGGCACACGGAGCTGCTTTGCGTTGCTGGGGTGACTTCAGGGTCCGTCTAGACTGGTGACAGGGTTCTTGGGGACTGTCTCGAGATCCGTTAAGCAAGTCGAAGTCCTGACTTGTTTGATGGGGATTCACGGAATAGCTCTGCATGCACTGCAGGGGAATGGTGCCTCATCTCGCCTCTAGGGGGAAGTCTCATGGTTTTTCTCGAGTTGCGGTGGGGACCTGGGGTATGTTCTCGAGTTACGGCGGGGATGGCCCTTCAAAACACGTCTTTATTCAGTGACGTCAGGACTCCTGTCTAGTAACGAGGGACACCTCAGGAATCTCTTCGAGGCTTGGCAGGGTAAAAGAGACGCTTCTCGAGCTGAGGCAGGGCACCAAAGACCCATTTCAGTAGCCACAGGGATTTTGGGATTCCTATCAGTATTCAAGAGGAGTCAGGCATCGTCACCTTTTAAAGCAGTGAACTCCGTGTGCATCCCAAGGAGTCAACGGGATGAGGCATTCCGTCAAAATGAGACAGGGAACTAGGGCTTTCTCTCAGGTCTCGACAGGGGATTCAGACATCCCTTCATGTTGTGAGATGAAAGACGAGCCCGTATTCAAGCCACTGCAAGGTAATCCGGCCTCCTTTCAAGTTAGGGCTTCTCGTTGTATATTCCACTTGAGGCAGCAAACTCGGGGTCCCTCCCACATACCTATTGCTGAGAGAAGCCTCTTCGTGAGGTGCTTCTGGAAGGTTGGAATACGTCTTGAGCCTAAGCCAGGGAATCAGCTCTCATCTCGAGATAATTTGGGGTACACGGAGCAATCCTCGTGTTGCTGTGCTGAAGTTGGTGTTCCTCTAGACTTGGGACATTGTTCTCGGGGCATCTCTGGAGTTGGCTGAAGGAAGTCAAGCCACTGGTCGTGTGGAATGGATAACGGGGGCTGGCTCTGGAGTCAATGCAGGGGAATTGGGCCTCATCTCGAGTTGAATTGGGGCACATGGAGCTGCTTTGCGTTGCTGGCTTGACCTCAGAGTGGGTCTAGACTGGTGACAGTGTTCTTGGGTTCTGTCTCGAGATCCGTTAAGCAAGTCGAAGCTCCTGACTTGTTTGATGGGTATCACGGAATAGCTCTCCATGCACTGCAGGGGAATGGGGCCTCATCTCGCCTCTAGGGGGAAGTCTCATGGTTTTTCTCGAGTTGCGGCAGGGATCTGGGGTATGTTCTCGAGTTACGGCAGGGATGGCCCTTCAAATCACGTGTTTATTCAGTGACGTCAGAACTCCTGTCTAGTAACGAGGGACACCTCAGGAATCTCTTCGAGGCTTGGCAGGGCAAAAGGGATGCTTCTCGAGCTGAGGCAGGGCACCAAAGACACATTTCAGTAGCCACAGGGATTTTGGGATTCCTATCAGTATTCAAGAGGAGTCAGGCATCGTCACCTTTTGAAGCAGTGAACTCCGCATGCCTCTCGAGGTGTCAACGGGATGTGAGGCATTCCGTCAAAATGAGGCAGGGACCTAGGGCTTTCTCTCAGGTCAACACAGGGGATTCAGACATCCCTTCATGTTGTGAGATGAAAGACGAGCCTGTATTCAAGCCACTGCAAGGAAATCCGGCCTCCTTTCAAGTTAGGGCTTCTCGCTGTATATTCTACTTGTGGCAGCAAACTCGGGGTCCCTCCCACATACCTATTGCTGAGAGAAGCCTCCTCCTGAGGTGCTTCTGGAAAGTTGGCATACGTCTTGAGCCTTAGCCAGGGAATCAGCTTTCATCTCGATATAATTTGGGTACAAGGTGCATTCCTCGAGTTGCTGTGCTGAAGTTGGTGTTCCTCTAGACTTGCGACAGTGTTCTCGGGGCATCTCTGGAGTTGCCTGAAGGAAGTCAAGCCACTGGATGTGTTGAATGGGGAATGGGGGATGGCTCTGGAGTCAATGCAGGGGAATCGGGCCTCATCTCGAGTTGATTTGGGGCACACGGCCCTGCTTTGTGTTGCTGTGGTGACCTCAGGGTCCGTCTAGACTGGTTACAGTGTTCTTGGGGAATGTCTCGAGATCCATTAAGCAAGTCGAAGCTCCTGACTTGTTTGATGGGGATCACGGAATAGCTCTGCATGCACTGCAGGGGAATGGTGCCTCATCTCGCCTCTAGGGGGAAGTCTCATGGTTTTTCTCGAGTTGCGGTGGGGACCTGGGGTATGTTCTCGAGTTACGGCGGGGATGGCCCTTCAAAACACGTCTTTATTCAGTGACGTCAGGACTCCTGTCTAGTAACGAGGGACACCTCAGGAATCTCTTCGAGGCTTGGCAGGGTAAAAGAGACGCTTCTCGAGCTGAGGCAGGGCACCAAAGACCCATTTCAGTAGCCACAGGGATTTTGGGATTCCTATCAGTATTGAAGAGGAGTCAGGCATCGTCACCTTTTAAGCAGTGAACTCCGTGTGCATCCCAAGGAGTCAACGGGATGAGGCATTCCGTCAAAATGAGGCAGGGAACTAGGGCTTTCTCTCAGGTCTCGACAGGGGATTCAGAAATCCCTTCATGTTGTGAGATGAAAGACGAGCCCGTATTCAAGCCACTGCAAGGTAATCCGGCCTCCTTTCAAGTTAGGGCTTCTCGTTGTATATTCCACTTGAGGCAGCAAACTCGGGGTCCCTCCCACATACCTATTGCTGAGAGAAGCCTCTTCGTGAGGTGCTTCTGGAAGGTTGGCATACGTCTTGAGCCTAAGCCAGGGAATCAGCTCTCATCTCGAGATAATTTGGGGTACACGGAGCAATCCTCGTGTTGCTGTGCTGAAGTTGGTGTTCCTCTAGACTTGGGACATTGTTCTCGGGGCATCTCTGGAGTTGGCTGAAGGAAGTCAAGCCACTGGTCGTGTGGAATGGATAACGGGGGCTGGCTCTGGAGTCAATGCAGGGGAATCGGGCCTCATCTCGAGTTGAATTGGGGCACATGGAGCAGCTTTGCGTTGCTGGCTTGACCTCAGAGTGGGTCTAGACTGGTGACAGTGTTCTTGGGTTCTGTCTCGAGATCCGTTAAGCAAGTCGAAGCTCCTGACTTGTTTGATGGGGATCACGGAATAGCTCTCCATGCACTGCAGGGGAATGGGGCCTCATCTCGCCTCTAGGGGGAAGTCTCATGGTTTTTCTCGAGTTGCGGCAGGGATCTGGGGTATGTTCTCGAGTTACGGCAGGGATGGCCCTTCAAATCACGTGTTTATTCAGTGACGTCAGAACTCCTGTCTAGTAACGAGGGACACCTCAGGAATCTCTTCGAGGCTTGGCAGGGCAAAAGGGACACTAATCCAGGTGAGGCAGGGCACCAAAGGACACTTTCCAGTAGCCACAGGGATTTTGGGATTCCTATCCGTATTCAAGAGGAGTCAGGCATCGTCACCTTTTCAAGCAGTGAACTCCGCGTGCCTCTCGACTTGTCAACGGGATGTGAGGCATTCCGTCAAAATGAGGCAGGGACCTAGGGCTTTCTCTCAGGTCTCCACAGGGGATTCAGATCATCCCTTCATGTCGTGAGATGAAAGACGAGCCTATATTCAAGCCACTGCAAGGAAATCCAGCCTCCTTTCAAGTTAGGGCTTCTCGCTGTATATTCCACTTGAGGCAGCAAACTCGGGGTCCCTCCCACATACCTATTGCTGAGAGAAGCCTCCTCTTGAGGTGCTTCTGGAAGGGTGGCATACGTCTTGAGCCTAATCCAGGGAATCAGCTCTCATCTCGAGACGATTTGGGGTACACGGAGCATTCCTCGAGTTGCTGTGCTGAAGCTGGTGTTCCTCTGGACTTGCGACAGTGTTCTCGGGGCATCTCTGGAGTTGCCTGAATGAAGTCAAGCCACTGGTCGTGTTGAATGGGGAACGGGGGATGGCTCTGGAGTCAATGCAGGGGAATCGGGCTTCATCTCTCGTTGATTTCAGGCACACGGCACTGCTTTGCGTTGCTGGCGTTACCTGAGGGTCCGTCTAGACTTGTGAAAGTGTTCTTGGGGACTGTCTCGAGATCCATTAACCAAGTCGAAGCTCCTGACTTCTTTGATGGGGATTACGGAATAGCTCTGCATGCACTGCAGGGGAATGGGGCTTCATCTCGCCTCTAGGGGGAAGTCTCATGGTTTTTCTCGAGTTCGGCGGGGACCGGGGGTATGTTCTCGAGTTTCGGCGGGGATGGCCCTTCAAAACACGTGTTTATTCAGTGACGCCAGGACTCCTGTCTAGTAACGAGGGACACCTCAGGAATCTCTTCGAGGCTTGGCAGGGCAAAAGGGATGCTTCTCGAGCTGAGGCAGGGCACCAAAGACACATTTCAGTAGCCACAGGGATTTTGGGATTCCTATCAGTATTCAAGAGGAGTCAGGCATCGTCACCTTTTGAAGCAGTGAACTCCGCATGCCTCTCGAGGTGTCAACGGGATGTGAGGCATTCCGTCAAAATGAGGCAGGGACCTAGGGCTTTCTCTCAGGTCAACACAGGGGATTCAGACATCCCTTCATGTTGTGAGATGAAAGACGAGCCTGTATTCAAGCCACTGCAAGGAAATCCGGCCTCCTTTCAAGTTAGGGCTTCTCGCTGTATATTCCACTTGTGGCAGCAAACTCGGGGTCCCTCCCACATACCTATTGCTGAGAGAAGCCTCCTCCTGAGGTGCTTCTGGAAAGTTGGCATAGGTCTTGAGCCTGAGCCAGGGAATCAGCTTTCATCTCGATATAATTTGGGTACACGGTGCATTCCTCGAGTTGCTGTGCTGAAGTTGGTGTTCCTCTAGACTTGCGACAGTGTTCTCGGGGCATCTCTGGAGTTGCCTGAAGGAAGTCAAGCCACTTGTCTTGTTGAATGGGGAATGGGGGATGGCTCTGGAGTCAATGCAGGGGAATCGGGCCTCATCTCGAGTTGATTTGGGGCACACGGCCCTGCTTTGTGTTGCTGTGGTGACCTCAGTGTCCGTCTAGACTGGTTACAGTGTTCTTGCGGAATGTCTCGAGATCCATTAAGCAAGTCGAAGCTCCTGACTTGTTTGATGGGGATCACGGAATAGCTCTGCATGCACTGCAGGGGAATGGTGCCTCATCTCGCCTCTAGGGGGAAGTCTCATGGTTTTTCTCGAGTTGCGGCGGGGCCTGGGGTATGTTCTCGAGTTACGGCAGGGATGGCCCTTCAAATCACGTGTTTATTCAGTGACGTCAAAACCTCTGTCTAGTAAGGAGGGACACCTCAGGAATCTCTTCGAGGCTTGACAGGGCAAAAGGGACGCTTCTCGAAGTGAGGCAGGGCAACCAAGGACTCTTTCCAGTAGCCACAGTGATTTTGGGATTCCGATCAGTATTCAAGAGGAGTCAGGCATCGTCACCTTTTGAAGCAGTGAACTCCGCGTGCCTCTCGAGGTGTCAACGGGATGTGAGGCATTCCGTCAAAATGAGGCAGGGACGTAGGGCTTTCGCTAAGGTCTCCACAGGGGATTCAGACATGCCTTCATGTTGTGAGATGAAAGACGAGCCTGTATTCAAGCCACTGCAAGGAAATCCGGCCTCCTTTCAAGTTAGGGCTTCTCGCTATTTATTCCACTTGAGGAAGCAAACTCGGGGTCCCTCCCACATACCTATTGCTGAGAGAAGTCTCCTCCTGAGATGCTTCTGGAAGGGTGGCATACGTCTTGAGCCTAAGTCAGGGAATCAGCTCTCATCTCGAGACGATTTGGGGTACACGGAGCATTCCTCGAGTTGCTCTGCTGAAGTTGGTGTTCCTCTAGACTTGCGACAGTGTTCTCTTGGCATCTCTGGAGTTGCCTGAAGGAAGTCAAGCCACTGGATGTGTTGAATGGGGAACAGGGGATGGCTCTGGAGTCATTGCAGGGGGATCGGGCCTCATCTCGAGTTGATTTGGGGCACACGGAGCTGCTTTGCGTTGCTGGGGTGACCTCAGGGTCCGTCTAGACTAGTGACAGGGTTCTTGGGGACTGTCTCGAGATCCGTTAAGCAAGTCGAAGCTCCTGACTTGTTTGATGGGGATCACGGAATAGCTCTGCATGCACTGCAGGGGAATGGTGCCTCATCTCGCCTCTAGGGGGAAGTCTCATGGTTTTTCTCGAGTTGCGGTGGGGACCTGGGGTATGTTCTCGAGTTACGGCGGGGATGGCCCTTCAAAACACGTCTTTATTCAGTGACGTCAGGACTCCTGTCTAGTAACGAGGGACACCTCAGGAATCTCTTCGAGGCTTGGCAGGGTAAAAGAGACGCTTCTCGAGCTGAGGCAGGGCACCAAAGACCCATTTCAGTAGCCACAGGGATTTTGGGATTCCTATCAGTATTGAAGAGGAGTCAGGCATCGTCACCTTTTAAAGCAGTGAACTCCGTGTGCATCCCAAGGAGTCAACGGGATGAGGCATTCCGTCAAAATGAGGCAGCGAACTAGGGCTTTCTCTCAGGTCTCGACAGGGGATTCAGACATCCCTTCATGTTGTGAGATGAAAGACGAGCCCGTATTCAAGCCACTGCAAGGTAATCCGGCCTCCTTTCAAGTTAGGGCTTCTCGTTGTATATTCCACTTGAGGCAGCAAACTCGGGGTCCCTCCCACATACCTATTGCTGAGAGAAGCCTCTTCGTGAGGTGCTTCTGGAAGGTTGGCATACGTCTTGAGCCTAAGCCAGGGAATCAGCTCTCATCTCGAGATAATTTGGGGTACACGGAGCAATCCTCGTGTTGCTGTGCTGAAGTTGGTGTTCCTCTAGACTTGGGACATTGTTCTCGGGGCATCTCTGGAGTTGGCTGAAGGAAGTCAAGCCACTGGTCATGTGGAATGGATAACGGGGGCTGGCTCTGGAGTCAATGCAGGGGAATCGGGCCTCATCTCAAGTTGAATTGGGGCACATGGAGCTGCTTTGCGTTGCTGGCTTGACCTCAGAGTGGGTCTAGACTGGTGACAGTGTTCTTGGGTTCTGTCTCGAGATCCGTTAAGCAAGTCGAAGCTCCTGACTTGTTTGATGGGTATCACGGAATAGCTCTCCATGCACTGCAGGGGAATGGGGCCTCATCTCGCCTCTAGGGGGAAGTCTCATGGTTTTTCTCGAGTTGCGGCAGGGATCTGGGGTATGTTCTCGAGTTACGGCAGGGATGGCCCTTCAAATCACGTGTTTATTCAGTGACGTCAGAACTCCTGTCTAGTAACGAGGGACACCTCAGGAATCTCTTCGAGGCTTGGCAGGGCAAAAGGGACACTAATCCAGGTGAGGCAGGGCACCAAAGGACACTTTCCAGTAGCCACAGGGATTTTGGGATTCCTATCCGTATTCAAGAGGAGTCAGGCATCGTCACCTTTTCAAGCAGTGAACTCCGCGTGCCTCTCGACTTGTCAACGGGATGTGAGGCATTCCGTCAAAATGAGGCAGGGACCTAGGGCTTTCTCTCAGGTCTCCACAGGGGATTCAGATCATCCCTTCATGTCGTGAGATGAAAGACGAGCCTATATTCAAGCCACTGCAAGGAAATCCGGCCTCCTTTCAAGTTAGGGCTTCTCGCTGTATATTCCACTTGAGGCAGCAAACTCGGGGTCCCTCCCACATACCTATTGCTGAGAGAAGCCTCCTCTTGAGGTGCTTCTGGAAGGGTGGCATACGTCTTGAGCCTAAGCCAGGGAATCAGCTCTCATCTCGAGACGATTTGGGGTACACGGAGCATTCCTCGAGTTGCTGTGCTGAAGTTGGTGTTCCTCTAGACTTGGGACAGTGTTCTCGGGGCATCTCTGGAGTTGCCTGAATGAAGTCAAGCCACTGGTCGTGTTGAATGGGGAACGGGGGATGGCTCTGGAGTCAATGCAGGGGAATCGGGCTTCATCTCTCGTTGATTTCAGGCACACGGCACTGCTTTGCGTTGCTGGCGTTACCTGAGGGTCCGTCTAGACTTGTGAAAGTGTTCTTGGGGACTGTCTCGAGATCCATTAACCAAGTCGAAGCTCCTGACTTCTTTGATGGGGATTACGGAATAGCTCTGCATGCACTGCAGGGGAATGGGGCTTCATCTCGCCTCTAGGGGGAAGTCTCATGGTTTTTCTCAAGTTCGGCGGGGACCGGGGGTATGTTCTCGAGTTTCGGCGGGGATGGCCCTTCAAAACACGTGTTTATTCAGTGACGCCAGGACTCCTGTCTAGTAATGAGGGACACCTCAGGAATCTCTTCGAGGCTTGGCAGGGCAAAAGGGATGCTTCTCGAGCTGAGGCAGGGCACCAAAGACACATTTCAGTAGCCACAGGGATTTTGGGATTCCTATCAGTATTCAAGAGGAGTCAGGCATCGTCACCTTTTGAAGCAGTGAACTCCGCATGCCTCTCGAGGTGTCAACGGGATGTGAGGCATTCCGTCAAAATGAGGCAGGGACCTAGGGCTTTCCCTCAGGTCAACACAGGGGATTCAGACATCCCTTCATGTTGTGAGATGAAAGACGAGCCTGTATTCAAGCCACTGCAAGGAAATCCGGCCTCCTTTCAAGTTAGGGCTTCTCGCTGTATATTCCACTTGTGGCAGCAAACTCGGGGTCCCTCCCACATACCTATTGCTGAGAGAAGCCTCCTCCTGAGGTGCTTCTGGAAAGTTGGCATACGTCTTGAGCCTGAGCCAGGGAATCAGCTTTCATCTCGATATAATTTGGGTACACGGTGCATTCCTCGAGTTGCTGTGCTGAAGTTGGTGTTCCTCTAGACTTGCGACAGTGTTCTCGGGGCATCTCTGGAGTTGCCTGAAGGAAGTCAAGCCACTTGTCTTGTTGAATGGGGAATGGGGGATGGCTCTGGAGTCAATGCAGGGGAATCGGGCCTCATCTCGAGTTGATTTGGGGCACACGGCCCTGCTTTGTGTTGCTGTGGTGACCTCAGTGTCCGTCTAGACTGGTTACAGTGTTCTTGGGGAATGTCTCGAGATCCATTAAGCAAGTCGAAGCTCCTGACTTGTTTGATGGGGATCACGGAATAGCTCTGCATGCACTGCAGGGGAATGGTGCCTCATCTCGCCTCTAGGGGGAAGTCTCATGGTTTTTCTCGAGTTTCGGCGGGGCCTGGGGTATGTTCTCGAGTTACGGCAGGGATGGCCCTTCAAATCACGTGTTTATTCAGTGACGTCAAAACCTCTGTCTAGTAAGGAGGGACACTTCAGGAATCTCTTCGAGGCTTGACAGGGCAAAAGGGACGCTTCTCGAGGTGAGGCAGGGCACCCAAGGACTCTTTCCAGTAGCCACAGTGATTTTGGGATTCCGATCAGTATTCAAGAGGAGTCAGGAATCGTCACCTTTTGAAGCAGTGAACTCCGCGTGCCTCTCGAGGTGTCAACGGGATGTGAGGCATTCCGTCAAAATGAGGCAGGGACCTAGGGCTTTCGCTAAGGTCTCCACAGGGGATTCAGACATGCCTTCATGTTGTGAGATGAAAGACGAGCCTGTATTCAAGCCACTGCAAGGAAATCCGGCCTCCTTTCAAGTTAGGGCTTCTCGCTATTTATTCCACTTGAGGAAGCAAACTCGGGGTCCCTCCCACATACCTATTGCTGAGAGAAGTCTCCTCCTGAGATGCTTCTGGAAGGGTGGCATACGTCTTGAGCCTAAGTCAGGGAATCAGCTCTCATCTCGAGACGATTTGGGGTACACGGAGCATTCCTCGAGTTGCTCTGCTGAAGTTGGTGTTCCTCTAGACTTGCGACAGTGTTCTCTTGGCATCTCTGGAGTTGCCTGAAGGAAGTCAAGCCACTGGATGTGTTGAATGGGGAACAGGGGATGGCTCTGGAGTCATTGCAGGGGGATCGGGCCTCATCTCGAGTTGATTTGGGGCACACGGAGCTGCTTTGCGTTGCTGGGGTGACCTCAGGGTCCGTCTAGACTAGTGACAGGGTTCTTGGGGACTGTCTCGAGATCCGTTAAGCAAGTCGAAGCTCCTGACTTGTTTGATGGGGATCACGGAATAGCTCTGCATGCACTGCAGGGGAATGGTGCCTCATCTCGCCTCTAGGGGGAAGTCTCATGGTTTTTCTCGAGTTGCGGTGGGGACCTGGGGTATGTTCTCGAGTTACAGCGGGGATGGCCCTTCAAAACACGTCTTTATTCAGTGACGTCAGGACTCCTGTCTAGTAACGAGGGACACCTCAGGAATCTCTTCGAGGCTTGGCAGGGTAAAAGAGACGCTTCTCGAGCTGAGGCAGGGCACCAAAGACCCATTTCAGTAGCCACAGGGATTTTGGGATTCCTATCAGTATTGAAGAGGAGTCAGGCATCGTCACCTTTTAAAGCAGTGAACTCCGTGTGCATCCCAAGGAGTCAACGGGATGAGGCATTCCGTCAAAATGAGGCAGGGAACTAGGGCTTTCTCTCAGGTCTCGACAGGGGATTCAGACATCCCTTCATGTTGTGAGATGAAAGACGAGCCCGTATTCAAGCCACTGCAAGGTAATCCGGCCTCCTTTCAAGTTAGGGCTTCTCGTTGTATATTCCACTTGAGGCAGCAAACTCGGGGTCCCTCCCACATACCTATTGCTGAGAGAAGCCTCTTCGTGAGGTGCTTCTGGAAGGTTGGCATACGTCTTGAGCCTAAGCCAGGGAATCAGCTCTCATCTCGAGATAATTTGGGGTACACGGAGCAATCCTCGTGTTGCTGTGCTGAAGTTGGTGTTCCTCTAGACTTGGGACATTGTTCTCGGGGCATCTCTGGAGTTGGCTGAAGGAAGTCAAGCCACTGGTCATGTGGAATGGATAACGGGGGCTGGCTCTGGAGTCAATGCAGGGGAATCGGGCCTCATCTCGAGTTGAATTGGGGCACATGGAGCTGCTTTGCGTTGCTGGCTTGACCTCAGAGTGGGTCTAGACTGGTGACAGTGTTCTTGGGTTCTGTCTCGAGATCCGTTAAGCAAGTCGAAGCTCCTGACTTGTTTGATGGGTATCACGGAATAGCTCTCCATGCACTGCAGGGGAATGGGGCCTCATCTCGCCTCTAGGGGGAAGTCTCATGGTTTTTCTCGAGTTGCGGCAGGGATCTGGGGTATGTTCTCGAGTTACGGCAGGGATGGCCCTTCAAATCACGTGTTTATTCAGTGACGTCAGAACTCCTGTCTAGTAACGAGGGACACCTCAGGAATCTCTTCGAGGCTTGGCAGGGCAAAAGGGACACTAATCCAGGTGAGGCAGGGCACCAAAGGACACTTTCCAGTAGCCACAGGGATTTTGGGATTCCTATCCGTATTCAAGAGGAGTCAGGCATCGTCACCTTTTCAAGCAGTGAACTCCGCGTGCCTCTCGACTTGTCAACGGGATGTGAGGCATTCCGTCAAAATGAGGCAGGGACCTAGGGCTTTCTCTCAGGTCTCCACAGGGGATTCAGATCATCCCTTCATGTCGTGAGATGAAAGACGAGCCTATATTCAAGCCACTGCAAGGAAATCCGGCCTCCTTTCAAGTTAGGGCTTCTCGCTGTATATTCCACTTGAGGCAGCAAACTCGGGGTCCCTCCCACATACCTATTGCTGAGAGAAGCCTCCTCTTGAGGTGCTTCTGGAAGGGTGGCATACGTCTTGAGCCTAAGCCAGGGAATCAGCTCTCATCTCGAGACGATTTGGGGTACACGGAGCATTCCTCGAGTTGCTGTGCTGAAGTTGGTGTTCCTCTAGACTTGGGACAGTGTTCTCGGGGCATCTCTGGAGTTGCCTGAATGAAGTCAAGCCACTGGTCGTGTTGAATGGGGAACGGGGGATGGCTCTGGAGTCAATGCAGGGGAATCGGGCTTCATCTCTCGTTGATTTCAGGCACACGGCACTGCTTTGCGTTGCTGGCGTTACCTGAGGGTCCGTCTAGACTTGTGAAAGTGTTCTTGGGGACTGTCTCGAGATCCATTAACCAAGTCGAAGCTCCTGACTTCTTTGATGGGGATTACGGAATAGCTCTGCATGCACTGCAGGGGAATGGGGCTTCATCTCGCCTCTAGGGGGAAGTCTCATGGTTTTTCTCAAGTTCGGCGGGGACCGGGGGTATGTTCTCGAGTTTCGGCGGGGATGGCCCTTCAAAACACGTGTTTATTCAGTGACGCCAGGACTCCTGTCTAGTAACGAGGGACACCTCAGGAATCTCTTCGAGGCTTGGCAGGGCAAAAGGGATGCTTCTCGAGCTGAGGCAGGGCACCAAAGACACATTTCAGTAGCCACAGGGATTTTGGGATTCCTATCAGTATTCAAGAGGAGTCAGGCATCGTCACCTTTTGAAGCAGTGAACTCCGCATGCCTCTCGAGGTGTCAACGGGATGTGAGGCATTCTGTCAAAATGAGGCAGGGACCTAGGGCTTTCTCTCAGGTCAACACAGGGGATTCAGACATCCCTTCATGTTGTGAGATGAAAGACGAGCCTGTATTCAAGCCACTGCAAGGAAATCCGGCCTCCTTTCAAGTTAGGGCTTCTCGCTGTATATTCCACTTGTGGCAGCAAACTCGGGGTCCCTCCCACATACCTATTGCTGAGAGAAGCCTCCTCCTGAGGTGCTTCTGGAAAGTTGGCATAGGTCTTGAGCCTGAGCCAGGGAATCAGCTTTCATCTCGATATAATTTGGGTACACGGTGCATTCCTCGAGTTGCTGTGCTGAAGTTGGTGTTCCTCTAGACTTGCGACAGTGTTCTCGGGGCATCTCTGGAGTTGCCTGAAGGAAGTCAAGCCACTTGTCTTGTTGAATGGGGAATGGGGGATGGCTCTGGAGTCAATGCAGGGGAATCGGGCCTCATCTCGAGTTGATTTGGGGCACACGGCCCTGCTTTGTGTTGCTGTGGTGACCTCAGTGTCCGTCTAGACTGGTTACAGTGTTCTTGGGGAATGTCTCGAGATCCATTAAGCAAGTCGAAGCTCCTGACTTGTTTGATGGGGATCACGGAATAGCTCTGCATGCACTGCAGGGGAATGGTGCCTCATCTCGCCTCTAGGGGGAAGTCTCATGGTTTTTCTCGAGTTGCGGCGGGGCCTGGGGTATGTTCTCGAGTTACGGCAGGGATGGCCCTTCAAATCACGTGTTTATTCAGTGACGTCAAAACCTCTGTCTAGTAAGGAGGGACACCTCAGGAATCTCTTCGAGGCTTGACAGGGCAAAAGGGACGCTTCTCGAGGTGAGGCAGGGCACCCAAGGACTCTTTCCAGTAGCCACAGTGATTTTGGGATTCCGATCAGTATTCAAGAGGAGTCAGGCATCGTCACCTTTTGAAGCAGTGAACTCCGCGTGCCTCTCGAGGTGTCAACGGGATGTGAGGCATTCCGTCAAAATGAGGCAGGGACCTAGGGCTTTTGCTAAGGTCTCCACAGGGGATTCAGACATGCCTTCATGTTGTGAGATGAAAGACGAGCCTGTATTCAAGCCACTGCAAGGAAATCCGGCCTCCTTTCAAGTTAGGGCTTCTCGCTATTTATTCCACTTGAGGAAGCAAACTCGGGGTCCCTCCCACATACCTATTGCTGAGAGAAGTCTCCTCCTGAGATGCTTCTGGAAGGGTGGCATACGTCTTGAGCCTAAGTCAGGGAATCAGCTCTCATCTCGAGACGATTTGGGGTACACGGAGCATTCCTCGAGTTGCTCTGCTGAAGTTGGTGTTCCTCTAGACTTGCGACAGTGTTCTCTTGGCATCTCTGGAGTTGCCTGAAGGAAGTCAAGCCACTGGATGTGTTGAATGGGGAACAGGGGATGGCTCTGGAGTCATTGCAGGGGGATCGGGCCTCATCTCGAGTTGATTTGGGGCACACGGAGCTGCTTTGCGTTGCTGGGGTGACCTCAGGGTCCGTCTAGACTGGTGACAGGGTTCTTGGGGACTGTCTCGAGATCCGTTAAGCAAGTCGAAGTCCTGACTTGTTTGATGGGGATTCACGGAATAGCTCTGCATGCACTGCAGGGGAATGGTGCCTCATCTCGCCTCTAGGGGGAAGTCTCATGGTTTTTCTCGAGTTGCGGTGGGGACCTGGGGTATGTTCTCGAGTTACGGCGGGGATGGCCCTTCAAAACACGTCTTTATTCAGTGACGTCAGGACTCCTGTCTAGTAACGAGGGACACCTCAGGAATCTCTTCGAGGCTTGGCAGGGTAAAAGAGACGCTTCTCGAGCTGAGGCAGGGCACCAAAGACCCATTTCAGTAGCCACAGGGATTTTGGGATTCCTATCAGTATTGAAGAGGAGTCAGGCATCGTCACCTTTTAAAGCAGTGAACTCCGTGTGCATCCCAAGGAGTCAACGGGATGAGGCATTCCGTCAAAATGAGACAGGGAACTAGGGCTTTCTCTCAGGTCTCGACAGGGGATTCAGACATCCCTTCATGTTGTGAGATGAAAGACGAGCCCGTATTCAAGCCACTGCAAGGTAATCCGGCCTCCTTTCAAGTTAGGGCTTCTCGTTGTATATTCCACTTGAGGCAGCAAACTCGGGATCCCTCCCACATACCTATTGCTGAGAGAAGCCTCTTCGTGAGGTGCTTCTGGAAGGTTGGCATACGTCTTGAGCCTAAGCCAGGGAATCAGCTCTCATCTCGAGATAATTTGGGGTACACGGAGCAATCCTCGTGTTGCTGTGCTGAAGTTGGTGTTCCTCTAGACTTGGGACATTGTTCTCGGGGCATCTCTGGAGTTGGCTGAAGGAAGTCAAGCCACTGGTCGTGTGGAATGGATAACGGGGGCTGGCTCTGGAGTCAATGCAGGGGAATCGGGCCTCATCTCGAGTTGAATTGGGGCACATGGAGCTGCTTTGCGTTGCTGGCTTGACCTCAGAGTGGGTCTAGACTGGTGACAGTGTTCTTGGGTTCTGTCTCGAGATCCGTTAAGCAAGTCGAAGCTCCTGACTTGTTTGATGGGGATCACGGAATAGCTCTGAATGCACTGCAGGGGAATGGGGCCTCATCTCGCCTCTAGGGGGAAGTCTCATGGTTTTTCTCGAGTTGCGGCAGGGATCTGGGGTATGTTCTCGAGTTACGGCAGGGATGGCCCTTCAAATCACGTGTTTATTCAGTGACGTCAGAACTCCTGTCTAGTAACGAGGGACACCTCAGGAATCTCTTCGAGGCTTGGCAGGGCAAAAGGGACACTAATCCAGTTGAGGCAGGGCACCAAAGGACACTTTCCAGTAGCCACAGGGATTTGGGGATTCCTATCCGTATTCAAGAAGAGTCAGGCATCTTCACCTTTTGAAGTAGTGAACTCCGCATGCCTCTCGAGGTGTCAACGGGATGTGAGGCATTCCGTCAAAATGAGGCAGGGACCTAGGGCTTTCTCTCAGGTCAAGACAGGGGATTCAGACATCCCTTCATGTAGTGAGATGAAAGACGCGCCTGTATTCAAGCTACTGCAAGGAAATCCGGCCTCCTTCAAGTTAGGGCTTCTCGCTGTATATTTCACTTGTGGCAGCAAACTCGGGGTCCCTCCCACATACCTATTGCTGAGAGAAGCCTCCTCTTGAGCTGCTTCTGGAAGGGTGGCATACGTCTTGAGCCTAAGCCAGGGAATCAGCTCTCATCTCGAGACGATTTGGGGTACACGGAGCATTCCTCGAGTTGTTGTGCTGAAGCTGGTGTTCCTCTGGACTTGCGACAGTGTTCTCGGGGCATCTCTGGAGTTGCCTGAATGAAGTCAAGCCACTGGTCGTGTTGAATGGGGAACGGGGGATGGCTCTGGAGTCAATGCAGGGGAATCGGGCCTCATCTCGCGTTGATTTCGGGCACATGGCGCTGCTTTGCGTTGCTGGGGTTACCTGAGGGTCCGTCTAGACTTGTGACAGTGTTCCTGGAGACTGTCTCGAGATCCATTAAGCAAGTCGAAGCTCCTGACTTGTTTGATGGGGATCATGGAATAGCCCTGGATGCACTGCAGGGGAATGGGGCCTCATCTCACCTCTAGGGGGAAGTCTCATGGTTTTTCTCGAGTTGCGGCGGGGACCTGGGGTATGTTCTCAAGTTACGGTGGGGATGGCCATTCAAAACACGTGTTTATTCAGTGATGTCAAAACCTCTGTCTAGTAAGGAGGGACACCTCAGGAATCTCTTCGAGGCTTGGCAGGGCAAAAGGGATGCTTCTCGAGCTGAGGCATTGCACCAAAGACACATTTCAGTAGCCACAGGGATTTTGGGATTCCTATCAGTATTCAAGAGGAGTCAGGCATCGTCACCTTTTGAAGCAGTGAACTCCGCGTGCCTCTCGAGGTGTCAACGGGATGTGAGGCATTCCGTCAAAATGAGGCAGGGACCTAGGGCTTTCGCTAAAGTCTCCACAGGGGATTCAGACATGCCTTCATGTTGTGAGATGAAAGACGAGCCTGTATTCAAGCCACTGCAAGGAAATCCGGCCTCCTTTCAAGTTAGGGCTTCTCGCTATTTATTCCACTTGAGGAAGCAAACTCGGGGTCCCTCCCACATACCTATTGCTGAGAGAAGTCTCCTCCTGAGGTGCTTCTGGAAGGGTGGCATACGTCTTGAGCCTAAGTCAGGGAATCAGCTCTCATCTCGAGACGATTTGGGGTACACGGAGCATTCCTCGAGTTGCTCTGCTGAAGTTGGTGTTCCTCTAGACTTGCGACAGTGTTCTCTTGGCATCTCTGGAGTTGCCTGAAGGAAGTCAAGCCACTGGATGTGTTGAATGGGGAACAGGGGATGGCTCTGGAGTCATTGCAGGGGGATCGGGCCTCATCTCGAGTTGATTTGGGGCACACGGAGCTGCTTTGCGTTGCTGGGGTGACCTCAGGGTCCGTCTAGACTGTTGACAGGGTTCTTGGGGACTGTCTCGAGATCCGTTAAGCAAGTCGAAGTCCTGACTTGTTTGATGGGGATTCACGGAATAGCTCTGCATGCACTGCAGGGGATTGGTGCCTCATCTCGCCTCTAGGGGGAAGTCTCATGGTTTTTCTCGAGTTGCGGTGGGGACCTGGGGTATGTTCTCGAGTTACGGCGGGGATGGCCCTTCAAAACACGTCTTTATTCAGTGACGTCAGGACTCCTGTCTAGTAACGAGGGACACCTCAGGAATCTCTTCGAGGCTTGGCAGGGTAAAAGAGACGCTTCTCGAGCTGAGGCAGGGCACCAAAGACCCATTTCAGTAGCCACAGGGATTTTGGGATTCCTATCAGTATTCAAGAGGAGTCAGGCATCGTCACCTTTTAAAGCAGTGAACTCCGTGTGCATCCCAAGGAGTCAACGGGATGAGGCATTCCGTCAAAATGAGGCAGGGAACTAGGGCTTTCTCTCAGGTCTCGACAGGGGATTCAGACATCCCTTCATGTTGTGAGATGAAAGACGAGCCCGTATTCAAGCCACTGCAAGGTAATCCGGCCTCCTTTCAAGTTAGGGGTTCTCGTTGTATATTCCACTTGAGGCAGCAAACTCGGGGTCCCTCCCACATACCTATTGCTGAGAGAAGCCTCTTCGTGAGGTGCTTCTGGAAGGTTGGCATACGTCTTGAGCCTAAGCCAGGGAATCAGCTCTCATCTCGAGATAATTTGGGGTACACGGAGCAATCCTCGTGTTGCTGTGCTGAAGTTGGTGTTCCTCTAGACTTGGGACATTGTTCTCGGGGCATCTCTGGAGTTGGCTGAAGGAAGTCAAGCCACTGGTCGTGTGGAATGGATAACGGGGGCTGGCTCTGGAGTCAATGCAGGGGAATCGGGCCTCATCTCGAGTTGAATTGGGGCACATGGAGCTGCTTTGCGTTGCTGGCTTGACCTCAGGGTCTGTCTAGTCTGGTGACAGTGTTCTTGGGTTCTGTCTCGAGATCCGTTAAGCAAGTCGAAGCTCCTGACTTGTTTGATGGGGATCACGGAATAGCTCTCCATGCACTGCAGGGGAATGGGACCTCATCTCGCCTCTAGGGGGTAGTCTCAGGGTTTTTCACGAGTTTGGCGGGGACTGGGGGTATGGTCTCGAGTTACGGCAGGGATGGCCCTTCAAATCACGTGTTTATTCAGTGACGTCAGGACTCCTGTCTAGTAACGAGGGACACCTCAGGAATCTCTTCGAGGCTTGCCAGGGCAAAAGAGACGCTTCTCGATGTGAGGCAGGGCACCCAAGGACCCTTTCCAGTAGCCACAGTGATTTTGGGATTCCTATCAGTATTCAAGAGTAGTCAGGCATCGTCACCTTTTGAAGCAGTGAACTCCGCGTGCCTCTCGAGGTGTCAACGGGATGTGAGGCTTTCCGTCAAAATGAGGCAGGGATCTAGGGCTTTCGCTAAGTTCTCCACAGGGGATTCAGACATCCCTTCATGCTGTGAGATGAAAGATGAGCCTGTATTCAAGCCACTGCAAGGAAATCTGGCCTCCTTTCAAGTTAGGGCTTCTCGCTGTATATTCCACTTGAGGCAGCACACTCGGGGTCCCTCCCACATACCTATTGCTGAGAGAAGCCTCCTCTTGAGGTGCTTCTGGAAGGTTGGCATATGTCTTGAAAATAAGCCAGGGAATCAGCTTTCATCTCGATATGATTTGGGTACACGGTGCATTCCTCGAGTTGCTGTGCTGAAGTTGGTGTTCCTCTAGACTTGCGACAGTGTTCTCGGGGCATTTCTGGAGTTGCCTGAAGGAAGTCAAGCCACTTGTCTTGTTGAATGGGGAATGGGGGATGGCTCTGGAGTCAATGCAGGGGAATCGGGCCTCATCTCGAGTTGATTTGGGGCACACGGCCCTGCTCTGTGTTGCTGTGGTGACCTCAGTTTCCGTCTAGACTGGTTACAGTGTTCTTGGGGACTGTCTCGAGATCCATTAAGCTAGTCGAAGCTCCTGACTTGTTTGATGGGGATCACGGAATAGCTCTGCATGCACTGCAGGGGAATGGTGCCTCATCTCGCCTCTAGGGGGAAGTCTCATGGTTTTTCTCGAGTTGCGGCAGGGCCTGGGGTATGTTTTCGAGTTACGGCAGGGATAGCCCTTCAAATCACGTGTTTATTCAGTGACGTCAAAACCTCTGTCTAGTAAGGAGGGACACCTCAGGAATCTCTTCGAGGCTTGACAGGGCAAAAGGGACGCTTCTCCAGGTGAGGCAGGGCACCCAAGTACTCTTTCCAGTAGCCACAGTGATTTTGGGATTCCTATCAGTATTCAAGAGGAGTCAGGCATCGTCACCTTTTGAAGCAGTGAACTCCGCGTGCCTCTCGAGGTGTCAACGGGATGTGAGGCATTCCGTCAAAATGAGGCAGGGACCTATGGCTTTCGCTAAGGTCTCCACAGGGGATTCAGACATCCCTTCATGTTGTGAGATGAAAGACGAGCCTGTATTCAAGCCACTGCAAGGAAATCCGGCCTCCTTTCAAGTTAGGGCTTCTCGCTATTTATTCCACTTGAGGCAGCAAACTCGGGGTCCCTCCCACATACCTATTGCTGAGAGAAGCCTCCTCCTGAGGTGCTTCTGGAAGGGTGGCATACGTCTTGAGCCTAAGTCAGGGAATCAGCTCTCATCTCGAGACGATTTGGGGTACACGGAGCATTCCTCGAGTTGCTCTGCTGAAGTTGGTGTTCCTCTAGACTGGCGACAGTGTTCTCGTGGCATCTCTGGAGTTGCCTGAAGGAAGTCAAGCCACTGGATGTGTTGAATGGGGAACAGGGGATGGTTCTGGAGTCATTGCAGGGGGATCGGGCCTCATCTCGAGTTGATTTGGGGCACACGGAGCTGCTTTGCGTTGCTGGGGTAACCTCAGGGTCCGTCTAGACTGGTGACAGTGTTCTTGGGGACTGTCTCGAGATCCGTTAAGCAAGTCAAAGTCCTGACTTGTTTGATGGGGATCACGGAATAGCTCTGCATGCACTGCAGGGGAATGGGGCCTCATCTCGCCTCTAGGGGGAAGTCTCGTGGTTTTTCTCAAGTTGCGGTGGGGACCTGGGGTATGTTCTCGAGTTACGGCCGGGATTGCCCTTCAAAACACGTCTTTATTCAGTGACGTCAGGACTCCTGTCTAGTAACGAGGGACACCTCAGGAATCTCTTCGAGGCTTGGCAGGGCAAAAGGGACGCTAATCCAGGTGAGGCAGGGCACCAAAGGACACTTTCCAGTAGCCACAGGGATTTGGGGATTCCTATCAGTATTCACGAGGAGTCAGGCATCGTCACCTTTTGAAGCAGTGAACTCCGCGTGCCTCTCGACGTGTCAACGGGATGTGAGGCATTCCGTCAAAATGAGGCAGGGACCTAGGGCTTTCTCTCAGGTCTCCACAGGGGATTCAGATCATCCCTTCATGTGGTGAGATGAAAGACGAGCCTATATTCAAGCCACTGCAAGGAAATCCGGCCTCCTTTCAAGTTAGGGCTTCTCGCTGTATATTCCACTTGAGGCGGCAAACTCGGGGTCCCTCCCACATACCTATTGTTGAGAGAAGCCTCCTCTGGAGGTGCTTCTGGAAGGTTGGCATATGTCTTGAAAATAAGCCAGGGAATCAGCTCTCATCTCGAGATGATTTGGGTACACAGAGCATTCCTCGAGTTGCTGTGCTGAAGTTGGTGTTCCTCTAGACTTGCGACAGTGTTCTCGGGGCATCTCTGGAGTTGCCTGAAGGAAGTCAAGCCACTGGTCTTGTTGAATGGGGAATGGGGGATGGCTCTGGAGTCCATGCAGGGGAATCGGGCCTCATTTCGAGTTGATTTGTGGCACACGGTGGTGCTTTGCGTTGCTGTGGTGAAGTCAGGGCCGTCTAGACTGGTGACAGTGGTCTTGGGGACTGTCTCGAGATCCATTAAGCAAGTCGAAGCTCCTGACTTGTTTGATGGGGATCACGGAATAGTTCTGCATGCACTGCAGGGGAATGGGACTCATCTCGCCTCTAGGGGGAGGTCTCATGGTTTTCTCGAGTTGCGGCGGGGACCTGGGGTATGTTCTCGAGTTACGGCAGGGATGGCCCTTCAAATCACGTGTTTATTCAGTGACGTCAGAACTCCTGTCTAGTAACGAGGGACACCTCAGGAATCTCTTCGAGGCTTGGCAGGGCAAAAGGGACGCTAATCCAGGTGAGGCAGGGCACCAAAGGACACTTTCCAGTAGCCACAGGGATTTTGGGATTCCTATCAGTATTCAAGAGGAGTCAGGCATCGTCACCTTTTGAAGCAGTGAACTCCGCGTGCCTCTCGACGTGTCAACGGGATATCAGGCATTCCGTCAAAATGACGCAGGGACCTAGGGCTTTCTCTCAGGTCTCCACAGGGGATTCAGATCATCCCTTCATGTCGTGAGATGAAAGACGAGCCTATATTCAAGCCACTGCAAGGAAATCCGGCCTCCTTTCAAGTTAGGGCTTCTCGCTGTATATTCCACTTGAGGTAGCAAACTCGGGGTCCCTCCCACATACCTATTGTTGAGAGAAGCCTCCTCTTGAGGTGCTTCTGGAAGGTTGGCATATGTCTTGAAAATATGCTAGGGAATCATCTCTCATCTCGAGATGATTTGGGTACACGGAGCATTCCTCGAGTTGCTGTGCTGAAGTTGGTGTTTGTCTGGACTTGCGACAGTGTTCTCGGGGCATCTCTGGAGTTGCCTGAAGGAAGTCGAGCCACCGGTCGTGTTGAGTGGGGAACGGGGAATGGCTCTGGAGTCAATGCAGGGGAATCGGGCCTCACTTCGAGTTGATATGGGGCACATGGAGCTGCTTTGCGTTGCTGGGGTGACCTCAGGGTCCGTCTAGACTGGTGACAGTGGTCTTGGGGACTGTTTCGAGATCCATTACGCAAGTCGAAGCTCCTGACTTGTTTGATGGGGATCACGGAATAGTTCTGCATGCACTGCATGGGAATGAGGCCTCATCTCGCCTCTAGGGGGAAGTCTCATGGTTTTCCTGGAGTTGCGGCGGGGACCTGGGGTATGTTCTCGAGTTACGGCAGGGATGGCCCTTCAAATCACGTGTTTATTCAGTGACGTCAAAACCCCTGTCTAGTAACGAGGGATACCTCCGGAATCTCTTCGAGGCTTGACAGGGCAAAAGGGACGCTTCTCGAGGTGAGGCAGGGCACCCAAGGACTCTTTCCCGTAGCCACAGTGATTTTAGGATTCCTATCAGTATTCAAGAGGAGTCAGGCATCATCACCTTTTGAAGCAGTGAACTCCGCGTGCCTCTCGAGGTGTCAACGGGATGTGAGGCATTCCGTCAAAATGAGGCAGGGAACTAGGGCTTTCGCTAAGGTCTCCACACGGGATACAGACATCCCTTCATGTTGTGAGATGAAAGACGAGCCTGTATTCAAGCCACGGCAAGGAAATCCGGCCTCCTTTCAAGTTAGGGCTTCTCACTATATATTCCACTTGAGGCAGCACACTCGGGGTCCCTCCCACATACCTATTGCTGAGAGAAGCCTCCTCCTGAGGTGCTTCTGGAAGGGTGGCATACGTCTTGAGCCTAAGGCAGGGAATCAGCTCTCATCTCGAGACGATTTGGGGTACACGGAGCCTTCCTCGAGTTGCTGTGCTGAAGTTGCTGTTCCTCTAGACTTGCAACAGTGTTCTCGGGGCATCTCTGGAGTTGCCTGAAGGAAGTCAAGCCACTGGTCGTGTTGAATGGGGAACAGGGGATGGTTCTGGAGTCATTGCAGGGGGATTGGGCCTCATCTCGAGTTGATTTGGGGCACACGGAGCTACTTTGCGTTGCTGGGGTGACCTCAGGGTCCGACTAGACTGGTGACAGTGTTCTTGGGGACTGTCTCGAGATCCGTTAAGCAAGTCGAAGTCCTGACTTGTTTGATGGGGATCACGGAATAGCTCTGCATGCACTGCAGGGGAATGGGGCCTCATCTCGCCTCTAGGGGGAAGTCTCGTAGTTTTTCTCGAGTTGCGGTGGGGACCTGGGGTATGTTCTCGAGTTACGGCCGGGATGGCCCTTCAAAACACGTCTTTATTCAGTGACGTCAGGACTCCTGTCTAGTAACGAGGGACACCTCAGGAATCTCTTCGAGGCTTGGCAGGGTAAAAGGGACGCTTCTCGAGCTGAGGCAGGTCACCAAAGACACATTTCAGTAGCCACAGGGATTTTGGGATTCCTATCAGTATTGAAGAGGAGTCAGGCTTCGTCACCTTTTAAAGCAGTGAACTCCGTGTGCATCCCAAGGAGTCAACGGGATGTGAGGCATTCCGTCAAAATGAGGCCGGGACCTAGGCCTTTCGCTAAGGTCTCCACAGGGGATTCAGACATCCCTTCATGTTGTGAGATGAAAGACGAGCCTGTATTCAAGCCACTGCAAAGAACTCCGGCCTCCTTTCAAGTTAGGGCTTCTCGCTATATATTCCACTTGAGGCAGCACACTCGGGTTCCCTCCCACATACCTATTGCTGAGAGAAGCCTCCTACTGAGGTGCTTCTGGAAGGGTGGCATACGTCTTGAGCCTAAGTCAGGGAATCAGCTCTCATCTCGCGACGATTTGGGGTACACGGAGCATTCCTCGAGTTGCTGTGCTGAAGTTGGTGTTCCTCTAGACTGGCGACAGTGTTCTCGTGGCATCTCTGGAGTTGCCTGAAGGAAGTCAAGCAACTGGTCGTGTTGAATGGGGAACGGGGGATGGCTCTGGAGTCAATGCAGTGGAATCGGGCCTCATCTCGAGTTTATTTGGGGCACACGGCCCTGCTTTGCCTTGCTGTGGTGACCTCAGGGTCCGTCTAGTCTGGTGACAGTGTTCTTGGGGACTGTCTCGAGATCCATTAAGCAAGTCGAAGCTCCTGACTTGTTTGATGGGGATTACGGAATATCTCTGCATGCTCTGCAGGTGAAAGTGGCCTCATCTCACCTCTAGGGGAAATCTCATGGTTTTTCTCGAGTTGCGGCCGGGACCTGCGGTATGTTCTCGAGTTACGGCGGGGATGGCCCTTCAAAACACGTGTTTATTCAGTGACGTCAGGACTCCTGTCTAGTAACGAGGGACACCTCAGGAATCTCTTCGAGGCTTGGCAGGGCAAAAGGGAAGCTTCTCGAGCTGAGGCAGGGCACCAAAGACCCATTTCAGTAGCCACAGGGATTTTGGGATTCCTATCAGTATTCAAGAGGAGTCAGGCATCGTCACCTTTTGAAGCAGTGAACTCCGCGTGCCTCTCGAAGTGTCAACGGGATGTGAGGCATTCCGTCAAAATGAGGCAGGGACATAGGGCTTTCTCTCAGGTCAACACAGGGGATTCAGACATCCCTTCATGTTGTGAGATGAAAGATGAGCCTGTATTCAAGCCATTGCAAGGAAATCCGGCCTCCTTTCAAGTTAGGGCTTCTCGCCATATATTCCACTTGTGGCAGCAAACTCGGGGTCCCTCCCACATACCTATTGCTGAGAGAAGCCTCCTCTTGAGGTGCTTCTGGAAGGGTGGCATTCGTCTTGAGCCTAAGCCAGGGAATCAGCTCTCATCTCGAGACGATTTGGGGTACACGGGGCATTCCTCGAGTTCCTGTGCTTAAGCTGGTGTTTCTCTGGACTTGCAACAGTGTTCTCGGGGCATCTCTGGAGTTGCCTGAATGAAGTCAAGCCAGTGGTCGTGTTGAATGGGGAACGGGGGATGGCTCTGGAGTCAATGCAGGGGTATCGGGCCTCATCTCGCACTGATTTCGGGCACACGGCGCTGCTTTGCGTTGTTGGGTTTACCTGAGGGTCCGTCTAGACTTGTGACAGTGTTCTTGGGGACTGTCTCGAGATCCATTAAACAAGTCGAAGTTCCTGACTTGTTTGATGGGGATCACGGAATAGCTCTGCATGCACTGCAGGGGAATGGGGCCTCATCTCGCCTCTAGGGGGAAGTCTCAGGGTTTTTCACGAGTTTGGCGGGGACCGGGGGTATGGTCTCGAGTTACGGCAGGGATGGCCCTTCAAATCACGTGTTTATTCAGTGACGTCAGGACTCCTGTCTAGTAACGAGGGACACCTCAGGAATCTCTTCGAGGCTTGCCAGGGCAAAAGAGACGCTTCTCGATGTGAGGCAGGGCACCCAAGGACCCTTTCCAGTAGCCACAGTGATTTTGGGATTCCTATCAGTATTCAAGAGTAGTCAGGCATCGTCACCTTTTGAAGCAGTGAACTCCGCGTGCCTCTCGAGGTGTCAACGGGATGTGAGGCTTTCCGTCAAAATGAGGCAGGGATCTAGGGCTTTCGCTAAGTTCTCCACAGGGGATTCAGACATCCCTTCATGCTGTGAGATGAAAGATGAGCCTGTATTCAAGCCACTGCAAGGAAATCTGGCCTCCTTTCAAGTTAGGGCTTCTCGCTGTATATTCCACTTGAGGCAGCACACTCGGGGTCCCTCCCACATACCTAGTGCTGAGAGAAGCCTCCTCTTGAGGTGCTTCTGGAAGGTTGGCATATGTCTTGAAAATAAGCCAGGGAATCAGCTTTCATCTCGATATGATTTGGGTACACGGTGCATTCCTCGAGTTGCTGTGCTGAAGTTGGTGTTCCTCTAGACTTGCGACAGTGTTCTCGGGGCATTTCTGGAGTTGCCTGAAGGAAGTCAAGCCACTTGTCTTGTTGAATGGGGAATGGGGGATGGCTCTGGAGTCAATGCAGGGGAATCGGGCCTCATCTCGAGTTGATTTGGGGCACACGGCCCTGCTCTGTGTTGCTGTGGTGACCTCAGTTTCCGTCTAGACTGGTTACAGTGTTCTTGGGGACTGTCTCGAGATCCATTAAGCTAGTCGAAGCTCCTGACTTGTTTGATGGGGATCACGGAATAGCTCTGCATGCACTGCAGGGGAATGGTGCCTCATCTCGCCTCTAGGGGGAAGTCTCATGGTTTTTCTCGAGTTGCGGCAGGGCCTAGGGTATGTTTTCGAGTTACGGCAGGGATAGCCCTTCAAATCACGTGTTTATTCAGTGACGTCAAAACCTCTGTCTAGTAAGGAGGGACACCTCAGGAATCTCTTCGAGGCTTGACAGGGCAAAAGGGACGCTTCTCCAGGTGAGGCAGGGCACCCAAGTACTCTTTCCAGTAGCCACAGTGATTTTGGGATTCCTATCAGTATTCAAGAGGAGTCAGGCATCGTCACCTTTTGAAGCAGTGAACTCCGCGTGCCTCTCGAGGTGTCAACGGGATGTGAGGCATTCCGTCAAAATGAGGCAGGGACCTATGGCTTTCGCTAAGGTCTCCACAGGGGATTCAGACATCCCTTCATGTTGTGAGATGAAAGACGAGCCTGTATTCAAGCCACTGCAAGGAAATCCGGCCTCCTTTCAAGTTAGGGCTTCTCGCTATTTATTCCACTTGAGGCAGCAAACTCGGGGTCCCTCCCACATACCTATTGCTGAGAGAAGCCTCCTCCTGAGGTGCTTCTGGAAGGGTGGCATACGTCTTGAGCCTAAGTCAGGGAATCAGCTCTCATCTCGAGACGATTTGGGGTACACGGAGCATTCCTCGAGTTGCTCTGCTGAAGTTGGTGTTCCTCTAGACTGGCGACAGTGTTCTCGTGGCATCTCTGGAGTTGCCTGAAGGAAGTCAAGCCACTGGATGTGTTGAATGGGGAACAGGGGATGGTTCTGGAGTCATTGCAGGGGGATCGGGCCTCATCTCGAGTTGATTTGGGGCACACGGAGCTGCTTTGCGTTGCTGGGGTAACCTCAGGGTCCGTCTAGACTGGTGACAGTGTTCTTGGGGACTGTCTCGAGATCCGTTAAGCAAGTCAAAGTCCTGACTTGTTTGATGGGGATCACGGAATAGCTCTGCATGCACTGCAGGGGAATGGGGCCTCATCTCGCCTCTAGGGGGAAGTCTCGTGGTTTTTCTCAAGTTGCGGTGGGGACCTGGGGTATGTTCTCGAGTTACGGCCGGGATTGCCCTTCAAAACACGTCTTTATTCAGTGACGTCAGGACTCCTGTCTAGTAACGAGGGACACCTCAGGAATCTCTTCGAGGCTTGGCAGGGCAAAAGGGACGCTAATCCAGGTGAGGCAGGGCACCAAAGGACACTTTCCAGTAGCCACAGGGATTTGGGGATTCCTATCAGTATTCACGAGGAGTCAGGCATCGTCACCTTTTGAAGCAGTGAACTCCGCGTGCCTCTCGACGTGTCAACGGGATGTGAGGCATTCCGTCAAAATGAGGCAGGGACCTAGGGCTTTCTCTCAGGTCTCCACAGGGGATTCAGATCATCCCTTCATGTGGTGAGATGAAAGACGAGCCTATATTCAAGCCACTGCAAGGAAATCCGGCCTCCTTTCAAGTTAGGGCTTCTCGCTGTATATTCCACTTGAGGCGGCAAACTCGGGGTCCCTCCCACATACCTATTGTTGAGAGAAGCCTCCTCTGGAGGTGCTTCTGGAAGGTTGGCATATGTCTTGAAAATAAGCCAGGGAATCAGCTCTCATCTCGAGATGATTTGGGTACACGGAGCATTCCTCGAGTTGCTGTGCTGAAGTTGGTGTTCCTCTAGACTTGCGACAGTGTTCTCGGGGCATCTCTGGAGTTGCCTGAAGGAAGTCAAGCCACTGGTCTTGTTGAATGGGGAATGGGGGATGGCTCTGGAGTCCATGCAGGGGAATCGGGCCTCATTTCGAGTTGATTTGTGGCACACGGTGGTGCTTTGCGTTGCTGTGGTGAAGTCAGGGCCGTCTAGACTGGTGACAGTGGTCTTGGGGACTGTCTCGAGATCCATTAAGCAAGTCGAAGCTCCTGACTTGTTTGATGGGGATCACGGAATAGTTCTGCATGCACTGCAGGGGAATGGGACTCATCTCGCCTCTAGGGGGAGGTCTCATGGTTTTCTCGAGTTGCGGCGGGGACCTGGCGTATGTTCTCGAGTTACGGCATGGATGGCCCTTCAAATCACGTGTTTATTCAGTGGCATCAAAACCCCTGTCTAGTAACGAGGGACACCTCAGGAATCTCTTCGAGGCTTGGCAGGGCAAAAGGGACGCTTCTCGAGCTGAGGCAGGGCACGAAAGACACATTTCAGTAGCCACAGGGATTTTGGGATTCCTATCCGTATTCAAGAGGAGTCAGGCATCGTCACCTTTTGAAGCAGTGAACTCCGCGTGCCTCTCGACGTGTCAACGGGTTGTGAGGCATTCCGTCAAAATGAGGCAGGGACCTAGGGCTTTCTCTCAGGTCTCCACAGGGGATTCAGATCATCCCTTCATGTGGTGAGATGAAAGACGAGCCTATATTCAAGCCACTGCAAGGAAATCCGGCCTCCTTTCAAGTTAGGGCTTCTCGTTGTGTATTCCACTTGAGGCAGCAAACTCGGGGTCCCTCCCACATACCTGTTGCTGAGAGAAGCCTCTTCGTGAGGTGCTTCTGGAAGGTTGGCATACGTCTTGAGCCTAAGCCAGGGAATCAGCTCTCATCTCGAGATAATTTGGGGTACACGGAGCAATCCTCGTGTTGCTGTGCTGAATTTGGTGTTCCTCTAGACTTGGGACATTGTTCTCGAGGCATCTCTGGAGTTGGCTGAAGGAAGTCAAGCCACTGGTCGTGTGGAATGGATAACGGGGGCTGGCTCTGGAGTCAATGCAGGGGAATCGGGCCTCATCTCGATTTGAATTGGGGCACATGGAGCTGCTTTGCGTTGCTGGCTTGACCTTAGAGTGGGTCTAGACTGGTGACAGTGTTCTTGGGGACTGTCTCGAGATCCGTTAAGCAAGTCGAAGCTCCTGACTTGTTTGATGGGGATCACGGAATAGCTCTCCATGCACTGCAGGGGAATGGGGCCTCATCTCACCTCTAGGGGGAAGTCTCATGGTTTTTCTCGAGTTGCGGCAGGGACCTGGGGTATGTTCTCGAGTTACGGCGGGGATGGCCCTTCAAATCATGTGTTTATTCAGTGACGTCAGAACACCTGTCTAGTAACGAGGGACACCTCAGGAATCTCTTCGAGGCTTGGCAGGGCAAAAGGAACGCTAATCCAGGTGAGGCAGGGCACCAAAGGACACTTTCCAGTAGCCACAGGGATTTTGGGATTCCTATCAGTATTCAAGAGGAGTCAGGCATCGTCACCTTTTCAAGCAGTGAACTCCGCGTGCCTCTCGACTTGTCAACGGGATGTGAGGCATTCCGTCAAAATGAGGCAGGGACCTAGGGCTTTCTCTCAGGTCTCCACAGGGGATTCAGATCATCCCTTCATGTCGTGAGATGAAAGACGAGCCTATATTCAAGCCACTGCAAGGAAATCCGGCCTCCTTTCAAGTTAGGGCTTCTCGCTGTATATTCCACTTGAGGCAGCAAACTCGGGGTCCCTCCCACATACCTATTGCTGAGAGAAGCCTCCTCTTGAGGTGCTTCTGGAAGGGTGGCATACGTCTTGAGCCTAAGCCAGGGAATCAGCTCTCATCTCGAGACGATTTGGGGTACACGGAGCATTCCTCGAGTTGCTGTGCTGAAGTTGGTGTTCCTCTAGACTTGGGACAGTGTTCTCGGGGCATCTCTGGAGTTGCCTGAATGAAGTCAAGCCACTGGTCGTGTTGAATGGGGAACGGGGGATGGCTCTGGAGTCAATGCAGGGGAATCGGGCTTCATCTCTCGTTGATTTCAGGCACACGGCACTGCTTTGCGTTGCTGTGGTGACCTCAGGGTCCGTCTAGTCTGGTGACAGTGTTCTTGGGGACTGTCTCGAGATCCGTTAAGCAAGTCGAAGCTCCTGACTTGTTTGATGGGGATTACGGAATATCTCTGCATGCTCTGCAGGTGAAAGTGGCCTCATCTCACCTCTAGGGGAAATCTCATGGTTTTTCTCGAGTTGCGGCCGGGACCTGCGGTATGTTCTCGAGTTACGGCGGGGATGGCCCTTCAAAACACGTGTTTATTCAGTGACGTCAGGACTCCTGTCTAGTAACGAGGGACACCTCAGGAATCTCTTCGAGGCTTGGCAGGGCAAAAGGGAAGCTTCTCGAGCTGAGGCAGGGCACCAAAGACCCATTTCAGTAGCCACAGGGATTTTGGGATTCCTATCAGTATTCAAGAGGAGTCAGGCATCGTCACCTTTTGAAGCAGTGAACTCCGCGTGCCTCTCGAAGTGTCAACGGGATGTGAGGCATTCCGTCAAAATGAGGCAGGGACATAGGGCTTTCTCTCAGGTCAACACAGGGGATTCAGACATCCCTTCATGTTGTGAGATGAAAGATGAGCCTGTATTCAAGCCATTGCAAGGAAATCCGGCCTCCTTTCAAGTTAGGGCTTCTCGCCATATATTCCACTTGTGGCAGCAAACTCGGGGTCCCTCCCACATACCTATTGCTGAGAGAAGCCTCCTCTTGAGGTGCTTCTGGAAGGGTGGCATTCGTCTTGAGCCTAAGCCAGGGAATCAGCTCTCATCTCGAGACGATTTGGGGTACACGGGGCATTCCTCGAGTTCCTGTGCTTAAGCTGGTGTTTCTCTGGACTTGCAACAGTGTTCTCGGGGCATCTCTGGAGTTGCCTGAATGAAGTCAAGCCAGTGGTCGTGTTGAATGGGGAACGGGGGATGGCTCTGGAGTCAATGCAGGGGTATCGGGCCTCATCTCGCACTGATTTCGGGCACACGGCGCTGCTTTGCGTTGTTGGGTTTACCTGAGGGTCCGTCTAGACTTGTGACAGTGTTCTTGGGGACTGTCTCGAGATCCATTAAACAAGTCGAAGTTCCTGACTTGTTTGATGGGGATCACGGAATAGCTCTGCATGCACTGCAGGGGAATGGGGCCTCATCTCGCCTCTAGGGGGAAGTCTCAGGGTTTTTCACGAGTTTGGCGGGGACCGGGGGTATGGTCTCGAGTTACGGCAGGGATGGCCCTTCAAATCACGTGTTTATTCAGTGACGTCAGGACTCCTGTCTAGTAACGAGGGACACCTCAGGAATCTCTTCGAGGCTTGCCAGGGCAAAAGAGACGCTTCTCGATGTGAGGCAGGGCACCCAAGGACCCTTTCCAGTAGCCACAGTGATTTTGGGATTCCTATCAGTATTCAAGAGTAGTCAGGCATCGTCACCTTTTGAAGCAGTGAACTCCGCGTGCCTCTCGAGGTGTCAACGGGATGTGAGGCTTTCCGTCAAAATGAGGCAGGGATCTAGGGCTTTCGCTAAGTTCTCCACAGGGGATTCAGACATCCCTTCATGCTGTGAGATGAAAGATGAGCCTGTATTCAAGCCACTGCAAGGAAATCTGGCCTCCTTTCAAGTTAGGGCTTCTCGCTGTATATTCCACTTGAGGCAGCACACTCGGGGTCCCTCCCACATACCTAGTGCTGAGAGAAGCCTCCTCTTGAGGTGCTTCTGGAAGGTTGGCATATGTCTTGAAAATAAGCCAGGGAATCAGCTTTCATCTCGATATGATTTGGGTACACGGTGCATTCCTCGAGTTGCTGTGCTGAAGTTGGTGTTCCTCTAGACTTGCGACAGTGTTCTCGGGGCATTTCTGGAGTTGCCTGAAGGAAGTCAAGCCACTTGTCTTGTTGAATGGGGAATGGGGGATGGCTCTGGAGTCAATGCAGGGGAATCGGGCCTCATCTCGAGTTGATTTGGGGCACACGGCCCTGCTCTGTGTTGCTGTGGTGACCTCAGTTTCCGTCTAGACTGGTTACAGTGTTCTTGGGGACTGTCTCGAGATCCATTAAGCTAGTCGAAGCTCCTGACTTGTTTGATGGGGATCACGGAATAGCTCTGCATGCACTGCAGGGGAATGGTGCCTCATCTCGCCTCTAGGGGGAAGTCTCATGGTTTTTCTCGAGTTGCGGCAGGGCCTAGGGTATGTTTTCGAGTTACGGCAGGGATAGCCCTTCAAATCACGTGTTTATTCAGTGACGTCAAAACCTCTGTCTAGTAAGGAGGGACACCTCAGGAATCTCTTCGAGGCTTGACAGGGCAAAAGGGACGCTTCTCCAGGTGAGGCAGGGCACCCAAGTACTCTTTCCAGTAGCCACAGTGATTTTGGGATTCCTATCAGTATTCAAGAGGAGTCAGGCATCGTCACCTTTTGAAGCAGTGAACTCCGCGTGCCTCTCGAGGTGTCAACGGGATGTGAGGCATTCCGTCAAAATGAGGCAGGGACCTATGGCTTTCGCTAAGGTCTCCACAGGGGATTCAGACATCCCTTCATGTTGTGAGATGAAAGACGAGCCTGTATTCAAGCCACTGCAAGGAAATCCGGCCTCCTTTCAAGTTAGGGCTTCTCGCTATTTATTCCACTTGAGGCAGCAAACTCGGGGTCCCTCCCACATACCTATTGCTGAGAGAAGCCTCCTCCTGAGGTGCTTCTGGAAGGGTGGCATACGTCTTGAGCCTAAGTCAGGGAATCAGCTCTCATCTCGAGACGATTTGGGGTACACGGAGCATTCCTCGAGTTGCTCTGCTGAAGTTGGTGTTCCTCTAGACTGGCGACAGTGTTCTCGTGGCATCTCTGGAGTTGCCTGAAGGAAGTCAAGCCACTGGATGTGTTGAATGGGGAACAGGGGATGGTTCTGGAGTCATTGCAGGGGGATCGGGCCTCATCTCGAGTTGATTTGGGGCACACGGAGCTGCTTTGCGTTGCTGGGGTAACCTCAGGGTCCGTCTAGACTGGTGACAGTGTTCTTGGGGACTGTCTCGAGATCCGTTAAGCAAGTCAAAGTCCTGACTTGTTTGATGGGGATCACGGAATAGCTCTGCATGCACTGCAGGGGAATGGGGCCTCATCTCGCCTCTAGGGGGAAGTCTCGTGGTTTTTCTCAAGTTGCGGTGGGGACCTGGGGTATGTTCTCGAGTTACGGCCGGGATTGCCCTTCAAAACACGTCTTTATTCAGTGACGTCAGGACTCCTGTCTAGTAACGAGGGACACCTCAGGAATCTCTTCGAGGCTTGGCAGGGCAAAAGGGACGCTAATCCAGGTGAGGCAGGGCACCAAAGGACACTTTCCAGTAGCCACAGGGATTTGGGGATTCCTATCAGTATTCACGAGGAGTCAGGCATCGTCACCTTTTGAAGCAGTGAACTCCGCGTGCCTCTCGACGTGTCAACGGGATGTGAGGCATTCCGTCAAAATGAGGCAGGGACCTAGGGCTTTCTCTCAGGTCTCCACAGGGGATTCAGATCATCCCTTCATGTGGTGAGATGAAAGACGAGCCTATATTCAAGCCACTGCAAGGAAATCCGGCCTCCTTTCAAGTTAGGGCTTCTCGCTGTATATTCCACTTGAGGCGGCAAACTCGGGGTCCCTCCCACATACCTATTGTTGAGAGAAGCCTCCTCTGGAGGTGCTTCTGGAAGGTTGGCATATGTCTTGAAAATAAGCCAGGGAATCAGCTCTCATCTCGAGATGATTTGGGTACACGGAGCATTCCTCGAGTTGCTGTGCTGAAGTTGGTGTTCCTCTAGACTTGCGACAGTGTTCTCGGGGCATCTCTGGAGTTGCCTGAAGGAAGTCAAGCCACTGGTCTTGTTGAATGGGGAATGGGGGATGGCTCTGGAGTCCATGCAGGGGAATCGGGCCTCATTTCGAGTTGATTTGTGGCACACGGTGGTGCTTTGCGTTGCTGTGGTGAAGTCAGGGCCGTCTAGACTGGTGACAGTGGTCTTGGGGACTGTCTCGAGATCCATTAAGCAAGTCGAAGCTCCTGACTTGTTTGATGGGGATCACGGAATAGTTCTGCATGCACTGCAGGGGAATGGGACTCATCTCGCCTCTAGGGGGAGGTCTCATGGTTTTCTCGAGTTGCGGCGGGGACCTGGCGTATGTTCTCGAGTTACGGCATGGATGGCCCTTCAAATCACGTGTTTATTCAGTGGCATCAAAACCCCTGTCTAGTAACGAGGGACACCTCAGGAATCTCTTCGAGGCTTGGCAGGGCAAAAGGGACGCTTCTCGAAGTGAGGCAGGGCACCCAAGTACTCTTTCCCGTAGCCACAGTGATTTTGGGATTCCTATCAGTATTCAAGAGGAGTCAGGCATCATCACCTTTTGAAGCAGTGAACTCCGCGTGCCTCTCGAGGTGTCAACGGGATGTGAGGCATTCCGTCAAAATGAGGCAGGGACCTAGGGCTTTCGCTAAGGTCTCCACAGGGGATTCAGACATCCCTTCATTTGTGAGATGAAAGACGAGCCTGTATTCAAGCCACTGCAAGGAAATTATGCCTCCTTTCAAGATAGGGCTTCTCGCTATATATTCCACTTAAGGCAGGACACTCGGGGTCCCTCCCACATACCTATTGCTGAGAGAAGCCTCCTCCTGAGGTGCTTCTGGAAGGGTGGCATACGTCTTGAGCCTAAGTCAGGGAATCAGCTCTCATCTCGAGACGATTTGGGGTACACGGAGCATTCCTCGAGTTGCTGTGCTGAAGTTGGTGTTCCTCTAGACTTGCGACAGTGTTCTCGGGGCATCTCTGCAGTTGCCAGAAGGAAGTCAAGCCACTGGTCGTGTTGAATGGGGAACGGGGGATGGCTCTGGAGTCAATGCAGTGGAATCGGGCCTCATCTCGATTTTATTTGGGGCACACGGCCCTGCTTTGCCTTGCTGGGTTGACCTCAGGATCCGTCTAGTCTGGTGACAGTGTTTTTGGGGACTGTCTCGAGGTCCATTAAGCAAGTCGAAGCTCCTGACTTGTTAGATGGGGATCACGGAATAGCTCTGGATGCACTGCAGGGGAATGGGGCCTCATCTCACCTCTAGGCGGAAGTCTCATGGTTTTTCTCGAGTTGCGGCGGGGACCTGGGGTATGTTCTCGAGTTACGGCGGGGATGGCCCTTCAAAACACGTGTTTATTCAGTGACGTCAGGACTCCTGTCTAGTAACGAGGGACACCTCAGGAATCTCTTCGAGGCTTGGCAGGGCAAAAGGGACGCTTCTCGAGCTGAGGCAGGGCACGAAAGACACATTTCAGTAGCCACAGGGATTTTGGGATTCCTATCCGTATTCAAGAGGAGTCAGGCATCGTCACCTTTTGAAGCAGTGAACTCCGCGTGCCTCTCGACGTGTCAACGGGTTGTGAGGCATTCCGTCAAAATGAGGCAGGGACCTAGGGCTTTCTCTCAGGTCTCCACAGGGGATTCAGATCATCCCTTCATGTGGTGAGATGAAAGACGAGCCTATATTCAAGCCACTGCAAGGAAATCCGGCCTCCTTTCAAGTTAGGGCTTCTCGTTGTGTATTCCCCTTGAGGCAGCAAACTCGGGGTCCCTCCCACATACCTGTTGCTGAGAGAAGCCTCTTCGTGAGGTGCTTCTGGAAGGTTGGCATACGTCTTGAGCCTAAGCCAGGGAATCAGCTCTCATCTCGAGATAATTTGGGGTACACGGAGCAATCCTCGTGTTGCTGTGCTGAATTTGGTGTTCCTCTAGACTTGGGACATTGTTCTCGAGGCATCTCTGGAGTTGGCTGAAGGAAGTCAAGCCACTGGTCGTGTGGAATGGATAACGGGGGCTGGCTCTGGAGTCAATGCAGGGGAATCGGGCCTCATCTCGATTTGAATTGGGGCACATGGAGCTGCTTTGCGTTGCTGGCTTGACCTTAGAGTGGGTCTAGACTGGTGACAGTGTTCTTGGGGACTGTCTCGAGATCCGTTAAGCAAGTCGAAGCTCCTGACTTGTTTGATGGGGATCACGGAATAGCTCTCCATGCACTGCAGGGGAATGGGGCCTCATCTCACCTCTAGGGGGAAGTCTCATGGTTTTTCTCGAGTTGCGGCAGGGACCTGGGGTATGTTCTCGAGTTACGGCGGGGATGGCCCTTCAAATCATGTGTTTATTCAGTGACGTCAGAACACCTGTCTAGTAACGAGGGACACCTCAGGAATCTCTTCGAGGCTTGGCAGGGCAAAAGGAACGCTAATCCAGGTGAGGCAGGGCACCAAAGGACACTTTCCAGTAGCCACAGGGATTTTGGGATTCCTATCAGTATTCAAGAGGAGTCAGGCATCGTCACCTTTTCAAGCAGTGAACTCCGCGTGCCTCTCGACTTGTCAACGGGATGTGAGGCATTCCGTCAAAATGAGGCAGGGACCTAGGGCTTTCTCTCAGGTCTCCACAGGGGATTCAGATCATCCCTTCATGTCGTGAGATGAAAGACGAGCCTATATTCAAGCCACTGCAAGGAAATCCGGCCTCCTTTCAAGTTAGGGCTTCTCGCTGTATATTCCACTTGAGGCAGCAAACTCGGGGTCCCTCCCACATACCTATTGCTGAGAGAAGCCTCCTCTTGAGGTGCTTCTGGAAGGGTGGCATACGTCTTGAGCCTAAGCCAGGGAATCAGCTCTCATCTCGAGACGATTTGGGGTACACGGAGCATTCCTCGAGTTGCTGTGCTGAAGTTGGTGTTCCTCTAGACTTGGGACAGTGTTCTCGGGGCATCTCTGGAGTTGCCTGAATGAAGTCAAGCCACTGGTCGTGTTGAATGGGGAACGGGGGATGGCTCTGGAGTCAATGCAGGGGAATCGGGCTTCATCTCTCGTTGATTTCAGGCACACGGCACTGCTTTGCGTTGCTGGCGTTACCTGAGGGTCCGTCTAGACTTGTGAAAGTGTTCTTGGGGACTGTCTCGAGATCCATTAACCAAGTCGAAGCTCCTGACTTCTTTGATGGGGATTACGGAATAGCTCTGCATGCACTGCAGGGGAATGGGGCTTCATCTCGCCTCTAGGGGGAAGTCTCATGGTTTTTCTCAAGTTCGGCGGGGACCGGGGGTATGTTCTCGAGTTTCGGCGGGGATGGCCCTTCAAAACACGTGTTTATTCAGTGACGCCAGGACTCCTGTCTAGTAATGAGGGACACCTCAGGAATCTCTTCGAGGCTTGGCAGGGCAAAAGGGATGCTTCTCGAGCTGAGGCAGGGCACCAAAGACACATTTCAGTAGCCACAGGGATTTTGGGATTCCTATCAGTATTCAAGAGGAGTCAGGCATCGTCACCTTTTGAAGCAGTGAACTCCGCATGCCTCTCGAGGTGTCAACGGGATGTGAGGCATTCCGTCAAAATGAGGCAGGGACCTAGGGCTTTCCCTCAGGTCAACACAGGGGATTCAGACATCCCTTCATGTTGTGAGATGAAAGACGAGCCTGTATTCAAGCCACTGCAAGGAAATCCGGCCTCCTTTCAAGTTAGGGCTTCTCGCTGTATATTCCACTTGAGGCAGCAAACTCGGGGTCCCTCCCACATACCTATTGCTGAGAGAAGCCTCCTCCTCAGGTGCTTCTGGAAGGTTGGCATACGTCTTGAGCCTAAGCCAGGGAATTAGCTCTCATCTCGAGATGATTTGGGGTACACGGAGCATTCCTCGAGTTGCTGTGCTGAAGTTGGTGTTCCTCTAGACTTGCGACAGTGTTTTCGTGGCATCTCTGGAGTTGCCTGAAGGAAGTCAAGCCACTGGTCGTGTTGAATGGGGAACAGCGGCTGGCTCTGGAGTCAATGGAGTGGAATCCGGCCTCATCTCGAGTTTATTTGGGGCACACGGCCCTGCTTTGCCTTGCTGGGGTGACCTCAGGGTCCGTCTAATCTGGTGACAGTGTTTTTGGGGACTCTCTCGAGATCCATTAAGCAAGTCAAAGCTCCTGACTTGTTTGATGGGGATCACGGAATAGCTCTGGATGCACTGCAGGGGAATGGGGCCTCCCTCATCTCACCTCTAGGGGGAAGTCTCATGGTTTTTCACGAGTTCGGCGTGGACCGGGGGTATGATCTCGAGTTACGGCAGGGATGGCCTTTCAAATCACGTGTTTATTCAGTGACGTCAGGACTCCTCTCTAGTAACGAGGGACACCTCAGGAATCTCTTCGAGGCTTGGCAGGGCAAAAGGGATGCTTCTTGAGCTGAGGCAGGGCACGAAAGACACATTTCAGTAGCCACAGGGATTTTGGGATTCCTATCAGTATTCCAGAGGAGTCAGGCATCGTCACCTTTTGAAGCAGTGAACTCCGCATGCCTCTCGAGGTGTCAACGGGATGTGAGGCATTCCGTCAAAATGAGGCAGGGAACTAGGGCTTTCTCTCAGGTCAACACAGGGGATTCAGACATCCCTTCATGTTGTGAGATGAAAGACGAGCCTGTATTCAAGCCACTGCAAGGAAATTCCGCCTCCTTTCAAGTTAGGGCTTCTCGCTGTATATTCCACTTGTGGCAGCAAACTCGGGGTCCCTCCCACATACCTATTGCTGAGAGAAGCCTCCTCTTGAGGTGCTTCTGGAAGGTTGGCATATGTCTTGAAAATAAGCCAGGGAATCAGCTTTCATCTCGATATGATTTGGGTACCCGGTGCATTCCTCGAGTTGCTGTGCTGAAGTTGGTGTTCCTCTAGACTTGCGACAGTGTTCTCGGGGCATCTCTGGAGTTGCCTGAAGGAAGTCAAGCCACTTGTCTTGTTGAATGGGGAATGGGGGATGGCTCTGGAGTCAATGCAGGGGAATCGGGCCTCATCTCGAGTTGATTTGGGGCACACGGCCCTGCTTTGTGTTGCTGTGATGACCTCAGTGTCCGTCTAGACTGGTTACAGTGTTCCTGGGGACTCTCTCGAGATCCATAAAGCAAGTCAAAGCTCCTGACTTGTTTGATGGGGATCACGGAATAGCTCTGCATGCACTGCAGGGGAATGGTGCCTCATCTCGCCTCTAGGGGGAAGTCTCATGGTTTTTCTCGAGTTGCCGCGGGGCCTGTGGTATGTTCTCGAGTTATGGCAGGGATGGCCCTTCAAATCACGTGTTTATTCAGTGACGTCAAAACCTCTGTCTAGTAAGGAGGGACACCTCAGGAATCTCTTCGAGGCTTGACAGGGCAAAAGGGACGCTTCTCGAGGTGAGGCAGGGCACCCAAGGACTCTTTCCAGTAGCCACAATGATTTTGGGATTCCTATCAGTATTCAAGAGGAGTCAGGCATCGTTACCTTTTGAAGCAGTGAACTCCGCGTGCCTCTCGAGATGTCAACGGGATGTGAGGCATTCCGTCAAAATGAGGCAGGGACCTAGGGCTTTCTCTCAGGTCTCCACAGGGCATTCAGACATCCCTTCATGTTGTGAGATGAAAGACGAGCCTATATTCAAGCCACTGCAAGGAAATTCTACCTCCTTTCAAGTTAGGGCTTCTCGCTATTTACTCCACTTGAGGCAGCACACTCGGGGTCCCTCCCACATATATATTGCTGAGAGAAGCCTCCTCCTGAGGTGCTTCTGGAAGGGTGGCATACGTCTTGAGCCTAAGTCATGGAATCAGCTCTCATCTCGAGACGATTTGGGGTACACGGAGCATTGCTCGAGTTGCTCTGCTGAAGTTGGTGTTCCTCTAGACATGCAACAGTGTTCTCTTGGCATCTCTGGAGTTGCCTGAAGGAAGTCAACCCACTGGATGTGTTGAATGGGGAACGGGGGATGGCTCTGGAGTCATTGCAGGGGGATCGGGCCTCATCTCGAGTTGATTTGGGGCACACGGAGCTGCTTTGCGCTGCTGGGGTGACCTCAGGGTCCGTCTAGACTGGTGACAGTGTTCTTGGGGACTGTCTCGAGATCCGTTAAGCCAGTCGAAGCTCCTGACTTGTTTGATGGGGATCACGGAATAGCTCTGCATGCACTGCAGGGGAATGGGGCCTCATCTCGCCTCTAGGGGGAAGTCTCATGGTTTTTCTCGAGTTGCGGTGGGGACCTGGTGTATGTTCTCGAGTTACGGCGGGGATGGCCCTTCAAAACACGTCTTTATTCAGTGACGTCAGGACTCCTGTCTAGTAACGAGGGACACCTCAGGAATCTCTTCGAGGCTTGGCAGGGTAAAAGGGACGCTTCTCGAGCTGACGCAGGGCACCGAAGACCCATGTCAGTAGCCACAGGGATTTTGGGATTCCTATCAGTATTGAAGAGGAGTCAGGCATCGTCACCTTTTAAAGCAGTGAACTCCGTGTGCATCCCAAGGAATCAACGGTATGTGAGGCATTCCGTCAAAATGAGGCTGGGAACTAGGGCTTTCTCTCAGGTCTCGACAGGGGATTCAGACATCCCTTCATGTTGTGAGATGAAAGACGAGCCCGTATTCAAGCCACTGCAAGGTAGTCCGGCCTCCTTTCAAGTTAGGGCTTCTCGTTGTGTATTCCACCTGAGGCAACAAACTCTGGGTCCCTCTCACATACCTATTGCTGAGGGAAGCCTCTTCGTGAGGTGCTTCTGGAAGGTTGGCATACGTCTTGACCCTAAGCCAGGGAATCAGCTCTCATCTCCAGATAATTTGGGTTACACGGAGCAATCCTCTTGTTGCTGTGCTGAAGTTGGTGTTCCTCTAGACTTGGGACATTGTTCTCGAGGCATCTCTGGAGTTGGCTGAATGAAGTCAAGCCACTGGTCGTGTGGAATGGATAACGGGGGCTGGCTCTGGAGTCAATGCAGGGGAATCGGGCCTCATCTCGGGTTGAATTGGGGCACATGGAACTGCTTTGCGTTGCTGGCTTGACCTTAGAGTGGGTCTAGACTGGTGACAGTGTTCTTGGGGACTGTCTCGAGATCCGTTAAGCAAGTCGAAGCTCCTGACTTGTTTGATGGGGATCACAGAATAGCTCTGCATGCACTGCAGGGGAATGGGGCCTCATCTCACCTCTAGGGGGAAGTCTCATGGTTTTTCTCGAGTTGCGGCAGGGACCTGGGGTATGTACTCGAGTTACGGCAGGGATGGCCCTTCAAATCACGTGTTTATTCAGTGACGTCAGAACTCCTGTCTAGTAACGAGGGACACCTCAGGAATCTCTTCGAGGCTTGGCAGGGCAAAAGGAACGCTAATCCAGGTGAGGCAGGGCACCGAAGGACACTTTCCAGTAGCCACAGGGATTTTGGGATTCCTATCAGTATTCAAGAGGAGTCAGGCATCGTCACCTTTTGAAGCAGTGAACTCCGCGTGCCTCTCGACGTGTCAACGGGATGTGAGGCATTCCGTCAAAATGAGGCAGGGACCTAGGGCTTTCTCTCAGGTCTCCACAGGGGATTCAGATCATCCCTTCCTGTCGTGAGATGAAAGACGAGCCTATATTCAAGCCACTGCAAGGAAATCCGGCCTCCTTTCAAGTTAGGGCTTCTCGCTATATATTCAAATTGAGGAAGCAAACTCGGGGTCCCTGCCACATACCTATTGCTGAGAGAAGCCTCCTCTTGAGGTGCTTCTGGAAGGTTGGCATATGTCTTGAAAATAAGCCAGGGAATCAGCTCTCATCTCGAGATGATTTGGGTACACGGAGCATTCCTCGAGTTGCTGTGCTGAAGTTGGTGTTCCTCTAGACTTGCGACAGTGTTCTCGGGGCATCTCTGGAGTTGCCTGAAGGAAGTCAAGCCACTGGTCTTGTTGAATGGGGAATGGGGGATGACTCTGGAGTCCATGCAGGGGAATCGGGCCTCATCTCGAGTTGATTTGTGGCACACGGCCGTGCTTTGCGTTGCTGTGGTGACGTCAGGGCCGTCTAGACTGGTGACAGTGGTCTTGGGGACTGCCTCGAGATCCATTAAGCAAGTCGAAGCTCCTGACTTGTTTGATGGGGATCACGGAATAGTTCTGCATGCACTGCAGGGGAATGGGGCCTCATCTCGCCTCTAGGGGGAAGTCTCATGGTTTTTCTCGAGTTGCGGCGGGGACCTGGGATACGTTCTCGAGTTACGGCAGGGATGGCCCTTCAAATCACGTGTTTATTCAGTGACGTCAAAACCCCTGTCTAGTAACGAGGGACACCTCAGGAATCTCTTCGAGGCTTGACAGGGCAAAAGGGACGCTTCTCGAGGTGAGGCAGGGCACCCAAGGACTCTTTCCCGTAGCCACAGTGATTTTGGAATTCCTATCAGTATTCAAGAGGAGTCAGGCATCATCACCTTTTGAAGCAGTGAACTCCGCGTGCCTCTCGAGGTGTCAACGGGATGTGAGGCATTCCGTCAAAATGAGGCAGGGAACTAGGGGTTTTGCTAAGGTCTCCACAGGGGATTCAGACATCCCTTCATGTTGTGAGATGAAAGACTAGCCTGTATTCAAGCCACTGCAAGGAAATCCTGCCTCCTTTCAAGTTAGGGCTTCTCGCTATATATTCCACTTGAGGCAGCACACTCGGGGTCCCTCCCACATACCTATTGCTGAGAGAAGCCTCCTCCTGAGGTGCTTCTGGAAGGGTGGCATACGTCTTGAGCCTAAGTCAGGGAATCAGCTCTCATCTCGAGACGATTTGTGGTACACGGAGCATTCCTCGAGTTGCTATGCTGAAGTTGGTGTTCCTCTAGACTTGCGACAGTGTTCTCGGGGCATCTCTGGAGTTGCCTGAAGGAAGTCAAGCCACTGGTCGTGTTGAATGGGGAACGGGGGATGGCTCTGGAGTCAATGCAGTGGAATCGGGCCTCATCTCGAGTTTATTTGCGGCACACGGCCCTGCTTTGCCTTGCTAGGGGGACCTCAGTGTCCGTCTAGTCTGGTGACAGTGTTTTTGGGGACTGTCTCGAGATCCATTAAGCAAGTCGAAGCTCCTGACTTGTTTGATGGGGATCACGGAATAGCTCTGGATGCACTTCAGGGGAATGGGGCCTCATCTCGCCTCTAGGGGGAAGTCTCATGCTTTTTCTCGAGTTCAGCGTGGACTGGTGGTATGTTCTCGAGTTACGGCGGGGATGGCCCTTCAAAACACGTGTTTATTCAGTGACGTCAGGACTCCTGTCTAGTAACGAGGGAAACCTCAGGAATCTCTTCGAGGCTTGGCAGGGTAAAAGGGACGCTTCTCGAGCGAGGCAGGGCACCAAAGACCCATTTCAGTAGCCACAGGGATTTTGGGATTCCTATCAGTATTCAAGAGGAGTCAGGCATCGTCACCTTTTGAAGCAGTGAACTCCGCATGCCTCTCGAGGTGTCAACGGGATGTGAGGCATTCCGTCAAAATGAGGCAGGGAACTAGGGCTTTCTCTCAGGTCAACACAGGGGATTCAGACATCCCTTCATGTTGTGAGATGAAAGACGAGCCTGTATTCAAGCCACTGCCAGGAAATACTGCCTCCTTTCAAGTTAGGGCTTCTCGCTGTATATTCCATTTGTGGCAGCAAACTCGGGGTCCCTCCCACATACCTATTGCTGAGAGAAGCCTCCTCTTGAGGTGATTCTGGAAGCGTGGCATTCGTCTTGAGCCTAAGCCAGGGAATCAGCTCTCATCTCGAGACGATTTGGGGTACACGGAGCATTCCTCGAGTTGCTGTGCTGAAGCTGGTGTTCCTCTGGACTTGCGACAGTGTTCTCGGGGCATCTCTGGAGTTGCCTGAATGAAGTCAAGCCACTGGTCGTGTTGAATGGGGAACGGGGGATGGCTCTGGAGTCAATGCAGGGGAATCGGGCCTCATCTCGCGTTGATTTCGGGCACACGGCGCTGCTTTGCGTTGCTGGGGTTACCTGAGGGTCCGTCTAGACGTGTGACAGTGTTCCTGGGGACTGTCTCGAGATCCATTAAGCAAGTCGAAGCTCCTGACATGTTTGATGGGGATCACGGAATAGCTCTGCATGCACTGCAGGGGAATGGGGCCTCATCTCGCCTCTAGGGGGAAGTCTCATGCTTTTTCTCGAGTTCAGCGTGGACCGGTTGTATGTTCTCGAGTTACGGCGGGAATGGCCCTTCAAAACACGTGTTTATTCAGTGAGGTCAGGACTCCTGTCTAGTAACGAGGGACACCTCAGGAATCTCTTCGAGGCTTGGCAGGGCAAAAGAGACGCTTCTCGAGGTGAGGCAGGGCACCCTGGTACTCTTTCCAGTAGCCACAGTGATTTTGGGATTCCTATCAGTATTCAAGAGGAGTCAGGCATCGTCACCTCTTGAAGCAGTGAACTCCGCGTGCCTCTCGAGTTGTCAACGGGATGTGAGGCATTGCGTCAAAATGAGGCAGGGAACTACGGCTTTCGCTAAGGTCTCCACAGGGAATTCAGACATCCCTTCATGTTGTGAGATGAAAGACGAGCCTCTATTCAAGCCACTGCAAGGAAATCCCGCCTCCTTTCAAGTTAGGCCTTCTCGCTATATATTCCACTTGAGGCAGCACACTCGGGTTCCCTCCCACATACCTATTGCTGAGAGAAGCCTCCTACTGAGCTGCTTCTGGAAGGGTGGCATACGTCTTGAGCTTAATTCAGGGAATCAGCTCTCATCTCGAGACGATTTGGGGTACACGGAGCATTCCTCGAGTTGCTGTGCTGAAGTTGGTGTTCCTCTAGACTTGCGACAGTGTTCTCGTGGCATCTCTGGAGTTGCCGGAAGGAAGTCAAGCCACTGGTCGTGTTAAATGGGGAACGGGGGATGGCTCTGGAGTCAATACAGTGGGATCGGGCCTCATCTCGACTTTATTTGGGGCACACGGCCCTGCTTTGCCTTGCTGGGGTGACCTCAGGGTCCGTCTAGTCTGGTGACAGTGTTCTTGGGGACTGTCTCGAGATCCATTAAGCAAGTCGAAGCTCCTGACTTGTTTGATGGGGATTACGGAATATCTCTGCATGCACTGCAGGGGAAAGTGGCCTCATCTCACCTCTAGGGGAAATCTCATGGTTTTTCTCGAGTTGCGGCCGGGACCTGGGGTATGTTCTCGAGTTACGGCGGGGATGGCCCTTCAAAACACGTGTTTATTCAGTGACGTCAGGACTCCTGTCTAGTAACGAGGGACACCTCAGGAATCTCTTCGAGGCTTGGCAGGGCAAAAGGGAAGCTTCTCGAGCTGAGGCAGGGCACCAAAGACCCGTTTCATTAGTCACAGGGATTTTGGGATTCCTATCAGTATTCAAGAGGAGTCAGGCATCGTCACATTTTGAAGCAGTGAACTCCGCGTGCCTCTCGAGGTGTCAACGGGATGTGAGGCATTCCGTCAAAATGAGGCAGGGACCTAGGGCTTTCTCTCAGGTCAACAAAGGGGATTCAGACATCCCTTCATGTTGTGAGATGAAAGATGAGCCTGTATTCAAGCCACTGCAAGGAAATCCGGCCTCCTTTCAAGTTAGGGCTTCTCGCTGTATATTCCACTTGAGGCAGCAAACTCGGGGTCCCTCCCACATACCTATTGCTGAGAGAAGCCTCCTCGTGAGGTGCTTCTGGACGGTTGGCATACGTCTTGAGCCTAAGGCAGGGAATCAGCTCTCATCTCGAGATCATTTGGGGTACACGGAGCAATCCTCGTGTTGCAGTGCTGAAGTTGGTGTTCCTCTAGACTTGGGACAGTGTTCTCGGGGCATCTCTGGAGTTGGCTGAAGGAAGTTGAGCCACCGGTCGTGTTGAATGGGTAACGGGGGCTGGCTCTGCAGTCAATGCAGGGGAATCAGGCGTCATCTCGAGTTGATTTGGGGCACATGGAGCTGCTTTGCGTTGCTGGCGTGACCTCAGAGTCCGTCTAGACTGGTGTCATTTTTCTTGGGGACTGTCTCGAGATCCATTAAGCAAGTCGAAGCTCCTGACTTGTTTGATGGGGATCACGGAATATCTCTGCATGCACTGCAGGGGAATGCGGCCTCATCTCGCCTCTAGGGGGAAGTCTCATGGTTTTTCTCGAGTTGCGGTGGGGACCTGGGGTATGTTCTCGAGTTACGGCGGGGATGGCCCTTCAAAACACGTGTTTCTTCAGTGACGTCAGGACTCCTGTCTAGTAACGAGGGACACCTCAGGAATCTCTTCGAGGCTTGGCAGGGCAAAAGGGACGCTTCTCGAGCTGAGGAAGGGCACCAAAGACCCATTTCAGTAGCCACAGGGATTTTGGGATTTCTATCTGATTCAAGAGGAGTCAGGCATCGTCACCTTTTGAAGCAGTGAACTCCTTGTGCCTCTCGAGGTGTCAACGGGATGTGAGGCATTCCGTCAAAATGAGGCAGGACCTAGGGCTTAGTCTCAGGTCTCCACAGGGGATTCAGACCATCCCTTCATGTTGTGAGATGAAAGACGAGCCTATATTCAAGCCACTGCAACGAAATCCGGCCTCCTTTCAAGTTAGGGCTTCTCGCTATATATTCCACTTGAGGCAGCACATTCGGGGTCCCTCCCACAGGTACCTATTGCTGAGAGAAGCCTCCTACTGAGGTGCTTCTGGAAGGGTGGCATACGTCTTGAGCCTAAGCCAGGGAATCAGCTCTCATCTCGAGACGATTTGGGGTACACGGAGCATTCCACCAGTTGCTGTGCTGAAGTTGGTGTTCCTCTAGACTTGCGACAGTTTTCTCGAGGCATCTCTGGAGTTGCCTGAAGGAAGTCAAGCCACTGGTCTTGTTGAATGGGGAACAGGGGATGGCTCTGGTGTCAATGCAGGGGAATCGGGCCTCATCTCGAGTTGATTTGGGGGACACGGCACTGCTTTGCGTTGCTGTGCTGACCTCAGGGTCCCTCTAGACTGGTGACAGTGTTCTTGGGGACTCTCTCGAGATCCATTAAGCAAGTCGAAGCTCCTGACTTGTTTGATGGGGATCACGGAATAGCTCTGCATGCACTGCAGGGGAATGGGGCCTCATCTCGCCTCTAGGGGGAAGTCTCATGGTTTTTCTCGAGTTGCGGCGGGGACCTGGGGTATGTTCTCGACTTACGGCTGGGATAACCCTTCAAATCACGTGTTTATTCAGTGACGTCAGAACTCCTGTCTAGTAACGAGGGACACCTCAGGAATCTCTTCGAGGCTTGACAGGGCAAAAGGGACGCTTATCGAGGTGAGGCAGGGCACCCAAGGACCCTTTCCAGTAGGCACAGTGATTTTGGGATTCCTATCAGTATTCAAGAAGAGTCAGGCATCGTCACCTTTTGAAGCAGGGAACTCCGCGTGCCTCTCGAGTTGTCAACGGCATATGGGGCATTCCGTCAAAATGAAGAAGAAACCTAGGGCTTTCTCTAAGGTCTCCACAGGGGATTCAGATATCCCTTCATGTTGTGAGATGAAAGACGAGCCTGTATTCAAGCCACTGCAAGGAAATCCTGCCTCCTTTCAAGTTAGGGCTTCTCGCTATATATTCCACTTGAGGCAGCACATTCGGGGTCCCTCCCACATACCTATTGCTGAGAGAAGCCTCCTCCTGAGGTGCTTCTGGAAGGGTGGCATACGTCTTGAGACTAAGTCAGGGAATCAGGTCTCATCTACAGACGATTTGGGGTACACGGAGCATTCCTCGAGTTGCTGTGCTGAAGTTGGTGTTCCTCTAGACTTGCGACAGTGTTCTCTTGGCATCTCTGGAGTTGCCTGAAGGAAGTCAAGCCACTGGTCATGTTGAACGGGGAACGGGGGATGGCTCTGGAGTCAATGCAGGGGAATCGGGCCTCATCTCGAGTTGATTTGGGGCACACGGACCTGCTTTGCCTTGCTGGGGTGACCTCAGGGTCCGTCTAGTCTGGTGACAGTGTTCTTGGGGACTGTCTCGAGATCCGTTAAGCAAGTCGAAGCTCCTGACTTGTTTGATGGGGATCACGGAATAGCTCTGCATGCACTGCAGGGGAATGGGGCCTCATCTCGCCTCTAGGGGGAAGTCTCATAGTTTTTCTCGAGTTGCGGTGGGGACCTGGGGTATGTTCTCGAGTTACGGCGGGGATGGCCCTTCAAAACACGTCTTTATTCAGTGACGTCAGGACTCCTGTCTAGTAACGAGGGACACCTCAGGAATCTCTTCGAGGTTTGGCAGGGTAAAAGGGACGCTTCTCGAGCTGAGGCAGGGCACCAAAGACCCATTTCAGTAGCCACAGGGATTTTGGGATTCCTATCAGTATTGAAGAGGAGTCAGGTATCGTCACCTTATAAAGCAGTCAACTCCGTGTGCCTCCCGAGGTGTCAACGGGATGTGAGGCATTCCGTCAAAATGAGGCAGGGAACTAGGGCTTTCTCTCAGGTCTCCACAGGGGATTCAGACATCCCTTCATGTTGTGAGATGAAAGACGAGCCCGTATTCAAGCCACTGCAAGGAAATCCGGCCTCCTTTCAAGTTAGGGCTTCTCGCTGTATATTCCACTTGAGGCACCAAACTCGGGGTCCCTCCCACATAACTATTGCTGAGAGAAGCCTCTTCGTGAGGTGCTTTTGGATGGATGCCATACGTCTTGAGCCTGAGCCAGAGAATCAGCTCTCATCTCGAGACGATTTGGGGTACACGGAGCATTCCTCGAGTTGCTGTGCTGAAGTGGGTGTTCCTCTAGACTTGGGACAGTGTTCTCGGGGCATCTCTGGAGTTGGCTGAAGGAAGTCAAGCCACTGGTCGTGTTGAATGGATAACGGGTGATGGCTCTGGAGTCAATGCAGGGGAATCGGGCCTCATCTCGAGTTAATTTGGGGCACATGGAGCTGCTTTGCGTTGCTGGCTTGACTTCAGAGTGGGTCTAGACTGGTGACAGTGTTCTTGGGGACTGTCTCGAGATCCGTTAAGCAAGTCGAAGCTCCTGACTTGTTTGATGGGGATCACGGAATAGCTCTGCATGCACTGCAGGGGAATGGGGCCTCATCTCACCTCTTGGGGGAAGTCTCATGGTTTTTCTCGAGTTGCAGCAGGGACCTGGGGTATGTTTTCCAGTTACGGCAGGGATGGCCCTTCAAATCACGTGTTTATTCAGTGACGTCAGAACTCCTGTCTAGTAACGAGGGACACCTCAGGAATCTCTTCGAGGCTTGGCAGGGCAAAAGGGACGCTAATCCAGGTGAGGCAGGGCACCAAAGGACACTTTCCAGTAGCCACAGGGATTTTGGGATTCCTATCAGTATTCAAGAGGAGTCAGGCATCGTCACCTTTTGAAGCAGTGACTCCGCATGCCTCTCGAGGTGTCCACGGGATGTGAGGCATTCCGTCAAAATGAGGCAGGGACCTAGGGCTTTCTCTCAGGTCTCCACAGGGGATTCAGATCATCCCTTCATGTCGTGAGATGAAAGACGAGCCTATATTCAAGCCACTGCAAGGAAATCCGGCCTCCTTTCAAGTTAGGGCTTCTCGCTGTATATTCCACATGAGGCAGCAAACTCGGGGTCCCTCCCACATACCTATTGCTGAGAGAAGCCTCCTCTTGAGGTGCTTCTGGAAGGTTGGCATATGTCTTGAAAATAAGCCAGGGAATCAGCTCTCATCTCGAGATGATTTGGGTACACGGAGCATTCCTCGAGTTGCTGTGCTGAAGTTGGTGTTCCTCTAGACTTGCGACAGTGTTCTCGGGGCATCTCTGGAGTTGCCTGAAGGAAGTCAAGCCACTGGTCTTGTTGAATGGGGAATGGGGGATGGCTCTGGAGTCCATGCAGGGGAATCGGGCCTCATCTCGAGTTGATTTGTGGCACACGGCACTGCTTTGCGTTGCTGTGGTGACGTCAGGGTCCGTCTAGACTGGTGACAGTGGTCTTGGGGACTGTCTCGAGATCCATTAAGCAAGTCGAAGCTCCTGATTTGTTTGATGGGCATCACGGAATAGTTCTGCATGCACTGCAGGAGAATGGGGCCTCATCTCGCCTCTAGGGGGAAGTCTCATGGTTTTTCTCCAGTTCGGCGGGGACCTGGGGTATGTTCTCGAGTTACGCCGGGGATGGCCCTTCAAAACACGTGTTTATTCAGTGACGTCAGGACTCCTGTCTAGTAACGTGGGACACCTCAGGAATCTCTTCGAGGCTTGGCAGGGCAAAAGGGACGCCTCTCGAGCTGAGGCAGGGCACCAAAGACACATTTCAGTAGCCACAGGGATTTTGGGATTCCTATCCGTATTCAAGAGGAGTCAGGCATCGTCACCTTTTGAAGCAGTGAACTCCGCATGCCTCTCGAGGTGTCCACGGGATGTGAGGCATTCCGTCAAAATGAGGCAGGGACCTAGGGCTTTCTCTCAGGTCAACACAGGGGATTCAGACATCCCTTCATGTTGTGAGATGAAAGACGAGCCTGTATTCAAGCCACTGCAAGGAAATCCGGCCTCCTTTCAAGTTAGGGCTTCTCGCTGTATATTCCTCTTGTGGCAGCAAACTCGGGGTCCCTCCCACATACCTACTGCTGAGAGAAGCCTCCTCTGGAGGTGCTTCTGGAAGGGTGGCATACGTCTTGAGCCTAAGCCAGGGAATCAGCTCTCATGTCGAGACGATTTGGGGTACACGGAGCATTCCTCGAGTTGCTGTGCTGAAGATGGTGTTCCTCTAGACTTGGGACATTGTTCTCGGGGCATCTCTGGAGTTGGCTGAAGGAAGTCAAGCCACTGGTCTTGTGGAATGGATAACGGGGGCTGGCTCTGGAGTCAATGCAGGGGAATCGGGCCTCATCTCGAGTTGATTTGGGGCACCTGGAGCTGCTTTGCGTTGCTGGCTTGACCTCAGAGTGGGTCTAGACTGGTGACAGTGTTCTTGGGGACTGTCTCGAGATCCGTTAAGCAAGTCGAAGCTCCTGACTTGTTTGATGGGGATCACGGAATAGCTCTGAATGCACTGCAGGGGAATGGGGCCTCATCTCGCCTCTAGGGGGAAGTCTCATGGTTTTTCTCGAGTTGCGGCAGGGACCTGGGGTATGTTCTCGAGATACGGCGGGGATATCCCTTCAAAACACGTGTTTATTCAGTGACGTCAGGACTCCTGTCTAGTAACGACGGACACCTCAGGAATCTCTTCGAGGCTTGGCAGGGCAAAAGGGACGCTTCTCGAGATGATGCATGGCACCAAAGGACCCTTTCCAGTAGCCACAGGGATTTTGGGATTCCTATCAATATTCAAGAGGAGTCAGGCATCGTCACCTTTTGAAGCAGGGAACTCGGCGTGCCTCTCGAGGTGTCAACCGGATGTGAGGCATTCCGTCAAAATGAGGCAGGGACCTAGGGCTTTCGCTAAGATCTCCACAGGGGCTTCAGATATCCCTTCATGTTGTGAGATGAAAGACGAGCCTGTATTCAAGCCACTGCAAGGAAATCCGGCCTCCTTTCAAGTTAGGGCTTCTCGCTGTATATTCCACTTGAGGCAGCAAACTCGGGGTCCCTCCCACATACCTATTGCTGAGAGAAGCCTCCTCGTGAGGTGCTTCTGGACGGTTGGCATACGTCTTGAGCCTAAGGCAGGGAATCAGCTCTCATCTCGAGATAATTTGGGGTACACGGAGCAATCCTCGTGTTGCAGTGCTGAAGTTGGTGTTCCTCTAGACTTGGGACAGTGTTCTCGGGGCATCTCTGGAGTTGGCTGAAGGAAGTTGAGCCACCGGTCGTGTTGAATGGGTAACGGGGGCTGGCTCTGCAGTCAATGCAGGGGAATCAGGCGTCATCTCGAGTTGATTTGGGGCACATGGAGCTGCTTTGCGTTGCTGGCGTGACCTCAGAGTCCGTCTAGACTGGTGTCATTTTTCTTGGGGACTGTCTCGAGATCCATTAAGCAAGTCGAAGCTCCTGACTTGTTTGATGGGGATCACGGAATATCTCTGCATGCACTGCAGGGGAATGCGGCCTCATCTCGCCTCTAGGGGGAAGTCTCATGGTTTTTCTCGAGTTGCGGTGGGGACCTGGGTTATGTTCTCGAGTTACCGCGGGGATGGCCCTTCAAAACACGTGTTTCTTCAGTGACGTCAGGACTCCTGTCTAGTAACGAGGGACACCTCAGGAATCTCTTCGAGGCTTGGCAGGGCAAAAGGGACGCTTCTCGAGCTGAGGAAGGGCACCAAAGACCCATTTCAGTAGCCACAGGGATTTTGGGATTTCTATCTGATTCAAGAGGAGTCAGGCATCGTCACCTTTTGAAGCAGTGAACTCCTTGTGCCTCTCGAGGTGTCAACGGGATGTGAGGCATTCCGTCAAAATGAGGCAGGACCTAGGGCTTAGTCTCAGGTCTCCACAGGGGATTCAGACCATCCCTTCATGTTGTGAGATGAAAGACGAGCCTATATTCAAGCCACTGCAACGAAATCCGGCCTCCTTTCAAGTTAGGGCTTCTCGCTATATATTCCACTTGAGGCAGCACATTCGGGGTCCCTCCCACAGGTACCTATTGCTGAGAGAAGCCTCCTACTGAGGTGCTTCTGGAAGGGTGGCATACGTCTTGAGCCTAAGCCAGGGAATCAGCTCTCATCTCGAGACGATTTGGGGTACACGGAGCATTCCACCAGTTGCTGTGCTGAAGTTGGTGTTCCTCTAGACTTGCGACAGTTTTCTCGAGGCATCTCTGGAGTTGCCTGAAGGAAGTCAAGCCACTGGTCTTGTTGAATGGGGAACAGGGGATGGCTCTGGTGTCAATGCAGGGGAATCGGGCCTCATCTCGAGTTGATTTGGGGGACACGGCACTGCTTTGCGTTGCTGTGCTGACCTCAGGGTCCCTCTAGACTGGTGACAGTGTTCTTGGGGACTCTCTCGAGATCCATTAAGCAAGTCGAAGCTCCTGACTTGTTTGATGGGGATCACGGAATAGCTCTGCATGCACTGCAGGGGAATGGGGCCTCATCTCGCCTCTAGGGGGAAGTCTCATGGTTTTTCTCGAGTTGCGGCGGGGACCTGGGGTATGTTCTCGACTTACGGCTGGGATAACCCTTCAAATCACGTGTTTATTCAGTGACGTCAGAACTCCTGTCTAGTAACGAGGGACAACTCAGGAATCTCTTCGAGGCTTGACAGGGCAAAAGGGACGCTTATCGAGGTGAGGCAGGGCACCCAAGGACCCTTTCCAGTAGGCACAGTGATTTTGGGATTCCTATCAGTATTCAAGAAGAGTCAGGCATCGTCACCTTTTGAAGCAGGGAACTCCGCGTGCCTCTCGAGTTGTCAACGGGATATGGGGCATTCCGTCAAAATGAAGAAGAAACCTAGGGCTTTCTCTAAGGTCTCCACAGGGGATTCAGATATCCCTTCATGTTGTGAGATGAAAGACGAGCCTGTATTCAAGCCACTGCAAGGAAATCCTGCCTCCTTTCAAGTTAGGGCTTCTCGAAATATATTCCACTTGAGGCAGCACATTCGGGGTCCCTCCCACATACCTATTGCTGAGAGAAGCCTCCTCCTGAGGTGCTTCTGGAAGGGTGGCATACGTCTTGAGACTAAGTCAGGGAATCAGCTCTCATCTACAGACGATTTGGGGTACACGGAGCATTCCTCGAGTTGCTGTGCTGAAGTTGGTGTTCCTCTAGACTTGCGACAGTGTTCTCTTGGCATCTCTGGAGTTGCCTGAAGGAAGTCAAGCCACTGGTCATGTTGAACGGGGAACGGGGGATGGCTCTGGAGTCAATGCAGGGGAATCGGGCCTCATCTCGAGTTGATTTGGGGCACACGGACCTGCTTTGCCTTGCTGGGGTGACCTCAGGGTCCGTCTAGTCTGGTGACAGTGTTCTTGGGGACTGTCTCGAGATCCGTTAAGCAAGTCGAAGCTCCTGACTTGTTTGATGGGGATCACGGAATAGCTCTGCATGCACTGCAGGGGAATGGGGCCTCATCTCGCCTCTAGGGGGAAGTCTCATAGTTTTTCTCGAGTTGCGGTGGGGACCTGGGGTATGTTCTCGAGTTACGGCGGGGATGGCCCTTCAAAACACGTCTTTATTCAGTGACGTCAGGACTCCTGTCTAGTAACGAGGGACACCTCAGGAATCTCTTCGAGGCTTGGCAGGGTAAAAGGGACGCTTCTCGAGCTGAGGCAGGGCACCAAAGACCCATTTCAGTAGCCACAGGGATTTTGGGATTCCTATCAGTATTGAAGAGGAGTCAGGCATCGTCACCTTATAAAGCAGTCAACTCCGTGTGCCTCCCGAGGTGTCAACGGGATGTGAGGCATTCCGTCAAAATGAGGCAGGGAACTAGGGCTTTCTCTCAGGTCTCCACAGGGGATTCAGACATCCCTTCATGTTGTGAGATGAAAGACGAGCCTGTATTCAAGCCACTGCAAGGAAATCCGGCCTCCTTTCAAGTTAGGGCTTCTCGCTGTATATTCCACTTGAGGCACCAAACTCGGGGTCCCTCCCACATACCTATTGCTGAGAGAAGCCTCTTCGTGAGGTGCTTTTGGATGGATGCCATACGTCTTGAGCCTGAGCCAGAGAATCAGCTCTCATCTCGAGACGATTTGGGGTACACGGAGCATTCCTCGAGTTGCTGTGCTGAAGTGGGTGTTCCTCTAGACTTGGGACAGTGTTCTCGGGGCATCTCTGGAGTTGGCTGAAGGAAGTCAAGCCACTGGTCGTGTTGAATGGATAACAGGGGATGGCTCTGGAGTCAATGCAGGGGAATCGGGCCTCATCTCGAGTTAATTTGGGGCACATGGAGCTGCTTTGCGTTGCTGGCTTGACTTCAGAGTGGGTCTAGACTGGTGACAGTGTTCTTGGGGACTGTCTCGAGATCCGTTAAGCAAGTCGAAGCTCCTGACTTGTTTGATGGGGATCACGGAATAGCTCTGCATGCACTGCAGGGGAATGGGGCCTCATCTCACCTCTTGGGGGAAGTCTCATGGTTTTCCTCGAGTTGCGGCAGGGACCTGGGGTATGTTTTCCAGTTACGGCAGGGATGGCCCTTCAAATCACGTGTTTATTCAGTGACGTCAGAACTCCTGTCTAGTAACGAGGGACACCTCAGGAATCTCTTCGAGGCTTGGCAGGGCAAAAGGGACGGTAATCCAGGTGAGGCAGGGCACCAAAGGACACTTTCCAGTAGCCACAGGGATTTTGGGATTCCTATCAGTATTCAAGAGGAGTCAGGCATCGTCACCTTTTGAAGCAGTGACTCCGCATGCCTCTCGAGGTGTCCACGGGATGTGAGGCATTCCGTCAAAATGAGGCAGGGACCTAGGGCTTTCTCTCAGGTCTCCACAGGGGATTCAGATCATCCCTTCATGTCGTGAGATGAAAGACGAGCCTATATTCAAGCCACTGCAAGGAAATCCGGCCTCCTTTCAAGTTAGGGCTTCTCGCTGTATATTCCACTTGAGGCAGCAAACTCGGGGTCCCTCCCACATACCTATTGCTGAGAGAAGCCTCCTCTTGAGGTGCTTCTGGAAGGTTGGCATATGTCTTGAAAATAAGCCAGGGAATCAGCTCTCATCTCGAGATGATTTGGGTACACGGAGCATTCCTCGAGTTGCTGTGCTGAAGTTGGTGTTCCTCTAGACTTGCGACAGTGTTCTCGGGGCATCTCTGGAGTTGCCTGAAGGAAGTCAAGCCACTGGTCTTGTTGAATGGGGAATGGGGGATGGCTCTGGAGTCCATGCAGGGGAATCGGGCCTCATCTCGAGTTGATTTGTGGCACACGGCACTGCTTTGCGTTGCTGTGGTGACGTCAGGGTCCGTCTAGACTGGTGACAGTGGTCTTGGGGACTGTCTCGAGATCCATTAAGCAAGTCGAAGCTCCTGATTTGTTTGATGGGCATCACGGAATAGTTCTGCATGCACTGCAGGAGAATGGGGCCTCATCTCGCCTCTAGGGGGAAGTCTCATGGTTTTTCTCCAGTTCGGCGGGGACCTGGGGTATGTTCTCGAGTTACGGCGGGGAAGGCCCTTCAAAACACGTGTTTATTCAGTGACGTCAGGACTCCTGTCTAGTAACGTGGGACACCTCAGGAATCTCTTCGAGCCTTGGCAGGGCAAAAGGGACGCCTCTCGAGCTGAGGCAGGGCACCAAAGACACATTTCAGTAGCCACAGGGATTTTGGGATTCCTATCCGTATTCAAGAGGAGTCAGGCATCGTCACCTTTTGAAGCAGTGAACTCCGCATGCCTCTCGAGGTGTCCACGGGATGTGAGGCATTCCGTCAAAATGAGGCAGGGACCTAGGGCTTTCTCTCAGGTCAACACAGGGGATTCAGACATCCCTTCATGTTGTGAGATGAAAGACGAGCCTGTATTCAAGCCACTGCAAGGAAATCCGGCCTCCTTTCAAGTTAGGGCTTCTCGCTGTATATTCCTCTTGTGGCAGCAAACTCGGGGTCCCTCCCACATACCTACTGCTGAGAGAAGCCTCCTCTGGAGGTGCTTCTGGAAGGGTGGCATACGTCTTGAGCCTAAGCCAGGGAATCAGCTCTCATCTCGAGACGATTTGGGGTACACGGAGCATTCCTCGAGTTGCTGTGCTGAAGCTGGTGTTCCTCTAGACTTGGGACATTGTTCTCGGGGCATCTCTGGAGTTGGCTGAAGGAAGTCAAGCCACTGGTCTTGTGGAATGGATAACGGGGGCTGGCTCTGGAGTCAATGCAGGGGAATCGGGCCTCATCTCGAGTTGATTTGGGGCACCTGGAGCTGCTTTGCGTTGCTGGCTTGACCTCAGAGTGGGTCTAGACTGGTGACAGTGTTCTTGGGGACTGTCTCGAGATCCGTTAAGCAAGTCGAAGCTCCTGACTTGTTTGATGGGGATCACGGAATAGCTCTGAATGCACTGCAGGGGAATGGGGCCTCATCTCGCCTCTAGGGGGAAGTCTCATGGTTTTTCTCGAGTTGCGGCAGGGACCTGGGGTATGTTCTCGAGATACGGCGGGGATATCCCTTCAAAACACGTGTTTATTCAGTGACGTCAGGACTCCTGTCTAGTAACGACGGACACCTCAGGAATCTCTTCGAGGCTTGGCAGGGCAAAAGGGACGCTTCTCGAGATGATGCATGGCACCAAAGGACCCTTTCCAGTAGCCACAGGGATTTTGGGATTCCTATCAATATTCAAGAGGAGTCAGGCATCGTCACCTTTTGAAGCAGGGAACTCCGCGTGCCTCTCGAGGTGTCAACCGGATGTGAGGCATTCCGTCAAAATGAGGCAGGGACCTAGGGCTTTCGCTAAGATCTCCACAGGGGCTTCAGATATCCCTTCATGTTGTGAGATGAAAGACGAGCCTGTATTCAAGCCACTGCAAGGAAATCCGGCCTCCTTTCAAGTTAGGGCTTCTCGCTGTATATTCCACTTGAGGCAGCAAACTCGGGGTCCCTCCCACATACCTATTGCTGAGAGAAGCCTCCTCGTGAGGTGCTTCTGGACGGTTGGCATACGTCTTGAGCCTAAGGCAGGGAATCAGCTCTCATCTCGAGATAATTTGGGGTACACGGAGCAATCCTCGTGTTGCAGTGCTGAAGTTGGTGTTCCTCTAGACTTGGGACAGTGTTCTCGGGGCATCTCTGGAGTTGGCTGAAGGAAGTTGAGCCACCGGTCGTGTTGAATGGGTAACGGGGGCTGGCTCTGCAGTCAATGCAGGGGAATCAGGCGTCATCTCGAGTTGATTTGGGGCACATGGAGCTGCTTTGCGTTGCTGGCGTGACCTCAGAGTCCGTCTAGACTGGTGTCATTTTTCTTGGGGACTGTCTCGAGATCCATTAAGCAAGTCGAAGCTCCTGACTTGTTTGATGGGGATCACGGAATATCTCTGCATGCACTGCAGGGGAATGCGGCCTCATCTCGCCTCTAGGGGGAAGTCTCATGGTTTTTCTCGAGTTGCGGTGGGGACCTGGGGTATGTTCTCGAGTTACCGCGGGGATGGCCCTTCAAAACACGTGTTTCTTCAGTGACGTCAGGACTCCTGTCTAGTAACGAGGGACACCTCAGGAATCTCTTCGAGGCTTGGCAGGGCAAAAGGGACGCTTCTCGAGCTGAGGAAGGGCACCAAAGACCCATTTCAGTAGCCACAGGGATTTTGGGATTTCTATCTGATTCAAGAGGAGTCAGGCATCGTCACCTTTTGAAGCAGTGAACTCCTTGTGCCTCTCGAGGTGTCAACGGGATGTGAGGCATTCCGTCAAAATGAGGCAGGACCTAGGGCTTAGTCTCAGGTCTCCACAGGGGATTCAGACCATCCCTTCATGTTGTGAGATGAAAGAGGAGCCTATATTCAAGCCACTGCAACGAAATCCGGCCTCCTTTCAAGTTAGGGCTTCTCGCTATATATTCCACTTGAGGCAGCACATTCGGGGTCCCTCCCACAGGTACCTATTGCTGAGAGAAGCCTCCTACTGAGGTGCTTCTGGAAGGGTGGCATACGTCTTGAGCCTAAGCCAGGGAATCAGCTCTCATCTCGAGACGATTTGGGGTACACGGAGCATTCCACCAGTTGCTGTGCTGAAGTTGGTGTTCCTCTAGACTTGCGACAGTTTTCTCGAGGCATCTCTGGAGTTGCCTGAAGGAAGTCAAGCCACTGGTCTTGTTGAATGGGGAACAGGGGATGGCTCTGGTGTCAATGCAGGGGAATCGGGCCTCATCTCGAGTTGATTTGGGGGACACGGCACTGCTTTGCGTTGCTGTGCTGACCTCAGGGTCCATCTAGACTGGTGACAGTGTTCTTGGGGACTCTCTCGAGATCCATTAAGCAAGTCGAAGCTCCTGACTTGTTTGATGGGGATCACGGAATAGCTCTGCATGCACTGCAGGGGAATGGGGCCTCATCTCGCCTCTAGGGGGAAGTCTCATGGTTTTTCTCGAGTTGCGGCGGGGACCTGGGGTATGTTCTCGACTTACGGCTGAGATAACCCTTCAAATCACGTGTTTATTCAGTGACGTCAGAACTCCTGTCTAGTAACGAGGGACACCTCAGGAATCTCTTCGAGGCTTGACAGGGCAAAAGGGACGCTTATCGAGGTGAGGCAGGGCACCCAAGGACCCTTTCCAGTAGGCACAGTGATTTTGGGATTCCTATCAGTATTCAAGAAGAGTCAGGCATCGTCACCTTTTGAAGCAGGGAACTCCGCGTGCCTCTCGAGTTGTCAACGGGATATGGGGCATTCCGTCAAAATGAAGAAGAAACCTAGGGCTTTCTCTAAGGTCTCCACAGGGGATTCAGATATCCCTTCATGTTGTGAGATGAAAGACGAGCCTGTATTCAAGCCACTGCAAGGAAATCCTGCCTCCTTTCAAGTTAGGGCTTCTCGCTATATATTCCACTTGAGGCAGCACATTCGGGGTCCCTCCCACATACCTATTGCTGAGAGAAGCCTCCTCCTGAGGTGCTTCTGGAAGGGTGGCATACGTCTTGAGACTAAGTCAGGGAATCAGCTCTCATCTACAGACGATTTGGGGTACACGGAGCATTCCTCGAGTTGCTGTGCTGAAGTTGGTGTTCCTCTAGACTTGCGACAGTGTTCTCTTGGCATCTCTGGAGTTGCCTGAAGGAAGTCAAGCCACTGGTCATGTTGAACGGGGAACGGGGGATGGCTCTGGAGTCAATGCAGGGGAATCGGGCCTCATCTCGAGTTGATTTGGGGCACACGGACCTGCTTTGCTTTGCTGGGGTGACCTCAGGGTCCGTCTAGTCTGGTGACAGTGTTCTTGGGGACTGTCTCGAGATCCGTTAAGCAAGTCGAAGCTCCTGACTTGTTTGATGGGGATCACGGAATAGCTCTGCATGCACTGCAGGGGAATGGGGCCTCATCTCGCCTCTAGGGGGAAGTCTCATAGTTTTTCTCGAGTTGCGGTGGGGACCTGGGGTATGTTCTCGAGTTACGGCGGGGATGGCCCTTCAAAACACGTCTTTATTCAGTGACGTCAGGACTCCTGTCTAGTAACGAGGGACACCTCAGGAATCTCTTCGAGGCTTGGCAGGGTAAAAGGGACGCTTCTCGAGCTGAGGCAGGGCACCAAAGACCCATTTCAGTAGCCACAGGGATTTTGGGATTCCTATCAGTATTGAAGAGGAGTCAGGCATCGTCACCTTATAAAGCAGTCAACTCCGTGTGCCTCCCGAGGTGTCAACGGGATGTGAGGCATTCCGTCAAAATGAGGCAGGGAACTAGGGCTTTCTCTCAGGTCTCCACAGGGGATTCAGACATCCCTTCATGTTGTGAGATGAAAGACGAGCCTGTATTCAAGCCACTGCAAGGAAATCCGGCCTCCTTTCAAGTTAGGGCTTCTCGCTGTATATTCCACTTGAGGCACCAAACTCGGGGTCCCTCCCACATACCTATTGCTGAGAGAAGCCTCTTCGTGAGGTGCTTTTGGATGGATGCCATACGTCTTGAGCCTGAGCCAGAGAATCAGCTCTCATCTCGAGACGATTTGGGGTACACGGAGCATTCCTCGAGTTGCTGTGCTGAAGTGGGTGTTCCTCTAGACTTGGGACAGTGTTCTCGGGGCATCTCTGGAGTTGGCTGAAGGAAGTCAAGCCACTGGTCGTGTTGAATGGATAACAGGGGATGGCTCTGGAGTCAATGCAGGGGAATCGGGCCTCATCTCGAGTTAATTTGGGGCACATGGAGCTGCTTTGCGTTGCTGGCTTGACTTCAGAGTGGGTCTAGACTGGTGACAGTGTTCTTGGGGACTGTCTCGAGATCCGTTAAGCAAGTCGAAGCTCCTGACTTGTTTGATGGGGATCACGGAATAGCTCTGCATGCACTGCAGGGGAATGGGGCCTCATCTCACCTCTTGGGGGAAGTCTCATGGTTTTCCTCGAGTTGCGGCAGGGACCTGGGGTATGTTTTCCAGTTACGGCAGGGATGGCCCTTCAAATCACGTGTTTATTCAGTGACGTCAGAACTCCTGTCTAGTAACGAGGGACACCTCAGGAATCTCTTCGAGGCTTGGCAGGGCAAAAGGGACGCTAATCCAGGTGAGGCAGGGCACCAAAGGACACTTTCCAGTAGCCACAGGGATTTTGGGATTCCTATCAGTATTCAAGAGGAGTCAGGCATCGTCACCTTTTGAAGCAGTGACTCCGCATGCCTCTCGAGGTGTCCACGGGATGTGAGGCATTCCGTCAAAATGAGGCAGGGACCTAGGGCTTTCTCTCAGGTCTCCACAGGGGATTCAGATCATCCCTTCATGTCGTGAGATGAAAGACGAGCCTATATTCAAGCCACTGCAAGGAAATCCGGCCTCCTTTCAAGTTAGGGCTTCTCGCTGTATATTCCACTTGAGGCAGCAAACTCGGGGTCCCTCCCACATACCTATTGCTGAGAGAAGCCTCCTCTTGAGGTGCTTCTGGAAGGTTGGCATATGTCTTGAAAATAAGCCAGGGAATCAGCTCTCATCTCGAGATGATTTGGGTACACGGAGCATTCCTCGAGTTGCTGTGCTGAAGTTGGTGTTCCTCTAGACTTGCGACAGTGTTCTCGGGGCATCTCTGGAGTTGCCTGAAGGAAGTCAAGCCACTGGTCTTGTTGAATGGGGAATGGGGGATGGCTCTGGAGTCCATGCAGGGGAATCGGGCCTCATCTCGAGTTGATTTGTGGCACACGGCACTGCTTTGCGTTGCTGTGGTGACGTCAGGGTCCGTCTAGACTGGTGACAGTGGTCTTGGGGACTGTCTCGAGATCCATTAAGCAAGTCGAAGCTCCTGATTTGTTTGATGGGCATCACGGAATAGTTCTGCATGCACTGCAGGAGAATGGGGCCTCATCTCGCCTCTAGGGGGAAGTCTCATGGTTTTTCTCCAGTTCGGCGGGGACCTGGGGTATGTTCCCGAGTTACGGCGGGGATGGCCCTTCAAAACACGTGTTTATTCAGTGACGTCAGGACTCCTGTCTAGTAACGTGGGACACCTCAGGAATCTCTTCGAGGCTTGGCAGGGCAAAAGGGACGCCTCTCGAGCTGAGGCAGGGCACCAAAGACACATTTCAGTAGCCACAGGGATTTTGGGATTCCTATCCGTATTCAAGAGGAGTCAGGCATCGTCACCTTTTGAAGCAGTGAACTCCGCATGCCTCTCGAGGTGTCCACGGGATGTGAGGCATTCCGTCAAAATGAGGCAGGGACCTAGGGCTTTCTCTCAGGTCAACACAGGGGATTCAGACATCCCTTCATGTTGTGAGATGAAAGACGAGCCTGTATTCAAGCCACTGCAAGGAAATCCGGCCTCCTTTCAAGTTAGGGCTTCTCGCTGTATATTCCTCTTGTGGCAGCAAACTCGGGGTCCCTCCCACATACCTACTGCTGAGAGAAGCCTCCTCTGGAGGTGCTTCTGGAAGGGTGGCATACGTCTTGAGCCTAAGCCAGGGAATCAGCTCTCATCTCGAGACGATTTGGGGTACACGGAGCATTCCTTGAGTTGCTGTGCTGAAGCTGGTGTTCCTCTAGACTTGGGACATTGTTCTCGGGGCATCTCTGGAGTTGGCTGAAGGAAGTCAAGCCACTGGTCTTGTGGAATGGATAACGGGGGCTGGCTCTGGAGTCAATGCAGGGGAATCGGGCCTCATCTCGAGTTGATTTGGGGCACCTGGAGCTGCTTTGCGTTGCTGGCTTGACCTCAGAGTGGGTCTAGACTGGTGACAGTGTTCTTGGGGACTGTCTCGAGATCCGTTAAGCAAGTCGAAGCTCCTGACTTGTTTGATGGGGATCACGGAATAGCTCTGAATGCACTGCAGGGGAATGGGGCCTCATCTCGCCTCTAGGGGGAAGTCTCATGGTTTTTCTCGAGTTGCGGCAGGGACCTGGGGTATGTTCTCGAGATACGGCGGGGATATCCCTTCAAAACACGTGTTTATTCAGTGACGTCAGGACTCCTGCCTAGTAACGACGGACACCTCAGGAATCTCTTCGAGGCTTGGCAGGGCAAAAGGGACGCTTCTCGAGATGATGCATGGCACCAAAGGACCCTTTCCAGTAGCCACAGGGATTTTGGGATTCCTATCAATATTCAAGAGGAGTCAGGCATCGTCACCTTTTGAAGCAGGGAACTCGGCGTGCCTCTCGAGGTGTCAACCGGATGTGAGGCATTCCGTCAAAATGAGGCAGGGACCTAGGGCTTTCGCTAAGATCTCCACAGGGGCTTCAGATATCCCTTCATGTTGTGAGATGAAAGACGAGCCTGTATTCAAGCCACTGCAAGGAAATCCGGCCTCCTTTCAAGTTAGGGCTTCTCGCTGTATATTCCACTTGAGGCAGCAAACTCGGGGTCCCTCCCACATACCTATTGCTGAGAGAAGCCTCCTCGTGAGGTGCTTCTGGACGGTTGGCATACGTCTTGAGCCTAAGGCAGGGAATCAGCTCTCATCTCGAGATAATTTCCAGTACACGGAGAAATCCTCGTGTTGCAGTGCTGAAGTTGGTGTTCCTCGAGATTTGGGACAGTGTTCTCGGGGCATCTCTGGAGTTGGCTGAAGGAAGTCGAGCCACCGGTCGTGTTGAATGGGGAACGGGGGCTGGCTCTGCAGTCAATGCAGGGGAATCAGGCGTCATCTCGAGTTGATTTGGGGCACATGGAGCTGCTTTGCGTTGCTGGCGTGACCTCAGAGTCCGTCTAGACTGGTGTCATTTTTCTTGGGGACTGTCTCGAGATCCGTTAAGCAAGTCAAAGCACCTGACTTGTTTGATGGGGATCACGGAATATCTCTGCATGCACTGCAGGGGAATGCGGCCTCATCTCGCCTCTAGGGGAAGTCTCATGGTTTTTCTCGAGTTGCGGCGGGGACCTGGGGTATGTTCTCGAGTTACGGCGGGGATGGCCCTTCAAAACACGTGTTTCTTCAGTGACGTCAGGACTCCTTTCTAGTAACGAGGGACACCTCAGGAATCTCTTCGAGGCTTGGCAGGGGAAAAGGGACGCTTCTCGATCTGAGGAAGGGCACCAAAGACCCATTTCAGTAGCCACAGGGATTTTGGGATTTCTATCTGATTCAAGAGGAGTCAGGCATCGTCACCTTTTGAAGCAGTGAACTCCTTGTGCCTCTCCAGGTGTCAACGGGATGTGAGGCATTCCGTCAAAATGAGGCAGGACCTAGGGCTTACTGTCAGGTCTCCACAGGGGATTCAGACATCCCTTCATGTTGTGAGATGAAAGACGAGCCTATATTCAAGCCACTGCAACGAAATCCGGCCTCCTTTCAAGTTAGGGCTTCTCGCTATATATTCCACTTGAGGCAGCACATTCGGGGTCCCTCCCACAGGTACCTATTGCTGAGAGAAGCCTCCTACTGAGGTGCTTCTGGAAGGGTGGCATACGTCTTGAGCCTAAGCCAGGGAATCAGCTCTCATCTCGAGACGATTTGGGGTACACGTAGCATTCCTCCAGTTGCTGTGCTGAAGTTGGTGTTCCTCTAGACTTGCGACAGTTTTCTCGAGGCATCTCTGGAGTTGCCTGAAGGAAGTCAAGCCACTGGTCTTGTTGAATGGGGAACAGGGGATGGCTCTGGTGTCAATGCAGTGGAATCGGGCCTCATCTCGAGTTGATTTGTGGCACACGGCGGTGCTTTGCGTTGCTGTGGTGACGTCAGGGTCCGTCTAGACTGGTGACAGTGGTCTTGGGGACTGTCTCGAGATCCATTAAGCAAGTCGAAGCTCCTGATTTGTTTGATGGGCATCACGGAATAGTTCTGCATGCACTGCAGGAGAATGGGGCCTCATCTCGCCTCTAGGGGAAAGTCTCATGGTTTTTCTCCAGTTCGGCGGGGACCTGGGGTATGTTCTCGAGTTACGGCGGGGATGGCCCTTCAAAACACGTGTTTATTCAGTGACGTCAGGACTCCTGTCTAGTAACGTGGGACACCTCAGGAATCTCTTCGAGGCTTGGCAGGGCAAAAGGGACGCCTCTCGAGCTGAGGCAGGGCACCAAAGACACATTTCAGTAGCCACAGGGATTTTGGGATTCCTATCCGTATTCAAGAGGAGTCAGGCATCGTCACCTTTTGAAGCAGTGAACTCCGCATGCCTCTCGAGGTGTCCACGGGATGTGAGGCATTCCGTCAAAATGAGGCAGGGACCTAGGGCTTTCTCTCAGGTCAACACAGGGGATTCAGACATCCCTTCATGTTGTGAGATGAAAGACGAGCCTGTATTCAAGCCACTGCAAGGAAATCCGGCCTCCTTTCAAGTTAGGGCTTCTCGCTGTATATTCCTCTTGTGGCAGCAAACTCGGGGTCCCTCCCACATACCTACTGCTGAGAGAAGCCTCCTCTGGAGGTGCTTCTGGAAGGGTGGCATACGTCTTGAGCCTAAGCCAGGGAATCAGCTCTCATCTCGAGACGATTTGGGGTACACGGAGCATTCCTCGAGTTGCTGTGCTGAAGCTGGTGTTCCTCTAGACTTGGGACATTGTTCTCGGGGCATCTCTGGAGTTGGCTGAAGGAAGTCAAGCCACTGGTCTTGTGGAATGGATAACGGGGGCTGGCTCTGGAGTCAATGCAGGGGAATCGGGCCTCATCTCGAGTTGATTTGGGGCACCTGGAGCTGCTTTGTGTTGCTGGCTTGACCTCAGAGTGGGTCTAGACTGGTGACAGTGTTCTTGGGGACTGTCTCGAGATCCGTTAAGCAAGTCGAAGCTCCTGACTTGTTTGATGGGGATCACGGAATAGCTCTGAATGCACTGCAGGGGAATGGGGCCTCATCTCGCCTCTAGGGGGAAGTCTCATGGTTTTTCTCGAGTTGCGGCAGGGACCTGGGGTATGTTCTCGAGATACGGCGGGGATATCCCTTCAAAACACGTGTTTATTCAGTGACGTCAGGACTCCTGTCTAGTAACGACGGACACCTCAGGAATCTCTTCGAGGCTTGGCAGGGCAAAAGGGACGCTTCTCGAGATGATGCATGGCACCAAAGGACCCTTTCCAGTAGCCACAGGGATTTTGGGATTCCTATCAATATTCAAGAGGAGTCAGGCATCGTCACCTTTTGAAGCAGGGAACTCGGCGTGCCTCTCGAGGTGTCAACCGGATGTGAGGCATTCCGTCAAAATGAGGCAGGGACCTAGGGCTTTCGCTAAGATCTCCACAGGGGCTTCAGATATCCCTTCATGTTGTGAGATGAAAGACGAGCCTGTATTCAAGCCACTGCAAGGAAATCCGGCCTCCTTTCAAGTTAGGGCTTCTCGCTGTATATTCCACTTGAGGCAGCAAACTCGGGGTCCCTCCCACATACCTATTGCTGAGAGAAGCCTCCTCGTGAGGTGCTTCTGGACGGTTGGCATACGTCTTGAGCCTAAGGCAGGGAATCAGCTCTCATCTCGAGATAATTTGGGGTACACGGAGCAATCCTCGTGTTGCAGTGCTGAAGTTGGTGTTCCTCTAGACTTGGGACAGTGTTCTCGGGGCATCTCTGGAGTTGGCTGAAGGAAGTTGAGCCACCGGTCGTGTTGAATGGGTAACGGGGGCTGGCTCTGCAGTCAATGCAGGGGAATCAGGCGTCATCTCGAGTTGATTTGGGGCACATGGAGCTGCTTTGCGTTGCTGGCGTGACCTCAGAGTCCGTCTAGACTGGTGTCATTTTTCTTGGGGACTGTCTCGAGATCCATTAAGCAAGTCGAAGCTCCTGACTTGTTTGATGGGGATCACGGAATATCTCTGCATGCACTGCAGGGGAATGCGGCCTCATCTCGCCTCTAGGGGGAAGTCTCATGGTTTTTCTCGAGTTGCGGTGGGGACCTGGGGTATGTTCTCGAGTTACGGCGGGGATGGCCCTTCAAAACACGTGTTTCTTCAGTGACGTCAGGACTCCTGTCTAGTAACGAGGGACACCTCAGGAATCTCTTCGAGGCTTGGCAGGGCAAAAGGGACGCTTCTCGAGCTGAGGAAGGGCACCAAAGACCCATTTCAGTAGCCACAGGGATTTTGGGATTTCTATCTGATTCAAGAGGAGTCAGGCATCGTCACCTTTTGAAGCAGTGAACTCCTTGTGCCTCTCGAGGTGTCAACGGGATGTGAGGCATTCCGTCAAAATGAGGCGGGACCTAGGGCTTAGTCTCAGGTCTCCACAGGGGATTCAGACCATCCCTTCATGTTGTGAGATGAAAGAGGAGCCTATATTCAAGCCACTGCAACGAAATCCGGCCTCCTTTCAAGTTAGGGCTTCTCGCTATATATTCCACTTGAGGCAGCACATTCGGGGTCCCTCCCACAGGTACCTATTGCTGAGAGAAGCCTCCTACTGAGGTGCTTCTGGAAGGGTGGCATACGTCTTGAGCCTAAGCCAGGGAATCAGCTCTCATCTCGAGACGATTTGGGGTACACGGAGCATTCCACCAGTTGCTGTGCTGAAGTTGGTGTTCCTCTAGACTTGCGACAGTTTTCTCGAGGCATCTCTGGAGTTGCCTGAAGGAAGTCAAGCCACTGGTCTTGTTGAATGGGGAACAGGGGATGGCTCTGGTGTCAATGCAGGGGAATCGGGCCTCATCTCGAGTTGATTTGGGGGACACGGCACTGCTTTGCGTTGCTGTGCTGACCTCAGGGTCCATCTAGACTGGTGACAGTGTTCTTGGGGACTCTCTCGAGATCCATTAAGCAAGTCGAAGCTCCTGACTTGTTTGATGGGGATCACGGAATAGCTCTGCATGCACTGCAGGGGAATGGGGCCTCATCTCGCCTCTAGGGGGAAGTCTCATGGTTTTTCTCGAGTTGCGGCGGGGACCTGGGGTATGTTCTCGACTTACGGCTGAGATAACCCTTCAAATCACGTGTTTATTCAGTGACGTCAGAACTCCTGTCTAGTAACGAGGGACACCTCAGGAATCTCTTCGAGGCTTGACAGGGCAAAAGGGACGCTTATCGAGGTGAGGCAGGGCACCCAAGGACCCTTTCCAGTAGGCACAGTGATTTTGGGATTCCTATCAGTATTCAAGAAGAGTCAGGCATCGTCACCTTTTGAAGCAGGGAACTCCGCGTGCCTCTCGGGTTGTCAACGGGATATGGGGCATTCCGTCAAAATGAAGAAGAAACCTAGGGCTTTCTCTAAGTTCTCCACAGGGGATTCAGATATCCCTTCATGTTGTGAGATGAAAGACGAGCCTGTATTCAAGCCACTGCAAGGAAATCCTGCCTCCTTTCAAGTTAGGGCTTCTCGCTATATATTCCACTTGAGGCAGCACATTCGGGGTCCCTCCCACATACCTATTGCTGAGAGAAGCCTCCTCCTGAGGTGCTTCTGGAAGGGTGGCATACGTCTTGAGCCTAAGCCAGGGAATCAGCTCTCATCTCGAGACGATTTGGGGTACACGGAGCATTCCTCGAGTTGCTGTGCTGAAGCTGGTGTTCCTCTGGACTTGCGACAGTGTTCTCTTGGCATCTCTGGAGTTGCCTGAAGGAAGTCAAGCCACTGGTCATGTTGAACGGGGAACGGGGGATGGCTCTGGAGTCAATGCAGGGGAATCGGGCCTCATCTCGAGTTGATTTGGGGCACACGGACCTGCTTTGCCTTGCTGGGGTGACCTCAGGGTCCGTCTAGTCTGGTGACAGTGTTCTTGGGGACTGTCTCGAGATCCGTTAAGCAAGTCGAAGCTCCTGACTTGTTTGATGGGGATCACGGAATAGCTCTGCATGCACTGCAGGGGAATGGGGCCTCATCTCGCCTCTAGGGGGAAGTCTCATAGTTTTTCTCGAGTTGCGGTGGGGACCTGGGGTATGTTCTCGAGTTACGGCGGGGATGGCCCTTCAAAACACGTCTTTATTCAGTGACGTCAGGACTCCTGTCTAGTAACGAGGGACACCTCAGGAATCTCTTCGAGGCTTGGCAGGGTAAAAGGGACGCTTCTCGAGCTGAGGCAGGGCACCAAAGACCCATTTCAGTAGCCACAGGGATTTTGGGATTCCTATCAGTATTGAAGAGGAGTCAGGCATCGTCACCTTATAAAGCAGTCAACTCCGTGTGCCTCCCGAGGTGTCAACGGGATGAGAGGCATTCCGTCAAAATGAGGCAGGGAACTAGGGCTTTCTCTCAGGTCTCCACAGGGGATTCAGACATCCCTTCATGTTGTGAGATGAAAGACGAGCCTGTATTCAAGCCACTGCAAGGAAATCCGGCCTCCTTTCAAGTTAGGGCTTCTCGCTGTATATTCCACTTGAGGCACCAAACTCGGGGTCCCTCCCACATACCTATTGCTGAGAGAAGCCTCTTCGTGAGGTGCTTTTGGATGGATGCCATACGTCTTGAGCCTGAGCCAGAGAATCAGCTCTCATCTCGAGACGATTTGGGGTACACGGAGCATTCCTCGAGTTGCTGTGCTGAAGTGGGTGTTCCTCTAGACTTGGGACAGTGTTCTCGGGGCATCTTTGGAGTTGGCTGAAGGAAGTCAAGCCACTGGTCGTGTTGAATGGATAACGGGGGATGGCTCTGGAGTCAATGCAGGGGAATCGGGCCTCATCTCGAGTTAATTTGGGGCACATGGAGCTGCTTTGCGTTGCTGGCTTGACTTCAGAGTGGGTCTAGACTGGTGACAGTGTTCTTGGGGACTGTCTCGAGATCCGTTAAGCAAGTCGAAGCTCCTGACTTGTTTGATGGGGATCACGGAATAGCTCTGCATGCACTGCAGGGGAATGGGGCCTCATCTCACCTCTTGGGGGAAGTCTCATGGTTTTTCTCGAGTTGCGGCAGGGACCTGGGGTATGTTTTCCAGTTACGGCAGGGATGGCCCTTCAAATCATGTGTTTATTCAGTGACGTCAGAACTCCTGTCTAGTAACGAGGGACACCTCAGGAATCTCTTCGATGCTTGGCAGGGCAAAAGGGACGCTAATCCAGGTGAGGCAGGGCACCAAAGGACACTTTCCAGTAGCCACAGGGATTTTGGGATTCCTATCAGTATTCAAGAGGAGTCAGGCATCGTCACCTTTTGAAGCAGTGACTCCGCATGCCTCTCGAGGTGTCCACGGGATGTGAGGCATTCCGTCAAAATGAGGCAGGGACCTAGGGCTTTCTCTCAGGTCTCCACAGGGGATTCAGATCATCCCTTCATGTCGTGAGATGAAAGACGAGCCTATATTCAAGCCACTGCAAGGAAATCCGGCCTCCTTTCAAGTTAGGGCTTCTCGCTGTATATTCCACTTGAGGCAGCAAACTCGGGGTCCCTCCCACATACCTATTGCTGAGAGAAGCCTCCTCTTGAGGTGCTTCTGGAAGGTTGGCATATGTCTTGAAAATAATCCAGGGAATCAGCTCTCATCTCGAGATGATTTGGGTACACGGAGCATTCCTCGAGTTGCTGTGCTGAAGTTGGTGTTCCTCTAGACTTGCGACTGTGTTCTCGGGGCATCTCTGGAGTTGCCTGAAGGAAGTCAAGCCACTGGTCTTGTTGAATGGGGAATGGGGGATGGCTCTGGAGTCCATGCAGGGGAATCGGGCCTCATCTCGAGTTGATTTGTGGCACACGGCGGTGCTTTGCGTTGCTGTGGTGACGGCAGGGTCCGTCTAGACTGGTGACAGTGGTCTTGGGGACTGTCTCGAGATCCATTAAGCAAGTCGAAGCTCCTGACTTGTTTGATGGGGATCACGGAATAGTTCTGCATGCACTGCAGGAGAATGGGGCCTCATCTCGCCTCTAGGGGGAAGTCTCATGGTTTTTCTCCAGTTTGGCGGGGACCTGGGGTATGTTCTCGAGTTACGGCGGGGATGGCCCTTCAAAACACGTGTTTATTCAGTGACGTCAGGACTCCTGTCTAGTAACGAGGGACACCTCAGGAATCTCTTCGATGCTTGGCAGGGCAAAAGGTACGCCTCTCGAGCTGAGGCAGGGCACCAAAGACACATTTCAGTAGCTACAGGGATTTTGGGATTCCTATCCGTATTCAAGAGGAGTCAGGCATCGTCACCTTTTGAAGCAGTGAACTCCGCATGCCTCTCGAGGTGTCAACGGGATGTGAGGCATTCCGTCAAAATGAGGCAGGGACCTAGGGCTTTCTCTCAGGTCAACACAGGGGATTGAGACATCCCTTCATGTTGTGAGATGAAAGACGAGCCTGTATTCAAGCCACTGCAAGGAAATCCGGCCTCCTTTCAAGTTAGGGCTTCTCGCTGTATATTCCTCTTGTGGCAGCAAACTCGGGGTCCCTCCCACATACCTACTGCTGAGAGAAGCCTCCTCTGGAGGTGCTTCTGGAAGGGTGGCATACGTCTTGAGCCTAAGCCAGGGAATCAGCTCTCATCTCGAGACGCTTTGGGGTACACGGAGCATTCCTCGAGTTGCTGTGCTGAAGCTGGTGTTCCTCTGGACTTGCGACAGTGTTCTCGGGGCATCTCTGGAGTTGCCTGAAGGAAGTCAAGCCACTGGTCGTGTTGCATGGGGAACGGGGGATGGCTCTGGAGTCAATGCAGGGGAATAGGGCCTCATCTTGCGTTGATTTCGTGCACATGGCGCTGCTTTGCGTTGCTGGGGTTACCTGAGGGTCCGTCTAGACTTGTGACAGTGTTCCTGGGGACTCTCTCGAGATCCATTAAGCAAGTCGAAGCTCCTGACTTGTTTGATGGGGATCACGGAATAGCTCTGGATGCACTGCAGTGGAATGGGGCCTCATCTCACCTATAGGGGGAAGTCTCATGGTTTTTCTCGAGTTGCGGCGGGGACCTGGGGTATGTTCTCAAGTTACGGTGGGGATGGCCCTTCAAAACACGTGTTTATTCAGTGACGTCAGGACTCCTGTCTAGTAACGAGGGACACCTCAGGAATCTCTTCGAGGCTTGGTAGGGCAAAAGGGATGCTTCTCGAGCTGAGGCAGGGCACCAAAGACACATTTCAGTAGCCACAGGGATTTTGGGATTCCTATCAGTATTCAAGAGGAGTCAGGCATCGTCACCTTTTGAAGCAGTGAACTCCGCATGCCTCTCGAGGTGTCAACGGGATGTGAGGCATTCCGTCAAAATGAGGCAGGGACCTAGGGCTTTCTCTCAGGTCAACACAGCGGATTGAGACATCCCTTCATGTTGTGAGATGAAAGACGAGCCTGTATTCAAGCCACTGCAAGGAAATCCGGCCTCCTTTCAAGTTAGGGCTTCTCGCTGTATATTCCACTTGTGGCACCAACCTCGGGGTCCCTCCCACATACCTATTGCTGAGAGAAGCCTCCTCCTGAGGTGCTTCTGGAAGTTTGGCATATGTCTTGAGCCTATGTCAGGGAATCAGCTCTCATCTCGAGACGATTTGGGGTACACGGAGCATTCCTCGAGTTGCTGTGCTGAAGTTGGTGTTCCTCTAGACTTGCGACAGTGTTCTCGGGGCATCTCTGGAGTTGCCTGAAGGAAGTCAAGCCACTGGTCATTTTGAATGGGGAACGGGGGATGGCTCTGGAGTCAATGCAGTGGAATCGGGCCTCATCTCGAGTTTATTTGGGGCATACGGCCCTGCTTTGCCTTCCTGGGGTGACCTCAGGGTCCATCTAGTCTGGTGACAGTGTTTTTGGGGACTGTCTCGAGGTCCATTAAGCAAGTCGAAGCTCCTGACTTGTTTGATGGGGATCACGGAATAGCTCTGGATGCACTGCAGGGGAATGGGGCCTCATATCACCTCTAGGGGGAAGTCTCATGGTTTTTCTCGAGTTGCGGCGGGGACCTGGGGTATGTTCTCAAGTTACGGCAGGGATGGCCCTTCAAAACACGTGTTTATTCAGTGACGTCAGGACTCCTGTCTAGTAACGAGGGACACCTCAGGAACCTCTTCGAGGCTCAGCAGGGCAAAAGGGACGCTTCTCGAGCTGAGCCAGGGCACCAAAGACACATTTCAGTAGCCACAGGGATTTTGGGATTCCTATCCGTATTCAAGAGGAGTCAGGCATCGTCACCTTTTGAAGTAGTGAACTCCGCATGCCTCTCGAGGTGTCAACGGGATGTGAGGCATTCCGTCAAAATGAGGCAGGGACCTAGGGCTTTCTCTCAGGTCAAGACAGGGGATTCAGACATCCCTTCATGTAGTGAGATGAAAGACGAGCCTGTATTCAAGCTACTGCAAGGAAATCCGGCCTCCTTTCAAGTTAGGGCTTCTCGCTGTATATTTCACTTGTGGCAGCAAACTCGGGGTCCCTCCCACATACCTATTGCTGAGAGAAGCCTCCTCTTGAGGTGCTTCTGGAAGGGTGGCATACGTCTTGAGCCTAAGCCAGGGAATCAGCTCTCATCTCGAGACGATTTGGGGTACACGGAGCATTCCTCGAGTTGCTGTGCTGAAGCTGGTGTTCCTCTGGACTTGCGACAGTGTTCTCGGGGCATCTCTGGAGTTGCCTGAAGGAAGTCAAGCCACTGGTCTTGTTGAATGGGGAACAGGGGATGGCTCTGGTGTCAATGCAGGGGAATCTGGCCTCATCTCGAGTTGATTTGGGGGACACGGCACTGCTTTGCGTTGCTGTGCTGACCTCAGGGTCCCTCTAGACTGGTGACAGTGTTCTTGGGGACTCTCTCGAGATCCATTAAGCAAGTCGAAGCTCCTGACTTGTTTGATGGGGATCACGGAATAGCTCTGCATGCACTGCAGGGGAATGGGACCTCATCTCGCCTCTAGGGGGAAGTCTCATGGTTTTTCCTGAGTTGCGGCGGGGACCTGGGGTATGTTCTCGAGTTACGGCTGGGATAACCCTTCAAATCACGTGTTTATTCAGTGACGTCAGAACTCCTGTCTAGTAACGAGGGACACCTCAGGAATCTCTTCGAGGCTTGGCAGGGCAAAAGGGACACTAATCCAGGTGAGGCAGGGCACCAAAGGACACTTTCCAGTAGCCACAGGGATTTTGGGATTCCTATCAGTATTCAAGAGGAGTCAGGCATCGTCACCTTTTCAAGCAGTGAACTCCGCGTGCCTCTCGACTTGTCAACGGGATGTGAGGCATTCCGTCAAAATGAGGCAGGGACCTAGGGCTTTCTCTCAGGTCTCCACAGGGGATTCAGATCATCCCTTCATGTTGTGAGATGAAAGACGAGCCTATATTCAAGCCACTGCAAGGAAATCCGGCCTCCTTTCAAGTTAGGGCTTCTCGCTGTATATTCCACTTGAGGCAGCAAACTCGGGGTCCCTCCCACATACCTATTGCTGAGAGAAGCCTCCTCTTGAGGTGCTTCTGGAAGGTTGGCATATGTCTTGAAAATAAGCCAGGGAATCAGCTCTCATCTCGAGATGATTTGGGTACACGGAGCATTCCTCGAGTTGCTGTGCTGAAGTTGGTGTTCCTCTAGACTTGCGACAGTGTTCTCGGGGCATCTCTGGAGTTGCCTGAAGGAAGTCAAGCCACTGGTCTTGTTGAATGGGGAATGGGGGATGGCTCTGGAGTCCATGCAGGGGAATCGGGCCTCATCTCGAGTTGATTTGTGGCACACGGCGGTGCTTTGCGTTGCTGTGGTGACGTCAGGGCCGTCTAGACTGGTGACAGTGGTCTTGGGGACTGTCTCGAGATCCATTAAGCAAGTCGAAGCTCCTGACTTGTTTGATGGGTATCACGGAATAGTTCTGCATGCACTGCATGGGAATGGGGCCTCATCTCGCCTCTAGGGGGAAGTCTCATGGTTTTTCTCGAGTTGCGGCGGGGACCTGGGGTATGTTCTCGAGTTACGTCAGGGATGGCCCTTCAAATCACGTGTTTATTCAGTGACGTCAAATCCCCTGTCTAGTAACGAGGGACACCTCAGGAATCTCTTCGAGGCTTGACAGGGCAAAAGGGACGCTTCTCGAGGTGAGGCAGGGCACCCAAGGACTCTTTCCCGTAGCCACAGTGATTTTGGGATTCCTATCAGTATTCAAGAGGAGTCAGGCATCATCACCTTTTGAAGCAGTGAACTCCGCGTGCCTCTCGAGGTGTCAACGGGATGTGAGGCATTCCGTCAAAATGAGGCAGGGAACTAGGGCTTTCGCTAAGGTCTCCACAGGGGATTCAAACATCCCTTCATGTTGTGAGATGAAAGACGAGCCTGTATTCAAGCCACTGCAAGGAAATCCTGCCTCCTTTCAAGTTAGGGCTTCTCGCTATATATTCCACTTGACCAGCACACTCGGGGTCCCTCCCACATACCTATTGCTGAGAGAAGCCTCCTCCTGAGGTGCTTCTGGAAGTTTGGCATATGTCTTGAGCCTATGTCAGGGAATCAGCTCTCATCTCGAGACGATTTGGGGTACACGGAGCATTCCTCGAGTTGCTGTGCTGAAGTTGGTGTTCCTGTAGACTTGCGACAGTGTTCTCGGGGCATCTCTGGAGTTGCCTGAAGGAAGTCAAGCCACTGGTCATTTTGAATGGGGAACGGGGGATGGCTCTGGAGTCAATGCAGTGGAATCGGGCCTCATCTCGAGTTTATTTGGGGCATACGGCCCTGCTTTGCCTTCCTGGGGTGACCTCAGGGTCCATCTAGTCTGGTGACAGTGTTTTTGGGGACTGTCTCGAGGTCCATTAAGCAAGTCGAAGCTCCTGACTTGTTTGATGGGGATCACGGAATAGCTCTGGATGCACTGCAGGAGAATGGGGCCTCATCTCGCCTCTAGGGGGAAGTCTCATGGTTTTTCTCCAGTTCGGCGGGGACCTGGGGTATGTTCTCGAGTTACGGCGGGGATGGCCCTTCAAAACACGTGTTTATTCAGTGACGTCAGGACTCCTGTCTAGTAACGAGGGACACCTCAGGAATCTCTTCGATGCTTGGCAGGGCAAAAGGGACGCCTTTCGAGCTGAGGCAGGGCACCAAAGACACATTTCAGTAGCTACAGGGATTTTGGGATTCCTATCCGTATTCAAGAGGAGTCAGGCATCGTCACCTTTTGAAGCAGTGAACTCCGCATGCCTCTCGAGGTGTCAACGGGATGTGAGGCATTCCGTCAAAATGAGGCAGGGACCTAGGGCTTTCTCTCAGGTCAACACAGGGGATTCAGACATCCCTTCATGTTGTGAGATGAAAGACGAGCCTGTATTCAAGCCACTGCAAGGAAATCCGGCCTCCTTTCAAGTTAGGGCTTCTCGCTGTATATTCCTCTTGTGGCAGCAAACTCGGGGTCCCTCCCTCATACCTACTGCTGAGAGAAGCCTCCTTTGGAGGTGCTTCTGGAAGGGTGGCATACGTCTTGAGCCTAAGCCAGGGAATCAGCTCTCATCTCGAGACGCTTTGGGGTACACGGAGCATTCCTCGAGTTGCTGTGCTGAAGCTGGTGTTCCTCTGGACTTGCGACAGTGTTCTCGGGGCATCTCTGGAGTTGCCTGAAGGAAGTCAAGCCACTGGTCGTGTTGCATGGGGAACGGGGGATGGCTCTGGAGTCAATGCAGGGGAATAGGGCCTCATCTTGCGTTGATTTCGGGCACATGGCGCTGCTTTGCGTTGCTGGGGTTACCTGAGGGTCCGTCTAGACTTGTGACAGTGTTCCTGGGGACTCTCTCGAGATCCATTAAGCAAGTCGAAGCTCCTGACTTGTTTGATGGGGATCACGGAATAGCTCTGGATGCACTGCAGGGGAATGGGGCCTCATCTCACCTCTAGGGGGAAGTCTCATGGTTTTTCTCGAGTTGCGGCGGGGACCTGGGGTATGTTCTCAAGTTACGGTGGGGATGGCCCTTCAAAACACGTGTTTATTCAGTGACGTCAGGACTCCTGTCTAGTAACGAGGGACACCTCAGGAATCTCTTCGAGGCTTGGCAGGGCAAAAGGGATGCTTCTCGAGCTGAGGCAGGGCACCAAAGACACATTTCAGTAGCCACAGGGATTTTGGGATTCCTATCAGTATTCAAGAGGAGTCAGGCATCGTCACCTTTTGAAGCAGTGAACTCCGCATGCCTCTCGAGGTGTCAACGGGATGTGAGGCATTCCGTCAAAATGAGGCAGGGAACTAGGGCTTTCACTCACGTCAACACAGCGGATTGAGACATCCCTTCATGTTGTGAGATGAAAGACGAGCCTATATTCAAGCCACTGCAAGGAAATCCGGCCTCCTTTCAAGTTAGGGCTTCTCGCTGTATATTCCACTTAAGGCAGCAAACTCGGGGTCCCTCCCACATACCTATTGCTGAGAGAAGCCTCCTCTTGAGGTGCTTCTGGAAGGTTGGCATATGTCTTGAAAATAAGCCAGGGAATCAGCTCTCATCTCGAGATGATTTGGGTACACGGAGCATTCCTCGAGTTGCTGTGCTGAAGTTGGTGTTCCTCTAGACTTGCGACAGTGTTCTCGGGGCATCTCTGGAGTTGCCTGAAGGAAGTCAAGCCACTGGTCTTGTTGAATGGGGAATGGGGGATGGCTCTGGAGTCCATGCAGGGGAATCGGGCCTCATCTCGAGTTGATTTGTGGCACACGGCGGTGCTTTGCGTTGCTGTGGTGACGTCAGGGCCGTCTAGACTGGTGACAGTGGTCTTGGGGACTGTCTCGAGATCCATTAAGCAAGTCGAAGCTCCTGACTTGTTTGATGGGTATCACGGAATAGTTCTGCACGCACTGCATGGGAATGGGGCCTCATCTCGCCTCTAGGGGGAAGTCTCATGGTTTTTCTCGAGTTGCGGCGGGGACCTGGGGTATGTTCTCGAGTTACGTCAGGGATGGCCCTTCAAATCACGTGTTTATTCAGTGACGTCAAATCCCCTGTCTAGTAACGAGGGACACCTCAGGAATCTCTTCGAGGCTTGACAGGGCAAAAGGGACGCTTCTCGAGGTGAGGCAGGGCACCCAAGGACTCTTTCCCGTAGCCACAGTGATTTTGGGATTCCTATCAGTATTCAAGAGGAGTCAGGCATCATCACCTTTTGAAGCAGTGAACTCCGCGTGCCTCTCGAGGTGTCAACGGGATGTGAGGCATTCCGTCAAAATGAGGCAGGGAACTAGGGCTTTCGCTAAGGTCTCCACAGGGGATTCAGACATCCCTTCATGTTGTGAGATGAAAGACGAGCCTGTATTCAAGCCACTGCAAGGAAATCCTGCCTCCTTTCAAGTTAGGGCTTCTCGCTATATATTCCACTTGACCAGCACACTCGGGGTCCCTCCCACATACCTATTGCTGAGAGAAGCCTCCTCCTGAGGTGCTTCTGGAAGTTTGGCATATGTCTTGAGCCTAAGTCAGGGAATCAGCTCTCATCTCGAGACGATTTGGGGTACACGGAGCATTCCTCGAGTTGCTGTGCTGAAGTTGGTGTTCCTCTAGACTTGCGACAGTGTTCTCGGGGCATCTCTGGAGTTGCCTGAAGGAAGTCAAGCCACTGGTCATTTTGAATGGGGAACGGGGGATGGCTCTGGAGTCAATGCAGTGGAATTGGGCCTCATCTCGAGTTTATTTGGGGCATACGGCCCTGGTTTGCCTTCCTGGGGTAACCTCAGGGTCCATCTAGTCTGGTGACAGTGTTTTTGGGGACTGTCTCGAGGTCCATTAAGCAAGTCGAAGCTCCTGACTTGTTTGATGGGGATCACGGAATAGCTCTGGATGCACTGCAGGGGAATGGGGCCTCATATCACCTCTAGGGGGAAGTCTCATGGTTTTTCTCGAGTTGCGGCGGGGACCTGGGTTTATGTTCTCAAGTTACGGCAGGGATGGCCCTTCAAAACACGTGTTTATTCAGTGACGTCAGGACTCCTGTCTAGTAACGAGGGACACCTCAGGAACCTCTTCGAGGCTCGGCAGGGCAAAAGGGACGCTTCTCGAGCTGAGCCAGGGCACCAAAGACACATTTCAGTAGCCACAGGGATTTTGGGATTCCTATCCGTATTCAAGAGGAGTCAGGCATCGTCACCTTTTGAAGTAGTGAACTCCGCATGCCTCTCGAGGTGTCAACGGGATGTGAGGCATTCCGTCAAAATGAGGCAGGGACCTAGGGCTTTCTCTCAGGTCTCCACAGGGGATTCAGACATCCCTTCATGTAGTGAGATGAAAGACGAGCCTGTATTCAAGCTACTGCAAGGAAATCCGGCCTCCTTTCAAGTTAGGGCTTCTCGCTGTATATTTCACTTGTGGCAGCAAACTCGGGGTCCCTCCCACATACCTATTGCTGAGAGAAGCCTCCTCTTGAGGTGCTTCTGGAAGGGTGGCATACGTCTTGAGCCTAAGCCAGGGAATCAGCTCTCATCTCGAGACGCTTTGGGGTACACGGAGCATTCCTCGAGTTGCTGTGCTGAAGCTGGTGTTCCTCTGGACTTGCGACAGTGTTCTCGGGGCATCTCTGGAGTTGCCTGAAGGAAGTCAAGCCACTGGTCGTGTTGCATGGGGAACGGGGGATGGCTCTGGAGTCAATGCAGGGGAATAGGGCCTCATCTTGCGATGATTTCGGGCACATGGCGCTGCTTTGCGTTGCTGGGGTTACCTGAGGGTCCGTCTAGACTTGTGACAGTGTTCCTGGGGACTCTCTCGAGATCCATTAAGCAAGTCGAAGCTCCTGACTTGTTTGATGGGGATCACGGAATAGCTCTGAATGCACTGCAGGGGAATGGGGCCTCATCTCACCTCTAGGGGGAAGTCTCATGGTTTTTCTCGAGTTGCGGCGGGGACCTGGGGTATGTTCTCAAGTTACGGTGGGGATGGCCCTTCAAAACACGTGTTTATTCAGTGACGTCAGGACTCCTGTCTAGTAACGAGGGACACCTCAGGAATCTCTTCGAGGCTTGGCAGGGCAAAAGGGATGCTTCTCGAGCTGAGGCAGGGCACCAAAGACACATTTCAGTAGCCACAGGGATTTTGGGATTCCTATCAGTATTCAAGAGGAGTCAGGCATCGTCACCTTTTGAAGCAGTGAACTCCGCATGCCTCTCGAGGTGTCAACGGGATGTGAGGCATTCCGTCAAAATGAGGCAGGGACCTAGGGCTTTCTCTCAGGTCAACACAGGGGATTCAGACATCCCTTCATGTTGTGAGATGAAAGACGAGCCTGTATTCAAGCCACTGCAAGGAAATCCGGCCTCCTTTCAAGTTAGGGCTTCTCGCTGTATATTCCACTTGTGGCAGCAAACTCGGGGTGCCTCCCACATACCTATTGCTGAGAGAAGCCTCCTCCTGAGGTGCTTCTGGAAAGTTGGCATACGTCTTGAGCCTGAGCCAGGGAATCAGCTTTCATCTCGATATAATTTGGGTACACGGTGCATTCCTCGAGTTGCTGTGCTGAAGTTGGTGTTCCTCTAGACTTGCGACAGTGTTCTCGGGGCATCTCTGGAGTTGCCTGAAGGAAGTCAAGCCACTGGTCTTGTTGAATGGGGAATGGGGGATGGCTCTGGAGTCCATGCAGGGGAATCGGGCCTCATCTCGAGTTGATTTGTGGCACACGGCGGTGCTTTGCGTTGCTGTGGTGACGTCAGGGCCGTCTAGACTGGTGACAGTGGTCTTGGGGACTGTCTCGAGATCCATTAAGCAAGTCGAAGCTCCTGACTTGTTTGATGGGTATCACGGAATAGTTCTGCACGCACTGCATGGGAATGGGGCCTCATCTCGCCTCTAGGGGGAAGTCTCATGGTTTTTCTCGAGTTGCGGCGGGGACCTGGGGTATGTTCTCGAGTTACATCAGGGATGGCCCTTCAAATCACGTGTTTATTCAGTGACGTCAAATCCCCTGTCTAGTAACGAGGGACACCTCAGGAATCTCTTCGAGGCTTGACAGGGCAAAAGGGACGCTTCTCGAGGTGAGGCAGGGCACCCAAGGACTCTTTCCCGTAGCCACAGTGATTTTGGGATTCCTATCAGTATTCAAGAGGAGTCAGGCATCATCACCTTTTGAAGCAGTGAACTCCGCGTGCCTCTCGAGGTGTCAACGGGATGTGAGGCATTCCGTCAAAATGAGGCAGGGAACTAGGGCTTTCGCTAAGGTCTCCACAGGGGATTCAGACATCCCTTCATGTTGTGAGATGAAAGACGAGCCTGTATTCAAGCCACTGCAAGGAAATCCTGCCTCCTTTCAAGTTAGGGCTTCTCGCTATATATTCCACTTGACCAGCACACTCGGGGTCCCTCCCACATACCTATTGCTGAGAGAAGCCTCCTCCTGAGGTGCTTCTGGAAGTTTGGCATATGTCTTGAGCCTAAGTCAGGGAATCAGCTCTCATCTCGAGACGATTTGGGGTACACGGAGCATTCCTCGAGTTGCTGTGCTGAAGTTGGTGTTCCTCTAGACTTGCGACAGTGTTCTCGGGGCATCTCTGGAGTTGCCTGAAGGAAGTCAAGCCACTGGTCATTTTGAATGGGGAACGGGGGATGGCTCTGGAGTCAATGCAGTGGAATCGGGCCTCATCTCGAGTTTATTTGGGGCATACGGCCCTGCTTTCCCTTCCTGGGGTGACCTCAGGGTCCATCTAGTCTGGTGACAGTGTTTTTGGGGACTGTCTCGAGGTCCATTAAGCAAGTCGAAGCTCCTGACTTGTTTGATGGGGATCACGGAATAGCTCTGGATGCACTGCAGGGGAATGGGGCCTCATATCACCTCTAGGGGGAAGTCTCATGGTTTTTCTCGAGTTGCGGCGGGGACCTGGGGTATGTTCTCAAGTTACGGCAGGGATGGCCCTTCAAAACACGTGTTTATTCAGTGACGTCAGGACTCCTGTCTAGTAACGAGGGACACCTCAGGAACCTCTTCGAGGCTCGGCAGGGCAAAAGGGACGCTTCTCGAGCTGAGCCAGGGCACCAAAGACACATTTCAGTAGCCACAGGGATTTTGGGATTCCTATCCGTATTCAAGAGGAGTCAGGCATCGTCACCTTTTGAAGTAGTGAACTCCGCATGCCTCTCGAGGTGTCAACGGGATGTGAGGCATTCCGTCAAAATGAGGCAGGGACCTAGGGCTTTCTCTCAGGTCAAGACAGGGGATTCAGACATCCCTTCATGTAGTGAGATGAAAGACGAGCCTGTATTCAAGCTACTGCAAGGAAATCCGGCCTCCTTTCAAGTTAGGGCTTCTCGCTGTATATTTCACTTGTGGCAGCACACTCGGGGTCCCTCCCACATACCTATTGCTGAGAGAAGCCTCCTCCTGAGGTGCTTCTGGAAAGTTGGCATAGGTCTTGAGCCTGAGCCAGGGAATCAGCTTTCATCTCGATATAATTTGGGTACACGGTGCATTCCTCGAGTTGCTGTCCTGAAGTTGGTGTTCCTCTAGACTTGCGACAGTGTTCTCGGGGCATCTCTGGAGTTGCCTGAAGGAAGTCAAGCCACTTGTCTTGTTGAATGGGGAATGGGGGATGGCTCTGGAGTCAATGCAGGGGAATCGGGCCTCATCTCGAGTTGATTTGGGGCACACGGCCCTGCTTTGTGTTGCTGTGGTGACCTCAGTGTCCGTCTAGACTGGTTACAGTGTTCTTGGGGAATGTCTCGAGATCCATTAAGCAAGTCGAAGCTCCTGACTTGTTTGATGGGGATCACGGAATAGCTCTGCATGCACTGCAGGGGAATGGTGCCTCATCTCGCCTCTAGGGGGAAGTCTCATGGTTTTTCTCGAGTTGCGGCGGGGCCTGGGGTATGTTCTCGAGTTACGGCAGGGATGGCCCTTCAAATCACGTGTTTATTCAGTGACGTCAAAACCTCTGTCTAGTAAGGAGGGACACCTCAGGAATCTCTTCGAGGCTTGACAGGGCAAAAGGGACGCTTCTCGAGGTGAGGCAGGGCACCCAAGGACTCTTTCCAGTAGCCACAGTGATTTTGGGATTCCGATCAGTATTCAAGAGGAGTCAGGCATCGTCACCTTTTGAAGCAGTGAACTCCGCGTGCCTCTCGAGGTGTCAACGGGATGTGAGGCATTCCGTCAAAATGAGGCAGGGACCTAGGGCTTTCGCTAAGGTCTCCACAGGGGATTCAGACATGCCTTCATGTTGTGAGATGAAAGACGAGCCTGTATTCAAGCCACTGCAAGGAAATCCGGCCTCCTTTCAAGTTAGGGCTTCTCGCTATTTATTCCACTTGAGGAAGCAAACTCGGGGTCCTTCCCACATACCTATTGCTGAGAGAAGTCTCCTCCTGAGGTGCTTCTGGAAGGGTGGCATACGTCTTGAGCCTAAGTCAGGGAATCAGCTCTCATCTCGAGACGATTTGGGGTACACGGAGCATTCCTCGAGTTGCTCTGCTGAAGTTGGTGTTCCTCTAGACTTGCGACAGTGTTCTCTTGGCATCTCTGGAGTTGCCTGAAGGACGTAAAGCCACTGGATGTGTTGAATGGGGAACAGAGGATGGCTCTGGAGTCATTGCAGGGGGATCGGGCCTCATCTCGAGTTGATTTGTGGCACACGGAGCTGCTTTGCGTTGCTGGGGTGACCTCAGGGTCCGTCTAGACTGGTGACAGTGTTCTTGGGGACTGTCTCGAGATCCGTTAAGCAAGTCGAAGCTCCTGACTTGTTTGATGGGGATCACGGAATAACTCTGCATGCACTGCAGGGGAATGGTGCCTCATCTCGCCTCTAGGGGGAAGTCTCATGGTTTTTCTCGAGTTGCGGTGGGGACCTGGGGTATGTTCTCGAGTTACGGCGGGGATGGCCCTTCAAAACACGTCTTTATTCAGTGACGTCAGGACTCCTGTCTAGTAACGAGGGACACCTCAGGAATCTCTTCGAGGCTTGGCAGGGTAAAAGAGACGCTTCTCGAGCTGAGGCAGGGCACCAAAGACCCATTTCAGTAGCCACAGGGATTTTGGGATTCCTATCAGTATTGAAGAGGAGTCAGGCATCGTCACCTTTTAAAGCAGTGAACTCCGTGTGCATCCCAAGGAGTCAACGGGATGAGGCATTCCGTCAAAATGAGGCAGGGAACTAGGGCTTTCTCTCAGGTCTCGACAGGGGATTCAGACATCCCTTCATGTTGTGAGATGAAAGACGAGCCCGTATTCAAGCCACTGCAAGGTAATCCGGCCTCCTTTCAAGTTAGGGCTTCTCGTTGTATATTCCACTTGAGGCAGCAAACTCGGGGTCCCTCCCACATACCTATTGCTGAGAGAAGCCTCTTCGTGAGGTGCTTCTGGAAGGTTGGCATACATCTTGAGCCTAAGCCAGGGAATCAGCTCTCATCTCGAGATAATTTGGGGTACACGGAGCAATCCTCGTGTTGCTGTGCTGAAGTTGGTGTTCCTCTAGACTTGGGACATTGTTCTCGGGGCATCTCTGGAGTTGGCTGAAGGAAGTCAAGCCACTGGTCGTGTGGAATGGATAACGGGGGCTGGCTCTGGAGTCAATGCAGGGGAATCGGGCCTCATCTCGAGTTGAATTGGGGCACATGGAGCAGCTTTGCGTTGCTGGCTTGACCTCAGAGTGGGTCTAGACTGGTGACAGTGTTCTTGGGTTCTGTCTCGAGATCCGTTAAGCAAGTCGAAGCTCCTGACTTGTTTGATGGGGATCACGGAATAGCTCTCCATGCACTGCAGGGGAATGGGGCCTCATCTCGCCTCTAGGGGGAAGTCTCATGGTTTTTCTCGAGTTGCGGCAGGGATCTGGGGTATGTTCTCGAGTTACGGCAGGGATGGCCCTTCAAATCACGTGTTTATTCAGTGACGTCAGAACTCCTGTCTAGTAACGAGGGACACCTCAGGAATCTCTTCGAGGCTTGGCAGGGCAAAAGGGACACTAATCCAGGTGAGGCAGGGCACCAAAGGACACTTTCCAGTAGCCACAGGGATTTTGGGATTCCTATCCGTATTCAAGAGGAGTCAGGCATCGTCACCTTTTCAAGCAGTGAACTCCGCGTGCCTCTCGACTTGTCAACGGGATGTGAGGCATTCCGTCAAAATGAGGCAGGGACCTAGGGCTTTCTCTCAGGTCTCCACAGGGGATTCAGATCATCCCTTCATGTCGTGAGATGAAAGACGAGCCTATATTCAAGCCACTGCAAGGAAATCCAGCCTCCTTTCAAGTTAGGGCTTCTCGCTGTATATTCCACTTGAGGCAGCAAACTCGGGGTCCCTCCCACATACCTATTGCTGAGAGAAGCCTCCTCTTGAGGTGCTTCTGGAAGGGTGGCATACGTCTTGAGCCTAATCCAGGGAATCAGCTCTCATCTCGAGACGATTTGGGGTACACGGAGCATTCCTCGAGTTGCTGTGCTGAAGCTGGTGTTCCTCTGGACTTGCGACAGTGTTCTCGGGGCATCTCTGGAGTTGCCTGAATGAAGTCAAGCCACTGGTCGTGTTGAATGGGGAACGGGGGATGGCTCTGGAGTCAATGCAGGGGAATCGGGCTTCATCTCTCGTTGATTTCAGGCACACGGCACTGCTTTGCGTTGCTGGCGTTACCTGAGGGTCCGTCTAGACTTGTGAAAGTGTTCTTGGGGACTGTCTCGAGATCCATTAACCAAGTCGAAGCTCCTGACTTCTTTGATGGGGATTACGGAATAGCTCTGCATGCACTGCAGGGGAATGGGGCTTCATCTCGCCTCTAGGGGGAAGTCTCATGGTTTTTCTCGAGTTCGGCGGGGACCGGGGGTATGTTCTCGAGTTTCGGCGGGGATGGCCCTTCAAAACACGTGTTTATTCAGTGACGCCAGGACTCCTGTCTAGTAACGAGGGACACCTCAGGAATCTCTTCGAGGCTTGGCAGGGCAAAAGGGATGCTTCTCGAGCTGAGGCAGGGCACCAAAGACACATTTCAGTAGCCACAGGGATTTTGGGATTCCTATCAGTATTCAAGAGGAGTCAGGCATCGTCACCTTTTGAAGCAGTGAACTCCGCATGCCTCTCGAGGTGTCAACGGGATGTGAGGCATTCCGTCAAAATGAGGCAGGGACCTAGGGCTTTCTCTCAGGTCAACACAGGGGATTCAGACATCCCTTCATGTTGTGAGATGAAAGACGAGCCTGTATTCAAGCCACTGCAAGGAAATCCGGCCTCCTTTCAAGTTAGGGCTTCTCGCTGTATATTCCACTTGTGGCAGCAAACTCGGGGTCCCTCCCACATACCTATTGCTGAGAGAAGCCTCCTCCTGAGGTGCTTCTGGAAAGTTGGCATAGGTCTTGAGCCTGAGCCAGGGAATCAGCTTTCATCTCGATATAATTTGGGTACACGGTGCATTCCTCGAGTTGCTGTGCTGAAGTTGGTGTTCCTCTAGACTTGCGACAGTGTTCTCGGGGCATCTCTGGAGTTGCCTGAAGGAAGTCAAGCCACTTGTCTTGTTGAATGGGGAATGGGGGATGGCTCTGGAGTCAATGCAGGGGAATCGGGCCTCATCTCGAGTTGATTTGGGGCACACGGCCCTGTTTGTGTTGCTGTGGTGACCTCAGTGTCCGTCTAGACTGGTTACAGTGTTCTTGCGGAATGTCTCGAGATCCATTAAGCAAGTCGAAGCTCCTGACTTGTTTGATGGGGATCACGGAATAGCTCTGCATGCACTGCAGGGGAATGGTGCCTCATCTCGCCTCTAGGGGGAAGTCTCATGGTTTTTCTCGAGTTGCGGCGGGGCCTGGGGTATGTTCTCGAGTTACGGCAGGGATGGCCCTTCAAATCACGTGTTTATTCAGTGACGTCAAAACCTCTGTCTAGTAAGGAGGGACACCTCAGGAATCTCTTCGAGGCTTGACAGGGCAAAAGGGACGCTTCTCGAAGTGAGGCAGGGCAACCAAGGACTCTTTCCAGTAGCCACAGTGATTTTGGGATTCCGATCAGTATTCAAGAGGAGTCAGGCATCGTCACCTTTTGAAGCAGTGAACTCCGCGTGCCTCTCGAGGTGTCAACGGGATGTGAGGCATTCCGTCAAAATGAGGCAGGGACGTAGGGCTTTCGCTAAGGTCTCCACAGGGGATTCAGACATGCCTTCATGCTGTGAGATGAAAGACGAGCCTGTATTCAAGCCACTGCAAGGAAATCCGGCCTCCTTTCAAGTTAGGGCTTCTCGCTATTTATTCCACTTGAGGAAGCAAATTCGGGGTCCCTCCCACATACCTATTGCTGAGAGAAGTCTCCTCCTGAGGTGCTTCTGGAAGGGTGGCATACGTCTTGAGCCTAAGTCAGGGAATCAGCTCTCATCTCGAGACGATTTGGGGTACACGGAGCATTCCTCGAGTTGCTCTGCTGAAGTTGGTGTTCCTCTAGACTTGCGACAGTGTTCTCTTGGCATCTCTGGAGTTGCCTGAAGGAAGTCAAGCCACTGGATGTGTTGAATGGGTAACAGGGGATGGCTCTGGAGTCATTGCAGGGGGATCGGGCCTCATCTCGAATTGATTTGTGGCACACGGAGCTGCTTTGCGTTGCTGGGGTGACCTCAGGGTCCGTCTAGACTGGTGACAGGGTTCTTGGGGACTGTCTCGAGATCCGTTAAGCAAGTCGAAGCTCCTGACTTGTTTGATGGGGATCACGGAATAGCTCTGCATGCACTGCAGGGAAATGGTGCCTCATCTCGCCTCTAGGGGGAAGTCTCATGGTTTTTCTCGAGTTGCGGTGGGGACCTGGGGTATGTTCTCGAGTTACGGCGGGGATGGCCCTTCAAAACACGTCTTTATTCAGTGACGTCAGGACTCCTGTCTAGTAACGAGGGACACCTCAGGAATCTCTTCGAGGCTTGGCAGGGTAAAAGAGACGCTTCTCGAGCTGAGGCAGGGCACCAAAGACCCATTTCAGTAGCCACAGGGATTTTGGGATTCCTATCAGTATTGAAGAGGAGTCAGGCATCGTCACCTTTTAAAGCAGTGACCTCCGTGTGCATCCCAAGGAGTCAACGGGATGAGGCATTCCGTCAAAATGAGGCAGGGAACTAGGGCTTTCTCTCAGGTCTCGACAGGGGATTCAGACATCCCTTCATGTTGTGAGATGAAAGACGAGCCCGTATTCAAGCCACTGCAAGGTAATCCGGCCTCCTTTCAAGTTAGGGCTTCTCGTTGTATATTCCACTTGAGGCAGCAAACTCGGGGTCCCTCCCACATACCTATTGCTGAGAGAAGCCTCTTCGTGAGGTGCTTCTGGAAGGTTGGCATACGTCTTGAGCCTAAGCCAGGGAATCAGCTCTCATCTCGAGATAATTTGGGGTACACGGAGCAATCCTCGTGTTGCTGTGCTGAAGTTGGTGTTCCTCTAGACTTGGGACATTGTTCTCGGGGCATCTCTGGAGTTGGCTGAAGGAAGTCAAGCCACTGGTCATGTGGAATGGATAACGGGGGCTGGCTCTGGAGTCAATGCAGGGGAATCGGGCCTCATCTCGAGTTGAATTGGGGCACATGGAGCTGCTTTGCGTTGCTGGCTTGACCTCAGAGTGGGTCTAGACTGGTGACAGTGTTCTTGGGTTCTGTCTCGAGATCCGTTAAGCAAGTCGAAGCTCCTGACTTGTTTGATGGGTATCACGGAATAGCTCTCCATGCACTGCAGGGGAATGGGGCCTCATCTCGCCTCTAGGGGGAAGTCTCATGGTTTTTCTCGAGTTGCGGCAGGGATCTGGGGTATGTTCTCGAGTTACGGCAGGGATGGCCCTTCAAATCACGTGTTTATTCAGTGACGTCAGAACTCCTGTCTAGTAACGAGGGACACCTCAGGAATCTCTTCGAGGCTTGGCAGGGCAAAAGGGACACTAATCCAGGTGAGGCAGGGCACCAAAGGACACTTTCCAGTAGCCACAGGGATTTTGGGATTCCTATCCGTATTCAAGAGGAGTCAGGCATCGTCACCTTTTCAAGCAGTGAACTCCGCGTGCCTCTCGACTTGTCAACGGGATGTGAGGCATTCCGTCAAAATGAGGCAGGGACCTAGGGCTTTCTCTCAGGTCTCCACAGGGGATTCAGATCATCCCTTCATGTCGTGAGATGAAAGACGAGCCTATATTCAAGCCACTGCAAGGAAATCCGGCCTCCTTTCAAGTTAGGGCTTCTCGCTGTATATTCCACTTGAGGCAGCAAACTCGGGGTCCCTCCCACATACCTATTGCTGAGAGAAGCCTCCTCTTGAGGTGCTTCTGGAAGGGTGGCATACGTCTTGAGCCTAAGCCAGGGAATCAGCTCTCATCTCGAGACGATTTGGGGTACACGGAGCATTCCTCGAGTTGCTGTGCTGAAGTTGGTGTTCCTCTAGACTTGGGACAGTGTTCTCGGGGCATCTCTGGAGTTGCCTGAATGAAGTCAAGCCACTGGTCGTGTTGAATGGGGAACGGGGGATGGCTCTGGAGTCAATGCAGGGGAATCGGGCTTCATCTCTCGTTGATTTCAGGCACACGGCACTGCTTTGCGTTGCTGGCGTTACCTGAGGGTCCGTCTAGACTTGTGAAAGTGTTCTTGGGGACTGTCTCGAGATCCATTAACCAAGTCGAAGCTCCTGACTTCTTTGATGGGGATTACGGAATAGCTCTGCATGCACTGCAGGGGAATGGGGCTTCATCTCGCCTCTAGGGGGAAGTCTCATGGTTTTTCTCAAGTTCGGCGGGGACCGGGGGTATGTTCTCGAGTTTCGGCGGGGATGGCCCTTCAAAACACGTGTTTATTCAGTGACGCCAGGACTCCTGTCTAGTAACGAGGGACACCTCAGGAATCTCTTCGAGGCTTGGCAGGGCAAAAGGGATGCTTCTCGAGCTGAGGCAGGGCACCAAAGACACATTTCAGTAGCCACAGGGATTTTGGGATTCCTATCAGTATTCAAGAGGAGTCAGGCATCGTCACCTTTTGAAGTAGTGAACTCCGCATGCCTCTCGAGGTGTCAACGGGATGTGAGGCATTCCGTCAAAATGAGGCAGGGACCTAGGGCTTTCTCTCAGGTCAACACAGGGGATTCAGACATCCCTTCATGTTGTGAGATGAAAGACGAGCCTGTATTCAAGCCACTGCAAGGAAATCCGGCCTCCTTTCAAGTTAGGGCTTCTCGCTGTATATTCCACTTGTGGCAGCAAACTCGGGGTCCCTCCCACATACCTATTGCTGAGAGAAGCCTCCTCCTGAGGTGCTTCTGGAAAGTTGGCATACGTCTTGAGCCTGAGCCAGGGAATCAGCTTTCATCTCGATATAATTTGGGTACACGGTGCATTCCTCGAGTTGCTGTGCTGAAGTTGGTGTTCCTCTAGACTTGCGACAGTGTTCTCGGGGCATCTCTGGAGTTGCCTGAAGGAAGTCAAGCCACTTGTCTTGTTGAATGGGGAATGGGGGATGGCTCTGGAGTCAATGCAGGGGAATCGGGCCTCATCTCGAGTTGATTTGGGGCACACGGCCCTGCTTTGTGTTGCTGTGGTGTCCTCAGTGTCCGTCTAGACTGGTTACAGTGTTCTTGGGGAATGTCTCGAGATCCATTAAGCAAGTCGAAGCTCCTGACTTGTTTGATGGGGATCACGGAATAGCTCTGCATGCACTGCAGGGGAATGGTGCCTCATCTCGCCTCTAGGGGGAAGTCTCATGGTTTTTCTCGAGTTGCGGCGGGGCCTGGGGTATGTTCTCGAGTTACGGCAGGGATGGCCCTTCAAATCACGTGTTTATTCAGTGACGTCAAAACCTCTGTCTAGTAAGGAGGGACACCTCAGGAATCTCTTCGAGGCTTGACAGGGCAAAAGGGACGCTTCTCGAGGTGAGGCAGGGCACCCAAGGACTCTTTCCAGTAGCCACAGTGATTTTGGGATTCCGATCAGTATTCAAGAGGAGCCAGGCATCGTCACCTTTTGAAGCAGTGAACTCCGCGTGCCTCTCGAGGTGTCAACGGGATGTGAGGCATTCCGTCAAAATGAGGCAGGGACCTAGGGCTTTCGCTAAGGTCTCCACAGGGGATTCAGACATGCCTTCATGTTGTGAGATGAAAGACGAGCCTGTATTCAAGCCACTGCAAGGAAATCCGGCCTCCTTTCAAGTTAGGGCTTCTCGCTATTTATTCCACTTGAGGAAGCAAACTCGGGGTCCCTCCCACATACCTATTGCTGAGAGAAGTCTCCTCCTGAGGTGCTTCTGGAAGGGTGGCATACGTCTTGAGCCTAAGTCAGGGAATCAGCTCTCATCTCGAGACGATTTGGGGTACACGGAGCATTCCTCGAGTTGCTCTGCTGAAGTTGGTGTTCCTCTAGACTTGCGACAGTGTTCTCTTGGCATCTCTGGAGTTGCCTGAAGGAAGTCAAGCCACTGGATGTGTTGAATGGGGAACAGGGGATGGCTCTGGAGTCATTGCAGGGGGATCGGGCCTCATCTCGAGTTGATTTGTGGCACACGGAGCTGCTTTGCGTTGCTGGGGTGACCTCAGGGTTGGTCTAGACTGGTGACAGTGTTCTTGGGGACTGTCTCGAGGTCCGTTAAGCAAGTCGAAGCTCCTGACTTGTTTGATGGGGATCACGGAATAGCTCTGCATGCACTGCAGGGGAATGGTGCCTCATCTCGCCTCTAGGGGGAAGTCTCATGGTTTTTCTCGAGTTGCGGTGGGGACCTGGGGTATGTTCTCGAGTTACGGCGGGGATGGCCCTTCAAAACACGTCTTTATTCAGTGACGTCAGGACTCCTGTCTAGTAACGAGGGACACCTCAGGAATCTCTTCGAGGCTTGGCAGGGTAAAAGAGACGCTTCTCGAGCTGAGGCAGGGCACCAAAGACCCATTTCAGTAGCCACAGGGATTTTGGGATTCCTATCAGTATTGAAGAGGAGTCAGGCATCGTCACCTTTTAAAGCAGTGAACTCCGTGTGCATCCCAAGGAGTCAACGGGATGAGGCATTCCGTCAAAATGAGGCAGGGAACTAGGGCTTTCTCTCAGGTCTCGACAGGGGATTCAGACATCCCTTCATGTTGTGAGATGAAAGACGAGCCCGTATTCAAGCCACTGCAAGGTAATCCGGCCTCCTTTCAAGTTAGGGCTTCTCGTTGTATATTCCACTTGAGGCAGCAAACTCGGGGTCCCTCCCACATACCTATTGCTGAGAGAAGCCTCTTCGTGAGGTGCTTCTGGAAGGTTGGCATACGTCTTGAGCCTAAGCCAGGGAATCAGCTCTCATCTCGAGATAATTTGGGGTACACGGAGCAATCCTCGTGTTGCTGTGCTGAAGTTGGTGTTCCTCTAGACTTGGGACATTGTTCTCGGGGCATCTCTGGAGTTGGCTGAAGGAAGTCAAGCCACTGGTCATGTGGAATGGATAACGGGGGCTGGCTCTGGAGTCAATGCAGGGGAATCGGGCCTCATCTCGAGTTGAATTGGGGCACATGGAGCTGCTTTGCGTTGCTGGCTTGACCTCAGAGTGGGTCTAGACTGGTGACAGTGTTCTTGGGTTCTGTCTCGAGATCCGTTAAGCAAGTCGAAGCTCCTGACTTGTTTGATGGGTATCACGGAATAGCTCTCCATGCACTGCAGGGGAATGGGGCCTCATCTCGCCTCTAGGGGGAAGTCTCATGGTTTTTCTCGAGTTGCGGCAGGGATCTGGGGTATGTTCTCGAGTTTCGGCAGGGATGGCCCTTCAAATCACGTGTTTATTCAGTGACGTCAGAACTCCTGTCTAGTAACGAGGGACACCTCAGGAATCTCTTCGAGGCTTGGCAGGGCAAAAGGGACACTAATCCAGGTGAGGCAGGGCACCAAAGGACACTTTCCAGTAGCCACAGGGATTTTGGGATTCCTATCCGTATTCAAGAGGAGTCAGGCATCGTCACCTTTTCAAGCAGTGAACTCCGCGTGCCTCTCGACTTGTCAACGGGATGTGAGGCATTCCGTCAAAATGAGGCAGGGACCTAGGGCTTTCTCTCAGGTCTCCACAGGGGATTCAGATCATCCCTTCATGTCGTGAGATGAAAGACGAGCCTATATTTAAGCCACTGCAAGGAAATCCGGCCTCCTTTCAAGTTAGGGCTTCTCGCTGTATATTCCACTTGAGGCAGCAAACTCGGGGTCCCTCCCACATTCCTATTGCTGAGAGAAGCCTCCTCTTGAGGTGCTTCTGGAAGGGTGGCATACGTCTTGAGCCTAAGCCAGGGAATCAGCTCTCATCTCGAGACGATTTGGGGTACACGGAGCATTCCTCGAGTTGCTGTGCTGAAGTTGGTGTTCCTCTAGACTTGGGACAGTGTTCTCGGGGCATCTCTGGAGTTGCCTGAATGAAGTCAAGCCACTGGTCGTGTTGAATGGGGAACGGGGGATGGCTCTGGAGTCAATGCAGGGGAATCGGGCTTCATCTCTCGTTGATTTCAGGCACACGGCACTGCTTTGCGTTGCTGGCGTTACCTGAGGGTCCGTCTAGACTTGTGAAAGTGTTCTTGGGGACTGTCTCGAGATCCATTAACCAAGTCGAAGCTCCTGACTTCTTTGATGGGGATTACGGAATAGCTCTGCATGCACTGCAGGGGAATGGGGCTTCATCTCGCCTCTAGGGGGAAGTCTCATGGTTTTTCTCAAGTTCGGCGGGGACCGGGGGTATGTTCTCGAGTTTCGGCGGGGATGGCCCTTCAAAACACGTGTTTATTCAGTGACGCCAGGACTCCTGTCTAGTAACGAGGGACACCTCAGGAATCTCTTCGAGGCTTGGCAGGGCAAAAGGGATGCTTCTCGAGCTGAGGCAGGGCACCAAAGACACATTTCAGTAGCCACAGGGATTTTGGGATTCCTATCAGTATTCAAGAGGAGTCAGGCATCGTCACCTTTTGAAGCAGTGAACTCCGCATGCCTCTCGAGGTGTCAACGGGATGTGAGGCATTCCGTCAAAATGAGGCAGGGACCTAGGGCTTTCTCTCAGGTCAACACAGGGGATTCAGACATCCCTTCATGTTGTGAGATGAAAGACGAGCCTGTATTCAAGCCACTGCAAGGAAATCCGGCCTCCTTTCAAGTTAGGGCTTCTCGCTGTATATTCCACTTGTGGCAGCAAACTCGGGGTCCCTCCCACATACCTATTGCTGAGAGAAGCCTCCTCCTGAGGTGCTTCTGGAAAGTTGGCATACGTCTTGAGCCTGAGCCAGGGAATCAGCTTTCATCTCGATATAATTTGGGTACACGGTGCATTCCTCGAGTTGCTGTGCTGAAGTTGGTGTTCCTCTAGACTTGCGACAGTGTTCTCGGGGCATCTCTGGAGTTGCCTGAAGGAAGTCAAGCCACTTGTCTTGTTGAATGGGGAATGGGGGATGGCTCTGGAGTCAATGCAGGGGAATCGGGCCTCATCTCGAGTTGATTTGGGGCACACGGCCCTGCTTTGTGTTGCTGTGGTGACCTCAGTGTCCGTCTAGACTGGTTACAGTGTTCTTGGGGAATGTCTCGAGATCCATTAAGCAAGTCGAAGCTCCTGACTTGTTTGATGGGGATCACGGAATAGCTCTGCATGCACTGCAGGGGAATGGTGCCTCATCTCGCCTCTAGGGGGAAGTCTCATGGTTTTTCTCGAGTTGCGGCGGGGCCTGGGGTATGTTCTCGAGTTACGGCAGGGATGGCCCTTCAAATCACGTGTTTATTCAGTGACGTCAAAACCTCTGTCTAGTAAGGAGGGACACCTCAGGAATCTCTTCGAGGCTTGACAGGGCAAAAGGGACGCTTCTCGAGGTGAGGCAGGGCACCCAAGGACTCTTTCCAGTAGCCACAGTGATTTTGGGATTCCGATCAGTATTCAAGAGGAGTCAGGCATCGTCACCTTTTGAAGCAGTGAACTCCGCGTGCCTCTCGAGGTGTCAACGGGATGTGAGGCATTCCGTCAAAATGAGGCAGGGACCTAGGGCTTTCGCTAAGGTCTCCACAGGGGATTCAGACATGCCTTCATGTTGTGAGATGAAAGACGAGCCTGTATTCAAGCCACTGCAAGGAAATCCGGCCTCCTTTCAAGTTAGGGCTTCTCGCTATTTATTCCACTTGAGGAAGCAAACTCGGGGTCCCTCCCACATACCTATTGCTGAGAGAAGTCTCCTCCTGAGGTGCTTCTGGAAGGGTGGCATACGTCTTGAGCCTAAGTCAGGGAATCAGCTCTCATCTCGAGACGATTTGGGGTACACGGAGCATTCCTCGAGTTGCTCTGCTGAAGTTGGTGTTCCTCTAGACTTGCGACAGTGTTCTCTTGGCATCTCTGGAGTTGCCTGAAGGAAGTCAAGCCACTGGATGTGTTGAATGGGGAACAGGGGATGGCTCTGGAGTCATTGCAGGGGGATCGGGCCTCATCTCGAGTTGATTTGGGGCACACGGAGCTGCTTTGCGTTGCTGGGGTGACTTCAGGGTCCGTCTAGACTGGTGACAGGGTTCTTGGGGACTGTCTCGAGATCCGTTAAGCAAGTCGAAGTCCTGACTTGTTTGATGGGGATTCACGGAATAGCTCTGCATGCACTGCAGGGGAATGGTGCCTCATCTCGCCTCTAGGGGGAAGTCTCATGGTTTTTCTCGAGTTGCGGTGGGGACCTGGGGTATGTTCTCGAGTTACGGCGGGGATGGCCCTTCAAAACACGTCTTTATTCAGTGACCTCAGGACTCCTGTCTAGTAACGAGGGACACCTCAGGAATCTCTTCGAGGCTTGGCAGGGTAAAAGAGACGCTTCTCGAGCTGAGGCAGGGCACCAAAGACCCATTTCAGTAGCCACAGGGATTTTGGGATTCCTATCAGTATTCAAGAGGAGTCAGGCATCGTCACCTTTTAAAGCAGTGAACTCCGTGTGCATCCCAAGGAGTCAACGGGATGAGGCATTCCGTCAAAATGAGACAGGGAACTAGGGCTTTCTCTCAGGTCTCGACAGGGGATTCAGACATCCCTTCATGTTGTGAGATGAAAGACGAGCCCGTATTCAAGCCACTGCAAGGTAATCCGGCCTCCTTTCAAGTTAGGGCTTCTCGTTGTATATTCCACTTCAGGCAGCAAACTCGGGGTCCCTCCCACATACCTATTGCTGAGAGAAGCCTCTTCGTGAGGTGCTTCTGGAAGGTTGGAATACGTCTTGAGCCTAAGCCAGGGAATCAGCTCTCATCTCGAGATAATTTGGGGTACACGGAGCAATCCTCGTGTTGCTGTGCTGAAGTTGGTGTTCCTCTAGACTTGGGACATTGTTCTCGGGGCATCTCTGGAGTTGGCTGAAGGAAGTCAAGCCACTGGTCGTGTGGAATGGATAACGGGGGCTGGCTCTGGAGTCAATGCAGGGGAATTGGGCCTCATCTCGAGTTGAATTGGGGCACATGGAGCTGCTTTGCGTTGCTGGCTTGACCTCAGAGTGGGTCTAGACTGGTGACAGTGTTCTTGGGTTCTGTCTCGAGATCCGTTAAGCAAGTCGAAGCTCCTGACTTGTTTGATGGGTATCACGGAATAGCTCTCCATGCACTGCAGGGGAATGGGGCCTCATCTCGCCTCTAGGGGGAAGTCTCATGGTTTTTCTCGAGTTGCGGCAGGGATCTGGGGTATGTTCTCGAGTTACGGCAGGGATGGCCCTTCAAATCACGTGTTTATTCAGTGACGTCAGAACTCCTGTCTAGTAACGAGGGACACCTCAGGAATCTCTTTGAGGCTTGGCAGGGCAAAAGGGATGTTTCTCGAGCTGAGGCAGGGCACCAAAGACACATTTCAGTAGCCACAGGGATTTTGGGATTCCTATCAGTATTCAAGAGGAGTCAGGCATCGTCACCTTTTGAAGCAGTGAACTCCGCATGCCTCTCGAGGTGTCAACGGGATGTGAGGCATTCCGTCAAAATGAGGCAGGGACCTAGGGCTTTCTCTCAGGTCAACACAGGGGATTCAGACATCCCTTCATGTTGTGAGATGAAAGACGAGCCTGTATTCAAGCCACTGCAAGGAAATCCGGCCTCCTTTCAAGTTAGGGCTTCTCGCTGTATATTCTACTTGTGGCAGCAAACTCGGGGTCCCTCCCACATACCTATTGCTGAGAGAAGCCTCCTCCTGAGGTGCTTCTGGAAAGTTGGCATACGTCTTGAGCCTTAGCCAGGGAATCAGCTTTCATCTCGATATAATTTGGGTACAAGGTGCATTCCTCGAGTTGCTGTGCTGAAGTTGGTGTTCCTCTAGACTTGCGACAGTGTTCTCGGGGCATCTCTGGAGTTGCCTGAAGTAAGTCAAGCCACTTGTCTTGTTGAATGGGGAATGGGGGATGGCTCTGGAGTCAATGCAGGGGAATCGGGCCTCATCTCGAGTTGATTTGGGGCACACGGCCCTGCTTTGTGTTGCTGTGGTGACCTCAGGGTCCGTCTAGACTGGTTACAGTGTTCTTGGGGAATGTCTCGAGATCCATTAAGCAAGTCGAAGCTCCTGACTTGTTTGATGGGGATCACGGAATAGCTCTGCATGCACTGCAGGGGAATGGTGCCTCATCTCGCCTCTAGGGGGAAGTCTCATGGTTTTTCTCGAGTTGCGGTGGGGACCTGGGGTATGTTCTCGAGTTACGGCGGGGATGGCCCTTCAAAACACGTCTTTATTCAGTGACGTCAGGACTCCTGTCTAGTAACGAGGGACACCTCAGGAATCTCTTCGAGGCTTGGCAGGGTAAAAGAGACGCTTCTCGAGCTGAGGCAGGGCACCAAAGACCCATTTCAGTAGCCACAGGGATTTTGGGATTCCTATCAGTATTGAAGAGGAGTCAGGCATCGTCACCTTTTAAAGCAGTGAACTCCGTGTGCATCCCAAGGAGTCAACGGGATGAGGCATTCCGTCAAAATGAGGCAGGGAACTAGGGCTTTCTCTCAGGTCTCGACAGGGGATTCAGACATCCCTTCATGTTGTGAGATGAAAGACGAGCCCGTATTCAAGCCACTGCAAGGTAATTCGGCCTCCTTTCAAGTTAGGGCTTCTCGTTGTATATTCCACTTGAGGCAGCAAACTCGGGGTCCCTCCCACATACCTATTGCTGAGAGAAGCCTCTTCGTGAGGTGCTTCTGGAAGGTTGGCATACGTCTTGAGCCTAAGCCAGGGAATCAGCTCTCATCTCGAGATAATTTGGGGTACACGGAGAAATCCTCGTGTTGCTGTGCTGAAGTTGGTGTTCCTCTAGACTTGGGACATTGTTCTCGGGGCATCTCTGGAGTTGGCTGAAGGAAGTCAAGCCACTGGTCGTGTGGAATGGATAACGGGGGCTGGCTCTGGAGTCAATGCAGGGGAATCGGGCCTCATCTCGAGTTGAATTGGGGCACATGGAGCAGCTTTGCGTTGCTGGCTTGACCTCAGAGTGGGTCTAGACTGGTGACAGTGTTCTTGGGTTCTGTCTCGAGATCCGTTAAGCAAGTCGAAGCTCCTGACTTGTTTGATGGGGATCACGGAATAGCTCTCCATGCACTGCAGGGGAATGGGGCCTCATCTCGCCTCTAGGGGGAAGTCTCATGGTTTTTCTCGAGTTGCGGCAGGGATCTGGGGTATGTTCTCGAGTTACGGCAGGGATGGCCCTTCAAATCACGTGTTTATTCAGTGACGTCAGAACTCCTGTCTAGTAACGAGGGACACCTCAGGAATCTCTTCGAGGCTTGGCAGGGCAAAAGGGACACTAATCCAGGTGAGGCAGGGCACCAAAGGACACTTTCCAGTAGCCACAGGGATTTTGGGATTCCTATCCGTATTCAAGAGGAGTCAGGCATCGTCACCTTTTCAAGCAGTGAACTCCGCGTGCCTCTCGACTTGTCAACGGGATGTGAGGCATTCCGTCAAAATGAGGCAGGGACCTAGGGCTTTCTCTCAGGTCTCCACAGGGGATTCAGATCATCCCTTCATGTCGTGAGATGAAAGACGAGCCTATATTCAAGCCACTGCAAGGAAATCCAGCCTCCTTTCAAGTTAGGGCTTCTCGCTGTATATTCCACTTGAGGCAGCAAACTCGGGGTCCCTCCCACATACCTATTGCTGAGAGAAGCCTCCTCTTGAGGTGCTTCTGGAAGGGTGGCATACGTCTTGAGCCTAATCCAGGGAATCAGCTCTCATCTCGAGACGATTTGGGGTACACGGAGCATTCCTCGAGTTGCTGTGCTGAAGCTGGTGTTCCTCTGGACTTGCGACAGTGTTCTCGGGGCATCTCTGGAGTTGCCTGAATGAAGTCAAGCCACTGGTCGTGTTGAATGGGGAACGGGGGATGGCTCTGGAGTCAATGCAGGGGAATCGGGCTTCATCTCTCGTTGATTTCAGGCACACGGCACTGCTTTGCGTTGCTGGCGTTACCTGAGGGTCCGTCTAGACTTGTGAAAGTGTTCTTGGGGACTGTCTCGAGATCCATTAACCAAGTCGAAGCTCCTGACTTCTTTGATGGGGATTACGGAATAGCTCTGCATGCACTGCAGGGGAATGGGGCTTCATCTCGCCTCTAGGGGGAAGTCTCATGGTTTTTCTCGAGTTCGGCGGGGACCGGGGGTATGTTCTCGAGTTTCGGCGGGGATGGCCCTTCAAAACACGTGTTTATTCAGTGACGCCAGGACTCCTGTCTAGTAACGAGGGACACCTCAGGAATCTCTTCGAGGCTTGGCAGGGCAAAAGGGATGCTTCTCGAGCTGAGGCAGGGCACCAAAGACACATTTCAGTAGCCACAGGGATTTTGGGATTCCTATCAGTATTCAAGAGGAGTCAGGCATCGTCACCTTTTGAAGCAGTGAACTCCGCATGCCTCTCGAGGTGTCAACGGGATGTGAGGCATTCCGTCAAAATGAGGCAGGGACCTAGGGCTTTCTCTCAGGTCAACACAGGGGATTCAGACATCCCTTCATGTTGTGAGATGAAAGACGAGCCTGTATTCAAGCCACTGCAAGGAAATCCGGCCTCCTTTCAAGTTAGGGCTTCTCGCTGTATATTCCACTTGTGGCAGCAAACTCGGGGTCCCTCCCACATACCTATTGCTGAGAGAAGCCTCCTCCTGAGGTGCTTCTGGAAAGTTGGCATAGGTCTTGAGCCTGAGCCAGGGAATCAGCTTTCATCTCGATATAATTTGGGTACACGGTGCATTCCTCGAGTTGCTGTGCTGAAGTTGGTGTTCCTCTAGACTTGCGACAGTGTTCTCGGGGCATCTCTGGAGTTGCCTGAAGGAAGTCAAGCCACTTGTCTTGTTGAATGGGGAATGGGGGATGGCTCTGGAGTCAATGCAGGGGAATCGGGCCTCATCTCGAGTTGATTTGGGGCACACGGCCCTGTTTGTGTTGCTGTGGTGACCTCAGTGTCCGTCTAGACTGGTTACAGTGTTCTTGCGGAATGTCTCGAGATCCATTAAGCAAGTCGAAGCTCCTGACTTGTTTGATGGGGATCACGGAATAGCTCTGCATGCACTGCAGGGGAATGGTGCCTCATCTCGCCTCTAGGGGGAAGTCTCATGGTTTTTCTCGAGTTGCGGCGGGGCCTGGGGTATGTTCTCGAGTTACGGCAGGGATGGCCCTTCAAATCACGTGTTTATTCAGTGACGTCAAAACCTCTGTCTAGTAAGGAGGGACACCTCAGGAATCTCTTCGAGGCTTGACAGGGCAAAAGGGACGCTTCTCGAAGTGAGGCAGGGCAACCAAGGACTCTTTCCAGTAGCCACAGTGATTTTGGGATTCCGATCAGTATTCAAGAGGAGTCAGGCATCGTCACCTTTTGAAGCAGTGAACTCCGCGTGCCTCTCGAGGTGTCAACGGGATGTGAGGCATTCCGTCAAAATGAGGCAGGGACGTAGGGCTTTCGCTAAGGTCTCCACAGGGGATTCAGACATGCCTTCATGTTGTGAGATAAAAGACGAGCCTGTATTCAAGCCACTGCAAGGAAATCCGGCCTCCTTTCAAGTTAGGGCTTCTCGCTATTTATTCCCCTTGAGGAAGCAAATTCGGGGTCCCTCCCACATACCTATTGCTGAGAGAAGTCTCCTCCTGAGGTGCTTCTGGAAGGGTGGCATACGTCTTGAGCCTAAGTCAGGGAATCAGCTCTCATCTCGAGACGATTTGGGGTACACGGAGCATTCCTCGAGTTGCTCTGCTGAAGTTGGTGTTCCTCTAGACTTGCGACAGTGTTCTCTTGGCATCTCTGGAGTTGCCTGAAGGAAGTCAAGCCACTGGATGTGTTGAATGGGGAACAGGGGATGGCTCTGGAGTCATTGCAGGGGGATCGGGCCTCATCTCGAGTTGATTTGGGGCACACGGAGCTGCTTTGCGTTGCTGGGGTGACCTCAGGGTCCGTCTAGACTAGTGACAGGGTTCTTGGGGACTGTCTCGAGATCCGTTAAGCAAGTCGAAGCTCCTGACTTGTTTGATGGGGATCACGGAATAGCTCTGCATGCACTGCAGGGGAATGGTGCCTCATCTCGCCTCTAGGGGGAAGTCTCATGGTTTTTCTCGAGTTGCGGTGGGGACCTGGGGTATGTTCTCGAGTTACGGCGGGGATGGCCCTTCAAAACACGTCTTTATTCAGTGACGTCAGGACGCCTGTCTAGTAACGAGGGACACCTCAGGAATCTCTTCGAGACTTGGCAGGGTAAAAGAGACGCTTCTCGAGCTGAGGCAGGGCACCAAAGACCCATTTCAGTAGCCACAGGGATTTTGGGATTCCTATCAGTATTGAAGAGGAGTCAGGCATCGTCACCTTTTAAAGCAGTGAACTCCGTGTGCATCCCAAGGAGTCAACGGGATGAGGCATTCCGTCAAAATGAGGCAGCGAACTAGGGCTTTCTCTCAGGTCTCGACAGGGGATTCAGACATCCCTTCATGTTGTGAGATGAAAGACGAGCCTGTATTCAAGCCACTGCAAGGTAATCCGGCCTCCTTTCAAGTTAGGGCTTCTCGTTGTATATTCCACTTGAGGCAGCAAACTCGGGGTCCCTCCCACATACCTATTGCTGAGAGAAGCCTCTTCGTGAGGTGCTTCTGGAAGGTTGGCATACGTCTTGAGCCTAAGCCAGGGAATCAGCTCTCATCTCGAGATAATTTGGGGTACACGGAGCAATCCTCGTGTTGCTGTGCTGAAGTTGGTGTTCCTCTAGACTTGGGACATTGTTCTCGGGGCATCTCTGGAGTTGGCTGAAGGAAGTCAAGCCACTGGTCATGTGGAATGGATAACGGGGGCTGGCTCTGGAGTCAATGCAGGGGAATCGGGCCTCATCTCGAGTTGAATTGGGGCACATGGAGCTGCTTTGCGTTGCTGGCTTGACCTCAGAGTGGGTCTAGACTGGTGACAGTGTTCTTGGGTTCTGTCTCGAGATCCGTTAAGCAAGTCGAAGCTCCTGACTTGTTTGATGGGTATCACGGAATAGCTCTCCATGCACTGCAGGGGAATGGGGCCTCATCTCGCCTCTAGGGGGAAGTCTCATGGTTTTTCTCGAGTTGCGGCAGGGATCTGGGGTATGTTCTCGAGTTACGGCAGGGATGGCCCTTCAAATCACGTGTTTATTCAGTGACGTCAGAACTCCTGTCTAGTAACGAGGGACACCTCAGGAATCTCTTCGAGGCTTGGCAGGGCAAAAGGGACACTAATCCAGGTGAGGCAGGGCACCAAAGGACACTTTCCAGTAGCCACAGGGATTTTGGGATTCCTATCCGTATTCAAGAGGAGTCAGGCATCGTCACCTTTTCAAGCAGTGAACTCCGCGTGCCTCTCGACTTGTCAACGGGATGTGAGGCATTCGGTCAAAATGAGGCAGGGACCTAGGGCTTTCTCTCAGGTCTCCACAGGGGATTCAGATCATCCCTTCATGTCGTGAGATGAAAGACGAGCCTATATTCAAGCCACTGCAAGGAAATCCGGCCTCCTTTCAAGTTAGGGCTTCTCGCTGTATATTCCACTTGAGGCAGCAAACTCGGGGTCCCTCCCACATACCTATTGCTGAGAGAAGCCTCCTCTTGAGGTGCTTCTGGAAGGGTGGCATACGTCTTGAGCCTAAGCCAGGGAATCAGCTCTCATCTCGAGACGATTTGGGGTACACGGAGCATTCCTCGAGTTGCTGTGCTGAAGTTGGTGTTCCTCTAGACTTGGGACAGTGTTCTCGGGGCATCTCTGGAGTTGCCTGAATGAAGTCAAGCCACTGGTCGTGTTGAATGGGGAACGGGGGATGGCTCTGGAGTCAATGCAGGGGAATCGGGCTTCATCTCTCGTTGATTTCAGGCACACGGCACTGCTTTGCGTTGCTGGCGTTACCTGAGGGTCCGTCTAGACTTGTGAAAGTGTTCTTGGGGACTGTCTCGAGATCCATTAACCAAGTCGAAGCTCCTGACTTCTTTGATGGGGATTACGGAATAGCTCTGCATGCACTGCAGGGGAATGGGGCTTCATCTCGCCTCTAGGGGGAAGTCTCATGGTTTTTCTCAAGTTCGGCGGGGACCGGGGGTATGTTCTCGAGTTTCGGCGGGGATGGCCCTTCAAAACACGTGTTTATTCAGTGACGCCAGGACTCCTGTCTAGTAATGAGGGACACCTCAGGAATCTCTTCGAGGCTTGGCAGGGCAAAAGGGATGCTTCTCGAGCTGAGGCAGGGCACCAAAGACACATTTCAGTAGCCACAGGGATTTTGGGATTCCTATCAGTATTCAAGAGGAGTCAGGCATCGTCACCTTTTGAAGCAGTGAACTCCGCATGCCTCTCGAGGTGTCAACGGGATGTGAGGCATTCCGTCAAAATGAGGCAGGGACCTAGGGCTTTCTCTCAGGTCAACACAGGGGATTCAGACATCCCTTCATGTTGTGAGATGAAAGACGAGCCTGTATTCAAGCCACTGCAAGGAAATCCGGCCTCCTTTCAAGTTAGGGCTTCTCGCTGTATATTCCACTTGTGGCAGCAAACTCGGGGTCCCTCCCACATACCTATTGCTGAGAGAAGCCTCCTCCTGAGGTGCTTCTGGAAAGTTGGCATACGTCTTGAGCCTGAGCCAGGGAATCAGCTTTCATCTCGATATAATTTGGGTACACGGTGCATTCCTCGAGTTGCTGTGCTGAAGTTGGTGTTCCTCTAGACTTGCGACAGTGTTCTCGGGGCATCTCTGGAGTTGCCTGAAGGAAGTCAAGCCACTTGTCTTGTTGAATGGGGAATGGGGGATGGCTCTGGAGTCAATGCAGGGGAATCGGGCCTCATCTCGAGTTGATTTGGGGCACACGGCCCTGCTTTGTGTTGCTGTGGTGACCTCAGTGTCCGTCTAGACTGGTTACAGTGTTCTTGGGGAATGTCTCGAGATCCATTAAGCAAGTCGAAGCTCCTGACTTGTTTGATGGGGATCACGGAATAGCTCTGCATGCACTGCAGGGGAATGGTGCCTCATCTCGCCTCTAGGGGGAAGTCTCATGGTTTTTCTCGAGTTGCGGCGGGGCCTGGGGTATGTTCTCGAGTTACGGCAGGGATGGCCCTTCAAATCACGTGTTTATTCAGTGACGTCTAAACCTCTGTCTAGTAAGGAGGGACACTTCAGGAATCTCTTCGAGGCTTGACAGGGCAAAAGGGACGCTTCTCGAGGTGAGGCAGGGCACCCAAGGACTCTTTCCAGTAGCCACAGTGATTTTGGGATTCCGATCAGTATTCAAGAGGAGTCAGGCATCGTCACCTTTTGAAGCAGTGAACTCCGCGTGCCTCTCGAGGTGTCAACGGGATGTGAGGCATTCCGTCAAAATGAGGCAGGGACCTAGGGCTTTCGCTAAGGTCTCCACAGGGGATTCAGACATGCCTTCATGTTGTGAGATGAAAGACGAGCCTGTATTCAAGCCACTGCAAGGAAATCCGGCCTCCTTTCAAGTTAGGGCTTCTCGCTATTTATTCCACTTGAGGAAGCAAACTCGGGGTCCCTCCCACATACCTATTGCTGAGAGAAGTCTCCTCCTGAGGTGCTTCTGGAAGGGTGGCATACGTCTTGAGCCTAAGTCAGGGAATCAGCTCTCATCTCGAGACGATTTGGGGTACACGGAGCATTCCTCGAGTTGCTCTGCTGAAGTTGGTGTTCCTCTAGACTTGCGACAGTGTTCTCTTGGCATCTCTGGAGTTGCCTGAAGGAAGTCAAGCCACTGGATGTGTTGAATGGGGAACAGGGGATGGCTCTGGAGTCATTGCAGGGGGATCGGGCCTCATCTCGAGTTGATTTGGGGCACACGGAGCTGCTTTGCGTTGCTGGGGTGACCTCATGGTCCGTCTAGACTAGTGACAGGGTTCTTGGGGACTGTCTCGAGATCCGTTAAGCAAGTCGAAGCTCCTGACTTGTTTGATGGGGATCACGGAATAGCTCTGCATGCACTGCAGGGGAATGGTGCCTCATCTCGCCTCTAGGGGGAAGTCTCATGGTTTTTCTCGAGTTGCGGTGGGGACCTGGGGTATGTTCTCGAGTTACGGCGGGGATGGCCCTTCAAAACACGTCTTTATTCAGTGACGTCAGGACTCCTGTCTAGTAACGAGGGACACCTCAGGAATCTCTTCGAGGCTTGGCAGGGTAAAAGAGACGCTTCTCGAGCTGAGGCAGGGCACCAAAGACCCATTTCAGTAGCCACAGGGATTTTGGGATTCCTATCAGTATTGAAGAGGAGTCAGGCATCGTCACCTTTTAAAGCAGTGAACTCCGTGTGCATCCCAAGGAGTCAACGGGATGAGGCATTCCGTCAAAATGAGGCAGGGAACTAGGGCTTTCTCTCAGGTCTCGACAGGGGATTCAGACATCCCTTCATGTTGTGAGATGAAAGACGAGCCCGTATTCAAGCCACTGCAAGGTAATCCGGCCTCCTTTCAAGTTAGGGCTTCTCGTTGTATATTCCACTTGAGGCAGCAAACTCGGGGTCCCTCCCACATACCTATTGCTGAGAGAAGCCTCTTCGTGAGGTGCTTCTGGAAGGTTGGCATACGTCTTGAGCCTAAGCCAGGGAATCAGCTCTCATCTCGAGATAATTTGGGGTACACGGAGCAATCCTCGTGTTGCTGTGCTGAAGTTGGTGTTCCTCTAGACTTGGGACATTGTTCTCGGGGCATCTCTGGAGTTGGCTGAAGGAAGTCAAGCCACTGGTCATGTGGAATGGATAACGGGGGCTGGCTCTGGAGTCAATGCAGGGGAATCGGGCCTCATCTCGAGTTGAATTGGGGCACATGGAGCTGCTTTGCGTTGCTGGCTTGACCTCAGAGTGGGTCTAGACTGGTGACAGTGTTCTTGGGTTCTGTCTCGAGATCCGTTAAGCAAGTCGAAGCTCCTGACTTGTTTGATGGGTATCACGGAATAGCTCTCCATGCACTGCAGGGGAATGGGGCCTCATCTCGCCTCTAGGGGGAAGTCTCATGGTTTTTCTCGAGTTGCGGCAGGGATCTGGGGTATGTTCTCGAGTTACGGCAGGGATGGCCCTTCAAATCACGTGTTTATTCAGTGACGTCAGAACTCCTGTCTAGTAACGAGGGACACCTCAGGAATCTCTTCGAGGCTTGGCAGGGCAAAAGGGACACTAATCCAGGTGAGGCAGGGCACCAAAGGACACTTTCCAGTAGCCACAGGGATTTTGGGATTCCTATCCGTATTCAAGAGGAGTCAGGCATCGTCACCTTTTCAAGCAGTGAACTCCGCGTGCCTCTCGACTTGTCAACGGGATGTGAGGCATTCGGTCAAAATGAGGCAGGGACCTAGGGCTTTCTCTCAGGTCTCCACAGGGGATTCAGATCATCCCTTCATGTCGTGAGATGAAAGACGAGCCTATATTCAAGCCACTGCAAGGAAATCCGGCCTCCTTTCAAGTTAGGGCTTCTCGCTGTATATTCCACTTGAGGCAGCAAACTCGGGGTCCCTCCCACATACCTATTGCTGAGAGAAGCCTCCTCTTGAGGTGCTTCTGGAAGGGTGGCATACGTCTTGAGCCTAAGCCAGGGAATCAGCTCTCATCTCGAGACGATTTGGGGTACACGGAGCATTCCTCGAGTTGCTGTGCTGAAGTTGGTGTTCCTCTAGACTTGGGACAGTGTTCTCGGGGCATCTCTGGAGTTGCCTGAATGAAGTCAAGCCACTGGTCGTGTTGAATGGGGAACGGGGGATGGCTCTGGAGTCAATGCAGGGGAATCGGGCTTCATCTCTCGTTGATTTCAGGCACACGGCACTGCTTTGCGTTGCTGGCGTTACCTGAGGGTCCGTCTAGACTTGTGAAAGTGTTCTTGGGGACTGTCTCGAGATCCATTAACCAAGTCGAAGCTCCTGACTTCTTTGATGGGGATTACGGAATAGCTCTGCATGCACTGCAGGGGAATGGGGCTTCATCTCGCCTCTAGGGGGAAGTCTCATGGTTTTTCTCAAGTTCGGCGGGGACCGGGGGTATGTTCTCGAGTTTCGGCGGGGATGGCCCTTCAAAACACGTGTTTATTCAGTGACGCCAGGACTCCTGTCTAGTAACGAGGGACACCTCAGGAATCTCTTCGAGGCTTGGCAGGGCAAAAGGGATGCTTCTCGAGCTGAGGCAGGGCACCAAAGACACATTTCAGTAGCCACAGGGATTTTGGGATTCCTATCAGTATTCAAGAGGAGTCAGGCATCGTCACCTTTTGAAGCAGTGAACTCCGCATGCCTCTCGAGGTGTCAACGGGATGTGAGGCATTCCGTCAAAATGAGGCAGGGACCTAGGGCTTTCTCTCAGGTCAACACAGGGGATTCAGACATCCCTTCATGTTGTGAGATGAAAGACGAGCCTGTATTCAAGCCACTGCAAGGAAATCCGGCCTCCTTTCAAGTTAGGGCTTCTCGCTGTATATTCCACTTGTGGCAGCAAACTCGGGGTCCCTCCCACATACCTATTGCTGAGAGAAGCCTCCTCCTGAGGTGCTTCTGGAAAGTTGGCATACGTCTTGAGCCTGAGCCAGGGAATCAGCTTTCATCTCGATATAATTTGGGTACACGGTGCATTCCTCGAGTTGCTGTGCTGAAGTTGGTGTTCCTTTAGACTTGCGACAGTGTTCTCGGGGCATCTCTGGAGTTGCCTGAAGGAAGTCAAGCCACTTGTCTTGTTGAATGGGGAATGGGGGATGGCTCTGGAGTCAATGCAGGGGAATCGGGCCTCATCTCGAGTTGATTTGGGGCACACGGCCCTGCTTTGTGTTGCTGTGGTGACCTCAGTGTCCGTCTAGACTGGTTACAGTGTTCTGGGGAATGTCTCGAGATCCATTAAGCAAGTCGAAGCTCCTGACTTGTTTGATGGGGATCACGGAATAGCTCTGCATGCACTGCAGGGGAATGGTGCCTCATCTCGCCTCTAGGGGGAAGTCTCATGGTTTTTCTCGAGTTGCGGCGGGGCCTGGGGTATGTTCTCGAGTTACGGCAGGGATGGCCCTTCAAATCACGTGTTTATTCAGTGACGTCAAAACCTCTGTCTAGTAAGGAGGGACACCTCAGGAATCTCTTCGAGGCTTGACAGGGCAAAAGGGACGCTTCTCGAGGTGAGGCAGGGCACCCAAGGACTCTTTCCAGTAGCCACAGTGATTTTGGGATTCCGATCAGTATTCAAGAGGAGTCAGGCATCGTCACCTTTTGAAGCAGTGAACTCCGCGTGCCTCTCGAGGTGTCAACGGGATGTGAGGCATTCCGTCAAAATGAGGCAGGGACCTAGGGCTTTTGCTAAGGTCTCCACAGGGGATTCAGACATGCCTTCATGTTGTGAGATGAAAGACGAGCCTGTATTCAAGCCACTGCAAGGAAATCCGGCCTCCTTTCAAGTTAGGGCTTCTCGCTATTTATTCCACTTGAGGAAGCAAACTCGGGGTCCCTCCCACATACCTATTGCTGAGAGAAGTCTCCTCCTGAGATGCTTCTGGAAGGGTGGCATACGTCTTGAGCCTAAGTCAGGGAATCAGCTCTCATCTCGAGACGATTTGGGGTACACGGAGCATTCCTCGAGTTGCTCTGCTGAAGTTGGTGTTCCTCTAGACTTGCGACAGTGTTCTCTTGGCATCTCTGGAGTTGCCTGAAGGAAGTCAAGCCACTGGATGTGTTGAATGGGGAACAGGGGATGGCTCTGGAGTCATTGCAGGGGGATCGGGCCTCATCTCGAGTTGATTTGGGGCACACGGAGCTGCTTTGCGTTGCTGGGGTGACCTCAGGGTCCGTCTAGACTGGTGACAGGGTTCTTGGGGACTGTCTCGAGATCCGTTAAGCAAGTCGAAGTCCTGACTTGTTTGATGGGGATTCACGGAATAGCTCTGCATGCACTGCAGGGGAATGGTGCCTCATCTCGCCTCTAGGGGGAAGTCTCATGGTTTTTCTCGAGTTGCGGTGGGGACCTGGGGTATGTTCTCGAGTTACGGCGGGGATGGCCCTTCAAAACACGTCTTTATTCAGTGACGTCAGGACTCCTGTCTAGTAACGAGGGACACCTCAGGAATCTCTTCGAGGCTTGGCAGGGTAAAAGAGACGCTTCTCGAGCTGAGGCAGGGCACCAAAGACCCATTTCAGTAGCCACAGGGATTTTGGGATTCCTATCAGTATTCAAGAGGAGTCAGGCATCGTCACCTTTTAAAGCAGTGAACTCCGTGTGCATCCCAAGGAGTCAACGGGATGAGGCATTCCGTCAAAATGAGACAGGGAACTAGGGCTTTCTCTCAGGTCTCGACAGGGGATTCAGACATCCCTTCATGTTGTGAGATGAAAGACGAGCCCGTATTCAAGCCACTGCAAGGTAATCCGGCCTCCTTTCAAGTTAGGGCTTCTCGTTGTATATTCCACTTGAGGCAGCAAACTCGGGATCCCTCCCACATACCTATTGCTGAGAGAAGCCTCTTCGTGAGGTGCTTCTGGAAGGTTGGCATACGTCTTGAGCCTAAGCCAGGGAATCAGCTCTCATCTCGAGATAATTTGGGGTACACGGAGCAATCCTCGTGTTGCTGTGCTGAAGTTGGTGTTCCTCTAGACTTGGGACATTGTTCTCGGGGCATCTCTGGAGTTGGCTGAAGGAAGTCAAGCCACTGGTCGTGTGGAATGGATAACGGGGGCTGGCTCTGGAGTCAATGCAGGGGAATCGGGCCTCATCTCGAGTTGAATTGGGGCACATGGAGCTGCTTTGCGTTGCTGGCTTGACCTCAGAGTGGGTCTAGACTGGTGACAGTGTTCTTGGGTTCTGTCTCGAGATCCGTTAAGCAAGTCGAAGCTCCTGACTTGTTTGATGGGGATCACGGAATAGCTCTGAATGCACTGCAGGGGAATGGGGCCTCATCTCGCCTCTAGGGGGAAGTCTCATGGTTTTTCTCGAGTTGCGGCAGGGATCTGGGGTATGTTCTCGAGTTAGGGCAGGGATGGCCCTTCAAATCACGTGTTTATTCAGTGACGTCAGAACTCCTGTCTAGTAACGAGGGACACCTCAGGAATCTCTTCGAGGCTTGGCAGGGCAAAAGGGACACTAATCCAGGTGAGGCAGGGCACCAAAGGACACTTTCCAGTAGCCACAGGGATTTGGGGATTCCTATCCGTATTCAAGAAGAGTCAGGCATCGTCACCTTTTGAAGTAGTGAACTCCGCATGCCTCTCGAGGTGTCAACGGGATGTGAGGCATTCCGTCAAAATGAGGCAGGGACCTAGGGCTTTCTCTCAGGTCAAGACAGGGGATTCAGACATCCCTTCATGTAGTGAGATGAAAGACGAGCCTGTATTCAAGCTACTGCAAGGAAATCCGGCCTCCTTCAAGTTAGGGCTTCTCGCTGTATATTTCACTTGTGGCAGCAAACTCGGGGTCCCTCCCACATACCTATTGCTGAGAGAAGCCTCCTCTTGAGGTGCTTCTGGAAGGGTGGCATACGTCTTGAGCCTAAGCCAGGGAATCAGCTCTCATCTCGAGACGATTTGGGGTACACGGAGCATTCCTCGAGTTGTTGTGCTGAAGCTGGTGTTCCTCTGGACTTGCGACAGTGTTCTCGGGGCATCTCTGGAGTTGCCTGAATGAAGTCAAGCCACTGGTCGTGTTGAATGGGGAACGGGGGATGGCTCTGGAGTCAATGCAGGGGAATCGGGCCTCATCTCGCGTTGATTTCGGGCACATGGCGCTGCTTTGCGTTGCTGGGGTTACCTGAGGGTCCGTCTAGACTTGTGACAGTGTTCCTGGAGACTGTCTCGAGATCCATTAAGCAAGTCGAAGCTCCTGACTTGTTTGATGGGGATCATGGAATAGCCCTGGATGCACTGCAGGGGAATGGGGCCTCATCTCACCTCTAGGGGGAAGTCTCATGGTTTTTCTCGAGTTGCGGCGGGGACCTGGGGTATGTTCTCAAGTTACGGTGGGGATGGCCATTCAAAACACGTGTTTATTCAGTGATGTCAAAACCTCTGTCTAGTAAGGAGGGACACCTCAGGAATCTCTTCGAGGCTTGGCAGGGCAAAAGGGATGCTTCTCGAGCTGAGGCATTGCACCAAAGACACATTTCAGTAGCCACAGGGATTTTGGGATTCCTATCAGTATTCAAGAGGAGTCAGGCATCGTCACCTTTTGAAGCAGTGAACTCCGCGTGCCTCTCGAGGTGTCAACGGGATGTGAGGCATTCCGTCAAAATGAGGCAGGGACCTAGGGCTTTCGCTAAAGTCTCCACAGGGGATTCAGACATGCCTTCATGTTGTGAGATGAAAGACGAGCCTGTATTCAAGCCACTGCAAGGAAATCCGTCCTCCTTTCAAGTTAGGGCTTCTCGCTATTTATTCCACTTGAGGAAGCAAACTCGGGGTCCCTCCCACATACCTATTGCTGAGAGAAGTCTCCTCCTGAGGTGCTTCTGGAAGGGTGGCATACGTCTTGAGCCTAAGTCAGGGAATCAGCTCTCATCTCGAGACGATTTGGGGTACACGGAGCATTCCTCGAGTTGCTCTGCTGAAGTTGGTGTTCCTCTAGACTTGCGACAGTGTTCTCTTGGCATCTCTGGAGTTGCCTGAAGGAAGTCAAGCCACTGGATGTGTTGAATGGGGAACAGGGGATGGCTCTGGAGTCATTGCAGGGGGATCGGGCCTCATCTCGAGTTGATTTGGGGCACACGGAGCTGCTTTGCGTTGCTGGGGTGACCTCATGGTCCGTCTAGACTGGTGACAGGGTTCTTGGGGACTGTCTCGAGATCCGTTAAGCAAGTCGAAGTCCTGACTTGTTTGATGGGGATTCACGGAATAGCTCTGCATGCACTGCAGGGGAATGGTGCCTCATCTCGCCTCTAGGGGGAAGTCTCATGGTTTTTCTCGAGTTGCGGTGGGGACCTGGGGTATGTTCTCGAGTTACGGCGGGGATGGCCCTTCAAAACACGTCTTTATTCAGTGACGTCAGGACTCCTGTCTAGTAACGAGGGACACCTCAGGAATCTCTTCGAGGCTTGGCAGGGTAAAAGAGACGCTTCTCGAGCTGAGGCAGGGCACCAAAGACCCATTTCAGTAGCCACAGGGATTTTGGGATTCCTATCAGTATTCAAGAGGAGTCAGGCATCGTCACCTTTTAAAGCAGTGAACTCCGTGTGCATCCCAAGGAGTCAACGGGATGAGGCATTCCGTCAAAATGAGGCAGGGAACTAGGGCTTTCTCTCAGGTCTCGACAGGGGATTCAGACATCCCTTCATGTTGTGAGATGAAAGACGAGCCCGTATTCAAGCCACTGCAAGGTAATCCGGCCTCCTTTCAAGTTAGGGCTTCTCGTTGTATATTCCACTTGAGGCAGCAAACTCGGGGTCCCTCCCACATACCTATTGCTGAGAGAAGCCTCTTCGTGAGGTGCTTCTGGAAGGTTGGCATACGTCTTGAGCCTAAGCCAGGGAATCAGCTCTCATCTCGAGATAATTTGGGGTACACGGAGCAATCCTCGTGTTGCTGTGCTGAAGTTGGTGTTCCTCTAGACTTGGGACATTGTTCTCGGGGCATCTCTGGAGTTGGCTGAAGGAAGTCAAGCCACTGGTCGTGTGGAATGGATAACGGGGGCTGGCTCTGGAGTCAATGCAGGGGAATCGGGCCTCATCTCGAGTTGAATTGGGGCACATGGAGCTGCTTTGCGTTGCTGGCTTGACCTCAGAGTGGGTCTAGACTGGTGACAGTGTTCTTGGGTTCTGTCTCGAGATCCGTTAAGCAAGTCGAAGCTCCTGACTTGTTTGATGGGGATCACGGAATAGCTCTCCATGCACTGCAGGGGAATGGGGCCTCATCTCGCCTCTAGGGGGAAGTCTCATGGTTTTTCTCGAGTTGCGGCAGGGATCTGGGGTATGTTCTCGAGTTACGGCAGGGATGGCCCTTCAAATCACGTGTTTATTCAGTGACGTCAGAACTCCTGTCTAGTAACGAGGGACACCTCAGGAATCTCTTCGAGGCTTGGCAGGGCAAAAGGGACACTAATCCAGGTGAGGCAGGGCACCAAAGGACACTTTCCAGTAGCCACAGGGATTTTGGGATTCCTATCCGTATTCAAGAGGAGTCAGGCATCGTCACCTTTTCAAGCAGTGAACTCCGCGTGCCTCTCGACTTGTCAACGGGATGTGAGGCATTCCGTCAAAATGAGGCAGGGACCTAGGGCTTTCTCTCAGGTCTCCACAGGGGATTCAGATCATCCCTTCATGTCGTGAGATGAAAGACGAGCCTATATTTAAGCCACTGCAAGGAAATCCGGCCTCCTTTCAAGTTAGGGCTTCTCGCTGTATATTCCACTTGAGGCAGCAAACTCGGGGTCCCTCCCACATACCTATTGCTGAGAGAAGCCTCCTCTTGAGGTGCTTCTGGAAGGGTGGCATACGTCTTGAGCCTAAGCCAGGGAATCAGCTCTCATCTCGAGACGATTTGGGGTACACGGAGCATTCCTCGAGTTGCTGTGCTGAAGTTGGTGTTCCTCTAGACTTGGGACAGTGTTCTCGGGGCATCTCTGGAGTTGCCTGAATGAAGTCAAGCCACTGGTCGTGTTGAATGGGGAACGGGGGATGGCTCTGGAGTCAATGCAGGGGAATCGGGCTTCATCTCTCGTTGATTTCAGGCACACGGCACTGCTTTGCGTTGCTGGCGTTACCTGAGGGTCCGTCTAGACTTGTGAAAGTGTTCTTGGGGACTGTCTCGAGATCCATTAACCAAGTCGAAGCTCCTGACTTCTTTGATGGGGATTACGGAATAGCTCTGCATGCACTGCAGGGGAATGGGGCTTCATCTCGCCTCTAGGGGGAAGTCTCATGGTTTTTCTCAAGTTCGGCGGGGACCGGGGGTATGTTCTCGAGTTTCGGCGGGGATGGCCCTTCAAAACACGTGTTTATTCAGTGACGCCAGGACTCCTGTCTAGTAACGAGGGACACCTCAGGAATCTCTTCGAGGCTTGGCAGGGCAAAAGGGATGCTTCTCGAGCTGAGGCAGGGCACCAAAGACACATTTCAGTAGCCACAGGGATTTTGGGATTCCTATCAGTATTCAAGAGGAGTCAGGCATCGTCACCTTTTGAAGCAGTGAACTCCGCATGCCTCTCGAGGTGTCAACGGGATGTGAGGCATTCCGTCAAAATGAGGCAGGGACCTAGGGCTTTCTCTCAGGTCAACACAGGGGATTCAGACATCCCTTCATGTTGTGAGATGAAAGACGAGCCTGTATTCAAGCCACTGCAAGGAAATCCGGCCTCCTTTCAAGTTAGGGCTTCTCGCTGTATATTCCACTTGTGGCAGCAAACTCGGGGTCCCTCCCACATACCTATTGCTGAGAGAAGCCTCCTCCTGAGGTGCTTCTGGAAAGTTGGCATAGGTCTTGAGCCTGAGCCAGGGAATCAGCTTTCATCTCGATATAATTTGGGTACACGGTGCATTCCTCGAGTTGCTGTGCTGAAGTTGGTGTTCCTCTAGACTTGCGACAGTGTTCTCGGGGCATCTCTGGAGTTGCCTGAAGGAAGTCAAGCCACTTGTCTTGTTGAATGGGGAATGGGGGATGGCTCTGGAGTCAATGCAGGGGAATCGGGCCTCATCTCGAGTTGATTTGGGGCACACGGCCCTGCTTTGTGTTGCTGTGGTGACCTCAGTGTCCGTCTAGACTGGTTACAGTGTTCTGGGGAATGTCTCGAGATCCATTAAGCAAGTCGAAGCTCCTGACTTGTTTGATGGGGATCACGGAATAGCTCTGCATGCACTGCAGGGGAATGGTGCCTCATCTCGCCTCTAGGGGGAAGTCTCATGGTTTTTCTCGAGTTGCGGCGGGGCCTGGGGTATGTTCTCGAGTTACGGCAGGGATGGCCCTTCAAATCACGTGTTTATTCAGTGACGTCAAAACCTCTGTCTAGTAAGGAGGGACACCTCAGGAATCTCTTCGAGGCTTGACAGGGCAAAAGGGACGCTTCTCGAGGTGAGGCAGGGCACCCAAGGACTCTTTCCAGTAGCCACAGTGATTTTGGGATTCCGATCAGTATTCAAGAGGAGTCAGGCATCGTCACCTTTTGAAGCAGTGAACTCCGCGTGCCTCTCGAGGTGTCAACGGGATGTGAGGCATTCCGTCAAAATGAGGCACGGACCTAGGGCTTTTGCTAAGGTCTCCACAGGGGATTCAGACATGCCTTCATGTTGTGAGATGAAAGACGAGCCTGTATTCAAGCCACTGCAAGGAAATCCGGCCTCCTTTCAAGTTAGGGCTTCTCGCTATTTATTCCACTTGAGGAAGCAAACTCGGGGTCCCTCCCACATACCTATTGCTGAGAGAAGTCTCCTCCTGAGATGCTTCTGGAAGGGTGGCATACGTCTTGAGCCTAAGTCAGGGAATCAGCTCTCATCTCGAGACGATTTGGGGTACACGGAGCATTCCTCGAGTTGCTCTGCTGAAGTTGGTGTTCCTCTAGACTTGCGACAGTGTTCTCTTGGCATCTCTGGAGTTGCCTGAAGGAAGTCAAGCCACTGGATGTGTTGAATGGGGAACAGGGGATGGCTCTGGAGTCATTGCAGGGGGATCGGGCCTCATCTCGAGTTGATTTGGGGCACACGGAGCTGCTTTGCGTTGCTGGGGTGACCTCAGGGTCCGTCTAGACTGGTGACAGGGTTCTTGGGGACTGTCTCGAGATCCGTTAAGCAAGTCGAAGTCCTGACTTGTTTGATGGGGATTCACGGAATAGCTCTGCATGCACTGCAGGGGAATGGTGCCTCATCTCGCCTCTAGGGGGAAGTCTCATGGTTTTTCTCGAGTTGCGGTGGGGACCTGGGGTATGTTCTCGAGTTACGGCGGGGATGGCCCTTCAAAACACGTCTTTATTCAGTGACGTCAGGACTCCTGTCTAGTAACGAGGGACACCTCAGGAATCTCTTCGAGGCTTGGCAGGGTAAAAGAGACGCTTCTCGAGCTGAGGCAGGGCACCAAAGACCCATTTCAGTAGCCACAGGGATTTTGGGATTCCTATCAGTATTCAAGAGGAGTCAGGCATCGTCACCTTTTAAAGCAGTGAACTCCGTGTGCATCCCAAGGAGTCAACGGGATGAGGCATTCCGTCAAAATGAGACAGGGAACTAGGGCTTTCTCTCAGGTCTCGACAGGGGATTCAGACATCCCTTCATGTTGTGAGATGAAAGACGAGCCCGTATTCAAGCCACTGCAAGGTAATCCGGCCTCCTTTCAAGTTAGGGCTTCTCGTTGTATATTCCACTTGAGGCAGCAAACTCGGGGTCCCTCCCACATACCTATTGCTGAGAGAAGCCTCTTCGTGAGGTGCTTCTGGAAGGTTGGCATACGTCTTGAGCCTAAGCCAGGGAATCAGCTCTCATCTCGAGATAATTTGGGGTACACGGAGCAATCCTCGTGTTGCTGTGCTGAAGTTGGTGTTCCTCTAGACTTGGGACATTGTTCTCGGGGCATCTCTGGAGTTGGCTGAAGGAAGTCAAGCCACTGGTCGTGTGGAATGGATAACGGGGGCTGGCTCTGGAGTCAATGCAGGGGAATCGGGCCTCATCTCGAGTTGAATTGGGGCACATGGAGCTGCTTGGCGTTGCTGGCTTGACCTCAGAGTGGGTCTAGACTGGTGACAGTGTTCTTGGGTTCTGTCTCGAGATCCGTTAAGCAAGTCGAAGCTCCTGACTTGTTTGATGGGGATCACGGAATAGCTCTGAATGCACTGCAGGGGAATGGGGCCTCATCTCGCCTCTAGGGGGAAGTCTCATGGTTTTTCTCGAGTTGCGGCAGGGATCTGGGGTATGTTCGCGAGTTACGGCAGGGATGGCCCTTCAAATCACGTGTTTATTCAGTGACGTCAGAACTCCTGTCTAGTAACGAGGGACACCTCAGGAATCTCTTCGAGGCTTGGCAGGGCAAAAGGGACACTAATCCAGGTGAGGCAGGGCACCAAAGGACACTTTCCAGTAGCCACAGGGATTTGGGGATTCCTATCCGTATTCAAGAAGAGTCAGGCATCGTCACCTTTTGAAGTAGTGAACTCCGCATGCCTCTCGAGGTGTCAACGGGATGTGAGGCATTCCGTCAAAATGAGGCAGGGACCTAGGGCTTTCGCTAAGGTCTCCACAGGGGATTCAGACATGCCTTCATGTTGTGAGATGAAAGACGAGCCTGTATTCAAGCCACTGCAAGGAAATCCGGCCTCCTTTCAAGTTAGGGCTTCTCGCTATTTATTCCACTTGAGGAAGCAAACTCGGGGTCCCTCCCACATACCTATTGCTGAGAGAAGTCTCCTCCTGAGGTGCTTCTGGAAGGGTGGCATACGTCTTGAGCCTAAGTCAGGGAATCAGCTCTCATCTCGAGACGATTTGGGGTACACGGAGCATTCCTCGAGTTGCTCTGCTGAAGTTGGTGTTCCTCTAGACTTGCGACAGTGTTCTCTTGGCATCTCTGGAGTTGCCTGAAGGAAGTCAAGCCACTGGATGTGTTGAATGGGGAACAGGGGATGGCTCTGGAGTCATTGCAGGGGGATCGGGCCTCATCTCGAGTTGATTTGGGGCACACGGAGCTGCTTTGCGTTGCTGGGGTGACTTCAGGGTCCGTCTAGACTGGTGACAGGGTTCTTGGGGACTGTCTCGAGATCCGTTAAGCAAGTCGAAGTCCTGACTTGTTTGATGGGGATTCACGGAATAGCTCTGCATGCACTGCAGGGGAATGGTGCCTCATCTCGCCTCTAGGGGGAAGTCTCATGGTTTTTCTCGAGTTGCGGTGGGGACCTGGGGTATGTTCTCGAGTTATGGCGGGGATGGCCCTTCAAAACACGTCTTTATTCAGTGACGTCAGGACTCCTGTCTAGTAACGAGGGACATCTCAGGAATCTCTTCGAGGCTTGGCAGGGTAAAAGAGACGCTTCTCGAGCTGAGGCAGGGCACCAAAGACCCGTTTCAGTAGCCACAGGGATTTTGGGATTCCTATCAGTATTGAAGAGGAGTCAGGCATCGTCACCTTTTAAAGCAGTGAACTCCGTGTGCATCCCAAGGAGTCAACGGGATGAGGCATTCCGTCAAAATGAGACAGGGAACTAGGGCTTTCTCTCAGGTCTCGACAGGGGATTCAGACATCCCTTCATGTTGTGAGATGAAAGACGAGCCCGTATTCAAGCCACTGCAAGGTAATCCGGCCTCCTTTCAAGTTAGGGCTTCTCGTTGTATATTCCACTTGAGGCAGCAAACTCGGGGTCCCTCCCACATACCTATTGCTGAGAGAAGCCTCTTCGTGAGGTGCTTCTGGAAGGTTGGAATACGTCTTGAGCCTAAGCCAGGGAATCAGCTCTCATCTCGAGATAATTTGGGGTACACGGAGCAATCCTCGTGTTGCTGTGCTGAAGTTGGTGTTCCTCTAGACTTGGGACATTGTTCTCGGGGCATCTCTGGAGTTGGCTGAAGGAAGTCAAGCCACTGGTCGTGTGGAATGGATAACGGGGGCTGGCTCTGGAGTCAATGCAGGGGAATTGGGCCTCATCTCGAGTTGAATTGGGGCACATGGAGCTGCTTTGCGTTGCTGGCTTGACCTCAGAGTGGGTCTAGACTGGTGACAGTGTTCTTGGGTTCTGTCTCGAGATCCGTTAAGCAAGTCGAAGCTCCTGACTTGTTTGATGGGTATCACGGAATAGCTCTCCATGCACTGCAGGGGAATGGGGCCTCATCTCGCCTCTAGGGGGAAGTCTCATGGTTTTTCTCGAGTTGCGGCAGGGATCTGGGGTATGTTCTCGAGTTACGGCAGGGATGGCCCTTCAAATCACGTGTTTATTCAGTGACGTCAGAACTCCTGTCTAGTAACGAGGGACACCTCAGGAATCTCTTCGAGGCTTGGCAGGGCAAAAGGGATGCTTCTCGAGCTGAGGCAGGGCACCAAAGACACATTTCAGTAGCCACAGGGATTTTGGGATTCCTATCAGTATTCAAGAGGAGTCAGGCATCGTCACCTTTTGAAGCAGTGAACTCCGCATGCCTCTCGAGGTGTCAACGGGATGTGAGGCATTCCGTCAAAATGAGGCAGGGACCTAGGGCTTTCTCTCAGGTCAACACAGGGGATTCAGACATCCCTTCATGTTGTGAGATGAAAGACGAGCCTGTATTCAAGCCACTGCAAGGAAATCCGGCCTCCTTTCAAGTTAGGGCTTCTCGCTGTATATTCTACTTGTGGCAGCAAACTCGGGGTCCCTCCCACATACCTATTGCTGAGAGAAGCCTCCTCCTGAGGTGCTTCTGGAAAGTTGGCATACGTCTTGAGCCTTAGCCAGGGAATCAGCTTTCATCTCGATAAAATTTGGGTACAAGGTGCATTCCTCGAGTTGCTGTGCTGAAGTTGGTGTTCCTCTAGACTTGCGACAGTGTTCTCGGGGCATCTCTGGAGTTGCCTGAAGTAAGTCAAGCCACTTGTCTTGTTGAATGGGGAATGGGGGATGGCTCTGGAGTCAATGCAGGGGAATCGGGCCTCATCTCGAGTTGATTTGGGGCACACGGCCCTGCTTTGTGTTGCTGTGGTGACCTCAGGGTCCGTCTAGACTGGTTACAGTGTTCTTGGGGAATGTCTCGAGATCCATTAAGCAAGTCGAAGCTCCTGACTTGTTTGATGGGGATCACGGAATAGCTCTGCATGCACTGCAGGGGAATGGTGCCTCATCTCGCCTCTAGGGGGAAGTCTCATGGTTTTTCTCGAGTTGCGGTGGGGACCTGGGGTATGTTCTCGAGTTACGGCGGGGATGGCCCTTCAAAACACGTCTTTATTCAGTGACGTCAGGACTCCTGTCTAGTAACGAGGGACACCTCAGGAATCTCTTCGAGGCTTGGCAGGGTAAAAGAGACGCTTCTCGAGCTGAGGCAGGGCACCAAAGACCCATTTCAGTAGCCACAGGGATTTTGGGATTCCTATCAGTATTGAAGAGGAGTCAGGCATCGTCACCTTTTAAAGCAGTGAACTCCGTGTGCATCCCAAGGAGTCAACGGGATGAGGCATTCCGTCAAAATGAGGCAGGGAACTAGGGCTTTCTCTCAGGTCTCGACAGGGGATTCAGACATCCCTTCATGTTGTGAGATGAAAGACGAGCCCGTATTCAAGCCACTGCAAGGTAATCCGGCCTCCTTTCAAGTTAGGGCTTCTCGTTGTATATTCCACTTGAGGCAGCAAACTCGGGGTCCCTCCCACATACCTATTGCTGAGAGAAGCCTCTTCGTGAGGTGCTTCTGGAAGGTTGGCATACGTCTTGAGCCTAAGCCAGGGAATCAGCTCTCATCTCGAGATAATTTGGGGTACACGGAGCAATCCTCGTGTTGCTGTGCTGAAGTTGGTGTTCCTCTAGACTTGGGACATTGTTCTCGGGGCATCTCTGGAGTTGGCTGAAGGAAGTCAAGCCACTGGTCGTGTGGAATGGATAACGGGGGCTGGCTCTGGAGTCAATGCAGGGGAATCGGGCCTCATCTCGAGTTGAATTGGGGCACATGGAGCAGCTTTGCGTTGCTGGCTTGACCTCAGAGTGGGTCTAGACTGGTGACAGTGTTCTTGGGTTCTGTCTCGAGATCCGTTAAGCAAGTCGAAGCTCCTGACTTGTTTGATGGGGATCACGGAATAGCTCTCCATGCACTGCAGGGGAATGGGGCCTCATCTCGCCTCTAGGGGGAAGTCTCATGGTTTTTCTCGAGTTGCGGCAAGGATCTGGGGTATGTTCTCGAGTTACGGCAGGGATGGCCCTTCAAATCACGTGTTTATTCAGTGACGTCAGAACTCATGTCTAGTAACGAGGGACACCTCAGGAATCTCTTCGAGGCTTGGCAGGGCAAAAGGGACACTAATCCAGGTGAGGCAGGGCACCAAAGGACACTTTCCAGTAGCCACAGGGATTTTGGGATTCCTATCCGTATTCAAGAGGAGTCAGGCATCGTCACCTTTTCAAGCAGTGAACTCCGCGTGCCTCTCGACTTGTCAACGGGATGTGAGGCATTCCGTCAAAATGAGGCAGGGAACTAGGGCTTTCTCTCAGGTCTCCACAGGGGATTCAGATCATCCCTTCATGTCGTGAGATGAAAGACGAGCCTATATTCAAGCCACTGCAAGGAAATCCAGCCTCCTTTCAAGTTAGGGCTTCTCGCTGTATATTCCACTTGAGGCAGCAAACTCGGGGTCCCTCCCACATACCTATTGCTGAGAGAAGCCTCCTCTTGAGGTGCTTCTGGAAGGGTGGCATACGTCTTGAGCCTAATCCAGGGAATCAGCTCTCATCTCGAGACGATTTGGGGTACACGGAGCATTCCTCGAGTTGCTGTGCTGAAGCTGGTGTTCCTCTGGACTTGCGACAGTGTTCTCGGGGCATCTCTGGAGTTGCCTGAATGAAGTCAAGCCACTGGTCGTGTTGAATGGGGAACGGGGGATGGCTCTGGAGTCAATGCAGGGGAATCGGGCTTCATCTCTCGTTGATTTCAGGCACACGGCACTGCTTTGCGTTGCTGGCGTTACCTGAGGGTCCGTCTAGACTTGTGAAAGTGTTCTTGGGGACTGTCTCGAGATCCATTAACCAAGTCGAAGCTCCTGACTTCTTTGATGGGGATTACGGAATAGCTCTGCATGCACTGCAGGGGAATGGGGCTTCATCTCGCCTCTAGGGGGAAGTCTCATGGTTTTTCTCGAGTTCGGCGGGGACCGGGGGTATGTTCTCGAGTTTCGGCGGGGATGGCCCTTCAAAACACGTGTTTATTCAGTGACGCCAGGACTCCTGTCTAGTAACGAGGGACACCTCAGGAATCTCTTCGAGGCTTGGCAGGGCAAAAGGGATGCTTCTCGAGCTGAGGCAGGGCACCAAAGACACATTTCAGTAGCCACAGGGATTTTGGGATTCCTATCAGTATTCAAGAGGAGTCAGGCATCGTCACCTTTTGAAGCAGTGAACTCCGCATGCCTCTCGAGGTGTCAACGGGATGTGAGGCATTCCGTCAAAATGAGGCAGGGACCTAGGGCTTTCTCTCAGGTCAACACAGGGGATTCAGACATCCCTTCATGTTGTGAGATGAAAGACGAGCCTGTATTCAAGCCACTGCAAGGAAATCCGGCCTCCTTTCAAGTTAGGGCTTCTCGCTGTATATTCCACTTGTGGCAGCAAACTCGGGGTCCCTCCCACATACCTATTGCTGAGAGAAGCCTCCTCCTGAGGTGCTTCTGGAAAGTTGGCATAGGTCTTGAGCCTGAGCCAGGGAATCAGCTTTCATCTCGATATAATTTGGGTACACGGTGCATTCCTCGAGTTGCTGTGCTGAAGTTGGTGTTCCTCTAGACTTGCGACAGTGTTCTCGGGGCATCTCTGGAGTTGCCTGAAGGAAGTCAAGCCACTTGTCTTGTTGAATGGGGAATGGGGGATGGCTCTGGAGTCAATGCAGGGGAATCGGGCCTCATCTCGAGTTGATTTGGGGCACACGGCCCTGTTTGTGTTGCTGTGGTGACCTCAGTGTCCGTCTAGACTGGTTACAGTGTTCTTGCGGAATGTCTCGAGATCCATTAAGCAAGTCGAAGCTCCTGACTTGTTTGATGGGGATCACGGAATAGCTCTGCATGCACTGCAGGGGAATGGTGCCTCATCTCGCCTCTAGGGGGAAGTCTCATGGTTTTTCTCGAGTTGCGGCGGGGCCTGGGGTATGTTCTCGAGTTACGGCAGGGATGGCCCTTCAAATCACGTGTTTATTCAGTGACGTCAAAACCTCTGTCTAGTAAGGAGGGACACCTCAGGAATCTCTTCGAGGCTTGACAGGGCAAAAGGGACGCTTCTCGAAGTGAGGCAGGGCAACCAAGGACTCTTTCCAGTAGCCACAGTGATTTTGGGATTCCGATCAGTATTCAAGAGGAGTCAGGCATCGTCACCTTTTGAAGCAGTGAACTCCGCGTGCCTCTCGAGGTGTCAACGGGATGTGAGGCATTCCGTCAAAATGAGGCAGGGACGTAGGGCTTTCGCTAAGGTCTCCACAGGGGATTCAGACATGCCTTCATGTTGTGAGATGAAAGACGAGCCTGTATTCAAGCCACTGCAAGGAAATCCGGCCTCCTTTCAAGTTAGGGCTCCTCGCTATTTATTCCCCTTGAGGAAGCAAATTCGGGGTCCCTCCCACATACCTATTGCTGAGAGAAGTCTCCTCCTGAGGTGCTTCTGGAAGGGTGGCATACGTCTTGAGCCTAAGTCAGGGAATCAGCTCTCATCTCGAGACGATTTGGGGTACACGGAGCATTCCTCGAGTTGCTCTGCTGAAGTTGGTGTTCCTCTAGACTTGCGACAGTGTTCTCTTGGCATCTCTGGAGTTGCCTGAAGGAAGTCAAGCCACTGGATGTGTTGAATGGGGAACAGGGGATGGCTCTGGAGTCATTGCAGGGGGATCGGGCCTCATCTCGAGTTGATTTGGGGCACACGGAGCTGCTTTGCGTTGCTGGGGTGACCTCAGGGTCCGTCTAGACTAGTGACAGGGTTCTTGGGGACTGTCTCGAGATCCGTTAAGCAAGTCGAAGCTCCTGACTTGTTTGATGGGGATCACGGAATAGCTCTGCATGCACTGCAGGGGAATGGTGCCTCATCTCGCCTCTAGGGGGAAGTCTCATGGTTTTTCTCGAGTTGCGGTGGGGACCTGGGGTATGTTCTCGAGTTACGGCGGGGATGGCCCTTCAAAACACGTCTTTATTCAGTGACGTCAGGACTCCTGTCTAGTAACGAGGGACACCTCAGGAATCTCTTCGAGGCTTGGCAGGGTAAAAGAGACGCTTCTCGAGCTGAGGCAGGGCACCAAAGACCCATTTCAGTAGCCACAGGGATTTTGGGATTCCTATCAGTATTGAAGAGGAGTCAGGCATCGTCACCTTTTAAAGCAGTGAACTCCGTGTGCATCCCAAGGAGTCAACGGGATGAGGCATTCCGTCAAAATGAGGCAGGGAACTAGGGCTTTCTCTCAGGTCTCGACAGGGGATTCAGACATCCCTTCATGTTGTGAGATGAAAGACGAGCCTGTATTCAAGCCACTGCAAGGTAATCCGGCCTCCTTTCAAGTTAGGGCTTCTCGTTGTATATTCCACTTGAGGCAGCAAACTCGGGGTCCCTCCCACATACCTATTGCTGAGAGAAGCCTCTTCGTGAGGTGCTTCTGGAAGGTTGGCATACGTCTTGAGCCTAAGCCAGGGAATCAGCTCTCATCTCGAGATAATTTGGGGTACACGGAGCAATCCTCGTGTTGCTGTGCTGAAGTTGGTGTTCCTCTAGACTTGGGACATTGTTCTCGGGGCATCTCTGGAGTTGGCTGAAGGAAGTCAAGCCACTGGTCATGTGGAATGGATAACGGGGGCTGGCTCTGGAGTCAATGCAGGGGAATCGGGCCTCATCTCAAGTTGAATTGGGGCACATGGAGCTGCTTTGCGTTGCTGGCTTGACCTCAGAGTGGGTCTAGACTGGTGACAGTGTTCTTGGGTTCTGTCTCGAGATCCGTTAAGCAAGTCGAAGCTCCTGACTTGTTTGATGGGTATCACGGAATAGCTCTCCATGCACTGCAGGGGAATGGGGCCTCATCTCGCCTCTAGGGGGAAGTCTCATGGTTTTTCTCGAGTTGCGGTGGGGACCTGGGGTATGTTCTCGAGTTACGGCAGGGATGGCCCTTCAAATCACGTGTTTATTCAGTGACGTCAGAACTCCTGTCTAGTAACGAGGGACACCTCAGGAATCTCTTCGAGGCTTGGCAGGGCAAAAGGGACACTAATCCAGGTGAGGCAGGGCACCAAAGGACACTTTCCAGTAGCCACAGGGATTTTGGGATTCCTATCCGTATTCAAGAGGAGTCAGGCATCGTCACCTTTTCAAGCAGTGAACTCCGCGTGCCTCTCGACTTGTCAACGGGATGTGAGGCATTCCGTCAAAATGAGGCAGGGACCTAGGGCTTTCTCTCAGGTCTCCACAGGGGATTCAGATCATCCCTTCATGTCGTGAGATGAAAGACGAGCCTATATTCAAGCCACTGCAAGGAAATCCGGCCTCCTTTCAAGTTAGGGCTTCTCGCTGTATATTCCACTTGAGGCAGCAAACTCGGGGTCCCTCCCACATACCTATTGCTGAGAGAAGCCTCCTCTTGAGGTGCTTCTGGAAGGGTGGCATACGTCTTGAGCCTAAGCCAGGGAATCAGCTCTCATCTCGAGACGATTTGGGGTACACGGAGCATTCCTCGAGTTGCTGTGCTGAAGTTGGTGTTCCTCTAGACTTGGGACAGTGTTCTCGGGGCATCTCTGGAGTTGCCTGAATGAAGTCAAGCCACTGGTCGTGTTGAATGGGGAACGGGGGATGGCTCTGGAGTCAATGCAGGGGAATCGGGCTTCATCTCTCGTTGATTTCAGGCACACGGCACTGCTTTGCGTTGCTGGCGTTACCTGAGGGTCCGTCTAGACTTGTGAAAGTGTTCTTGGGGACTGTCTCGAGATCCATTAACCAAGTCGAAGCTCCTGACTTCTTTGATGGGGATTACGGAATAGCTCTGCATGCACTGCAGGGGAATGGGGCTTCATCTCGCCTCTAGGGGGAAGTCTCATGGTTTTTCTCAAGTTCGGCGGGGACCGGGGGTATGTTCTCGAGTTTCGGCGGGGATGGCCCTTCAAAACACGTGTTTATTCAGTGACGCCAGGACTCCTGTCTAGTAATGAGGGACAACTCAGGAATCTCTTCGAGGCTTGGCAGGGCAAAAGGGATGCTTCTCGAGCTGAGGCAGGGCACCAAAGACACATTTCAGTAGCCACAGGGATTTTGGGATTCCTATCAGTATTCAAGAGGAGTCAGGCATCGTCACCTTTTGAAGCAGTGAACTCCGCATGCCTCTCGAGGTGTCAACGGGATGTGAGGCATTCCGTCAAAATGAGGCAGGGACCTAGGGCTTTCTCTCAGGTCAACACAGGGGATTCAGACATCCCTTCATGTTGTGAGATGAAAGACGAGCCTGTATTCAAGCCACTGCAAGGAAATCCGGCCTCCTTTCAAGTTAGGGCTTCTCGCTGTATATTCCACTTGTGGCAGCAAACTCGGGGTCCCTCCCACATACCTATTGCTGAGAGAAGCCTCCTCCTGAGGTGCTTCTGGAAAGTTGGCATACGTCTTGAGCCTGAGCCAGGGAATCAGCTTTCATCTCGATATAATTTGGGTACACGGTGCATTCCTCGAGTTGCTGTGCTGAAGTTGGTGTTCCTCTAGACTTGCGACAGTGTTCTCGGGGCATCTCTGGAGTTGCCTGAGGGAAGTCAAGCCACTTGTCTTGTTGAATGGGGAATGGGGGATGGCTCTGGAGTCAATGCAGGGGAATCGGGCCTCATCTCGAGTTGATTTGGGGCACACGGCCCTGTTTGTGTTGCTGTGGTGACCTCAGTGTCCGTCTAGACTGGTTACAGTGTTCTTGCGGAATGTCTCGAGATCCATTAAGCAAGTCGAAGCTCCTGACTTGTTTGAATGGGATCACGGAATAGCTCTGCATGCACTGCAGGGGAATGGTGCCTCATCTCGCCTCTAGGGGGAAGTCTCATGGTTTTTCTCGAGTTGCGGCGGGGCCTGGGGTATGTTCTCGAGTTACGGCAGGGATGGCCCTTCAAATCACGTGTTTATTCAGTGACGTCAAAACCTCTGTCTAGTAAGGAGGGACACCTCAGGAATCTCTTCGAGGCTTGACAGGGCAAAAGGGACGCTTCTCGAAGTGAGGCAGGGCAACCAAGGACTCTTTCCAGTAGCCACAGTGATTTTGGGATTCCGATCAGTATTCAAGAGGAGTCAGGCATCGTCACCTTTTGAAGCAGTGAACTCCGCGTGCCTCTCGAGGTGTCAACGGGATGTGAGGCATTCCGTCAAAATGAGGCAGGGACGTAGGGCTTTCGCTAAGGTCTCCACAGGGGATTCAGACATGCCTTCATGTTGTGAGATGAAAGACGAGCCTGTATTCAAGCCACTGCAAGGAAATCCGGCCTCCTTTCAAGTTAGGGCTTCTCGCTATTTATTCCACTTGAGGAAGCAAATTCGGGGTCCCTCCCACATACCTATTGCTGAGAGAAGTCTCCTCCTGAGGTGCTTCTGGAAGGGTGGCATACGTCTTGAGCCTAAGTCAGGGAATCAGCTCTCATCTCGAGACGATTTGGGGTACACGGAGCATTCCTCGAGTTGCTCTGCTGAAGTTGGTGTTCCTCTAGACTTGCGACAGTGTTCTCTTGGCATCTCTGGAGTTGCCTGAAGGAAGTCAAGCCACTGGATGTGTTGAATGGGGAACAGGGGATGGCTCTGGAGTCATTGCAGGGGGATCGGGCCTCATCTCGAGTTGATTTGGGGCACACGGAGCTGCTTTGCGTTGCTGGGGTGACCTCAGGGTCCGTCTAGACTAGTGACAGGGTTCTTGGGGACTGTCTCGAGATCCGTTAAGCAAGTCGAAGCTCCTGACTTGTTTGATGGGGATCACGGAATAGCTCTGCATGCACTGCAGGGGAATGGTGCCTCATCTCGCCTCTAGGGGGAAGTCTCATGGTTTTTCTCGAGTTGCGGTGGGGACCTGGGGTATGTTCTCGAGTTACGGCGGGGATGGCCCTTCAAAACACGTCTTTATTCAGTGACGTCAGGACTCCTGTCTAGTAACGAGGGACACCTCAGGAATCTCTTCGAGGCTTGGCAGGGTAAAAGAGACGCTTCTCGAGCTGAGGCAGGGCACCAAAGACCCATTTCAGTAGCCACAGGGATTTTGGGATTCCTATCAGTATTGAAGAGGAGTCAGGCATCGTCACCTTTTAAAGCAGTGAACTCCGTGTGCATCCCAAGGAGTCAACCGGATGAGGCATTCCGTCAAAATGAGGCAGCGAACTAGGGCTTTCTCTCAGGTCTCGACAGGGGATTCAGACATCCCTTCATGTTGTGAGATGAAAGACGAGCCCGTATTCAAGCCACTGCAGGGTAATCCGGCCTCCTTTCAAGTTAGGGCTTCTCGTTGTATATTCCACTTGAGGCAGCAAACTCGGGGTCCCTCCCACATACCTATTGCTGAGAGAAGCCTCTTCGTGAGGTGCTTCTGGAAGGTTCGCATACGTCTTGAGCCTAAGCCAGGGCATCAGCTCTCATCTCGAGACGATTTGCGGTACATGGAGCATTCCACGAGATGCTGTGGTGAAGTTGGTGTTCCTCTAGACTTGGGAGAGTGATCTCGGGGCTTCTCTGGATCTGCCTGAAGGAAGTCCAGCCACTGGACGTGTTTAATGGGGAACGGGGGATGGCTTTATAGTCAATGCAGGGGAATGGGGCCTCATCTCGAGTTGATTTGGGGCACATGGATCTGCTGTGTGTTGCTGGGGTGACCTCAGGGTCCGTCTAGACTTGTGACAGTGTTCTTGGGGACTGTCTCGAGATCCATTAAGCAAGTCGAAGCTCCTGACTTGTCTGATGGGGATCACGGCATAGCTCTGCATGCACTGCAGGGGAATGGTGCCTCATCTCGCCTCTAGGGGGAAGTCTCATGGTTTTTCTCGAGTTGCGGCGGGGCCTGGGGTATGTTCTCGAGTTACGGCAGGGATGGCCCTTCAAATCACGTGTTTATTCAGTGACGTCAAAACCTCTGTCTAGTAAGGAGGGACACCTCAGGAATCTCTTCGAGGCTTGACAGGGCAAAAGGGACGCTTCTCGAGGTGAGGCAGGGCACCCAAGGACTCTTTCCAGTAGCCACAGTGATTTTGGGATTCCGATCAGTATTCAAGAGGAGTCAGGCATCGTCACCTTTTGAAGCAGTGAACTCCGCGTGCCTCTCGAGGTGTCAACGGGATGTGAGGCATTCCGTCAAAATGAGGCAGGGACCTAGGGCTTTTGCTAAGGTCTCCACAGGGGATTCAGACATGCCTTCATGTTGTGAGATGAAAGACGAGCCTGTATTCAAGCCACTGCAAGGAAATCCGGCCTCCTTTCAAGTTAGGGCTTCTCGCTATTTATTCCACTTGAGGAAGCAAACTCGGGGTCCCTCCCACATACCTATTGCTGAGAGAAGTCTCCTCCTGAGATGCTTCTGGAAGGGTGGCATACGTCTTGAGCCTAAGTCAGGGAATCAGCTCTCATCTCGAGACGATTTGGGGTACACGGAGCATTCCTCGAGTTGCTCTGCTGAAGTTGGTGTTCCTCTAGACTTGCGACAGTGTTCTCTTGGCATCTCTGGAGTTGCCTGAAGGAAGTCAAGCCACTGGATGTGTTGAATGGGGAACAGGGGATGGCTCTGGAGTCATTGCAGGGGGATCGGGCCTCATCTCGAGTTGATTTGGGGCACACGGAGCTGCTTTGCGTTGCTGGGGTGACCTCAGGGTCCGTCTAGACTGTTGACAGGGTTCTTGGGGACTGTCTCGAGATCCGTTAAGCAAGTCGAAGTCCTGACTTGTTTGATGGGGATTCACGGAATAGCTCTGCATGCACTGCAGGGGAATGGTGCCTCATCTCGCCTCTAGGGGGAAGTCTCATGGTTTTTCTCGAGTTGCGGTGGGGACCTGGGGTATGTTCTCGAGTTACGGCGGGGATGGCCCTTCAAAACACGTCTTTATTCAGTGACGTCAGGACTCCTGTCTAGTAACGAGGGACACCTCAGGAATCTCTTCGAGGCTTGGCAGGGTAAAAGAGACGCTTCTCGAGCTGAGGCAGGGCACCAAAGACCCATTTCAGTAGCCACAGGGATTTTGGGATTCCTATCAGTATTGAAGAGGAGTCAGGCATCGTCACCTTTTAAAGCAGTGAACTCCGTGTGCATCCCAAGGAGTCAACGGGATGAGGCATTCCGTCAAAATGAGACAGGGAACTAGGGCTTTCTCTCAGGTCTCGACAGGGGATTCAGACATCCCTTCATGTTGTGAGATGAAAGACGAGCCCGTATTCAAGCCACTGCAAGGTAATCCGGCCTCCTTTCAAGTTAGGGCTTCTCGTTGTATATTCCACTTGAGGCAGCAAACTCGGGATCCCTCCCACATACCTATTGCTGAGAGAAGCCTCTTCGTGAGGTGCTTCTGGAAGGTTGGCATACGTCTTGAGCCTAAGCCAGGGAATCAGCTCTCATCTCGAGATAATTTGGGGTACACGGAGCAATCCTCGTGTTGCTGTGCTGAAGTTGGTGTTCCTCTAGACTTGGGACATTGTTCTCGGGGCATCTCTGGAGTTGGCTGAAGGAAGTCAAGCCACTGGTCATGTGGAATGGATAACGGGGGCTGGCTCTGGAGTCAATGCAGGGGAATCGGGCCTCATCTCGAGTTGAATTGGGGCACATGGAGCTGCTTTGCGTTGCTGGCTTGACCTCAGAGTGGGTCTAGACTGGTGACAGTGTTCTTGGGTTCTGTCTCGAGATCCGTTAAGCAAGTCGAAGCTCCTGACTTGTTTGATGGGGATCACGGAATAGCTCTGAATGCACTGCAGGGGAATGGGGCCTCATCTCGCCTCTAGGGGGAAGTCTCATGGTTTTTCTCGAGTTGCGGCAGGGATCTGGGGTATGTTCTCGAGTTAGGGCAGGGATGGCCCTTCAAATCACGTGTTTATTCAGTGACGTCAGAACTCCTGTCTAGTAACGAGGGACACCTCAGGAATCTCTTCGAGGCTTGGCAGGGCAAAAGGGACACTAATCCAGGTGAGGCAGGGCACCAAAGGACACTTTCCAGTAGCCACAGGGATTTGGGGATTCCTATCCGTATTCAAGAAGAGTCAGGCATCGTCACCTTTTGAAGTAGTGAACTCCGCATGCCTCTCGAGGTGTCAACGGGATGTGAGGCATTCCGTCAAAATGAGGCAGGGACCTAGGGCTTTCTCTCAGGTCAAGACAGGGGATTCAGACATCCCTTCATGTAGTGAGATGAAAGACGAGCCTGTATTCAAGCTACTGCAAGGAAATCCGGCCTCCTTCAAGTTAGGGCTTCTCGCTGTATATTTCACTTGTGGCAGCAAACTCGGGGTCCCTCCCACATACCTATTGCTGAGAGAAGCCTCCTCTTGAGGTGCTTCTGGAAGGGTGGCATACGTCTTGAGCCTAAGCCAGGGAATCAGCTCTCATCTCGAGACGATTTGGGGTACACGGAGCATTCCTCGAGTTGTTGTGCTGAAGCTGGTGTTCCTCTGGACTTGCGACAGTGTTCTCGGGGCATCTCTGGAGTTGCCTGAATGAAGTCAAGCCACTGGTCGTGTTGAATGGGGAACGGGGGATGGCTCTGGAGTCAATGCAGGGGAATCGGGCCTCATCTCGCGTTGATTTCGGGCACATGGCGCTGCTTTGCGTTGCTGGGGTTACCTGAGGGTCCGTCTAGACTTGTGACAGTGTTCCTGGAGACTGTCTCGAGATCCATTAAGCAAGTCGAAGCTCCTGACTTGTTTGATGGGGATCATGGAATAGCCCTGGATGCACTGCAGGGGAATGGGGCCTCATCTCACCTCTAGGGGGAAGTCTCATGGTTTTTCTCGAGTTGCGACGGGGACCTGGGGTATGTTCTCAAGTTACGGTGGGGATGGCCATTCAAAACACGTGTTTATTCAGTGATGTCAAAACCTCTGTCTAGTAAGGAGGGACACCTCAGGAATCTCTTCGAGGCTTGGCAGGGCAAAAGGGATGCTTCTCGAGCTGAGGCATTGCACCAAAGACACATTTCAGTAGCCACAGGGATTTTGGGATTCCTATCAGTATTCAAGAGGAGTCAGGCATCGTCACCTTTTGAAGCAGTGAACTCCGCGTGCCTCTCGAGGTGTCAACGGGATGTGAGGCATTCCGTCAAAATGAGGCAGGGACCTAGGGCTTTCGCTAAAGTCTCCACAGGGGATTCAGACATGCCTTCATGTTGTGAGATGAAAGACGAGCCTGTATTCAAGCCACTGCAAGGAAATCCGGCCTCCTTTCAAGTTAGGGCTTCTCGCTATTTATTCCACTTGAGGAAGCAAACTCGGGGTCCCTCCCACATACCTATTGCTGAGAGAAGTCTCCTCCTGAGATGCTTCTGGAAGGGTGGCATACGTCTTGAGCCTAAGTCAGGGAATCAGCTCTCATCTCGAGACGATTTGGGGTACACGGAGCATTCCTCGAGTTGCTCTGCTGAAGTTGGTGTTCCTCTAGACTTGCGACAGTGTTCTCTTGGCATCTCTGGAGTTGCCTGAAGGAAGTCAAGCCACTGGATGTGTTGAATGGGGAACAGGGGATGGCTCTGGAGTCATTGCAGGGGGATCGGGCCTCATCTCGAGTTGATTTGGGGCACACGGAGCTGCTTTGCGTTGCTGGGGTGACCTCAGGGTCCGTCTAGACTGTTGACAGGGTTCTTGGGGACTGTCTCGAGATCCGTTAAGCAAGTCGAAGTCCTGACTTGTTTGATGGGGATTCACGGAATAGCTCTGCATGCACTGCAGGGGAATGGTGCCTCATCTCGCCTCTAGGGGGAAGTCTCATGGTTTTTCTCGAGTTGCGGTGGGGACCTGGGGTATGTTCTCGAGTTACGGCGGGGATGGCCCTTCAAAACACGTCTTTATTCAGTGACGTCAGGACTCCTGTCTAGTAACGAGGGACACCTCAGGAATCTCTTCGAGGCTTGGCAGAGTAAAAGAGACGCTTCTCGAGCTGAGGCAGGGCACCAAAGACCCATTTCAGTAGCCACAGGGATTTTGGGATTCCTATCAGTATTCAAGAGGAGTCAGGCATCGTCACCTTTTAAAGCAGTGAACTCCGTGTGCATCCCAAGGAGTCAACGGGATGAGGCATTCCGTCAAAATGAGGCAGGGAACTAGGGCTTTCTCTCAGGTCTCGACAGGGGATTCAGACATCCCTTCATGTTGTGAGATGAAAGACGAGCCCGTATTCAAGCCACTGCAAGGTAATCCAGCCTCCTTTCAAGTTAGGGCTTCTCGTTGTATATTCCACTTGAGGCAGCAAACTCGGGGTCCCTCCCACATACCTATTGCTGAGAGAAGCCTCTTCGTGAGGTGCTTCTGGAAGGTTGGCATACGTCTTGAGCCTAAGCCAGGGAATCAGCTCTCATCTCGAGATAATTTGGGGTACACGGAGCAATCCTCGTGTTGCTGTGCTGAAGTTGGTGTTCCTCTAGACTTGGGACATTGTTCTCGGGGCATCTCTGGAGTTGGCTGAAGGAAGTCAAGCCACTGGTCGTGTGGAATGGATAACGGGGGCTGGCTCTGGAGTCAATGCAGGGGAATCGGGCCTCATCTCGAGTTGAATTGGGGCACATGGAGCTGCTTTGCGTTGCTGGCTTGACCTCAGAGTGGGTCTAGACTGGTGACAGTGTTCTTGGGTTCTGTCTCGAGATCCGTTAAGCAAGTCGAAGCTCCTGACTTGTTTGATGGGGATCACGGAATAGCTCTCCATGCACTGCAGGGGAATGGGACCTCATCTCGCCTCTAGGGGGTAGTCTCATGGTTTTTCTCGAGTTGCGGCAGGGATCTGGGGTATGTTCTCGAGTTACGGCAGGGATGGCCGTTCAAATCACGTGTTTATTCAGTGACGTCAGAACTCCTGTCTAGTAACGAGGGACACCTCAGGAATCTCTTCGAGGCTTGGCATGGCAAAAGGGACGCTTCTCGAGCTGAGGCAGGGCACCAAAGACCCATTTCAGAAGCCACAGGGATTTTGGGATTCCTATCAGTATTGAAGAGGAGTCAGGCATCGTCACCTTTTAAAACAGTGAACTCCGTGTGCATCCCAAGGAGTCAACGGTATGTGAGGCATTCCGTCAAAATGAGGCAGGGAACTAGGGCTTTCTCTCAGGTCACGACAGGAGATTCAGACATCCCTTCATGTTGTGAGATGAAAGACGAGCCTGTATTCAAGCCACTGCAAGGTAATCCGACCTCCTTTCAAGTTAGGGCTTCTCGTTGTATATTCCACTTGAGGCAGCAAACTCGGGGTCCCTCCCACATACCTATTGCTGAGAGAAGCCTCTTCGTGAGGTGCTTCTGGAAGGTTGGCATACGTCTTGAGCCTAAGCCAGGGAATCAGCTCTCATCTCGAGATAATTTGGGGTACACGGAGCAATCCTCGTGCTGCTGTGCTGAATTTGGTGTTCCTCTAGACTTGGGATATTGTTCTCGGGGCATCTCTGGAGTTGGCTGAAGGATGTCAAGCCACTGGTCGTGTGGAATGGATAACGGTGGCTGGCTCTGGAGTCAATGCAGGGGAATCGGGCCTCATCTCGAGTTGAATTGGGGCACATGGAGCTGCTTTGCGTTGCTGGCTTTACCTCAGAGTGGGTCTAGACTGGTGACAGTGTTCTTGGGGACTGTCTCGAGATCCGTTAAGCAAGTCGAAGGTCCTGACTTGTTTGATGGGGATCACGGAATAGCTCTCCATGCACTGCAGGGGAATGGGGCCTCATCTTACCTCTAGGGGGAAGTCTCATGTTTTTTCTCGAGTTGCGGCAGGGACCTGGGGTATGTTCTTGAGTTACGGCAGGGATGGCCCTTCAAATCACGTGTTTATTCAGTGACGTCAGAACTCCTGTCTAGTAACGAGGGACACCTCAGGAATCTCTTCGAGGCTTGGCAGGGCAAAAGGGACACTAATCCAGGTGAGGCAGGGCACCAAAGGACACTTTCCAGTAGCCACAGGGATTTTGGGATTCCTATCAGTATTCAAGAGGAGTCAGGCATCGTCACCTTTTGAAGCAGTGAACTCCGCGTGCCTCTCGACGTGTCAACGGGATATGAGGCATTCCGTCAAAATGAGGCAGGGACCTAGGGCTTTCTCTCAGGTCTCCACAGGGGATTCAGATCATCCCTTCATGTCGTGAGATGAAAGACGAGCCTATATTCAAGCCACTGCAAGGAAATCCGGCCTCCTTTCAAGTTAGGGCTTCTCGCTGTATATTCCACTTGAGGCAGCAAACTCGGGGTCCCTCCCACATACCTATTGTTGAGAGAAGCCTCCTCTTGAGGTGCTTCTGGAAGGTTGGCATATGTCTTGAAAATATGCTAGGGAATCAGCTCTCATCTCGAGATGATTTGGGTACATGGAGCATTCCTCGAGTTGCTGTGCTGAAGTTGGTGTTTGTCTGGACTTGCGACAGTGTTCTCGGGGCATCTCTGGAGTTGCCTGAAGGAAGTCGAGCCACCGGTCGTGTTGAGTGGGGAACGGGGAATGGCTCTGGAGTCAATGCAGGGGAATCGGGCCTCACTTCGAGTTGATATGGGGCACATGGAGCTGCTTTGCGTTGCTGGGGTGACCTCAGGGTCCGTCTAGACTGGTGACAGTGGTCTTGGGGACTGTTTCGAGATCCATTACGCAAGTCGAAGCTCCTGACTTGTTTGATGGGGATCACGGAATAGTTCTGCATGCACTGCATGGGAATGAGGCCTCATCTCGCCTCTAGGGGGAAGTCTCATGGTTTTCCTGGAGTTGCGGCGGGGACCTGGGGTATGTTCTCGAGTTACGGCAGGGATGGCCCTTCAAATCACGTGTTTATTCAGTGACGTCAAAACCCCTGTCTAGTAACGAGGGATACCTCCGGAATCTCTTCGAGGCTTGACAGGGCAAAAGGGACGCTTCTCGAGGTGAGGCAGGGCACCCAAGGACTCTTTCCCGTAGCCACAGTGATTTTAGGATTCCTATCAGTATTCAAGAGGAGTCAGGCATCATCACCTTTTGAAGCAGTGAACTCCGCGTGCCTCTCGAGGTGTCAACGGGATGTGAGGCATTCCGTCAAAATGAGGCAGGGAACTAGGGCTTTCGCTAAGGTCTCCACACAGGATACAGACATCCCTTCATGTTGTGAGATGAAAGACGAGCCTGTATTCAAGCCACGGCAAGGAAATCCGGCCTCCTTTCAAGTTAGGGCTTCTCACTATATATTCCACTTGAGGCAGCACACTCGGGGTCCCTCCCACATACCTATTGCTGAGAGAAGCCTCCTCCTGAGGTGCTTCTGGAAGGGTGGCATACGTCTTGAGCCTAAGGCAGGGAATCAGCTCTCATCTCGAGCCGATTTGGGGTACACGGAGCCTTCCTCGAGTTGCTGTGCTGAAGTTGGTGTTCCTCTAGACTTGCAACAGTGTTCTCCGGGCATCTCTGGAGTTGCCTGAAGGAAGTCAAGCCACTGGTCGTGTTGAATGGGGAACAGGGGATGGTTCTGGAGTCATTGCAGGGGGATTGGGCCTCATCTCGAGTTGATTTGGGGCACACGGAGCTACTTTGCGTTGCTGGGGTGACCTCAGGGTCCGTCTAGACTGGTGACAGTGTTCTTGGGGACTGTCTCGAGATCCGTTAAGCAAGTCGAAGTCCTGACTTGTTTGATGGGGATCACGGAATAGCTCTGCATGCACTGCAGGGGAATGGGGCCTCATCTCGCCTCTAGGGGGAAGTCTCGTAGTTTTTCTCGAGTTGCGGTGGGGACCTGGGGTATGTTCTCGAGTTACGGCCGGGATGGCCCTTCAAAACACGTCTTTATTCAGTGACGTCAGGACTCCTGTCTAGTAACGAGGGACACCTCAGGAATCTCTTCGAGGCTTGGCAGGGTAAAAGGGACGCTTCTCGAGCTGAGGCAGGTCACCAAAGACACATTTCAGTAGCCACAGGGATTTTGGGATTCCTATCAGTATTGAAGAGGAGTCAGGCTTCGTCACCTTTTAAAGCAGTGAACTCCGTGTGTATCCCAAGGAGTCAACGGGATGTGAGGCATTCCGTCAAAATGAGGCCGGGACCTAGGCCTTTCGCTAAGGTCTCCACAGGGGATTCAGGCATCCCTTCATGTTGTGAGATGAAAGACGAGCCTGTATTCAAGCCACTGCAAAGAACTCCGGCCTCCTTTCAAGTTAGGGCTTCTCGCTATATATTCCACTTGAGGCAGCACACTCGGGTTCCCTCCCACATACCTATTGCTGAGAGAAGCCTCCTACTGAGGTGCTTCTGGAAGGGTGGCATACGTCTTGAGCCTAAGTCAGGGAATCAGCTCTCATCTCGCGACGATTTGGGGTACACGGAGCATTCCTCGAGTTGCTGTGCTGAAGTTGGTGTTCCTCTAGACTGGCGACAGTGTTCTCGTGGCATCTCTGGAGTTGCCTGAAGGAAGTCAAGCAACTGGTCGTGTTGAATGGGGAACGGGGGATGGCTCTGGAGTCAATGCAGGGGTATCGGGCCTCATCTCGCACTGATTTCGGGCACACGGCGCTGCTTTGCGTTGTTGGGTTTACCTGAGGGTCCGTCTAGACTTGTGACAGTGTTCTTGGGGACTGTCTCGAGATCCATTAAACAAGTCGAAGTTCCTGACTTGTTTGATGGGGATCACGGAATAGCTCTGCATGCACTGCAGGGGAATGGGGCCTCATCTCGCCTCTAGGGGGAAGTCTCAGGGTTTTTCACGAGTTTGGCGGGGACCGGGGGTATGGTCTCGAGTTACGGCAGGGATGGCCCTTCAAATCACGTGTTTATTCAGTGACGTCAGGACTCCTGTCTAGTAACGAGGGACACCTCAGGAATCTCTTCGAGGCTTGCCAGGGCAAAAGAGACGCTTCTCGATGTGAGGCAGGGCACCCAAGGACCCTTTCCAGTAGCCACAGTGATTTTGGGATTCCTATCAGTATTCAAGAGTAGTCAGGCATCGTCACCTTTTGAAGCAGTGAACTCCGCGTGCCTCTCGAGGTGTCAACGGGATGTGAGGCTTTCCGTCAAAATGAGGCAGGGATCTAGGGCTTTCGCTAAGTTCTCCACAGGGGATTCAGACATCCCTTCATGCTGTGAGATGAAAGATGAGCCTGTATTCAAGCCACTGCAAGGAAATCTGGCCTCCTTTCAAGTTAGGGCTTCTCGCTGTATATTCCACTTGAGGCAGCACACTCGGGGTCCCTCCCACATACCTATTGCTGAGAGAAGCCTCCTCTTGAGGTGCTTCTGGAAGGTTGGCATATGTCTTGAAAATAAGCCAGGGAATCAGCTTTCATCTCGATATGATTTGGGTACACGGTGCATTCCTCGAGTTGCTGTGCTGAAGTTGGTGTTCCTCTAGACTTGCGACAGTGTTCTCGGGGCATTTCTGGAGTTGCCTGAAGGAAGTCAAGCCACTTGTTTTGTTGAATGGGGAATGGGGGATGGCTCTGGAGTCAATGCAGGGGAATCGGGCCTCATCTCGAGTTGATTTGGGGCACACGACCCTGCTCTGTGTTGCTGTGGTGACCTCAGTTTCCGTCTAGACTGGTTACAGTGTTCTTGGGGACTGTCTCGAGATCCATTAAGCTAGTCGAAGCTCCTGACTTGTTTGATGGGGATCACGGAATAGCTCTGCATGCACTGCAGGGGAATGGTGCCTCATCTCGCCTCTAGGGGGAAGTCTCATGGTTTTTCTCGAGTTGCGGCAGGGCCTGGGGTATGTTCTCGAGTTACGGCAGGGATGGCCCTTCAAATCACGTGTTTATTCAGTGACGTCAAAACCTCTGTCTAGTAAGGAGGGACACCTCAGGAATCTCTTCGAGGCTTGACAGGGCAAAAGGGATGCTTCCCCAGGTGAGGCAGGGCACCCAAGTACTCTTTCCAGTAGCCACAGTGATTTTGGGATTCCTATCAGTATTCAAGAGGAGTCAGGCATCGTCACCTTTTGAAGCAGTGAACTCCGCGTGCCTCTCGAGGTGTCAACGGGATGTGAGGCATTCCGTCAAAATGAGGCAGGGACCTATGGCTTTCGCTAAGGTCTCCACAGGGGATTCAGACATCCCTTCATGTTGTGAGATGAAAGACGAGCCTGTATTCAAGCCACTGCAAGGAAATCCGGCCTCCTTTCAAGTTAGGGCTTCTCGCTATTTATTCCACTTGAGGCAGCAAACTCGGGGTCCCTCCCACATACCTATTGCTGAGAGAAGCCTCCTCCTGAGGTGCTTCTGGAAGGGTGGCATACGTCTTGAGCCTAAGTCAGGGAATCAGCTCTCATCTCGAGACGATTTGGGGTACACGGAACATTCCTCGAGTTGCTCTGCTGAAGTTGGTGTTCCTCTAGACTGGCGACAGTGTTCTCGTGGCATCTCTGGAGTTGCCTGAAGGAAGTCAAGCCACTGGATGTGTTGAATGGGGAACAGGGGATGGTTCTGGAGTCATTGCAGGGGGATCGGGCCTCATCTCGAGTTGATTTGGGGCACACGGAGCTGCTTTGCGTTGCTGGGGTAACCTCAGGGTCCGTCTAGACTGGTGACAGTGTTCTTGGGGACTGTCTCGAGATCCGTTAAGCAAGTCAAAGTCCTGACTTGTTTGATGGGGATCACGGAATAGCTCTGCATGCACTGCAGGGGAATGGTGCCTCATCTCGCCTCTAGGGGGAAGTCTCGTGGTTTTTCTCAAGTTGCGGTGGGGACCTGGGGTATGTTCTCGAGTTACGGCCGGGATTGCCCTTCAAAACACGTCTTTATTCAGTGACGTCAGGACTCCTGTCTAGTAACGAGGGACACCTCAGGAATCTCTTCGAGGCTTGGCAGGGCAAAAGGGACGCTAATCCAGGTGAGGCAGGGCACCAAAGGACACTTTCCAGTAGCCACAGGGATTTGGGGATTCCTATCAGTATTCACGAGGAGTCAGGCATCGTCACCTTTTGAAGCAGTGAACTCCGCGTGCCTCTCGACGTGTCAACGGGATGTGAGGCATTCCGTCAAAATGAGGCAGGGACCTAGGGCTTTCTCTCAGGTCTCCACAGGGGATTCAGATCATCCCTTCATGTGGTGAGATGAAAGACGAGCCTATATTCAAGCCACTGCAAGGAAATCCGGCCTCCTTTCAAGTTAGGGCTTCTCGCTGTATATTCCACTTGAGGCGGCAAACTCGGGGTCCCTCCCACATACCTATTGTTGAGAGAAGCCTCCTCTGGAGGTGCTTCTGGAAGGTTGGCATATGTCTTGAAAATAAGCCAGGGAATCAGCTCTCATCTCGAGATGATTTGGGTACACGGAGCATTCCTCGAGTTGCTGTGCTGAAGTTGGTGTTCCTCTAGACTTGCGACAGTGTTCTCGGGGCATCTCTGGAGTTGCCTGAAGGAAGTCAAGCCACTTGTCTTGTTGAATGGGGAATGGGGGATGGCTCTGGAGTCCATGCAGGGGAATCGGGCCTCATTTCGAGTTGATTTGTGGCACACGGTGGTGCTTTGCGTTGCTGTGGTGAAGTCAGGGCCGTCTAGACTGGTGACAGTGGTCTTGGGGACTGTCTCGAGATCCATTAAGCAAGTCGAAGCTCCTGACTTGTTTGATGGGGATCACGGAATAGTTCTGCATGCACTGCAGGGGAATGGGACTCATCTCGCCTCTAGGGGGAGGTCTCATGGTTTTCTCGAGTTGCGGCGGGGACCTGGCGTATGTTCTCGAGTTACGGCATGGATGGCCCTTCAAATCACGTGTTTATTCAGTGGCATCAAAACCCCTGTCTAGTAACGAGGGACACCTCAGGAATCTCTTCGAGGCTTGACATGGCAAAAGGGACGCTTCTCGAAGTGAGGCAGGGCACCCAAGTACTCTTTCCTGTAGCCACAGTGATTTTGGGATTCCTATCAGTATTCAAGAGGAGTCAGGCATCATCACCTTTTGAAGCAGTGAACTCCGCGTGCCTCTCGAGGTGTCAACGGGATGTGAGGCATTCCGTCAAAATGAGGCAGGGACCTAGGGCTTTCGCTAAGGTCTCCACAGGGGATTCAGACATCCCTTCATTTGTGAGATGAAAGACGAGCCTGTATTCAAGCCACTGCAAGGAAATTATGCCTCCTTTCAAGATAGGGCTTCTCGCTATATATTCCACTTAAGGCAGGACACTCGGGGTCCCTCCCACATACCTATTGCTGAGAGAAGCCTCCTCCTGAGGTGCTTCTGGAAGGGTGGCATACGTCTTGAGCCTAAGTCAGGGAATCAGCTCTCATCTCGAGACGATTTGGGGTACACGGAGCATTCCTCGAGTTGCTGTGCTGAAGTTGGTGTTCCTCTAGACTTGCGACAGTGTTCTCGGGGCATCTCTGCAGTTGCCAGAAGGAAGTCAAGCCACTGGTCGTGTTGAATGGGGAACGGGGGATGGCTCTGGAGTCAATGCAGTGGAATCGGGCCTCATCTCGATTTTATTTGGGGCACACGGCCCTGCTTTGCCTTGCTGGGTTGACCTCAGGATCCGTCTAGTCTGGTGACAGTGTTTTTGGGGACTGTCTCGAGGTCCATTAAGCAAGTCGAAGCTCCTGACTTGTTAGATGGGGATCACGGAATAGCTCTGGATGCACTGCAGGGGAATGGGGCCTCATCTCACCTCTAGGCGGAAGTCTCATGGTTTTTCTCGAGTTGCGGCGGGGACCTGGGGTATGTTCTCGAGTTACGGCGGGGATGGCCCTTCAAAACACGTGTTTATTCAGTGACGTCAGGACTCCTGTCTAGTAACGAGGGACACCTCAGGAATCTCTTCGAGGCTTGGCAGGGCAAAAGGGACGCTTCTCGAGCTGAGGCAGGGCACGAAAGACACATTTCAGTAGCCACAGGGATTTTGGGATTCCTATCCGTATTCAAGAGGAGTCAGGCATCGTCACCTTTTGAAGCAGTGAACTCCGCGTGCCTCTCGACGTGTCAACGGGTTGTGAGGCATTCCGTCAAAATGAGGCAGGGACCTAGGGCTTTCTCTCAGGTCTCCACAGGGGACTCAGATCATCCCTTCATGTGGTGAGATGAAAGACGAGCCTATATTCAAGCCACTGCAAGGAAATCCGGCCTCCTTTCAAGTTAGGGCTTCTCGTTGTGTATTCCACTTGAGGCAGCAAACTCGGGGTCCCTCCCACATACCTGTTGCTGAGAGAAGCCTCTTCGTGAGGTGCTTCTGGAAGGTTGGCATACGTCTTGAGCCTAAGCCAGGGAATCAGCTCTCATCTCGAGATAATTTGGGGTACACGGAGCAATCCTCGTGTTGCTGTGCTGAATTTGGTGTTCCTCTAGACTTGGGACATTGTTCTCGAGGCATCTCTGGAGTTGGCTGAAGGAAGTCAAGCCACTGGTCGTGTGGAATGGATAACGGGGGCTGGCTCTGGAGTCAATGCAGGGGAATCGGGCCTCATCTCGATTTGAATTGGGGCACATGGAGCTGCTTTGCGTTGCTGGCTTGACCTTAGAGTGGGTCTAGACTGGTGACAGTGTTCTTGGGGACTGTCTCGAGATCCGTTAAGCAAGTCGAAGCTCCTGACTTGTTTGATGGGGATCACGGAATAGCTCTCCATGCACTGCAGGGGAATGGGGCCTCATCTCACCTCTAGGGGGAAGTCTCATGGTTTTTCTCGAGTTGCGGCAGGGACCTGGGGTATGTTCTCGAGTTACGGCGGGGATGGCCCTTCAAATCATGTGTTTATTCAGTGACGTCAGAACACCTGTCTAGTAACGAGGGACACCTCAGGAATCTCTTCGAGGCTTGGCAGGGCAAAAGGAACGCTAATCCAGGTGAGGCAGGGCACCAAAGGACACTTTCCAGTAGCCACAGGGATTTTGGGATTCCTATCAGTATTCAAGAGGAGTCAGGCATCGGCACCTTTTCAAGCAGTGAACTCCGCGTGCCTCTCGACGTGTCAACGGGATGTGAGGCATTCCGTCAAAATGAGGCAGGGACCTAGGGCTTTCTCTCAGGTCTCCACAGGGGATTCAGATCATCCCTTCATGTCGTGAGATGAAAGACGAGCCTATATTCAATCCACTGCAAGGAAATCTGGCTTCCTTTCAAGTTAGGGCTTCTCGCTGTATATTCCACTTGAGGCAGCAAACTCGGGGTCCCTCCCACATACCTATTGCTGAGAGAAGCCTCCTCCTCAGGTGCTTCTGGAAGGGAGGCAAACGTCTTGAGCCTAAGTCAGGGAATTAGCTCTCATCTCGAGATGATTTGGGGTACACGGAGCATTCCTCGAGTTGCTGTGCTGAAGTTGGTGTTCCTCTAGACTTGCGACAGTGTTTTCGTGGCATCTCTGGAGTTGCCTGAAGGAAGTCAAGCCACTGGTCGTGTTGAATGGGAAACGGCGGATGGCTCTGGAGTCAATGGAGTGGAATCCGGCCTCATCTCGAGTTTATTTGGGGCACACGGCCCTGCTTTGCCTTGCTGGGGTGACCTCAGGGTCCGTCTAATCTGGTGACAGTGTTTTTGGGGACTCTCTCGAGATCCATTAAGCAAGTCAAAGCTCCTGACTTGTTTGATGGGGATCACGGAATAGCTCTGGATGCACTGCAGGGGAATGGGGCCTCCCTCATCTCACCTCTAGGGGGAAGTCTCATGGTTTTTCACGAGTTCGGCGTGGACCGGGGGTATGATCTCGAGTTACGGCAGGGATGGCCTTTCAAATCACGTGTTTATTCAGTGACGTCAGGACTCCTCTCTAGTAACGAGGGACACCTCAGGAATCTCTTCGAGGCTTGGCAGGGCAAAAGGGATGCTTCTTGAGCTGAGGCAGGGCACGAAAGACACATTTCAGTAGCCACAGGGATTTTGGGATTCCTATCAGTATTCCAGAGGAGTCAGGCATCGTCACCTTTTGAAGCAGTGAACTCCGCATGCCTCTCGAGTTGTCAACGGGATGTGAGGCATTCCGTCAAAATGAGGCAGGGAACTAGGGCTTTCTCTCAGGTCAACACAGGGGATTCAGACATCCCTTCATGTTGTGAGATGAAAGACGAGCCTGTATTCAAGCCACTGCAAGGAAATTCCGCCTCCTTTCAAGTTAGGGCTTCTCGCTGTATATTCCACTTGTGGCAGCAAACTCGGGGTCCCTCCCACATACCTATTGCTGAGAGAAGCCTCCTCTTGAGGTGCTTCTGGAAGGTTGGCATATGTCTTGAAAATAAGCCAGGGAATCAGCTTTCATCTCGATATGATTTGGGTACCCGGTGCATTCCTCGAGTTGCTGTGCTGAAGTTGGTGTTCCTCTAGACTTGCGACAGTGTTCTCGGGGCATCTCTGGAGTTGCCTGAAGGAAGTCAAGCCACTTGTCTTGTTGAATGGGGAATGGGGGATGGCTCTGGAGTCAATGCAGGGGAATCGGGCCTCATCTCGAGTTGATTTGGGGCACACGGCCCTGCTTTGTGTTGCTGTGATGACCTCAGTGTCCGTCTAGACTGGTTACAGTGTTCCTGGGGACTCTCTCGAGATCCATAAAGCAAGTCAAAGCTCCTGACTTGTTTGATGGGGATCACGGAATAGCTCTGCATGCACTGCAGGGGAATGGTGCCTCATCTCGCCTCTAGGGGGAAGTCTCATGGTTTTTCTCGAGTTGCCGCGGGGCCTGTGGTATGTTCTCGAGTTATGGCAGGGATGGCCCTTCAAATCACGTGTTTATTCAGTGACGTCAAAACCTCTGTCTAGTAAGGAGGGACACCTCAGGAATCTCTTCGCGGCTTGACAGGGCAAAAGGGACGCTTCTCGAGGTGAGGCAGGGCACCCAAGGACTCTTTCCAGTAGCCACAATGATTTTGGGATTCCTATCAGTATTCAAGAGGAGTCAGGCATCGTTACCTTTTGAAGCAGTGAACTCCGCGTGCCTCTCGAGATGTCAACGGGATGTGAGGCATTCCGTCAAAATGAGGCAGGGACCTAGGGCTTTCTCTCAAGTCTCCACAGGGCATTCAGACATCCCTTCATGTTGTGAGATGAAAGACGAGCCTATATTCAAGCCACTGCAAGGAAATTCTACCTCCTTTCAAGTTAGGGCTTCTCGCTATTTACTCCACTTGAGGCATCACACTCGGGGTCCCTCCCACATATATATTGCTGAGAGAAGCCTCCTCCTGAGGTGCTTCTGGAAGGGTGGCATACGTCTTGAGCCTAAGTCATGGAATCAGCTCTCATCTCGAGACGATTTGGGGTACACGGAGCATTGCTCGAGTTGCTCTGCAGAAGTTGGTGTTCCTCTAGACATGCAACAGTGTTCTCTTGGCATCTCTGGAGTTGCCTGAAGGAAGTCAACCCACTGGATGTGTTGAATTGGGAACGGGGGATGGCTCTGGAGTCATTGCAGGGGGATCGGGCCTCATCTCGAGTTGATTTGGGGCACACGGAGCTGCTTTGCGCTGCTGGGGTGACCTCAGGGTCCGTCTAGACTGGTGACAGTGTTCTTGGGGACTGTCTCGAGATCCGTTAAGCCAGTCGAAGCTCCTGACTTGTTTGATGGGGATCACGGAATAGCTCTGCATGCACTGCAGGGGAATGGGGCCTCATCTCGCCTCTAGGGGGAAGTCTCATGGTTTTTCTCGAGTTGCGGTGGGGACCTGGTGTATGTTCTCGAGTTACGGCGGGGATGGCCCTTCAAAACACGTCTTTATTCAGTGACGTCAGGACTCCTGTCTAGTAACGAGGGACACCTCAGGAATCTCTTCGAGACTTGGCAGGGTAAAAGGGACGCTTCTCGAGCTGAGGCAGGGCACCGAAGACCCATGTCAGTAGCCACAGGGATTTTGGGATTCCTATCAGTATTGAAGAGGAGTCAGGCATCGTCACCTTTTAAAGCAGTGAACTCCGTGTGCATCCCAAGGAATCAACGGTATGTGAGGCATTCCGTCAAAATGAGGCTGGGAACTAGGGCTTTCTCTCAGGTCTCGACAGGGGATTCAGACATCCCTTCATGTTGTGAGATGAAAGACGAGCCCGTATTCAAGCCACTGCAAGGTAGTCCGGCCTCCTTTCAAGTTAGGGCTTCTCGTTGTGCATTCCACCTGAGGCAACAAACTCTGGGTCCCTCTCACATACCTATTGCTGAGGGAAGCCTCTTCGTGAGGTGCTTCTGGAAGGTTGGCATACGTCTTGACCCTAAGCCAGGGAATCAGCTCTCATCTCCAGATAATTTGGGGTACACGGAGCAATCCTCTTGTTGCTGTGCTGAAGTTGGTGTTCCTCTAGACTTGGGACATTGTTCTCGAGGCATCTCTGGAGTTGGCTGAATGAAGTCAAGCCACTGGTCGTGTGGAATGGATAACGGGGGCTGGCTCTGGAGTCAATGCAGGGGAATCGGGCCTCATCTCGGGTTGAATTGGGGCACATGGAACTGCTTTGCGTTGCTGGCTTGACCTTAGAGTGGGTCTAGACTGGTGACAGTGTTCTTGGGGACTGTCTCGAGATCCGTTAAGCAAGTCGAAGCTCCTGACTTGTTTGATGGGGATCACAGAATAGCTCTGCATGCACTGCAGGGGAATGGGGCCTCATCTCACCTCTAGGGGGAAGTCTCATGGTTTTTCTCGAGTTGCGGCAGGGACCTGGGGTATGTTCTCGAGTTACGGCAGGGATGGCCCTTCAAATCACGTGTTTATTCAGTGACGTCAGAACTCCTGTCTAGTAACGAGGGACACCTCAGGAATCTCTTCGAGGCTTGGCAGGGCAAAAGGAACGCTAATCCAGGTGAGGCAGGGCACCGAAGGACACTTTCCAGTAGCCACAGGGATTTTGGGATTCCTATCAGTATTCAAGAGGAGTCAGGCATCGTCACCTTTTGAAGCAGTGAACTCCGCGTGCCTCTCGACGTGTCAACGGGATGTGAGGCATTCCGTCAAAATGAGGCAGGGACCTAGGGCTTTCTCTCAGGTCTCCACAGGGGATTCAGATCATCCCTTCCTGTCGTGAGATGAAAGACGAGCCTATATTCAAGCCACTGCAAGGAAATCCGGCCTCCTTTCAAGTTAGGGCTTCTCGCTATATATTCAAATTGAGGAAGCAAACTCGGGGTCCCTGCCACATACCTATTGCTGAGAGAAGCCTCCTCTTGAGGTGCTTCTGGAAGGTTGGCATATGTCTTGAAAATAAGCCAGGGAATCAGCTCTCATCTCGAGATGATTTGGGTACACGGAGCATTCCTCGAGTTGCTGTGCTGAAGTTGGTGTTCCTCTAGACTTGCGACAGTGTTCTCGGGGCATCTCTGGAGTTGCCTGAAGGAAGTCAAGCCACTGGTCTTGTTGAATGGGGAATGGGGGATGGCTCTGGAGTCCATGCAGGGGAATCGGGCCTCATCTCGAGTTGATTTGTGGCACACGGCGGTGCTTTGCGTTGCTGTGGTGACGTCAGGGCCGTCTAGACTGGTGACAGTGGTCTTGGGGACTGCCTCGAGATCCATTAAGCAAGTCGAAGCTCCTGACTTGTTTGATGGTGATCACGGAATAGTTCTGCATGCACTGCAGGGGAATGGGGCCTCATCTCGCCTCTAGGGGGAAGTCTCATGGTTTTTCTCGAGTTGCGGCGGGGACCTGGGATACGTTCTCGAGTTACGGCAGGGATGGCCCTTCAAATCACGTGTTTATTCAGTGACGTCAAAACCCCTGTCTAGTAACGAGGGACACCTCAGGAATCTCTTCGAGGCTTGACAGGGCAAAAGGGACGCTTCTCGAGGTGAGGCAGGGCACCCAAGGACTCTTTCCCGTAGCCACAGTGATTTTGGAATTCCTATCAGTATTCAAGAGGAGTCAGGCATCATCACCTTTTGAAGCAGTGAACTCCGCGTGCCTCTCGAGGTGTCAACGGGATGTGAGGCATTCCGTCAAAATGAGGCAGGGAACTAGGGGTTTTGCTAAGGTCTCCACAGGGGATTCAGACATCCCTTCATGTTGTGAGATGAAAGACGAGCCTGTATTCAAGCCACTGCAAGGAAATCCTGCCTCCTTTCAAGTTAGGGCTTCTCGCTATATATTCCACTTGAGGCAGCACACTCGGGGTCCCTCCCACATACCTATTGCTGAGAGAAGCCTCCTCCTGAGGTGCTTCTGGAAGGGTGGCATACGTCTTGAGCCTAAGTCAGGGAATCAGCTCTCATCTCGAGACGATTTGTGGTACACGGAGCATTCCTCGAGTTGCTGTGCTGAAGTTGGTGTTCCTCTAGACTTGCGACAGTGTTCTCGGGGCATCTCTGGAGTTGCCTGAAGGAAGTCAAGCCACTGGTCGTGTTGAATGGGGAACGGGGGATGGCTCTGGAGTCAATGCAGTGGAATCGGGCCTCATCTCGAGTTTATTTGCGGCACACGGCCCTGCTTTGCCTTGCTAGGGGGACCTCAGTGTCCGTCTAGTCTGGTGACAGTGTTTTTGGGGACTGTCTCGAGATCCATTAAGCAAGTCGAAGCTCCTGACTTGTTTGATGGGGATCACGGAATAGCTCTGGATGCACTTCAGGGGAATGGGGCCTCATCTCGCCTCTAGGGGGAAGTCTCATGCTTTTTCTCGAGTTCAGCGTGGACCGGTGGTATGTTCTCGAGTTACGGCGGGGATGGCCCTTCAAAACACGTGTTTATTCAGTGACGTCAGGACTCCTGTCTAGTAACGAGGGACACCTCAGGAATCTCTTCGAGGCTTGGCAGGGTAAAAGGGACGCTTCTCGAGCGAGGCAGGGCACCAAAGACCCATTTCAGTAGCCACAGGGATTTTGGGATTCCTATCAGTATTCAAGAGGAGTCAGGCATCGTCACCTTTTGAAGCAGTGAACTCCGCATGCCTCTCGAGGTGTCAACGGGATGTGAGGCATTCCGTCAAAATGAGGCAGGGAACTAGGGCTTTCTCTCAGGTCAACACAGGGGATTCAGACATCCCTTCATGTTGTGAGATGAAAGACGAGCCTGTATTCAAGCCACTGCCAGGAAATACTGCCTCCTTTCAAGTTAGGGCTTCTCGCTGTATATTCCATTTGTGGCAGCAAACTCGGGGTCCCTCCCACATACCTATTGCTGAGAGAAGCCTCCTCTTGAGGTGATTCTGGAAGCGTGGCATTCGTCTTGAGCCTAAGCCAGGGAATCAGCTCTCATCTCGAGACGATTTGGGGTACACGGAGCATTCCTCGAGTTGCTGTGCTGAAGCTGGTGTTCCTCTGGACTTGCGACAGTGTTCTCGGGGCATCTCTGGAGTTGCCTGAATGAAGTCAAGCCACTGGTCGTGTTGAATGGGGAACGGGGGATGGCTCTGGAGTCAATGCAGGGGAATCGGGCCTCATCTCACGTTGATTTCGGGCACACGGCGCTGCTTTGCGTTGCTGGGGTTACCTGAGGGTCCGTCTAGACTTGTGACAGTGTTCCTGGGGACTGTCTCGAGATCCATTAAGCAAGTCGAAGCTCCTGACATGTTTGATGGGGATCACGGAATAGCTCTGCATGCACTGCAGGGGAATGGGGCCTCATCTCGCCTCTAGGGGGAAGTCTCATGCTTTTTCTCGAGTTCAGCGTGGACCGGTTGTATGTTCTCGAGTTACGGCGGGGATGGCCCTTCAAAACACGTGTTTATTCAGTGAGGTCAGGACTCCTGTCTAGTAACGAGGGACACCTCAGGAATCTCTTCGAGGCTTGGCAGGGCAAAAGAGACGCTTCTCGAGGTGAGGCAGGGCACCCTGGTACTCTTTCCAGTAGCCACAGTGATTTTGGGATTCCTATCAGTATTCAAGAGGAGTCAGGCATCGTCACCTCTTGAAGCAGTGAACTCCGCGTGCCTCTCGAGTTGTCAACGGGATGTGAGGCATTGCGTCAAAATGAGGCAGGGAACTACGGCTTTCGCTAAGGTCTCCACAGGGAATTCAGACATCCCTTCATGTTGTGAGATGAAAGACGAGCCTCTATTCAAGCCACTGCAAGGAAATCCCGCCTCCTTTCAAGTTAGGCCTTCTCGCTATATATTCCACTTGAGGCAGCACACTCGGGGTCCCTCCCACATACCTATTGCTGAGAGAAGCCTCCTACTGAGCTGCTTCTGGAAGGGTGGCATACGTCTTGAGCTTAATTCAGGGAATCAGCTCTCATCTCGAGACGATTTGGGGTACACGGAGCATTCCTCGAGTTGCTGTGCTGAAGTTGGTGTTCCTCTAGACTTGCGACAGTGTTCTCGTGGCATCTCTGGAGTTGCCGGAAGGAAGTCAAGCCACTGGTCGTGTTGAATGGGGAACGGGGGATGGCTCTGGAGTCAATACAGTGGGATCGGGCCTCATCTCGACTTTATTTGGGGCACACGGCCCTGCTTTGCCTTGCTGGGGTGACCTCAGGGTCCGTCTAGTCTGGTGACAGTGTTCTTGGGGACTGTCTCGAGATCCATTAAGCAAGTCGAAGCTCCTGACTTGTTTGATGGGGATTACGGAATATCTCTGCATGCACTGCAGGGGAAAGTGGCCTCATCTCACCTCTAGGGGAAATCTCATGGTTTTTCTCGAGTTGCGGCCGGGACCTGGGGTATGTTCTCGAGTTACGGCGGGGATGGCCCTTCAAAACACGTGTTTATTCAGTGACGTCAGGACTCCTGTCTAGTAACGAGGGACACCTCAGGAATCTCTTCGAGGCTTGGCAGGGCAAAAGGGAAGCTTCTCGAGCTGAGGCAGGGCACCAAAGACCCGTTTCATTAGTCACAGGGATTTTGGGATTCCTATCAGTATTCAAGAGGAGTCAGGCATCGTCACATTTTGAAGCAGTGAACTCCGCGTGCCTCTCGAGGTTTCAACGGGATGTGAGGCATTCCGTCAAAATGAGGCAGGGACCTAGGGCTTTCTCTCAGGTCAACAAAGGGGATTCAGACATCCCTTCATGTTGTGAGATGAAAGACGAGCCTGTATTCAAGCCACTGCAAGGAAATCCTGCCTCCTTTCAAGTTAGGGCTTCTCGCTATATATTCCACTTGAGGCAGCACATTCGGGGTCCCTCCCACATACCTATTGCTGAGAGAAGCCTCCTCCTGAGGTGCTTCTGGAAGGGTGGCATACGTCTTGAGACTAAGTCAGGGAATCAGCTCTCATCTCGAGACGATTTGGGGTACACGGAGCATTCCTCGAGTTGCTGTGCTGAAGCTGGTGTTCCTCTAGACTTGGGACATTGTTCTCGGGGCATCTCTGGAGTTGGCTGAAGGAAGTCAAGCCACTGGTCTTGTGGAATGGATAACGGGGGCTGGCTCTGGAGTCAATGCAGGGGAATCGGGCCTCATCTCGAGTTGATTTGGGGCACCTGGAGCTGCTTTGCGTTGCTGGCTTGACCTCAGAGTGGGTCTAGACTGGTGACAGTGTTCTTGGGGACTGTCTCGAGATCCGTTAAGCAAGTCGAAGCTCCTGACTTGTTTGATGGGGATCACGGAATAGCTCTGAATGCACTGCAGGGGAATGGGGCCTCATCTCGCCTCTAGGGGGAAGTCTCATGGTTTTTCTCGAGTTGCGGCAGGGACCTGGGGTATGTTCTCGAGATACGGCGGGGATATCCCTTCATAACACGTGTTTATTCAGTGACGTCAGGACTCCTGTCTAGTAACGACGGACACCTCAGGAATCTCCTCGCGGCTTGGCAGGGCAAAAGGGACGCTTCTCGAGATGATGCATGGCACCAAAGGACCCTTTCCAGTAGCCACAGGGATTTTGGGATTCCTATCAATATTCAAGAGGAGTCAGGCATCGTCACCTTTTGAAGCAGGGAACTCCGCGTGCCTCTCGAGGTGTCAACCGGATGTGAGGCATTCCGTCAAAATGAGGCAGGGACCTAGGGCTTTCGCTAAGATCTCCACAGGGGCTTCAGATATCCCTTCATGTTGTGAGATGAAAGACGAGCCTGTATTCAAGCCACTGCAAGGAAATCCGGCCTCCTTTCAAGTTAGGGCTTCTCGCTGTATATTCCACTTGAGGCAGCAAACTCGGGGTCCCTCCCACATACCTATTGCTGAGAGAAGCCTCCTCGTGAGGTGCTTCTGGACGGTTGGCATACGTCTTGAGCCTAAGGCACGGAATCAGCTCTCATCTCGAGATAATTTGCGGTACACGGAGAAATCCTCGTGTTGCAGTGCTGAAGTTGGTGTTCCTCTAGACTTGGGACAGTGTTCTCGGGGCATCTCTGGAGTTGGCTGAAGGAAGTTGAGCCACCGGTCGTGTTGAATGGGTAACGGGGGCTGGCTCTGCAGTCAATGCAGGGGAATCAGGCGTCATCTCGAGTTGATTTGGGGCACATGGAGCTGCTTTGCGTTGCTGGCGTGACCTCAGAGTCCGTCTAGACTGGTGTCATTTTTCTTGGGGACTGTCTCGAGATCCATTAAGCAAGTCGAAGCTCCTGACTTGTTTGATGGGGATCACGGAATATCTCTGCATGCACTGCAGGGGAATGCGGCCTCATCTCGCCTCTAGGGGGAAGTCTCATGGTTTTTCTCGAGTTGCAGTGGGGACCTGGGGTATGTTCTCGAGTTACGGCGGGGATGGCCCTTCAAAACACGTGTTTCTTCAGTGACGTCAGGACTCCTGTCTAGTAACGAGGGACACCTCAGGAATCTCTTCGAGGCTTGGCAGGGCAAAAGGGACGCTTCTCGAGCTGAGGAAGGGCACCAAAGACCCATTTCAGTAGCCACAGGGATTTTGGGATTTCTATCTGATTCAAGAGGAGTCAGGCATCGTCACCTTTTGAAGCAGTGAACTCCTTGTGCCTCTCGAGGTGTCAACGGGATGTGAGGCATTCCGTCAAAATGAGGCAGGACCTAGGGCTTAGTCTCAGGTCTCCACAGGGGATTCAGACCATCCCTTCATGTTGTGAGATGAAAGACGAGCCTATATTCAAGCCACTGCAACGAAATCCGGCCTCCTTTCAAGTTAGGGCTTCTCGCTATATATTCCACTTGAGGCAGCACATTCGGGGTCCCTCCCACAGGTACCTATTGCTGAGAGAAGCCTCCTACTGAGGTGCTTCTGGAAGGGTGGCATACGTCTTGAGCCTAAGCCAGGGAATCAGCTCTCATCTCGAGACGATTTGGGGTACACGGAGCATTCCACCAGTTGCTGTGCTGAAGTTGGTGTTCCTCTAGACTTGCGACAGTTTTCTCGAGGCATCTCTGGAGTTGCCTGAAGGAAGTCAAGCCACTGGTCTTGTTGAATGGGGAACAGGGGATGGCTCTGGTGTCAATGCAGGGGAATCGGGCCTCATCTCGAGTTGATTTGGGGGACACGGCACTGCTTTGCGTTGCTGTGCTGACCTCAGGGTCCCTCTAGACTGGTGACAGTGTTCTTGGGGACTCTCTCGAGATCCATTAAGCAAGTCGAAGCTCCTGACTTGTTTGATGGGGATCACGGAATAGCTCTGCATGCACTGCAGGGGAATGGGGCCTCATCTCGCCTCTAGGGGGAAGTCTCATGGTTTTTCTCGAGTTGCGGCGGGGACCTGGGGTATGTTCTCGACTTACGGCTGGGATAACCCTTCAAATCACGTGTTTATTCAGTGACGTCAGAACTCCTGTCTAGTAACGAGGGACACCTCAGGAATCTCTTCGAGGCTTGACAGGGCAAAAGGGACGCTTATCGAGGTGAGGCAGGGCACCCAAGGACCCTTTCCAGTAGGCACAGTGATTTTGGGATTCCTATCAGTATTCAAGAAGAGTCAGGCATCGTCACCTTTTGAAGCAGGGAACTCCGCGTGCCTCTCGAGTTGTCAACGGGATATGGGGCATTCCGTCAAATTGAAGAAGAAACCTAGGGCTTTCTCTAAGGTCTCCACAGGGGATTCAGATATCCCTTCATGTTGTGAGATGAAAGACGAGCCTGTATTCAAGCCACTGCAAGGAAATCCTGACTCCTTTCAAGTTAGGGCTTCTCGCTATATATTCCACTTGAGGCAGCACATTCGGGGTCCCTCCCACATACCTATTGCTGAGAGAAGCCTCCTCCTGAGGTGCTTCTGGAAGGGTGGCATACGTCTTGAGACTAAGTCAGGGAATCAGCTCTCATCTACAGACGATTTGGGGTACACGGAGCATTCCTCGAGTTGCTGTGCTGAAGTTGGTGTTCCTCTAGACTTGCGACAGTGTTCTCTTGGCATCTCTGGAGTTGCCTGAAGGAAGTCAAGCCACTGGTCATGTTGAACGGGGAACGGGGGATGGCTCTGGAGTCAATGCAGGGGAATCGGGCCTCATCTCGAGTTGATTTGGGGCACACGGACCTGCTTTGCCTTGCTGGGGTGACCTCAGGGTCCGTCTAGTCTGGTGACAGTGTTCTTGGGGACTGTCTCGAGATCCGTTAAGCAAGTCGAAGCTCCTGACTTGTTTGATGGGGATCACGGAATAGCTCTGCATGCACTGCAGGGGAATGGGGCCTCATCTCGCCTCTAGGGGGAAGTCTCATAGTTTTTCTCGAGTTGCGGTGGGGACCTGGGGTATGTTCTCGAGTTACGGCGGGGATGGCCCTTCAAAACACGTCTTTATTCAGTGACGTCAGGACTCCTGTCTAGTAACGAGGGACACCTCAGGAATCTCTTCGAGGTTTGGCAGGGTAAAAGGGACGCTTCTCGAGCTGAGGCAGGGCACCAAAGACCCATTTCAGTAGCCACAGGGATTTTGGGATTCCTATCAGTATTGAAGAGGAGTCAGGCATCGTCACCTTATAAAGCAGTCAACTCCGTGTGCCTCCCGAGGTGTCAACGGGATGTGAGGCATTCCGTCAAAATGAGGCAGGGAACTAGGGCTTTCTCTCAGGTCTCCACAGGGGATTCAGACATCCCTTCATGTTGTGAGATGAAAGACGAGCCTGTATTCAAGCCACTGCAAGGAAATCCGGCCTCCTTTCAAGTTAGGGCTTCTCGCTGTATATTCCACTTGAGGCACCAAACTCGGGGTCCCTCCCACATACCTATTGCTGAGAGAAGCCTCTTCGTGAGGTGCTTTTGGATGGATGCCATACGTCTTGAGCCCGAGCCAGAGAATCAGCTCTCATCTCGAGACGATTTGGGGTACACGGAGCATTCCTCGAGTTGCTGTGCTGAAGTGGGTGTTCCTCTAGACTTGGGACAGTGTTCTCGGGGCATCTCTGGAGTTGGCTGAAGGAAGTCAAGCCACTGGTCGTGTTGAATGGATAACGGGTGATGGCTCTGGAGTCAATGCAGGGGAATCGGGCCTCATCTCGAGTTAATTTGGGGCACATGGAGCTGCTTTGCGTTGCTGGCTTGACTTCAGAGTGGGTCTAGACTGGTGACAGTGTTCTTGGGGACTGTCTCGAGATCCGTTAAGCAAGTCGAAGCTCCTGACTTGTTTGATGGGGATCACGGAATAGCTCTGCATGCACTGCAGGGGAATGGGGCCTCATCTCACCTCTTGGGGGAAGTCTCATGGTTTTTCTCGAGTTGCAGCAGGGACCTGGGGTATGTTTTCCAGTTACGGCAGGGATGGCCCTTCAAATCACGTGTTTATTCAGTGACGTCAGAACTCCTGTCTAGTAACGAGGGACACCTCAGGAATCTCTTCGAGGCTTGGCAGGGCAAAAGGGACGCTAATCCAGGTGAGGCAGGGCACCAAAGGACACTTTCCAGTAGCCACAGGGATTTTGGGATTCCTATCAGTATTCAAGAGGAGTCAGGCATCGTCACCTTTTGAAGCAGTGACTCCGCATGCCTCTCGAGGTGTCCACGGGATGTGAGGCATTCCGTCAAAATGAGGCAGGGACCTAGGGCTTTCTCTCAGGTCTCCACAGGGGATTCAGATCATCCCTTCATGTCGTGAGATGAAAGACGAGCCTATATTCAAGCCACTGCAAGGAAATCCGGCCTCCTTTCAAGTTAGGGCTTCTCGCTGTATATTCCACTTGAGGCAGCAAACTCGGGGTCCCTCCCACATACCTATTGCTGAGAGAAGCCTCCTCTTGAGGTGCTTCTGGAAGGTTGGCATATGTCTTGAAAATAAGCCAGGGAATCAGCTCTCATCTCGAGATGATTTGGGTACACGGAGCATTCCTCGAGTTGCTGTGCTGAAGTTGGTGTTCTTCTAGACTTGCGACAGTGTTCTCGGGGCATCTCTGGAGTTGCCTGAAGGAAGTCAAGCCACTGGTCTTGTTGAATGGGGAATGGGGGATGGCTCTGGAGTCCATGCAGGGGAATCGGGCCTCATCTCGAGTTGATTTGTGGCACACGGCACTGCTTTGCGTTGCTGTGGTGACGTCAGGGTCCGTCTAGACTGGTGACAGTGGTCTTGGGGACTGTCTCGAGATCCATTAAGCAAGTCGAAGCTCCTGATTTGTTTGATGGGCATCACGGAATAGTTCTGCATGCACTGCAGGAGAATGGGGCCTCATCTCGCCTCTAGGGGGAAGTCTCATGGTTTTTCTCCAGTTCGGCGGGGACCTGGGGTATGTTCTCGAGTTACGGCGGGGATGGCCCTTCAAAACACGTGTTTATTCAGTGACGTCAGGACTCCTGTCTAGTAACGTGGGACACCTCAGGAATCTCTTCGAGGCTTGGCAGGGCAAAAGGGACGCCTCTCGAGCTGAGGCAGGGCACCAAAGACACATTTCAGTAGCCACAGGGATTTTGGGATTCCTATCCGTATTCAAGAGGAGTCAGGCATCGTCACCTTTTGAAGCAGTGAACTCCGCATGCCTCTCGAGGTGTCCACGGGATGTGAGGCATTCCGTCAAAATGAGGCAGGGACCTAGGGCTTTCTCTCAGGTCAACACAGGGGATTCAGACATCCCTTCATGTTGTGAGATGAAAGACGAGCCTGTATTCAAGCCACTGCAAGGAAATCCGGCCTCCTTTCAAGTTAGGGCTTCTCGCTGTATATTCCTCTTGTGGCAGCAAACTCGGGGTCCCTCCCACATACCTACTGCTGAGAGAAGCCTCCTCTGGAGGTGCTTCTGGAAGGGTGGCATACGTCTTGAGCCTAAGCCAGGGAATCAGCTCTCATCTCGAGACAATTTGGGGTACACGGAGCATTCCTTGAGTTGCTGTGCTGAAGCTGGTGTTCCTCTAGACTTGGGACATTGTTCTCGGGGCATCTCTGGAGTTGGCTGAAGGAAGTCAAGCCACTGGTCTTGTGGAATGGATAACGGGGGCTGGCTCTGGAGTCAATGCAGGGGAATCGGGCCTCATCTCGAGTTGATTTGGGGCACCTGGAGCTGCTTTGCGTTGCTGGCTTGACCTCAGAGTGGGTCTAGACTGGTGACAGTGTTCTTGGGGACTGTCTCGAGATCCGTTAAGCAAGTCGAAGCTCCTGACTTGTTTGATGGGGATCACGGAATAGCTCTGAATGCACTGCAGGGGAATGGGGCCTCATCTCGCCTCTAGGGGGAAGTCTCATGGTTTTTCTCGAGTTGCGGCAGGGACCTGGGGTATGTTCTCGAGATACGGCGGGGTTATCCCTTCAAAACACGTGTTTATTCAGTGACGTCAGGACTCCTGCCTAGTAACGACGGACACCTCAGGAATCTCTTCGAGGCTTGGCAGGGCAAAAGGGACGCTTCTCGAGATGATGCATGGCACCAAAGGACCCTTTCCAGTAGCCACAGGGATTTTGGGATTCCTATCAATATTCAAGAGGAGTCAGGCATCGTCACCTTTTGAAGCAGGGAACTCGGCGTGCCTCTCGAGGTGTCAACCGGATGTGAGGCATTCCGTCAAAATGAGGCAGGGAACTAGGGCTTTCGCTAAGATCTCCACAGGGGCTTCAGATATCCCTTCATGTTGTGAGATGAAAGACGAGCCTGTATTCAAGCCACTGCAAGGAAATCCGGCCTCCTTTCAAGTTAGGGCTTCTCGCTGTATATTCCACTTGAGGCAGCAAACTCGGGGTCCCTCCCACATACCTATTGCTGAGAGAAGCCTCCTCGTGAGGTGCTTCTGGACGGTTGGCATACGTCTTGAGCCTAAGGCAGGGAATCAGCTCTCATCTCGAGATAATTTCCAGTACACGGAGAAATCCTCGTGTTGCAGTGCTGAAGTTGGTGTTCCTCGAGATTTGGGACAGTGTTCTCGGGGCATCTCTGGAGTTGGCTGAAGGAAGTCGAGCCACCGGTCGTGTTGAATGGGGAACGGGGGCTGGCTCTGCAGTCAATGCAGGGGAATCAGGCGTCATCTCGAGTTGATTTGGGGCACATGGAGCTGCTTTGCGTTGCTGGCGTGACCTCAGAGTCCGTCTAGACTGGTGTCATTTTTCTTGGGGACTGTCTCGAGATCCGTTAAGCAAGTCAAAGCACCTGACTTGTTTGATGGGGATCACGGAATATCTCTGCATGCACTGCAGGGGAATGCGGCCTCATCTCGCCTCTAGGCGAAGGCTCATGGTTTTTCTCGAGTTGCGGCGGGGACCTGGGGTATGTTCTCGAGTTACGGCGGGGATGGCCCTTCAAAACACGTGTTTCTTCAGTGACGTCAGGACTCCTGTCTAGTAACGAGGGACACCTCAGGAATCTCTTCGAGGCTTGGCAGGGGAAAAGGGAGGCTTCTCGATCTGAGGAAGGGCACCAAAGACCCATTTCAGTAGCCACAGGGATTTTGGGATTTCTATCTGATTCAAGAGGAGTCAGGCATCGTCACCTTTTGAAGCAGTGAACTCCTTGTGCCTCTCCAGGTGTCAACGGGATGTGAGGCATTCCGTCAAAATGAGGCAGGACCTAGGGCTTACTGTCAGGTCTCCACAGGGGATTCAGACATCCCTTCATGTTGTGAGATGAAAGACGAGCCTATATTCAAGCCACTGCAACGAAATCCGGCCTCCTTTCAAGTTAGGGCTTCTCGCTATATATTCCACTTGAGGCAGCACATTCGGGGTCCCTCCCACAGGTACCTATTGCTGAGAGAAGCCTCCTACTGAGGTGCTTCTGGAAGGGTGGCATACGTCTTGAGCCTAAGCCAGGGAATCAGCTCTCATCTCGAGACGATTTGGGGTACACGTAGCATTCCTCCAGTTGCTGTGCTGAAGTTGGTGTTCCTCTAGACTTGCGACAGTTTTCTCGAGGCATCTCTGGAGTTGCCTGAAGGAAGTCAAGCCACTGGTCTTGTTGAATGGGGAACAGGGGATGGCTCTGGTGTCAATGCAGGGGAATCGGGCCTCATCTCGAGTTGATTTGGGGGCCACGGCACTGCTTTGCGTTGCTGTGCTGACCTCAGGGTCCCTCTAGACTGGTGACAGTGTTCTTGGGGACTCTCTCGAGATCCATTAAGCAAGTCGAAGCTCCTGACTTGTTTGATGGGGATCACGGAATAGCTCTGGATGCACTGCAGGGGAATGGGGCCTCATCTCGCCTCTAGGGGGAAGTCTCATGGTTTTTCTCGAGTTGCGGCGGGGACCTGGGGTATGTTCTCGAGTTACGGCTGGGATAACCCTTCAAAACACGTGTTTATTCAGTGACGTCAGAACTCCTGTCTAGTAACGAGGGACACCTCAGGAATCTCTTCGAGGCTTGGCAGGGCAAAAGGGACGCTAATCCAGGTGAGGCAGGGCACCAAAGGACACTTTCCAGTAGCCACAGGGATTTTGGGATTCCTATCAGTATTCAAGAGGAGTCAGGCATCGTCACCTTTTGAAGCAGTGACTCCGCATGCCTCTCGAGGTGTCCACGGGATGTGAGGCATTCCGTCAAAATGAGGCAGGGACCTAGGGCTTTCTCTCAGGTCTCCACAGGCGATTCAGATCATCCCTTCATGTCGTGAGATGAAAGACGAGCCTATATTCAAGCCACTGCAAGGAAATCCGGCCTCCTTTCAAGTTAGGGCTTCTCGCTGTATATTCCACTTGAGGCAGCAAACTCGGGGTCCCTCCCACATACCTATTGCTGAGAGAAGCCTCCTCTTGAGGTGCTTCTGGAAGGTTGGCATATGTCTTGAAAATAAGCCAGGGAATCAGCTCTCATCTCGAGATGATTTGGGTACACGGAGCATTCCTCGAGTTGCTGTGCTGAAGTTGGTGTTCCTCTAGACTTGCGACAGTGTTCTCGGGGCATCTCTGGAGTTGCCTGAAATAAGTCAAGCCACTGGTCTTGTTGAATGGGGAATGGGGGATGGCTCTGGAGTCCATGCAGGGGAATCGGGCCTCATCTCGAGTTGATTTGTGGCACACGGCGGTGCTTTGCGTTGCTGTGGTGACGTCAGGGTCCGTCTAGACTGGTGACAGTGGTCTTGGGGACTGTCTCGAGATCCATTAAGCAAGTCGAAGCTCCTGATTTGTTTGATGGGCATCACGGAATAGTTCTGCATGCACTGCAGGAGAATGGGGCCTCATCTCGCCTCTAGGGGAAAGTCTCATGGTTTTTCTCCAGTTCGGCGGGGACCTGGGGTATGTTCTCGAGTTACGGCGGGGATGGCCCTTCAAAACACGTGTTTATTCAGTGACGTCAGGACTCCTGTCTAGTAACGTGGGACACCTCAGGAATCTCTTCGAGGCTTGGCAGGGCAAAAGGGACGCCTCTCGAGCTGAGGCAGGGCACCAAAGACACATTTCAGTAGCCACAGGGATTTTGGGATTCCTATCCGTATTCAAGAGGAGTCAGGCATCGTCACCTTTTGAAGCAGTGAACTCCGCATGCCTCTCGAGGTGTCCACGGGATGTGAGGCATTCCGTCAAAATGAGGCAGGGACCTAGGGCTTTCTCTCAGGTCAACACAGGGGATTCAGACATCCCTTCATGTTGTGAGATGAAAGACGAGCCTGTATTCAAGCCACTGCAAGGAAATCCGGCCTCCTTTCAAGTTAGGGCTTCTCGCTGTATATTCCTCTTGTGGCAGCAAACTCGGGGTCCCTCCCACATACCTACTGCTGAGAGAAGCCTCCTCTGGAGGTGCTTCTGGAAGGGTGGCATACGTCTTGAGCCTAAGCCAGGGAATCAGCTCTCATCTCGAGACGATTTGGGGTACACGGAGCATTCCTCGAGTTGCTGTGCTGAAGCTGGTGTTCCTCTAGACTTGGGACATTGTTCTCGGGGCATCTCTGGAGTTGGCTGAAGGAAGTCAAGCCACTGGTCTTGTGGAATGGATAACGGGGGCTGGCTCTGGAGTCAATGCAGGGGAATCGGGCCTCATCTCGAGTTGATTTGGGGCACCTGGAGCTGCTTTGCGTTGCTGGCTTGACCTCAGAGTGGGTCTAGACTGGTGACAGTGTTCTTGGGGACTGTCTCGAGATCCGTTAAGCAAGTCGAAGCTCCTGACTTGTTTGATGGGGATCACGGAATAGCTCTGAATGCACTGCAGGGGAATGGGGCCTCATCTCGCCTCTAGGGGGAAGTCTCATGGTTTTTCTCGAGTTGCGGCAGGGACCTGGGGTATGTTCTCGAGATACGGCGGGGATATCCCTTCAAAACACGTGTTTATTCAGTGACGTCAGGACTCCTGCCTAGTAACGACGGACACCTCAGGAATCTCTTCGAGGCTTGGCAGGGCAAAAGGGACGCTTCTCGAGATGATGCATGGCACCAAAGGACCCTTTCCAGTAGCCACAGGGATTTTGGGATTCCTATCAATATTCAAGAGGAGTCAGGCATCGTCACCTTTTGAAGCAGGGAACTCGGCGTGCCTCTCGAGGTGTCAACCGGATGTGAGGCATTCCGTCAAAATGAGGCAGGGACCTAGGGCTTTCGCTAAGATCTCCACAGGGGCTTCAGATATCCCTTCATGTTGTGAGATGAAAGACGAGCCTGTATTCAAGCCACTGCAAGGAAATCCGGCCTCCTTTCAAGTTAGGGCTTCTCGCTGTATATTCCACTTGAGGCAGCAAACTCGGGGTCCCTCCCACATACCTATTGCTGAGAGAAGCCTCCTCGTGAGGTGCTTCTGGACGGTTGGCATACGTCTTGAGCCTAAGGCAGGGAATCAGCTCTCATCTCGAGATAATTTGGGGTACACGGAGCAATCCTCGTGTTGCAGTGCTGAAGTTGGTGTTCCTCTAGACTTGGGACAGTGTTCTCGGGGCATCTCTGGAGTTGGCTGAAGGAAGTTGAGCCACTGGTCGTGTTGAATGGGTAACGGGGGCTGGCTCTGCAGTCAATGCAGGGGAATCAGGCGTCATCTCGAGTTGATTTGGGGCACATGGAGCTGCTTTGCGTTGCTGGCGTGACCTCAGAGTCCGTCTAGACTGGTGTCATTTTTCTTGGGGACTGTCTCGAGATCCATTAAGCAAGTCGAAGCTCCTGACTTGTTTGATGGGGATCACGGAATATCTCTGCATGCACTGCAGGGGAATGCGGCCTCATCTCGCCTCTAGGGGGAAGTCTCATGGTTTTTCTCGAGTTGCGGTGGGGACCTGGGGTATGTTCTCGAGTTACGGCGGGGATGGCCCTTCAAAACACGTGTTTCTTCAGTGACGTCAGGACTCCTGTCTAGTAACGAGGGACACCTCAGGAATCTCTTCGAGGCTTGGCAGGGCAAAAGGGACGCTTCTCGAGCTGAGGAAGGGCACCAAAGACCCATTTCAGTAGCCACAGGGATTTTGGGATTTCTATCTGATTCAAGAGGAGTCAGGCATCGTCACCTTTTGAAGCAGTGAACTCCTTGTGCCTCTCGAGGTGTCAACGGGATGTGAGGCATTCCGTCAAAATGAGGCAGGACCTAGGGCTTAGTCTCAGGTCTCCACAGGGGATTCAGACCATCCATTCATGTTGTGAGATGAAAGACGAGCCTATATTCAAGCCACTGCAACGAAATCCGGCCTCCTTTCAAGTTAGGGCTTCTCGCTATATATTCCACTTGAGGCAGCACATTCGGGGTCCCTCCCACAGGTACCTATTGCTGAGAGAAGCCTCCTACTGAGGTGCTTCTGGAAGGGTGGCATACGTCTTGAGCCTAAGCCAGGGAATCAGCTCTCATCTCGAGACGATTTGGGGTACACGGAGCATTCCACCAGTTGCTGTGCTGAAGTTGGTGTTCCTCTAGACTTGCGACAGTTTTCTCGAGGCATCTCTGGAGTTGCCTGAAGGAAGTCAAGCCACTGGTCTTGTTGAATGGGGAACAGGGGATGGCTCTGGTGTCAATGCAGGGGAATCGGGCCTCATCTCGAGTTGATTTGGGGGACACGGCACTGCTTTGCGTTGCTGTGCTGACCTCAGGGTCCATCTAGACTGGTGACAGTGTTCTTGGGGACTCTCTCGAGATCCATTAAGCAAGTCGAAGCTCCTGACTTGTTTGATGGGGATCACGGAATAGCTCTGCATGCACTGCAGGGGAATGGGGCCTCATCTCGCCTCTAGGGGGAAGTCTCATGGTTTTTCTCGAGTTGCGGCGGGGACCTGGGGTATGTTCTCGACTTAGGGCTGGGATAACCCTTCAAATCACGTGTTTATTCAGTGACGTCAGAACTCCTGTCTAGTAACGAGGGACACCTCAGGAATCTCTTCGAGGCTTGACAGGGCAAAAGGGACGCTTATCGAGGTGAGGCAGGGCACCCAAGGACCCTTTCCAGTAGGCACAGTGATTTTGGGATTCCTATCAGTATTCAAGAAGAGTCAGGCATCGTCACCTTTTGAAGCAGGGAACTCCGCGTGCCTCTCGAGTTGTCAACGGGATATGGGGCATTCCGTCAAAATGAAGAAGAAACCTAGGGCTTTCTCTAAGGTCTCCACAGGGGATTCAGATATCCCTTCATGTTGTGAGATGAAAGACGAGCCTGTATTCAAGCCACTGCAAGGAAATCCTGCCTCCTTTCAAGTTAGGGCTTCTCGCTATATATTCCACTTGAGGCAGCACATTCGGGGTCCCTCCCACATACCTATTGCTGAGAGAAGCCTCCTCCTGAGGTGCTTCTGGAAGGGTGGCATACGTCTTGAGCCTAAGCCAGGGAATCAGCTCTCATCTCGAGACGATTTGGGGTACACGGAGCATTCCTCGAGTTGCTGTGCTGAAGCTGGTGTTCCTCTGGACTTGCGACAGTGTTCTCTTGGCATCTCTGGAGTTGCCTGAAGGAAGTCAAGCCACTGGTCATGTTGAACGGGGAACGGGGGATGGCTCTGGAGTCAATGCAGGGGAATCGGGCCTCATCTCGAGTTGATTTGGGGCACACGGACCTGCTTTGCCTTGCTGGGGTGACCTCAGGGTCCGTCTAGTCTGGTGACAGTGTTCTTGGGGACTGTCTCGAGATCCGTTAAGCAAGTCGAAGCTCCTGACTTGTTTGATGGGGATCACGGAATAGCTCTGCATGCACTGCAGGGGAATGGGGCCTCATCTCGCCTCTAGGGGGAAGTCTCATAGTTTTTCTCGAGTTGGGGTGGGGACCTGGGGTATGTTCTCGAGTTACGGCGGGGATGGCCCTTCAAAACACGTCTTTATTCAGTGACGTCAGGACTCCTGTCTAGTAACGAGGGACACCTCAGGAATCTCTTCGAGGCTTGGCAGGGTAAAAGGGACGCTTCTCGAGCTGAGGCAGGGCACCAAAGACCCATTTCAGTAGCCACAGGGATTTTGGGATTCCTATCAGTATTGAAGAGGAGTCAGGCATCGTCACCTTATAAAGCAGTCAACTCCGTGTGCCTCCCGAGGTGTCAACGGGATGTGAGGCATTCCGTCAAAATGAGGCAGGGAACTAGGGCTTTCTCTCAGGTCTCCACAGGGGATTCAGACATCCCTTCATGTTGTGAGATGAAAGACGAGCCTGTATTCAAGCCACTGCAAGGAAATCCGGCCTCCTTTCAAGTTAGGGCTTCTCGCTGTATATTCCACTTGAGGCACCAAACTCGGGGTCCCTCCCACATACCTATTGCTGAGAGAAGCCTCTTCGTGAGGTGCTTTTGGATGGATGCCATACGTCTTGAGCCTGAGCCAGAGAATCAGCTCTCATCTCGAGACGATTTGGGGTACACGGAGCATTCCTCGAGTTGCTGTGCTGAAGTGGGTGTTCCTCTAGACTTGGGACAGTGTTCTCGGGGCATCTTTGGAGTTGGCTGAAGGAAGTCAAGCCACTGGTCGTGTTGAATGGATAACGGGGGATGGCTCTGGAGTCAATGCAGGGGAATCGGGCCTCATCTCGAGTTAATTTGGGGCACATGGAGCTGCTTTGCGTTGCTGGCTTGACTTCAGAGTGAGTCTAGACTGGTGACAGTGTTCTTGGGGACTGTCTCGAGATCCGTTAAGCAAGTCGAAGCTCCTGACTTGTTTGATGGGGATCACGGAATAGCTCTGCATGCACTGCAGGGGAATGGGGCCTCATCTCACCTCTTGGGGGAAGTCTCATGGTTTTTCTCGAGTTGCGGCAGGGACCTGGGGTATGTTTTCCAGTTACGGCAGGGATGGCCCTTCAAATCACGTGTTTATTCAGTGACGTCAGAACTCCTGTCTAGTAACGAGGGACACCTCAGGAATCTCTTCGAGGCTTGGCAGGGCAAAAGGGACGCTAATCCAGGTGAGGCAGGGCACCAAAGGACACTTTCCAGTAGCCACAGGGATTTTGGGATTCCTATCAGTATTCAAGAGGAGTCAGGCATCGTCACCTTTTGAAGCAGTGACTCCGCATGCCTCTCGAGGTGTCCACGGGATGTGAGGCATTCCGTCAAAATGAGGCAGGGACCTAGGGCTTTCTCTCAGGTCTCCACAGGGGATTCAGATCATCCCTTCATGTCGTGAGATGAAAGACGAGCCTATATTCAAGCCACTGCAAGGAAATCCGGCCTCCTTTCAAGTTAGGGCTTCTCGCTGTATATTCCACTTGAGGCAGCAAACTCGGGGTCCCTCCCACATACCTATTGCTGAGAGAAGCCTCCTCTTGAGGTGCTTCTGGAAGGTTGGCATATGTCTTGAAAATAAGCCAGGGAATCAGCTCTCATCTCGAGATGATTTGGGTACACGGAGCATTCCTCGAGTTGCTGTGCTGAAGTTGGTGTTCCTCTAGACTTGCGACAGTGTTCTCGGGGCATCTCTGGAGTTGCCTGAAGGAAGTCAAGCCACTGGTCTTGTTGAATGGGGAATGGGGGATGGCTCTGGAGTCCATGCAGGGGAATCGGGCCTCATCTCGAGTTGATTTGTGGCACACGGCGGTGCTTTGCGTTGCTGTGGTGACGGCAGGGTCCGTCTAGACTGGTGACAGTGGTCTTGGGGACTGTCTCGAGATCCATTAAGCAAGTCGAAGCTCCTGACTTGTTTGATGGGGATCACGGAATAGTTCTGCATGCACTGCAGGAGAATGGGGCCTCATCTCGCCTCTAGGGGGAAGTCTCATGGTTTTTCTCCAGTTCGGCGGGGACCTGGGGTATGTTCTCGAGTTACGGCGGGGATGGCCCTTCAAAACACGTGTTTATTCAGTGACGTCAGGACTCCTGTCTAGTAACGAGGGACACCTCAGGAATCTCTTCGATGCTTGGCAGGGCAAAAGGGACGCATCTCGAGCTGAGGCAGGGCACCAAAGACACATTTCAGTAGCTACAGGGATTTTGGGATTCCTATCCGTATTCAAGAGGAGTCAGGCATCGTCACCTTTTGAAGCAGTGAACTCCGCATGCCTCTCGAGGTGTCAACGGGATGTGAGGCATTCCGTCAAAATGAGGCAGGGACCTAGGGCTTTCTCTCAGGTCAACACAGGGGATTCAGACATCCCTTCATGTTGTGAGATGAAAGACGAGCCTGTATTCAAGCCACTGCAAGGAAATCCGGCCTCCTTTCAAGTTAGGGCTTCTCGCTGTATATTCCTCTTGTGGCAGCAAACTCGGGGTCCCTCCCACATACCTACTGCTGAGAGAATCCTCCTCTGGAGGTGCTTCTGGAAGGGTGGCATACGTCTTGAGCCTAAGCCAGGGAATCAGCTCTCATCTCGAGACGCTTTGGGGTACACGGAGCATTCCTCGAGTTGCTGTGCTGAAGCTGGTGTTCCTCTGGACTTGCGACAGTGTTCTCGGGGCATCTCTGGAGTTGCCTGAAGGAAGTCAAGCCACTGGTCGTGTTGCATGGGGAACGGGGGATGGCTCTGGAGTCAATGCAGGGGAATAGGGCCTCATCTTGCGTTGATTTCGGGCACATGGCGCTGCTTTGCGTTGCTGGGGTTACCTGAGGGTCCGTCTAGACTTGTGACAGTGTTCCTGGGGACTCTCTCGAGATCCATTAAGCAAGTCGAAGCTCCTGACTTGTTTGATGGGGATCACGGAATAGCTCTGGATGCACTGCAGGGGAATGGGGCCTCATCTCACCTATAGGGGGAAGTCTCATGGTTTTTCTCGAGTTGCGGCGGGGACCTGGGGTATGTTCTCAAGTTACGGTGGGGATGGCCCTTCAAAACACGTGTTTATTCAGTGACGTCAGGACTCCTGTCTAGTAACGAGGGACACCTCAGGAATCTCTTCGAGGCTTGGCAGGGCAAAAGGGATGCTTCTCGAGCTGAGGCAGGGCACCAAAGACACATTTCAGTAGCCACAGGGATTTTGGGATTCCTATCAGTATACAAGAGGAGTCAGGCATCGTCACCTTTTGAAGCAGTGAACTCCGCATGCCTCTCGAGGTGTCAACGGGATGTGAGGCATTCCGTCAAAATGAGGCAGGGACCTAGGGCTTTCTCTCAGGTCAACACAGCGGATTGAGACATCCCTTCATGTTGTGAGATGAAAGACGAGCCTGTATTCAAGCCACTGCAAGGAAATCCGGCCTCCTTTCAAGTTAGGGCTTCTCGCTGTATATTCCACTTGTGGCAGCAAACTCGGGGTCCCTCCCACATACCTATTGCTGAGAGAAGCCTCCTCCTGAGGTGCTTCTGGAAAGTTGGCATACGTCTTGAGCCTGAGCCAGGGAATCAGCTTTCATCTCGATATGATTTGGGTACACGGTGCATTCATCGAGTTGCTGTGCTGAAGTCGGTGTTCCTCTAGACTTGCGACAGTGTTCTCGGGGCATCTCTGGAGTTGCCTGAAGGAAGTCAAGCCACTTGTCTTGTTGAATGGGGAATGGGGGATGGCTCTGGAGTCAATGCAGGGGAATCGGGCCTCATCTCGAGTTGATTTGGGGCACACGGCCCTGCTTTGTGTTGCTGTGGTGACCTCAGTGTCCGTCTAGACTGGTTACAGTGTTCTTGGGGAATGTCTCGAGATCCATTAAGCAAGTCGAAGCTCCTGACTTGTTTGATGGGGATCACGGAATAGCTCTGCATGCACTGCAGGGGAATGGTGCCTCATCTCGCCTCTAGGGGGAAGTCTCATGGTTTTTCTCGAGTTGCGGCGGGGCCTGGGGTATGTTCTCGAGTTACGGCAGGGATGGCCCTTCAAATCACGTGTTTATTCAGTGACGTCAAAACCTCTGTCTAGTAAGGAGGGACACCTCAGGAATCTCTTCGAGGCTTGACAGGGCAAAAGGGACGCTTCTCGAGGTGAGGCAGGGCACCCAAGGACTCTTTCCAGTAGCCACAGTGATTTTGGGATTCCGATCAGTATTCAAGAGGAGTCAGGCATCGTCACCTTTTGAAGCAGTGAACTCCGCGTGCCTCTCGAGGTGTCAACGGGATGTGAGGCATTCCGTCAAAATGAGGCAGGGACCTAAGGCTTTTGCTAAGGTCTCCACAGGGGATTCAGACATGCCTTTATGTTGTGAGATGAAAGACGAGCCTGTATTCAAGCCACTGCAAGGAAATCCGGCCTACTTTCAAGTTAGGGCTTCTCGCTATTTATTCCACTTGAGGAAGCAAACTCGGGGTCCCTCCCACATACCTATTGCTGAGAGAAGTCTCCTCCTGAGGTGCTTCTGGAAGGGTGGCATACGTCTTGAGCCTAAGTCAGGGAATCAGCTGTCATCTCGAGACGATTTGGCGTACACGGAGCATTCCTCGAGTTGCTCTGCTGAAGTTGGTGTTCCTCTAGACTTGCGACAGTGTTCTCTTGGCATCTCTGGAGTTGCCTGAAGGAAGTCAAGCCACTGGATGTGTTGAATGGGGAACAGGGGATGGCTCTGGAGTCATTGCAGGGGGATCGGGCCTCATCTCGAGTTGATTTGGGGCACACGGAGCTGCTTTGCGTTGCTGGGGTGACCTCAGGGTCCGTCTAGACTGGTGACAGTGTTCTTGGGGAATGTCTCGAGATCCGTTAAGCAAGTCGAAGTCCTGACTTGTTTGATGGGGATTCACGGAATAGCTCTGCATGCACTGCAGGGGAATGGTGCCTCATCTCGCCTCTAGGGGGAAGTCTCATGGTTTGTCTCGAGTTGCGGTGGGGACCTGGGGTATGTTCTCGAGTTACGGCGGGGATGGCCCTTCAAAACACGTGTTTATTCAGTGACGTCAGGACTCCTGTCTAGTAACGAGGGACACCTCAGGAATCTCTTCGAGGCTTGGCAGGGTAAAAGAGACGCTTCTCGAGCTGAGGCAGGGCACCAAGTCCCATTTCAGTAGCCACAGGGATTTTGGGATTCCTATCAGTATTCAAGAGGAGTCAGGCATCGTCACCTTTTAAAGCAGTGAACTCCGTGTGCATCCCAAGGAGTCAACGGGATGAGGCATTCCGTCAAAATGAGACAGGGAACTAGGGCTTTCTCTCAGGTCTCGACAGGTGATTCAGACATCCCTTCATGTTGTGAGATGAAAGACGAGCCCGTATGCAAGCCACTGCAAGGTAATCCGGCCTCCTTTCAAGTTAGGGCTTCTCGTTGTATATTCCACTTGAGGCAGCAAACTCGGGGTCCCTCCCACATACCTATTGCTGAGAGAAGCCTCTTCGTGAGGTGCTTCTGGAAGGTTGGCATACGTCTTGAGCCTAAGCCAGGGAATCAGCTCTCATCTCGAGATAATTTGGGGTACACGGAGCAATCCTCGTGTTGCTGTGCTGAAGTTGGTGTTCCTCTAGACTCGGGACATTGTTCTCGGGGCATCTCTGGAGTTGGCTGAAGGAAGTCAAGCCACTGGTCGTGAGGAATGGATAACGGGGGCTGGCTCTGGAGTCAATGCAGGGGAATCGGGCCTCATCTCGAGTTGAATTGGGGCACATGGAGCTGCTTTGCGTTGCTGGCTTGACCTCAGAGTGGGTCTAGACTGGTGACAGTGTTCTTGGGTTCTGTCTCGAGATCCGTTAAGCAAGTCGAAGCTCCTGACTTGTTTGATGGGGATCACGGAATAGCTCTCCATGCACTGCAGGGGAATGGGGTCTCATCTCGCCTCTAGGGGGAAGTCTCATGGTTTTTCTCGAGTTGCGGCAGGGATCTGGGGTATGTTCTCGAGTTACGGCAGGGATGGCCCTTCAAATCATGTGTTTATTCAGTGACGTCAGAACTCCTGTCTAGTAACGAGGGACACCTCAGGAATCTCTTCGAGGCTTGGCAGGGCAAAAGGGACACTAATCCAGGTGAGGCAGGGCACCAAAGGACACTTTCCAGTAGCCACAGGGATTTTGGGATTCCTGTCAGTATTCAAGAGGAGTCAGGCATCGTCACCTTTTCAATCAGTGAACTCCGCGTGCCTCTCGACTTGTCAACGGGATGTGAGGCATTCCGTCAAAATGAGGCAGGGAACTAGGGCTTTCTCTCAGGTCTCCACAGGGGATTCAGATCATCCCTTCATGTCGTGAGATGAAAGACGAGCCTATATTCAAGCCACTGCAAGGAAATCTGGCCTCCTTTCAAGTTAGGGCTTCTCGCTGTATATTCCACTTAAGGCAGCAAACTCGGGGTCCCTCCCACATACCTATTGCTGAGAGAAGCCTCCTCTTGAGGTGCTTCTGGAAGGTTGGCATATGTCTTGAAAATAAGCCAGGGAATCAGCTCTCATCTCTAGATGATTTGGGTACACGGAGCATTCCTCGAGTTGCTGTCCTGAAGTTCGTGTTCCTCTAGACTTGCGACAGTGTTCTCGGGGCATCTCTGGAGTTGCCTGAAGGAAGTCAAGCCACTGGTCTTGTTGAATGGGGAATGGGGGATGGCTCTGGAGTCCATGCAGGGGAATCGGGCCTCATCTCGAGTTGATTTGTGGCACACGGCGGTGCTTTGCGTTGCTGTGGTGACGTCAGGGCCGTCTAGACTGGTGACAGTGGTCTTGGGGACTGTCTCGAGATCCATTAAGCAAGTCGAAGCTCCTGACTTGTTTGATGGGTATCACGGAATAGTTCTGCATGCACTGCATGGGAATGGGGCCTCATCTCGCCTATACGGGGAAGTCTCATGGTTTTTCTCGAGTTGCGGCGGGGACCTGGGGTATGTTCTCGAGTTACGTCAGGGATGGCCCTTCAAATCACGTGTTTATTCAGTGACGTCAAATCCCCTGTCTAGTAACGAGGGACACCTCAGGAATCTCTTCGAGGCTTGACAGGGCAAAAGGGACGCTTCTCGAGGTGAGGCAGGGCACCCAAGGACTCTTTCCCGTAGCCACAGTGATTTTGGGATTCCTATCAGTATTCAAGAGGAGTCAGGCATCATCACCTTTTGAAGCAGTGAACTCCGCGTGCCTCTCGAGGTGTCAACGGGATGTGAGGCATTCCGTCAAAATGAGGCAGGGAACTAGGGCTTTCGCTAAGGTCTCCACAGGGGATTCAGACATCCCTTCATGTTGTGAGATGAAAGACGAGCCTGTATTCAAGCCACTGCAAGGAAATCCTGCCTCCTTTCAAGTTAGGGCTTCTCGCTATATATTCCACTTGACCAGCACACTCGGGGTCCCTCCCACATACCTATATCTGAGAGAAGCCTCCTCCTGAGGTGCTTCTGGAAGTTTGGCATATGTCTTGAGCCTAAGTCAGGGAATCAGCTCTCATCTCGAGACGATTTGGGGTACACGGAGCATTCCTCGAGTTGCTGTGCTGAAGTTGGTGTTCCTCTAGACTTGGGACAGTGTTCTCGGGGCATCTCTGGAGTTGCCTGAAGGAAGTCAAGCCACTGGTCATTTTGAATGGGGAACGGGGGATGGCTCTGGAGTCAATGCAGTGGAATCGGGCCTCATCTCGAGTTTATTTGGGGCATACGGCCCTGCTTTGCCTTCCTGGGGTGACCTCAGGGTCCATCTAGTCTGGTGACAGTGTTTTTGGGGACTGTCTCGAGGTCCATTAAGCAAGTCGAAGCTCCTGACTTGTTTGATGGGGATCACGGAATAGCTCTGGATGCACTGCAGGGGAATGGGGCCTCATATCACCTCTAGGGGGAAGTCTCATGGTTTTTCTCGAGTTGCGGCGGGGACCTGGGGTATGTTCTCAAGTTACGGCAGGGATGGCCCTTCAAAACACGTGTTTATTCAGTGACGTCAGGACTCCTGTCTAGTAACGAGGGACACCTCAGGAACCTCTTCGAGGCTCGGCAGGGCAAAAGGGACGCTTCTCGAGCTGAGCCAGGGCACCAAAGACACATTTCAGTAGCCACAGGGATTTTGGGATTCCTATCCGTATTCAAGAGCAGTCAGGCATCGTCACCTTTTGAAGTAGTGAACTCCGCATGCCTCTCGAGGTGTCAACGGGATGTGAGGCATTCCGTCAAAATGAGGCAGGGACCTAGGGCTTTCTCTCAGGTCAAGACAGGGGATTCAGACATCCCTTCATGTAGTGAGATGAAAGACGAGCCTGTATTCAAGCTACTGCAAGGAAATCCGGCCTCCTTTCAAGTTAGGGCTTCTCACTGTATATTTCACTTGTGGCAGCAAACTCAGGGTCCCTCCCACATACCTATTGCTGAGAGAAGCCTCCTCTTGAGGTGCTTCTGGAAGGGTGGCATACGTCTTGAGCCTAAGCCAGGGAATCAGCTCTCATCTCGAGACGATTTGGGGTACACGGAGCATTCCTCGAGTTGCTGTGCTGAAGCTGGTGTTCCTCTGGACTTGCGACAGTGTTCTCGGGGCATCTCTGGAGTTGCCTGAAGGAAGTCAAGCCACTGGTCTTGTTGAATGGGGAACAGGGGATGGCTCTGGTGTCAATGCAGGGGAATCGGGCCTCATCTCGAGTTGATTTGGGGGACACGGCACTGCTTTGCGTTGCTGTGCTGACCTCAGGGTCCCTCTAGACTGGTGACAGTGTTCTTGGGGACTCTCTCGAGATCCATTAAGCAAGTCGAAGCTCCTGACTTGTTTGATGGGGATCACGGAATAGGTCTGCATGCACTGCAGGGGAATGGGACCTCATCTCGCCTCTAAGGGGAAGTCTCATGGTTTTTCCTGAGTTGCGGCGGGGACCTGGGGTATGTTCTCGAGTTACGGCTGGGATAACCCTTCAAATCACGTGTTTATCCAGTGACGTCAGAACTCCTGTCTAGTAACGAGGGACACCTCAGGAATCTCTTCGAGGCTTGGCAGGGCAAAAGGGACACTAATCCAGGTGAGGCAGGGCACCAAAGGACACTTTCCAGTAGCCACAGGGATTTTGGGATTCCTATCAGTATTCAAGAGGAGTCAGGCATCGTCACCTTTTCAAGCAGTGAACTCCGCGTGCCTCTCGACTTGTCAACGGGATGTGAGGCATTCCGTCAAAATGAGGCAGGGACCTAGGGCTTTCTCTCAGGTCTCCACAGGGGATTCAGATCATCCCTTCATGTCGTGAGATGAAAGACGAGCCTATATTCAAGCCACTGCAAGGAAATCCGGCCTCCTTTCAAGTTAGGGCTTCTCGCTGTATATTCCACTTGAGGCAGCAAACTCGGGGTCCCTCCCACATACCTATTGCTGAGAGAAGCCTCCTCTTGAGGTGCTTCTGGAAGGTTGGCATATGTCTTGAAAATAAGCCAGGGAATCAGCTCTCATCTCGAGATGATTTGGGTACACGGAGCATTCCTCGAGTTGCTGTGCTGAAGTTGGTGTTCCTCTAGACTTGCGACAGTGTTCTCGGGGCATCTCTGGAGTTGCCTGAAGGAAGTCAAGCCACTGGTCTTGTTGAATGGGGAATGGGGGATGGCTCTGGAGTCCATGCAGGGGAATCGGGCCTCATCTCGAGTTGATTTGTGGCACACGGCGGTGCTTTGCGTTGCTGTGGTGACGTCAGGGCCGTCTAGACTGGTGACAGTGGTCTTGGGGACTGTCTCGAGATCCATTAAGCAAGTCGAAGCTCCTGACTTGTTTGATGGGTATCACGGAATAGTTCTGCATGCACTGCATGGGAATGGGGCCTCATCTCGCCTCTAGGGGGAAGTCTCATGGTTTTTCTCGAGTTGCGGCGGGGACCTGGGGTATGTTCTCGAGTTACGTCAGGGATGGCCCTTCAAATCACGTGTTTATTCAGTGACGTCAAATCCCCTGTCTAGTAACGAGGGACACCTCAGGAATCTCTTCGAGGCTTGACAGGGCAAAAGGGACGCTTCTCGAGGTGAGGCAGGGCACCCAAGGACTCTTTCCCGTAGCCACAGTGATTTTGGGATTCCTATCAGTATTCAAGAGGAGTCAGGCATCATCACCTTTTGAAGCAGTGAACTCCGCGTGCCTCTCGAGGTGTCAACGGGATGTGAGGCATTCCGTCAAAATGAGGCAGGGAACTAGGGCTTTCGCTAAGGTCTCCACAGGGGATTCAAACATCCCTTCATGTTGTGAGATGAAAGACGAGCCTGTATTCAAGCCACTGCAAGGAAATCCTGCCTCCTTTCAAGTTAGGGCTTCTCGCTATATATTCCACTTGACCAGCACACTCGGGGTCCCTCCCACATACCTATTGCTGAGAGAAGCCTCCTCCTGAGGTGCTTCTGGAAGTTTGGCATATGTCTTGAGCCTAAGTCAGGGAATCAGCTCTCATCTCGAGACGATTTGGGGTACACGGAGCATTCCTCGAGTTGCTGTGCTGAAGTTGGTGTTCCTCTAGACTTGCGACAGTGTTCTCGGGGCATCTCTGGAGTTGCCTGAAGGAAGTCAAGCCACTGGTCATTTTGAATGGGGAACGGGGGATGGCTCTGGAGTCAATGCAGTGGAATCGGGCCTCATCTCGAGTTTATTTGGGGCATACGGCCCTGCTTTGCCTTCCTGGGGTGACCTCAGGGTCCATCTAGTCTGGTGACAGTGTTTTTGGGGACTGTCTCGAGGTCCATTAAGCAAGTCGAAGCTCCTGACTTGTTTGATGGGGATCACGGAATAGCTCTGGATGCACTGCAGGGGAATGGGGCCTCATATCACCTCTAGGGGGAAGTCTCATGGTTTTTCTCGAGTTGCGGCGGGGACCTGGGGTATGTTCTCAAGTTACGGCAGGGATGGCCCTTCAAAACACGTGTTTATTCAGTGACGTCAGGACTCCTGTCTAGTAACGAGGGACACCTCAGGAACCTCTTCGAGGCTCGGCAGGGCAAAAGGCACGCTTCTCGAGCTGAGCCAGGGCACCAAAGACACATTTCAGTAGCCACAGGGATTTTGGGATTCCTATCCGTATTCAAGAGGAGTCAGGCATCGTCACCTTTTGAAGTAGTGAACTCCGCATGCCTCTCGAGGTGTCAACGGGATGTGAGGCATTCCGTCAAAATGAGGCAGGGACCTAGGGCTTTCTCTCAGGTCAAGACAGGGGATTCAGACATCCCTTCATGTAGTGAGATGAAAGACGAGCCTGTATTCAAGCTACTGCAAGGAAATCCGGCCTCCTTTCAAGTTAGGGCTTCTCGCTGTATATTTCACTTGTGGCAGCAAACTCGGGGTCCCTCCCACATACCTATTGCTGAGAGAAGCCTCCTCTTGAGGTGCTTCTGGAAGGGTGGCATACGTCTTGAGCCTAAGCCAGGGAATCAGCTCTCATCTCGAGACGATTTGGGGTACACGGAGCATTCCTCGAGTTGCTGTGCTGAAGCTGGTGTTCCTCTGGACTTGCGACAGTGTTCTCGGGGCATCTCTGGAGTTGCCTGAAGGAAGTCAAGCCACTGGTCTTGTTGAATGGGGAACAGGGGATGGCTCTGGTGTCAATGCAGGGGAATCGGGCCTCATCTCGAGTTGATTTGGGGGACACGGCACTGCTTTGCGTTGCTGTGCTGACCTCAGGGTCCCTCTAGACTGGTGACAGTGTTCTTGGGGACTCTCTCGAGATCCATTAAGCAAGTCGAAGCTCCTGACTTGTTTGATGGGGATCACGGAATAGCTCTGCATGCACTGCAGGGGAATGGGACCTCATCTCGCCTCTAGGGGGAAGTCTCATGGTTTTTCCTGAGTTGCGGCGGGGACCTGGGGTATGTTCTCGAGTTACGGCTGGGATAACCCTTCAAATCACGTGTTTATTCAGTGACGTGAGAACTCCTGTCTAGTAACGAGGGACACCTCAGGAATCTCTTCGAGGCTTGGCAGGGCAAAAGGGACACTAATCCAGGTGAGGCAGGGCACCAAAGGACACTTTCCAGTAGCCACAGGGATTTTGGGATTCCTATCAGTATTCAAGAGGAGTCAGGCATCGTCACCTTTTCAAGCAGTGAACTCCGCGTGCCTCTCGACTTGTCAACGGGATGTGAGGCATTCCGTCAAAATGAGGCAGGGACCTAGGGCTTTCTCTCAGGTCTCCACAGGGGATTCAGATCATCCCTTCATGTCGTGAGATGAAAGACGAGCCTATATTCAAGCCACTGCAAGGAAATCCGGCCTCCTTTCAAGTTAGGGCTTCTCGCTGTATATTCCACTTGAGGCAGCAAACTCGGGGTCCCTCCCACATACCTATTGCTGAGAGAAGCCTCCTCTTGAGGTGCTTCTGGAAGGTTGGCATATGTCTTGAAAATAAGCCAGGGAATCAGCTCTCATCTCGAGATGATTTGGGTACACGGAGCATTCCTCGAGTTGCTGTGCTGAAGTTGGTGTTCCTCTAGACTTGCGACAGTGTTCTCGGGGCATCTCTGGAGTTGCCTGAAGGAAGTCAAGCCACTGGTCTTGTTGAATGGGGAATGGGGGATGGCTCTGGAGTCCATGCAGGGGAATCGGGCCTCATCTCGAGTTGATTTGTGGCACACGGCGGTGCTTTGCGTTGCTGTGGTGAAGTCAGGGCCGTCTAGACTGGTGACAGTGGTCTTGGGGACTGTCTCGAGATCCATTAAGCAAGTCGAAGCTCCTGACTTGTTTGATGGGTATCACGGAATAGTTCTGCATGCACTGCATGGGAATGGGGCCTCATCTCGCCTCTAGGGGGAAGTCTCATGGTTTTTCTCGAGTTGCGGCGGGGACCTGGGGTATGTTCTCGAGTTACGTCAGGGATGGCCCTTCAAATCACGTGTTTATTCAGTGACGTCAAATCCCCTGTCTAGTAACGAGGGACACCTCAGGAATCTCTTCGAGGCTTGACAGGGCAAAAGGGACGCTTCTCGAGGTGAGGCAGGGCACCCAAGGACTCTTTCCCGTAGCCACAGTGATTTTGGGATTCCTATCAGTATTCAAGAGGAGTCAGGCATCATCACCTTTTGAAGCAGTGAACTCCGCGTGCCTCTCGAGGTGTCAACGGGATGTGAGGCATTCCGTCAAAATGAGGCAGGGAACTAGGGCTTTCGCTAAGGTCTCCACAGGGGATTCAGACATCCCTTCATGTTGTGAGATGAAAGACGAGCCTGTATTCAAGCCACTGCAAGGAAATCCTGCCTCCTTTCAAGTTAGGGCTTCTCGCTATATATTCCACTTGACCAGCACACTCGGGGTCCCTCCCAAATACCTATTGCTGAGAGAAGCCTCCTCCTGAGGTGCTTCTGGAAGTTTGGCATATGTCTTGAGCCTAAGTCAGGGAATCAGCTCTCATCTCGAGACGATTTGGGGTACACGGAGCATTCCTCGAGTTGCTGTGCTGAAGTTGGTGTTCCTCTAGACTTTCGACAGTGTTCTCGGGGCATCTCTGAAGTTGCCTGAAGGAAGTCAAGCCACTGGTCATTTTGAATGGGGAAAAGGGGATGGCTCTGGAGTCAATGCAGTGGAATCGGGCCTCATCTCGAGTTTATTTGGGGCATACGGCCCTGCTTTGCCTTCCTGGGGTGACCTCAGGGTCCATCTAGTCTGGTGACAGTGTTTTTGGGGACTGTCTCGAGGTCCATTAAGCAAGTCGAAGCTCCTGACTTGTTTGATGGGGATCACGGAATAGCTCTGCATGCACTGCAGGAGAATGGGGCCTCATCTCGCCTCTAGGGGGAAGTCTCATGGTTTTTCTCCAGTTCGGCGGGGACCTGGGGTATGTTCTCGAGTTACGGCGGGGATGGCCCTTCAAAACACGTGTTTATTCAGTGACGTCAGGACTCCTGTCTAGTAACGAGGGACACCTCAGGAATCTCTTCGATGCTTGGCAGGGCAAAAGGGACGCCTCTCGAGCTGAGGCAGGGCACCAAAGACACATTTCAGTAGCTACAGGGATTTTGGGATTCCTATCCGTATTCAAGAGGAGTCAGGCATCGTCACCTTTTGAAGCAGTGAACTCCGCATGCCTCTCGAGGTGTCAACGGGATGTGAGGCATTCCGTCAAAATGAGGCAGGGACCTAGGGCTTTCTCTCAGGTCAACACAGGGGATTCAGACATCCCTTCATGTTGTGAGATGAAAGACGAGCCTGTATTCAAGCCACTGCAAGGAAATCCGGCCTCCTTTCAAGTTAGGGCTTCTCGCTGTATATTCCTCTTGTGGCAGCAAACTCGGGGTCCCTCCCTCATACCTACTGCTGAGAGAAGCCTCCTCTGGAGGTGCTTCTGGAAGGGTGGCATACGTCTTGAGCCTAAGCCAGGGAATCAGCTCTCATCTCGAGACGCTTTGGGGTACACGGAGCATTCCTCGAGTTGCTGTGCTGAAGCTGGTGTTCCTCTGGACTTGCGACAGTGTTCTCGGGGCATCTCTGGAGTTGCCTGAAGGAAGTCAAGCCACTGGTCGTGTTGCATGGGGAACGGGGGATGGCTCTGGAGTCAATGCAGGGGAATAGGGCCTCATCTTGCGTTGATTTCGGGCACATGGCGCTGCTTTGCGTTGCTGGGGTTACCTGAGGGTCCGTCTAGACTTGTGACAGTGTTCCTGGGGACTCTCTCGAGATCCATTAAGCAAGTCGAAGCTCCTGACTTGTTTGATGGGGATCACGGAATAGCTCTGGATGCACTGCAGGGGAATGGGGCCTCATCTCACCTCTAGGGGGAAGTCTCATGGTTTTTCTCGAGTTGCGGCGGGGACCTGGGGTATGTTCTCAAGTTACGGTGGGGATGGCCCTTCAAAACACGTGTTTATTCAGTGACGTCAGGACTCCTGTCTAGTAACGAGGGACACCTCAGGAATCTCTTCGAGGCTTGGCAGGGCAAAAGGGATGCTTCTCGAGCTGAGGCAGGGCACCAAAGACACATTTCAGTAGCCACAGGGATTTTGGGATTCCTATCAGTATTCAAGAGGAGTCAGGCATCGTCACCTTTTGAAGCAGTGAACTCCGCATGCCTCTCGAGGTGTCAACGGGATGTGAGGCATTCCGTCAAAATGAGGCAGGGACCTAGGGCTTTCTCTCAGGTCAACACAGCGGATTGAGACATCCCTTCATGTTGTGAGATGAAAGACGAGCCTATATTCAAGCCACTGCAAGGAAATCCGGCCTCCTTTCAAGTTAGGGCTTCTCGCTGTATATTCCACTTAAGGCAGCAAACTCGGGGTCCCTCCCACATACCTATTGCTGAGAGAAGCCTCCTCTTGAGGTGCTTCTGGAAGGTTGGCATATGTCTTGAAAATAAGCCAGGGAATCAGCTCTCATCTCGAGATGATTTGGGTACACGGAGCATTCCTCGAGTTGCTGTGCTGAAGTTGGTGTTCCTCTAGACTTGCGACAGTGTTCTCGGGGCATCTCTGGAGTTGCCTGAAGGAAGTCAAGCCACTGGTCTTGTTGAATGGGGAATGGGGGATGGCTCTGGAGTCCATGCAGGGGAATCGGGCCTCATCTCGAGTTGATTTGTGGCACACGGCGGTGCTTTGCGTTGCTGTGGTGACGTCAGGGCCGTCTAGACTGGTGACAGTGGTCTTGGGGACTGTCTCGAGATCCATTAAGCAAGTCGAAGCTCCTGACTTGTTTGATGGGTATCACGGAATAGTTCTGCACGCACTGCATGGGAATGGGGCCTCATCTCGCCTCTAGGGGGAAGTCTCATGGTTTTTCTCGAGTTGCGGCGGGGACCTGGGGTATGTTCTCGAGTTACGTCAGGGATGGCCCTTCAAATCACGTGTTTATTCAGTGACGTCAAATCCCCTGTCTAGTAACGAGGGACACCTCAGGAATCTCTTCGAGGCTTGACAGGGCAAAAGGGACGCTTCTCGAGGTGAGGCAGGGCACCCAAGGACTCTTTCCCGTAGCCACAGTGATTTTGGGATTCCTATCAGTATTCAAGAGGAGTCAGGCATCATCACCTTTTGAAGCAGTGAACTCCGCGTGCCTCTCGAGGTGTCAACGGGATGTGAGGCATTCCGTCAAAATGAGGCAGGGAACTAGGGCTTTCGCTAAGGTCTCCACAGGGGATTCAGACATCCCTTCATGTTGTGAGATGAAAGACGAGCCTGTATTCAAGCCACTGCAAGGAAATCCTGCCTCCTTTCAAGTTAGGGCTTCTCGCTATATATTCCACTTGACCAGCACACTCGGGGTCCCTCCCACATACCTATTGCTGAGAGAAGCCTCCTCCTGAGGTGCTTCTGGAAGTTTGGCATATGTCTTGAGCCTAAGTCAGGGAATCAGCTCTCATCTCGAGACGATTTGGGGTACACGGAGCATTCCTCGAGTTGCTGTGCTGAAGTTGGTGTTCCTCTAGACTTGCGACAGTGTTCTCGGGGCATCTCTGGAGTTGCCTGAAGGAAGTCAAGCCACTGGTCATTTTGAATGGGGAACGGGGGATGGCTCTGGAGTCAATGCAGTGGAATCGGGCCTCATCTCGAGTTTATTTGGGGCATACGGCCCTGCTTTGCCTTCCTGGGGTGACCTCAGGGTCCATCTAGTCTGGTGACAGTGTTTTTGGGGACTGTCTCGAGGTCCATTAAGCAAGTCGAAGCTCCTGACTTGTTTGATGGGGATCACGGAATAGCTCTGGATGCACTGCAGGGGAATGGGGCCTCATATCACCTCTAGGGGGAAGTCTCATGGTTTTTCTCGAGTTGCGGCGGGGACCTGGGGTATGTTCTCAAGTTACGGCAGGGATGGCCCTTCAAAACACGTGTTTATTCAGTGACGTCAGGACTCCTGTCTAGTAACGAGGGACACCTCAGGAACCTCTTCGAGGCTCGGCAGGGCAAAAGGGACGCTTCTCGAGCTGAGCCAGGGCACCAAAGACACATTTCAGTAGCCACAGGGATTTTGGGATTCCTATCCGTATTCAAGAGGAGTCAGGCATCGTCACCTTTTGAAGTAGTGAACTCCGCATGCCTCTCGAGGTGTCAACGGGATGTGAGGCATTCCGTCAAAATGAGGCAGGGACCTAGGGCTTTCTCTCAGGTCAAGACAGGGGATTCAGACATCCCTTCATGTAGTGAGATGAAAGACGAGCCTGTATTCAAGCTACTGCAAGGAAATCCGGCCTCCTTTCAAGTTAGGGCTTCTCGCTGTATATTTCACTTGTGGCAGCAAACTCGGGGTCCCTCCCACATACCTATTGCTGAGAAAAGCCTCCTCTTGAGGTGCTTCTGGAAGGGTGGCATACGTCTTGAGCCTAAGCCAGGGAATCAGCTCTCATCTCGAGACGATTTGGGGTACACGGAGCATTCCTCGAGTTGCTGTGCTGAAGCTGGTGTTCCTCTGGACTTGCGACAGTGTTCTCGGGGCATCTCTGGAGTTGCCTGAAGGAAGTCAAGCCACTGGTCTTGTTGAATGGGGAACAGGGGATGGCTCTGGTGTCAATGCAGGGGAATCGGGCCTCATCTCGAGTTGATTTGGGGGACACGGCACTGCTTTGCGTTGTTGTGCTGACCTCAGGGTCCCTCTAGACTGGTGACAGTGTTCTTGGGGACTCTCTCGAGATCCATTAAGCAAGTCGAAGCTCCTGACTTGTTTGATGGGGATCACGGAATAGCTCTGCATGCACTGCAGGGGAATGGGACCTCATCTCGCCTCTAGGGGGAAGTCTCATGGTTTTTCCTGAGTTGCGGCGGGGACCTGGGGTATGTTCTCGAGTTACGGCTGGGATAAACCTTCAAATCACGTGTTTATCCAGTGACGTCAGAACTCCTGTCTAGTAACGAGGGACACCTCAGGAATCTCTTCGAGGCTTGGCAGGGCAAAAGGGACACTAATCCAGGTGAGGCAGGGCACCAAAGGACACTTTCCAGTAGCCACAGGGATTTTGGGATTCCTATCAGTATTCAAGAGGAGTCAGGCATCGTCACATTTTCAAGCAGTGAACTCCGCGTGCCTCTCGACTTGTCAACGGGATGTGAGGCATTCCGTCAAAATGAGGCAGGGACCTAGGGCTTTCTCTCAGGTCTCCACAGGGGATTCAGATCATCCGTTCATGTCGTGAGATGAAAGACGAGCCTATATTCAAGCCACTGCAAGGAAATCCGGCCTCCTTTCAAGTTAGGTCTTCTCGCTGTATATTCCACTTGAGGCAGCAAACTCGGGGTCCCTCCCACATACCTATTGCTGAGAGAAGCCTCCTCTTGAGTTGCTTCTGGAAGGTTGGCATATGTCTTGAAAATAAGCCAGGGAATCAGCTCTCATCTCGAGATGATTTGGGTACACGGAGCATTCCTCGAGTTGCTGTGCTGAAGTTGGTGTTCCTCTAGACTTGCGACAGTGTTCTCAGGGCATCTCTGGAGTTGCCTGAAGGAAGTCAAGCCACTGGTCTTGTTGAATGGGGAATGGGGGATGGCTCTGGAGTCCATGCAGGGGAATCGGGCCTCATCTCGAGTTGATTTGTGGCACACGGCGGTGCTTTGCGTTGCTGTGGTGACGTCAGGGCCGTCTAGACTGGTGACAGTGGTCTTGGGGACTGTCTCGAGATCCATTAAGCAAGTCGAAGCTCCTGACTTGTTTGATGGGTATCACGGAATAGTTCTGCACGCACTGCATGGGAATGGGGCCTCATCTCGCCTCTAGGGGGAAGTCTCATGGTTTTTCTCGAGTTGCGGCGGGGACCTGGGGTATGTTCTCGAGTTACGTCAGGGATGGCCCTTCAAATCACGTGTTTATTCAGTGACGTCAAATCCCCTGTCTAGTAACGAGGGACACCTCAGGAATCTCTTCGAGGCTTGACAGGGCAAAAGGGACGCTTCTCGAGGTGAGGCAGGGCACCCAAGGACTCTTTCCCGTAGCCACAGTGATTTTGGGATTCCTATCAGTATTCAAGAGGAGTCAGGCATCATCACCTTTTGAAGCAGTGAACTCCGCGTGCCTCTCGAGGTGTCAACGGGATGTGAGGCATTCCGTCAAAATGAGGCAGGGAACTAGGGCTTTCGCTAAGGTCTCCACAGGGGATTCAGACATCCCTTCATGTTGTGAGATGAAAGACGAGCCTGTATTCAAGCCACTGCAAGGAAATCCTGCCTCCTTTCAAGTTAGGGCTTCTCGCTATATATTCCACTTGACCAGCACACTCGGGGTCCCTCCCACATACCTATTGCTGAGAGAAGCCTCCTCCTGAGGTGCTTCTGGAAGTTTGGCATATGTCTTGAGCCTAAGTCAGGGAATCAGCTCTCATCTCGAGACGATTTGGGGTACACGGAGCATTCCTCGAGTTGCTGTGCTGAAGTTGGTGTTCCTCTAGACTTGCGACAGTGTTCTCGGGGCATCTCTGGAGTTGCCTGAAGGAAGTCAAGCCACTGGTCATTTTGAATGGGGAACGGGGGATGGCTCTGGAGTCAATGCAGTGGAATCGGGCCTCATCTCGAGTTTATTTGGGGCATACGGCCCTGGTTTGCCTTCCTGGGGTGACCTCAGGGTCCATCTAGTCTGGTGACAGTGTTTTTGGGGACTGTCTCGAGGTCCATTAAGCAAGTCGAAGCTCCTGACTTGTTTGATGGGGATCACGGAATAGCTCTGGATGCACTGCAGGGGAATGGGGCCTCATATCACCTCTAGGGGGAAGTCTCATGGTTTTTCTCGAGTTGCGGCGGGGACCTGGGTTTATGTTCTCAAGTTACGGCAGGGATGGCCCTTCAAAACACGTGTTTATTCAGTGACGTCAGGACTCCTGTCTAGTAACGAGGGACACCTCAGGAACCTCTTCGAGGCTCGGCAGGGCAAAAGGGACGCTTCTCGAGCTGAGCCAGGGCACCAAAGACACATTTCAGTAGCCACAGGGATTTTGGGATTCCTATCCGTATTCAAGAGGAGTCAGGCATCGTCACCTTTTGAAGTAGTGAACTCCGCATGCCTCTCGAGGTGTCAACGGGATGTGAGGCATTCCGTCAAAATGAGGCAGGGACCTAGGGCTTTCTCTCAGGTCAAGACAGGGGATTCAGACATCCCTTCATGTAGTGAGATGAAAGACGAGCCTGTATTCAAGCTACTGCAAGGAAATCCGGCCTCCTTTCAAGTTAGGGCTTCTCGCTGTATATTTCACTTGTGGCAGCAAACTCGGGGTCCCTCCCACATACCTATTGCTGAGAGAAGCCTCCTCTTGAGGTGCTTCTGGAAGGGTGGCATACGTCTTGAGCCTAACCCAGGGAATCAGCTCTCATCTCGAGACGATTTGGGGTACACGGAGCATTCCTCGAGTTGCTGTGCTGAAGCTGGTGTTCCTCTGGACTTGCGACAGTGTTCTCGGGGCATCTCTGGAGTTGCCTGAAGGAAGTCAAGCCACTGGTCTTGTTGAATGGGGAACAGGGGATGGCTCTGGTGTCAATGCAGGGGAATCGGGCCTCATCTCGAGTTGATTTGGGGGACACGGCACTGCTTTGCGTTGCTGTGCTGACCTCAGGGTCCCTCTAGACTGGTGACAGTGTTCTTGGGGACTCTCTCGAGATCCATTAAGCAAGTCGAAGCTCCTGACTTGTTTGATGGGGATCACGGAATAGCTCTGCATGCACTGCAGGGGAATGGGACCTCATCTCGCCTCTAGGGGGAAGTCTCATGGTTTTTCCTGAGTTGCGGCGGGGACCTGGGGTATGTTCTCGAGTTATGGCTGGGATAACCCTTCAAATCACGTGTTTATTCAGTGACGTCAGAACTCCTGTCTAGTAACGAGGGACACCTCAGGAATCTCTTCGAGGCTTGGCAGGGCAAAAGGGACACTAATCCAGGTGAGGCAGGGCACCAAAGGACACTTTCCAGTAGCCACAGGGATTTTGGGATTCCTATCAGTATTCAAGAGGAGTCAGGCATCGTCACCTTTTCAAGCAGTGAACTCCGCGTGCCTCTCGACTTGTCAACGGGATGTGAGGCATTCCGTCAAAATGAGGCAGGGACCTAGGGCTTTCTCTCAGGTCTCCACAGGGGATTCAGATCATCCCTTCATGTCGTGAGATGAAAGACGAGCCTATATTCAAGCCACTGCAAGGAAATCCGGCCTCCTTTCAAGTTAGGGCTTCTCGCTGTATATTCCACTTGAGGCAGCAAACTCGGGGTCCCTCCCACATACCTATTGCTGAGAGAAGCCTCCTCTTGAGGTGCTTCTGGAAGGTTGGCATATGTCTTGAAAATAAGCCAGGGAATCAGCTCTCATCTCGAGATGATTTGGGTACACGGAGCATTCCTCGAGTTGCTGTGCTGAAGTTGGTGTTCCTCTAGACTTGCGACAGTGTTCTCGGGGCATCTCTGGAGTTGCCTGAAGGAAGTCAAGCCACTGGTCTTGTTGAATGGGGAATGGGGGATGGCTCTGGAGTCCATGCAGGGGAATCGGGCCTCATCTCGAGTTGATTTGTGGCACACGGCGGTGCTTTGCGTTGCTGTGGTGACGTCAGGGCCGTCTAGACTGGTGACAGTGGTCTTGGGGACTGTCTCGAGATCCATTAAGCAAGTCGAAGCTCCTGACTTGTTTGATTGGTATCACGGAATAGTTCTGCATGCACTGCATGGGAATGGGGCCTCATCTCGCCTCTAGGGGGAAGTCTCATGGTTTTTCTCGAGTTGCGGCGGGGACCTGGGGTATGTTCTCGAGTTACGTCAGGGATGGCCCTTCAAATCACGTGTTTATTCAGTGACGTCAAATCCCCTGTCTAGTAACGAGGGACACCTCAGGAATCTCTTCGAGGCTTGACAGGGCAAAAGGGACGCTTCTCGAGGTGAGGCAGGGCACCCAAGGACTCTTTCCCGTAGCCACAGTGATTTTGGGATTCCTATCAGTATTCAAGAGGAGTCAGGCATCATCACCTTTTGAAGCAGTGAACTCCGCGTGCCTCTCGACGTGTCAACGGGATGTGAGGCATTCCGTCAAAATGAGGCAGGGAACTAGGGCTTTCGCTAAGGTCTCCACAGGGGATTCAGACATCCCTTCATGTTGTGAGATGAAAGACGAGCCTGTATTCAAGCCACTGCAAGGAAATCCTGCCTCCTTTCAAGTTAGGGCTTCTCGCTATATATTCCACTTGACCAGCACACTCGGGGTCCCTCCCAAATACCTATTGCTGAGAGAAGCCTCCTCCTGAGGTGCTTCTGGAAGTTTGGCATATGTCTTGAGCCTAAGTCAGGGAATCAGCTCTCATCTCGAGACGATTTGGGGTACACGGAGCATTCCTCGAGTTGCTGTGCTGAAGTTGGTGTTCCTCTAGACTT